CTGGTCGAAAAAAGAAAATCTTTGTCGAAGGCAACGATAAGGAGATGCTCGATGCAATAGCGCTGGTGAAAGAGTACATGCTCGGGGCCCACAGCGATGCCGGAAGACGAGGTGCTCGTAGCGGAAGACGAGGTGCTCGTGGCGGCAGTGCTAATAGAAGACAAGGTGCTCGGGGCGCCAATGCTGGTGGAAAAAGAAATCTTTGTCGAAGGCAAAGATAGGGAGATGCTCGGGGCAACAGCGCTGGTGAAAGAGTACATGCTCGGGGCCAAGGCGATGCCGGAAGAGGAGGTTCTCGTAGCGGAAGACGAGGTGCTCGTGGACACAGCGCTAGTAGAAGATGAGGAGGTGCTCGAGGCTACAGCGCTGGTGGAAGACGAGGTGCTCGAGGCAACAGCGCTGGTGGAAGAAGATGAGGTGCTGGGGGCCACAGCGATGGTGGAAGACGAGGTGCTCGTGGCGACAGCACTAGTAGAAGACGAGGAGGTGCTCGAGGCAACAGCGCTGGTGGAAGACGAGGAGGTGCTCGAGGCAACAGCGCTGGTAGAAGACGAGGAGGTGCTCGAGGCAACAGCGCTGGTGGAAGACGAGGAGGTGCTCGAGGCGACTGCGCTGCTAGAGGATAAGGAGGTGCTTGAGGCGACTGCGCTTGTGTAGGCGCTCGGGGCCACAGCGCTGGTGGATGAGGAGGTGCTTAGGGCCGCAGTGCTGGTGGAAGATGAGGAGGTGCTCGGGACGATAGTGCTAGTAGAGGACGAGGTGCTCAGGGCCACAGCGCTGGTGGAAGATGAGGAGGTGCTCGAGGCAACAGAGCTTGAAGAGGAGGAGCCACCTGATAGCATTACAGCAGTATCCACGTTGGAGTTGGAAGAAGCAGTAGTGATACTGCTCTTAAGGTAGCACGTGCCAGCGTTGGAGCCGCCAACGTACGAAAAGCCAACGCAGCCAGCAGTGGCTTTGCAGATTGGAATGCATCCAGAGAAAGAAGAGGCTGGGGCAGCGCTCAAATCACCACCGGAACGGTCAGTGCCGCACTCGATTGTGTATCCATCAGTAGTAGTACCACTGCTGGCAAGTTGCTGGCAGGATGAGCCGGCAGTCGAGGTAGGGGTGACGGAGGTGCTCGACGCTACAACGCTAGTCGAAGATGCGGAGGTGCTCGAAGCAATAGAGCTAGTTGGGGCAACGGAGCTGCTCGTCGCAACAGAGCTAGTCGATACAATAGAGCTGGTCGATGCAATAGAGCTGGTCGATGCAATAGAGCTGGTGGATACAACAGAGCTGGTGGATACAACAGAGCTGGTGGATACAACAGAGCTGGTGGATGCAACAGAGCTGGTGGATGCAACAGAGCTGGTGGATGCAACAGAGCTGGTGGATGCAACAGAGCTGGTGGATGCAACAGAGCTGGTCGATGGAACAGAGCTGGTCGATGCAGTAGAGTTGGCCGGTACAATGAAGCTGGTCGAGGCAACAGAGCTAGTCGAGGCAACAGAGCTAGTCGAAGAAACTGTGCTAATTGAAGACGAAGAAGAGCCAGCTGGGAGCTTCACAGCATTGTCCACGTTCGAGCTGGGCGAAGAAGGATTGGCACTACCCTTAAGATAGCATGTACCGGCATTGGAACCGCCAAGGTATGAAAAGCCAACACAGCCAGCAGTAGAGTCGCAGATTTGAATGCATCCAGAGAACGAGGAGGACGAGGCAGCACCTATGTCGCCACCAGCGCGATCGGTGCTGCATTCGATTGTGTATCCATCAACGACGACGCCGTTGCCAAGTTGCTTGCAGGATGAGCCATAAGAGCTGGGAGCGATGGGAGCCGATGATGATGTGCTCTGGATAGATGAGGAGGAAGCAACCTGGGTGGAAGAAGAGGTAGCAGCCGGGGCTGAAGTCGTGCTGACTGATTGTGCAGGGGAGGAAGCTGGCGCACTGCTATAGCCTTGCGGAGTCAAGGGAGAGTCCGAAACGGAAGAAGCTGGGGCGCTGCTAGAGCTTTGCTGGATCGAGGAAGAGACCGAAACCGAAGAGGCTTGCTGAGTTGAGGAAGAGGACGAAGCCGAAGAATCAGGCTTGACTGCCATGTCGACATTGGATGCATTGATCTGATCAACCAGGCTGCTCTTGAAGTAACAGGTACCACCCCCATAGCCTTCAACCCAGGCAAATCCAATGCAGCCGGCCAGCTGATCGCACATAGGCATACAGCCCTCGAATGAACCGGCCTGGCCATTGCTGAGGTCACCTCCCGGTCGATCGGCACCTGTGGAGGGTGAAGGTTAGCAGATGATATAGACGCGGGAGAAGTTGCTGTATCATGCGACCCATCCTTACCACATGTGACAGTGTACTGTCCGTCTTGGTTTCCACTTCCGATCACCTCGCAAGATCTGCTACCGGTAGGGGTGGACTGCGGAAGAGCAGAGGCAATGCCTGCGACGGCCACGAGGCCGGCGAAGACGGAAGAGACCATCTTGTTGAGTAGTGATTGACTTGATACCTGAGAGGAGGTCCGAGCAGCGAAGCGAAGAGATCGTGAGCGAGTGAGTGATGATGATGAGAATGAGTTATCACATGGACACTGAGGCCGGTTATATATCGCTGAGTAGCATGCTCTCGAATTCCTAGCCTTGCTCAGTCTTGGAGGATATATGTCATTCGTTCTGGATCATGAAATGATCGCACGCGAGGCGTTGAGTAGTGCAGTCGCTACAGCCTCTGCACTACTCCACCAGTCAACACTATTGTCGCGACAGGCGGCGTGGACGGACTGGACCGAAATCGAGCGGAATGCTGCGGACCTCAGCCATCGTTGTCGACATGTTGGCGACTTCGATCATGAATTGGCAATGGCCTCAGGAATTGGCATGACCTGCGGGCTGAAGGGAGTATAGTGCGTTGACAAAGAGTCGAAAGTTTGCATGCCGCTCCGGGAACCACCAACGGTATGGTAGAGACAACGCCGTCGCAGAACCAGCGGGAGTACCCATGTGGTGAACCTGTCCACTGAACGAGCCGAACTGGTTCCATCTAGGCCCGCGTAGAAAGTATCGCAAGGTTGATACCAGCCCAAATTGGGAAATCGACATGGCGGACCAGTTCCTCGTGGCATTTGTGGCTTCATTACACGTTCTATTCCATATTGTTGCAACACAATTCCAGATCAACGCGCCGCAGCAGCCACTGGTGATCTGGAGCTGCGGCTCGCGGCTGAGCCACAGACGGAGGATCGTCCGCGAACGTGAGCTGAGTGTTGCCCCCAACAAGACCTGAGTCGCCCAGCACGCTGGTCAGCCCGGGTTTCGCTGTCTTATCTCTGTGATGGATGGTACGGATCGGCACCACATATGTGATAAACGCCGATACCTGAGACCCGACCTTACAAACACCGCATAATCCTGCCGGCAGGTCGGATATGCTGTTGAGCTGGATTTTTTTTTCTTTCTCAAAAGGCGCAATATGTCTCGGTTCTACAGCTCTGTTGGTCTCCTTGGCCTGTGCCTGTCCAGGGTTGACTATGCCTGGGACCTCATTTGCTCCATGGACTCCAGATTCGAATATAAACTTTACAATTATCGGTGATGAAGAATTTCATGATGCCCTTATTGTGGATACTGTGGGCACGGTAGAGAGCGTGGTGGTCATCGTTTTGGAATCGGGGTATGAGCCTTGGCACCCATTATCCAGCGCTGTCTTGCCTGACTCGACTGTTGACATGGTCTCCACGCAGCTGGACACGCTTTTCTGGCTTTGCTGGGGAAAGCTGAGTTTGATGTCGCCAAACGGGTCACCTCGAGGTCCTGCATATGCATTGTATAATCGGGGAAAGTACTTTGCGACAAACGCGTTGTCTACCCAAGTTGTCAGCTCTGGGTGGCCAATCAATGCCAAGGTATTAAAGAAGTGCGGTGGTCGTACAAGTGGGGAGACAGCCTCCTATGATGCTCACGGAAAGTTCAATGTTCGAATATAGTGCTGCCTGTGGGTTCTCCCAGGTGTAATCGTCCGAAGTCGTGACTGCATAGAGACTGTAGAAACGAATCACCGTGACAATGCATACTGCACCGCCCAATGCGAACACAACCATCAATAGATACCTTTGTCGTTTCGGTACAATCAGTCTGTTCACGACCGGAAGGGGCAGTATCGCAACAGCTACATCGGTGGCGGCCCCAAAGGCCGAGTTGAAGAACCATATGGGTACTCTCGGCAGGCAGCGACCAGGTTGGTTACGTTGCCAGAAGAAGTCGACCGGCCAGCACAGGAAAATGGTGATGAGAATTGTGAAGACGGTGTATACCAGCACGACCGTCGCAACGATCCGGGCTGAGATCTTGAAGGTGCGGATGCTGCCAAAGACTTGGATGCATTGCGATATCTGCGTGCAATCGTCAGAATTCGAGCCATATAGGTCTCACGAGCACTCGGCACATGCGTACGATCGAGAGCTTCGCCGCGGGGAGTCCAATGTGGTAGAAGATGATAGAAATCCATAGCCAACGCAGTGATTCAGTCTGTTGAAATTCGCTAAGTTCGACGAGACGGTGGCCTAGTCCGTAGTACGCTGAAGAAGCAAGGATAAGCGGAAATCCTCTTGCGATCTTCTCGTGATCCACTCACTCTCAAGTGCCTGGCATACAGTGAAACAGCACGCGCAGAGCAATGCCACAAACATGAGGACGTCATCTTGTTCGAGCTTGCGAAGTATGACCCGACGAGTATATATTCGCAGAGCCACCGCTAAGATCGCTAGCGCGGTGAAGGTGAAGATAACTGCGTATATGGCCGAAGGAGAAGCGTGGCCACTGGGGTTCATAGTGAGTATGTAGCGCGATGTTGCACCAGCAAAATTTGGCGTTGGCGTTGGCGTGCGGACGAGCTGCAACTGATGTGAACCGGAGCGGCGAGCGCAGTCAGATTATTGAAGGCTACATTGTGAGCCATTTCATTGTCAACCTATGAAGTTGAATGAAGCCGTTGGTTTCTACATTAATCCAATGTCATTGGCCGATCGATTTGTTGAGTGTGTAGTTAGGCCAAATCGAGTATTAAAGACGGCCAACCTCGTGCTAGTGGACCGTTAGGATAGGACAGCGATGGGAGAATGACGAGAGTTGGAGGATGGAGCAAGGCCCCCTAGTGATGAATGCATGAAGAACGAAGTCTGGCGGATGCATATCGGAATCTGTTAGTTCCAAGCAGATCTTTTCCGAAGATGCCATCCATGAGCACGCGCACTAGACGCAATGCCAGCTCACGGTTGAGACAGCGGGTTGCCAGCTCGCCGACGTTGTTCAATATCATGGTCAGGGGGAGGGAGGACAAAAAGGAGGAGAAAGGAGAAAGGAGGGGAACGTACCTCCTAGGAAGCCTAAGGCAAGGAAGCCTAGGAAGCGGTGCCGCCTCTGTCCGGACTGCGGTGGAGCAGGCTCTAAGGCATCTATCTATAAGGCACCCATACTTTATGCCTGAATGGATGAACCTGTTTCCTTGATTCAAGCACATCGGGGCAGTCACACCATCACAGGCATTCACGTAACGTGTGTAGTTTCGGGCTGTGTACATTACATGTACCTTTATAGCACTCCATATTATACTATATGCACCAGCCTTCCTGTGACAAGACTCCCACATTCTGCCTATACCGTGTCTTTTTATCCCGATGCCATTCCCGCGTCACTAACGACATCAGAACTATTATCACTACTACCGCCTGTCACCATGGCGTACCGCGACGGCGATTCCAGCGACGACTCGACGCTCTACTCTCGGGGCAGCAGACACCGCAGACGCCGCTCCTCTCCATCGGAACGTACCAGGCGACCACGTCGAAGCAGACGCTACGCCTCTCCGCCGCCACGCGCCGATCCAAAGGGCAGCAGTGGCGGCGGCAGCAGCAGCACGGGCACCTTCATCAAGCTCGGCCTTGGGGTCGTGTTGGTACAGATTGTGGCGACGTGCTTTAGCTCTTGGGTCAAAGACAAGCAGGAAGCGACCGAGAAAGAGTATCGTGACGAGAAGCGCCGCGCATTTGAAAAGGCCAAAGCGAAGCGACGCCGCGACGAAGAGGAGCACGAAAAGCGCCGTCAGAGAGAAGAGGATGACGACACCCGCGCGAGCGACTGGGACGAACGGGAGGTGATTATTCGAGAAGGCAGAAGACTTGCATATGCGCCTGGTGATGCGGACTCTGCGAGGGAACTCAGCGGAGACCGGGAAGTGCGCAGGATTGAGCCGGCGCCGGACGATTATTACGATGATTACGAGGATGATGACTACGAGTACAGCGACGAGGATGATGACGACTGGGACGATGTGAGACGACGAAGACGGCGACGAGCTGCCAGTGTGGCGTCGAGGAGTCAAAGTCGATTTGGTCGGAGGAAGAGTGTAACTGGAATGAGAGGTTCCAGAAGTCGGAGTCGACCTGCAGAGCGAGTAACTTGAGATACGCTCCGTAGGGGGCTCGTTCTCCGCACACGGCGTGCTCTATTGCGAAGCCGAGAATTGCCAGCAGTCCACTCAGATATTCCGAAACGACCTCCATAATGACCCCTCTCTGCTCCAGGAGAGTGAGTTATGCTCATGAAAGCACTTTGTATACTCCCATGAACGCCGACGCCGCCAAATGGCAACCAGAAGTTCATTATTGTGATGACGTTGCTTGCGCTTTGTGACTTGCCTGATTGGAACATGTGCCACGGCAGTCCTCGTTTGTACAGCAACGCAGCGAGGCATTGCTCATTCTACCTCGACTAGGACGATTAATTAGCTACATGAGTGATGGGTTCTCAATGTAGGACAGTCAACCTGAGGTGGCCAGACGTGGAAGAAAAGTGCTAAATGTACAAGTCTTTCAGTGGTAGATGTACAAAACTAAGCTCACTAACTAAGCACTGTAACATTACTTCAGTTCTGTCAATTCCTCATCCAGCATCGCCTTGAAACTGAAAGGCTCAAACGCTATCCCCTCCCCAATGAAATGTTTGCTCATGGCTTCGACCCAATGCAATCGAAGGGAGTGCAACATGGCACTGGTTCCCTCCATGACAACCAGGACCGCAATAGTGAGCGCAAACCAAAAGACGAATGCTACGAAGATGACAATCACGCCCACAGCTCCCGTGAAGCCAAATGCATTCTTCATCGTCATGGACCATAATACAATGGACAGCTGCTGGTGAGCAAGTGACAGAGCCCAGAGTCGAAGGTAGGAGGCTGTATGCGAGACACAGTTCAAGCAGAACTCGATTGTGTGGATGACCTGGTGAATCATGACTTCGCTGAACTCGAACTCTTCGTGGCCTTCGCCATGGCCGATATCTTGAGTAATGACGGCACCGTCGAGATCACTCTCTGCGAAGCTGGGACGCGCAGCATCACCGTTCGCGTAACCGGACTCGTCTTGATCGTCAAGAGCGCTGATTGCCGTGGACTCGCCGATGCCACGATAGCCCTGAGCACGAGCCTTGTTGTGCTCGTAGCGGAGGTAGAAAGGCTTCAAGAACAGCATGATCGGCACCATGGCAACAGCAAGCAGTACCAGCACGACCTGGACCCCACCTTGTCCGGAGTAGAGCTGCTCCTCAACGGTGCCAGGCGACAAGAACATGTAGATAAGCATGTTTAGCAAGTTTGGCGGTTGTTGACCAATGGCGTACCAGTCAACCACCCATTTCCAGACAATGGTGAGAACCAAATATCCAAAGATGCCTTGGAAGAATATCATACCAGGAATGAAGTTGCCCCAAATATCGATGGGCGTCTTGAAGTGGCGCGCATTGACGTAAGACAGGCACAGGGAGTATGTCATATGCGCCCAGCCCATGATGATAGACAGTTTCATCTTGTAGCTATTGCTGAAAAGAAGGTCATTGTCTGTATCGTGCCACCTCCAGTCGAGGCCGAATGGGTAGGTATAGCCCTCGACACGGTGTGCCTTAACAGTCCCACCCTTGGTGGAATTGTAGTTGTCCGGGAAGTCCCACTCCCACATACTCTTGAAGATAGGGATTTCCTTGGAGAAAGCATCGCAGTAAATCAGTCCAGTATACATAGAAAAAATTCCCATCATGAGCATGATGTATCGTCCATAGAAAGCCATGCCGAACAACTCGTCTTGTTTGCCGCGCTGAAGCGGCTTCTCGAAGTAGATCATGGCGACGGCGGCAAGGGTCATGATAGCTCCATGTCCAAAATCTCCGAACATGACAGCGAACAGGAAGGGGAACGTGACGATAGTCGGAAGACCAGGGTTGACTTCGGTGTACTTCGCAGTACCGTAGGCATCGATGATAGTTTGGAAACCGAGGGTGAATTTGTTGGTCTTGTTGTAGGTTGGAGGTGTCTTGGAGGTCCTGATCTGGTTGACGATGGTGGGCACTGAGTGACCGGCACGATCGTTGACGTCCTGCAGTGTGGACTTGATCAAACCTAGATTTGATGTTGGGGCCCATGCCTCCGCGACCAATGTTTTGCGTGCCGGATCGTAGGAGAAGGTGTTCAAGGTCTGGTAGACGCTCTTTTCCTTTTTGATGACGATCATCCAGGCAGCCAGGGAGCGCCCGATTTGCGTGAGTTCAGCATCAAGAGTCCTCTTTGTGTTTCCCAGAACGTTTCCAAGATCCTGAAGACGGCTGTTGACCTCGTGAATCTGGTCTCGGCGCAGTTCGCTGTTCTCGTCCACATTGTAGATATCAGCACCCAAGCTCTCAGAGATCTTCCTGATCTTCGCGATAATCTCCTTGCCATGCGCAAAGATGACGAACACGTTCTTGTGCACCTCTTCGTTCTTCTCTGGGTCCAATATAGCATCTGGAATCTCCGACTGGTTCATATAAAGATTGCCACGCAGGGTACGCCAGAGTATACGCTCAAAGGCGCCCATGCGCTCGCGAGGGATCACACCAGCCACGAAGCCAATATTCATCACGCTGAAGCTCTGCTGGCCGCCTTCGGCATTTCCATTGGCGTTTTCAACATCCGACAGCAACGGGGAGTCATCGGAGGAGTCAATGGACTGTCGAATCTCCTGGGTCTGTCCACGAGCGCGATCGAAGAAGCCGCCAGCCTCACGCAATACCCAACGCCACTCGGTAAGCTCGCTTTCTCGCTTCTTCAAAGTCTCATAGCTCTCGTTCAAGCTCTGTATGCGCTGCTCCAAGCTCTGGCTGCGGTCTGCCAGTTCGTCGATTTCGGCGGCCGATGGCGCGGCGAAGGTGTTGCTGAACTCGTAGATGGAGCGCATCTCGATTCCGTTCTTTTCAATCTGCGAGCGGAAGTAGGTGAGTTGTCGTTCAACATTGTCCAGCCGGCGGATCTCCTGCGTGAAGGTGCGCTGAAAGGCGGTCGTTTCGGGGTTGAGCTATGGGACTCTAGTCAGCACAATGAGCCCAACTCCAGCTCAGCAATACGACGCTTGCATACATCGCGGAACTGCATCACGCCCAGCTCTCCCAACGCTGACACAACCTCGCGCCCAATCTCGTTGGCCACATAGAGCTGCGTCAGCGTCATCTCCTGCGAGCGGAAGAGGGATTCCTGTTTGCCCGCCATCTTGACGAGTCCTCTCCGAGGGCGGCGGGAGAGGTGGCGGCGGGATTTTGATGATGGAAGGGTTCGGTGGTGGTGGTGATGGTGTTGGAGAAGTCAAGGGAAGGGGAGACCTGCACGGAGCTGTCTGTCGCCTTCGAACATGATGCAGATGCAGTCCAATAATCACGTGACGCGGTGCTCCACTTTTGTTACAGAAATAAAGGCATGTACCTTGCATGCACGTATACATGTACGCACTCGACATGTCCGACCAGACCACTCAAGACCTGCAACAGACGTCAAGCCATCAGCTTCAACAGCACAGTCAATATGAATGGAGCAAGCACAGAAGTCCATGGATCAACCGAAGCAACGGAGACATTCGTGTTCGACTGCGCAACCTCCGACAGGCGGTTGAAACGGAGCGTGCTCATGTTACACAGATCTGACCAGACCAGTTATACAGGACTCAATCCGGGCAGAGCAACATCGCACTGGGGTGGGTGAATATTGCAGCCTCTGTGGCCATGTCGAGGCTGTACTGAGCTTCTGCAGTCATCTTCTAGTTGAACTGTTGAACACGTAGTCTTCGTCACCGGAGCAGGATCATAGATGGCAATCTGGAGCACCGCTCCAAGCCAATACTCTTGAGCTCGGTGTCGGCGTTCTTCCTTCAGATAGAAGCACTATGAAAATTGAAGAGAGCATCGCTGTTGGCAGAGATACTGTTATGTCAGATGGAGGAGGTATTTTTCGAGTCCGAGCTCTCGTAAGGTTTCGACGAGCTGAGTGTGGGAGGATCAAGAAGCGTATGTCAAGACATCGCAGACCGAGTACGACAACAAGACAGCGTTACACAAGTCATCAGACCTTACTCTGGGCGTTGAGTTCGAATGTATTCTACTGCAGAACACTAGGGACTCGCCTCCACGGCCTAATTCAGTCGAAGGCGCACATCTTGGCTCGAAAATGGTATATGCTGAGCTCTCCAGGCCTGTACTCACACAAGGTCCAGATCTGTGGTGTAAAAAATACCAATATTAGCTAGCATTAATCCCGTAGATGAACGGCAAGGAAGAAACACGGCGCGATGGCCGCTGTGACGGCCGGCTTGTTTTCGAGGATATCTTCAACACTAAGATCCTCAAGGCACTGTCAAGAGAGATGCTTGAGAACATAAAATCGAATTCAGTCAGAGTTCGAAGGCGGATTCTGAGCGTAACTGGCAAGATCTGGTCTGGTCCACGCGACGACTGTGGACTCCGACCCGATTGAAGATATAGGAACGAGATCGAGGCGATCTAGGTCCGACTGTCAGAGTGCAGCAAAACCTAGGAAAAAGTAGAAGCTGGCATGGCGGCCTATATGGGAGTCAGAGTTAAATACCTTGGCAAGGCTCCTGCTAATGGACGAAATGTGGATGGGTGCATGTCGATGTGAAGACAGAAAGGAGAGAGAACATTGAAGGGCAAGACATTCAAGCCCGGTGATGACAACCTAAGGACGGAGAGATTTCGGACCCGAGGATGGACCGATGTAGAACTCAAACTACCTCTTACATATATATCTTTGAAAAAACATCGCACAATCGGCTCGAAGACCTTTGCTCCGCTGTTCTACATGTCTTCTACCAAAAGTCGACCATTCGCCGTCAAGGCAGATTCAAAAGGAAACACAGTCGACATCCAAATCGGTGAATTACCAGGCATCGTGGCCGAGAATCTGGGCTTGGCAACATGGGGAGCAGCTGTAGTCCTAGCAGACATCCTCTACCGCTGGACAGAAGAAATCCAAACCTCAATCGGCCAAGACTACAGAAAGGACCACTCGTCGCCTCTTGATCTATCCCAACACATCCCAATTCTCGAACTAGGCGCCGGGACGGGGCTAGCAGGCCTTACAGCTTCCGCTCTCTGGAATCTGCCAGCAGTGCTAACCGATCTCGAGCCTGTGATTCCGGGTATAGCTCACAACATCAGTCTAAACCCTTCCTTACAAGCATTTTCCGGCACGCTAGACTGGACGCAACCTTCGACTCTGGTGACTACTACTACGACAACAGAGCACCAGCACCAGCACCAGCCCACCATCATCTCCTCCTCCCCCTCTTCATCTTCCTCCACAAAAGCCTCCATCATCCTCGCCGCAGACACATGTTACACATCCTCGCACCCTCACCTCATCACCTCAACCGTAAAAACCTGGCTCCAGCACCACAAATCCGCTCGAGCAATTTTCTGTTACCCCTTACGGATGTCCTATCTCGACCACGCGAGAAATCTGTGGTCGGAAATGGAACGTCAGGGGTTCGTTGCCATTGAGGAAGGGCGAGAAGAAGCTCGGGAACTATGGGGAGAAATTGCTCCCGTGCCCTATGAGTGGTCGGTGTGGGGATGGAGGGACTTTCATCCGGAGGCGGTGGCGAAGGAGGAGGCGGAGAGGGATAAGGGAGAGGTAGGGTGGTTGGCTATGTGAGGGAGATTCAGGTTTGGGATGACAAACTTACTAAATCAATTCCCTCGTGGACGAGCATGCTCTGGATCTAACAATGAGCACCATGCAAAAGGTAAGACACGCGGCGAGAATCTGGATATATCAGAGAAGAGAATTCCGAGAATATCCATGTGGGAGATACAGTGTGCTACTGATTGTGCATTAAAGGGGCCCTCGTTCGCACGACAGCTTCACCATGGAAGATGATCGAGCTCGTCGGTGCAGAAGAAGCTGCGATCGGTCGTTCTTCTTGGGTCGATGGACCAAACTACTCAGTTGCCAGAGACTATTGTTGAATGATTTTTCAACCCCCCGACCAAAAATCCGAAGCCTTCGTCACATGTATACATCGCAAAAGACGAACAATCAGGGTCACAGGTAGATATTCACAAAGGAAGCCAGTGATTTCAAATTCATCATATACGACCCTGACCATACATGTCGCCCAACAACCGCTCCTCTAAATTTTACTATCGCCATATTTCGCCCTAATTCCCTTTCCTTCCGCAATTTTCTTCCTGCTGCTACCTGTACCACCCTGCTGACCCACCCCTGCATCTGCCACATCAATCACATACCACAAACTCACTGCCGTGGCTACAAGTCTCCCTTCAGGATCCCACACCTCCGCTTCAATATCAAATCTCCCATCGACACATTCCCTCGTGTGCCATCGCAACATCAACCACTTGACGCCTTCCGGAGCCAAAGGCCTCTTGACCTCAATCGTCATCGAGACCGTCGGATAATATCTCGGACTTGCCCACGCGGGATGGTCATAACTACTCAGGCCCCGGGTTTCGTTTTCCACGGCTCGAAGGGGCATGTTGAGGTTATTATGAGGGGCGTTATGGGTGTAGAAGTTTTCGATGGGAGGGACGGCATGGTCCATAACGAGGCCTAACATGGGTTGCGTCCAGGTCTCGTGGGGCAGGCGGGGGGTGAGCCATTGGGTTGTGATTCTTTTGTGCATGGGGTTGCTACTGTCTTGAAGGATGGGGGTTTGGCGTTCGATGGCGAATATGGCCTAGATTGGGAACGTGAAAGGTAAGCAAGTCGTCTTTTCGGATTATTCGGAGGAGGCTGGGAAAGCATTTCTGTTCTTCAGAGGCCATCCTAGCATCGCCCGGATAACGAGCTGCAGTGAGATGTTGCAGACCGAGACAGGCTTTCGAGCGATTTTTCGTCTCACTGACATTACACAGAGCGTGGTTAGGAGTTTTGGGATCCCGTCCCACGTCGTAGCGGATCCAGTATTTGTCTTGACCGGACAAGACCGCAGCGAAATCAATGGGTGGAGGCAGAGGGGTAAGTTGATAAGACATGGGAATGCTGATGGTATTGCGGACAGCAAGAGGGCCGCAGTTTGTAGCGTAGCAGACTGCGTTTTCAATACCTTTCTGTGACAAGCTGGCGTGTACTGTACTTGTTGCTTTCCCGATTCGAACATCGCGAATCTTGATGGTGATGGGACCCGTGGAACATGGTCGGAGGAACTCGGTATGGAGCGAGAAGGTGTTGTGCTGGTTCTGCTTTGCTAGAGTGTTGGAGAAATGAGTCTGGATGACTTTCCAGAGAATGGCAACAATGAAGCCGCCGTGAGCAGCTAGGCAGTTTGTCGATCAGCCCGGGTCAGATATAGTCATTCTCGTCAGACATGTAATATATACGTGCAAAGACACTTACATGGACCATGGCTAAATTCGACGTGGATATTCGCATCATAAGTATGGCTGTCCACAATCTTCACGACCGCGACTTCGTCGAACGTGAACAGCTCTTTACCTCGTACGCCATCGCGCCGCACAAACCGAAGTGTATCTGGAGGCATTGGAGAAGCTCGATAGCTTTCGTCGTGAACAGCTCAGGATATGATCGTGGGTGGTGATGACATGGACAGAAATGACTCGAACAAAGAACGGCAATGCCCCCTCCCCCTCCCCCTGGGTGGGCACAGAGTGAATGGCAACACTTGGAGTCAGCATGTGCGACATCCTGTCATGTTGGCGGACTGCTCCAGTACTTTCTGAGAAGAGGTAAGAGTGGCCACGGCTCACCCCGTTTAGTACTACCTTACCTACTGACACCCACATCATACATGTCGAAGTGACAAGGGAGCCACTTTTGCAGGGTTCAACTTTCACATGGGCGGCAGTTCTTGGCGAACAGTGCCTGACCTTTCCTGCAGCTTCGACCTTGCCGTCGTATTATTCCAGAGCAGTGTCAGGTTCGTGATAATATCCTGGTCTGCGCCCACAGGTCAATGCTCGCATATCCATATCTACGAGTGTGGCCTGCCAGGTGGAGTAGTGAGACCATTTTCGGTGAATTGCGGGTTTATTCCTTCGCGATCTCTGCGAGACGTTGTTGAACAGCGGAAAACGTATGGCGATATCAACACTTTCACCATTTCTGAGTAGGTACCCATTAGGTTCTGCAGATCCCGTCAGCCATCCCACGAGCGCAGCACATCCTCAATATCGAGGTTGGGAACACATTAGCAATTCAACCGAATTCTCTGTTGCCGTCCAATTACAACACATGGCCATGTCGGTAGTCGTACACCTTTTATTGGCTCGATCTGTTCACGACGCCGATGCATAACAAGGCATCAATCATGTACACGTGAGCAGGACTTTACGCCTTGCCCACCAGCTTTCCATCGCCAATCTTTTCCATTTCTCCCTCGCCGATATTTCCTGTTGTTCCACGGTCCATGCTCCTCATGTTTCCCTCCCTACTTGTCATCCTCCTTCTTCTACTCGTCGCTTTCTTCCTCTTCCTCTTCCTCCTTTGATGCAAGCAGCTTCCTCCTCTGCTCCTCTTCGTTCTCAGCCTCTGCGGCCTGGTGCTCTCTCAGCTCCCTGACGCGCTCTGCCGGGCCCGAAGAGCGACCAATGCGATCAGCAACTTGTCCACGCCCAATGAGCGAGACGACGATCGAGGCACCAACGATGAAAGTCAGCACAAAACGGTAGGTGCCGTACCACTGCGGAGCCCATCCGCTTCGGGCTGCGCGGACATCCTTGTAATACATGTAGTTGAAGACGAGAAATTGGCTAATCAGAGCATACTCGACGGGAAGGAGGATGGTTGGCCAGGCGAGAGCAGTGCCAATGACACCGATGGAGTATCGCTGCCAGCCTTGCTCGCCACCAAACTTGGCCCATTCGAGACCCCAGTGGATGGCACCGAGGAAGGAGATGATCTGCAAGTGCAGTCAGTGGGATTCAGTGCCTGAGGGTTAATCATCAGCATGCTCGCTAGCACGTACGGTAGCTCCATATCCGACTTGCAAAGGCTCGAGAATGTGGAGGAGCAGCTCGGCCGACTTCTCGTCGAGAAGGAGACCGGAGCCGACTTCGTGCGCGCGATGGACCTCGTAGGCGCAGGCGACGGTGCTCATTGAGGTGGCGACGTAGGGAAGGACACCGGCCAGACCAATGTAGAGGGCGGGTTTGGGGACTTCGGAGAGGTCGAAGGTGTCCTTGATGGTCTGGATATCGGCACTCACACCCGACATGATTTTCTGGTCCTCCTGCTGCTCCTTGACGCCGACTTCGCCAAAGACGGGATGCACCGTCGAGTCAAGGCTGACCATCTCCGGGTCGGCCTCGATGATGTGCTTGGCGAGTTCCTTCTCATGTTTGGTGTCGACGGTGTCGACTGGGTCCTTGTTAGAGGCCGCGGCTCCACGCGCGAATTGCAGGGCCAATGGCTTCATAGACGCCGCGGCGAGCGGCCTCCTCGTGAGCGTGCATAGCTGCGAGGTGAATTGGGATTGTAGCCGACCGTTGACGGTGCGAAGGGCCGGCTGGGATGGGACGGCGGCGTGGGTACGGGCATGGGCATGGGCATGGGCATGGAGGGAACGGAAGAGGGTGCGCGACGCGCCGTTGCGGAACATGGCGATGAGCCTTGAGGGGAAAGTAAGATGGGAGAACACAGAGGAGGAGTGGAGCGGAGTGGAGTGGAGGGGGACAGTGAGGTACAATACCTAGTCAAGGAACAGCAGTGGTGGTGGTGGTGGTGATAGTACCAGTGGTGGTGGTGGTGAGCAGTTAGCAGCACCTATGAGCTGAGCCTTGAGGTTGAGCTTGGGCGAAGCTTGGCTTGGATGAGCTTGAGTGAGGAACTGGAAGCTGGTGCATGCACGGTGACGTCATCTTTCACGATGTGACGAGGAATTGGATCTAGTGGGACATCGCGTGTGCGTGCCTTCCTGCGTGGGCGTGGAAAGCGTGCATGCAGACACTACAGTAGGAAGGAAGTATCGATGATTGATCCTTCCTCGACAGACGCTGCCATCCACTCCTTTGTGCCACTAGCAACTGCCTGCCTGCCTGACCTATATACCTTGAACTAGTCCTCCGCCACCTGTCTCTCCCTCTCGCCCCGCGACCTACGCGTCGCACTGCAGAAATTCCACCGGAGCCCACCGAGCGCGCTGCATTGCATCACCATCACGACCATTCCCATCCTACATACCTGTACTGACCTCGTGTTGCCTTGCACTCTGCCTCACTTGGCCTGACATCGTCTGCAACACGACAGCATACAGTACCTAGATGTACCTGCTACTATGAGTAACGACACGTGACGGCCGACATCCATCTCCCCCGACTGCACCCACGACCACTCTTCGAACCGTCCACACCCAGACAGTAAGACAGCCAGCGGCAGGGAAAGAGAACCGCCGCCGCCGCCATGGCTCTCTCGAGCCTGGTCGCCAACCTGCTCAACAGGTTCTTGGGCATGTACGTCAAGAACTTCGATCCCAAGCAGGTCAATGTGGGCATCTGGTCCGGCGACGTCAAGCTCACCGACCTGGAGCTAAAACGGGAAGCCCTTGACCACCTCCACCTGCCTTTGAATGTGATCGAAGGACATATCAGCTCGCTGACCTTGAAGATTCCCTGGTCGAATCTTCGGGGCCAGCCTGTCCGCATCAGTGTCGAAGATGTCTTCCTGCTCGCTGCGCCGAAAGAGGACCAGGAATACAATGCAGACGAGGAGGCGAAGCGAGCACATGCTGTCAAGATGGAGAAGCTGGACAGCGCCGAACTTCTGAGGGAGCGCAACACTGAGGGCATGTCTCAAGAGGAGCAACAGAAGCAGCAGTCCTTCACCGCCGCTTTGACCACTACCATTGTCGACAATGTGCAGATTCAGGTCCAGAATGTCCACATTCGCTATGAGGATGCTTTGTCAGATCCAGGACATCCTTTCGCCGCGGGCCTCACTCTGCAAGAGCTGAGTGCCGTTTCCACCGATGAAAATTGGAAGCCCACGTGGGTGGCGGGCACGAGCACTACAACACACAAGCTTGCCACTCTGGGCTCGCTTGCAGTGTACTGGGATACGGACGCGAAGTTGTTGGGAACAGGCACGGGCGAAAAGCAAGATCTGGACCATGCTGCGACAATGGACAAGTTCCGCCAAATGATTGTCAAGAGCGGCGATACTGAGGCGATCAAGGATCATCAGTTCATCCTGAAGCCTGTTTCTGGTCGTGCTGGCTTGGAAATGGACAAGACTGGCAAATTCGATCGTCCGAAAATGAAGGCTCGGCTCCTGTTTAATGAGCTTGGCTTCCTCATCGACGACACTCAATATCGAGATGCACTGATGCTGGTAGACTTATTCCATTACTTCATTCGTCATCAAGAATATAAGAAATTGCAACCAAAGACGACTCCCAAGGAAGACCCACGTTCCTGGCTGCAGTTCGCTGGAAAGGCTGTACTCGATCGTATACATGACAAGAACAAGCGCTGGTCATGGGCGTACTTTGCAGAAAGACGAGATGACCGCAAGCGATATATCATACTGTTCAAAAAGAAGAAACGAGAGGAAAAGCTCACTCCCGAAGAAGTTGCCGACCTGGATCGGCTCGAGCACAAGCTGACGTACGAAGACCTTCGCTTCTGGCGCTCTCTCGCTCGCAACGAGTTACGCAAAGAAGGTTACAAAAAACCGCAACAGCAGACCTCAACGTGGTCATCATGGATCTGGGGTGGCGGCAAGAGCCAACAGCAGGCTCAGGCCTCAGATGATAGTCATATGAGCGAAGAACAGCGGAGAGAGCTGTACCAGGCGATCGACTTCGAAGAGAAGCAGAGTATTGCGCAAGCCGTCGATGCGCCACGCGAGGCAGTCAAGATGCAGGTCGATATGAGTCTCAAAACAGGGAGCTTCACACTGCGGAGAGACCCTCACGGCAAGAAACAAGATATGCTGAGATTACTCTTCGACGACTTCAGCACAGAGTTCATACAACGGACGGACTCGACCCTCGTCGATCTGAGCCTTGGCGGCATGCACCTTTTCGATGGTTCGACGCAGGGCAATCTCTTTGAACAGATGCTGACTGTCAAGGACGCCCCTAGCATTCCTGACAGCGAGCGTGTCAAGGACGTCGATGATGACGGCGAAGACAGATTCGACGATGCGAAAACCGACCAGGAAGATGACGGCGATGAAGGGTCTGATCCATTCTTCGCTTTACAGTTCGAAAACAACCCACTTGACAATCGTGCCGACACAGCCCTGACGGTCAAGCTCAAGGCTCTCGAGATTGTATACAATCCCAACTTTGTGGTTCAGGTCACCAAATTCTTCAAGCCGCCCGAAAAGCACATGGAATCTATTGGCGCACTGATGGAGAGCGCCGGCTCGACAGTGGAAGGCCTTCGACAACAGACGAGAGCAGGCCTAGAATTCGCGCTCCAGGAGCATAAGACAGTAGATGTCCAGCTGGATCTACAAGCTCCCCTCATTATCGTCCCTGACACGGTGACCGAGACCAGCAAGATATGTCTAATCGTGGACGCCGGTCACATTGGTGTTCGCAGTGATTTGATTGGAAAAGACACGCTACATGACATTCAAAGCAAGCAGAAACAACAGTATTCGGACCAAGATTACCAGAAGCTGGAATCCCTCATGTACGACAAGTTCAATGTGAAACTGCATTCGACTCAAGTTCTCCTGGGAACCACTATCGAAGATACCAAGAAGCAGCTCGAGCACAACGCCCCTTCGCAAAGCTTCCATCTCATTGATAGAATCAATATGGACTTCCGTATTGACACCTGCATCGTGCCTAAGGCTTCAGATTTGACCAAGTTCCGCATTAATGGCCACCTCCCACTTCTACATGCTAAATTCTCAGACGCCAAGTACAAGTCGCTCATGAAACTTCTCGACTTTGCGATACCGAAGTTCGATCAGGAAGAACCTCATCAGACACCAGCGGAGCAAAAGCATCTCTCGCCGGATGCTGGGCATCACGACAAGCAGTTGCGTAGAAAGAGTGATGCTGTCCGAGCCAATCGAAGATCGGTGCAAATTGGCCAGGACGACCTGGCAAACGAGATTGAGAAAGGCACTGAGGCGAAGGAGCGCGATATCGAACGCAGCGGCAGTGCCGCAACCAAGAAGCAACAAGAGGCCAATCCGAACCAACGCAACTTTGAGTTCCAGTTCACTGTCGACAAGCTGCAAGCATCCTTGTACAAGGCCGATCTACAAGGCAAAAAAGATGATCAATTGCTCGTTGAGTTAATTGCCGAGACCTTTCACCTAGAATTCTACCAACGCCCCTTCGACATGGTGGCCGACGTGAAGCTCAGTTCGCTTATGGTGGAGGATCATGTAGAAGCATCGGCAACCGAGGAGTTCAAGAATCTGATTTCGAGTGAAGATCTGGTGACCAAGAAGAAGCAGGATCTCCTCACCATTCATTTCCAGATGGTGAACAAGCATCACCCGGACTTCGAGAGCAAGTATGAAGGCATCAAGACGAACCTTGACGCGTCCGTGTCTACCATCAACTTGATGGTCACGCGCAAGACGCTGCTGACGCTGCTCGATTTTGCCATGACCACTTTCGTTCCGCCTCCCAGTGAAAATACGGACTCGCCCGGAAAAATCGCAGACAGCGATAGCGACGATGAAGAGGAGTTGGCCGACCAGTCCAAGCAAGACAATGGCGACAAGATTCGAATCAGAGCCAAGCTGAATCGCATCGCTGTCATACTGAACAATGATGGCATTCGTCTAGCTACACTCAGTCTGACTTCTGCCGACGCCAACATTTTCCTTGCAGATGGTGCCATGAATGTGGAGGGTCGACTGGGTGCACTCGATCTAATTGACGACATTAACACTGGTGCTACCGAAAGTTCTGCACTCCAGAAGCTGATCGAGATCCAAGGCGACGATCTACTGGACTTTCGATACCAGACTTTCAATCCCCATGCTCAGGACTATCCTGGGTACGACAATACTGTCTATTTGCGTTCCGGTTCGATCAAGATCAATTTCCTCACTGAGCCCCTGCGGAAAATTATGGAGTTTGGTGTTAAATTCGGCAAGATGCAAGCCATCTTTAACGCGGCTCGTCAGGCGGCAGCGAATCAGGCAAACAGAGTCCAGGAATCTGCTGGTAAAATGCACTTTGACGTACTCATCAAGACACCCATCGTGAGCTTTCCACGCATGATTATCGCGGACAGTGCAGAACGAGACACGGTCACTGCATACCTAGGAGAAATCTATGCGAACAACAAGTTCGTGTCCCTGGGAGGAGAGGATGGCGGTGCCACGGCGAACAAATTGTCTGCTGGTATACACAATATTCGTCTCACGTCCACATTCCACTATACCGAAAACCAATCGGAAGAATTGGAAATGATTGACAAGGTCAATCTGGACTTCAACATAACGCAAACCGAGCACAAAAGTGGCCGCGACCGACCAGATACGGAGATTGAAGGCTCCATGTCTAACATCAACTTGCGTTTGACGGAAGGTCAAATGAAGTTTCTCATGGAGTTGTCTCGCAATATTCCTCAAGCTTTTGCACTTGAAGACAGCGAGACTCTTTCAGAAGAAGCTGAAGAAGAACTTCCTGCGCACGTGGTCGAGCCAGCTCACGCTGTGCAGCCAGCGGACCAGAAGAAGACTCCAATCAGTGATGTGCAGCGCAAACCATCGCGACAGTCGCCTGAACTGGGCACGGATGGAGACTCGTGGACTAAGCTTGATTTCGTCTTCAAGATTGGTGCTATTGGTCTCGAGCTTCTGCAGGGCGCACCTGGCAGTCCTGTCGGGGATATAGAGGCCGCCAGTCTTTCCAAATTCTCTCTAAACGAAGCAAGCGTGAAGCTTCGCATGATCAGTGATGGCGCACTTGAAAGCGAACTTGTCGTGCAGTCATTCACAATCACCGACACCCGGCAACAGGAGAAAACCAAGTTCCGCAAAATCATGTCCCTCATTAATAATGATGTCAAGCAGCAATTCATGGCTAGCGTTTCAATTTCAGGTGGCGAGGAGAAAAACCTCATTGCACTGCTCACCGTCGACAGCCCTCGAATCGTCCTCGCGCTGGACTACATTTTTGCTGTCCTCAATTTCGTGCAAACCGGCCTGAAGCAGGATGAACCATTGGCCGTGGAAGATGACAACGAGGGGGCAGAGGAGCCAATGAGCCCGGATGATGCCAGCATCTCCACACAAGAGATCGTTCAACGCAAAGATGCCCAGGCCGATGATGCGCCACAGCAACAACAAGCGGCTGGCATGACCATTTCCTTCCGCGTCAATATGGTTGATGCACAAGTCATGCTCATCGCAAATCCCGCTATCAGCAACTCAGAGGCTATTGTGCTTGGAACCAAACAGGTTTTGGTATCTCAACAGCATGCTATGACTTTGCAAGTCGAGAAGGTGGGCATGTTCTTGTGTCGTATGGACCAGTTCGAAACTACCAGATTGCGCATTCTGGATGACTTCAGTATACAGACCTCTCTGGACATGCGCTCACAAAGCGCAGACTCCTCGCTCACAAGCATTGCAGTTGATATCGAGCCTCTGGTGCTTCGTCTCTCGCTCCGTGATATCATGCTCGCCATGCAGATCGTGAACCGTGCCTCAGCGATGAACGCAGGTGGTGATCAAAAGATGTCTGATGAGGAACCTAAAAAGCTGCAGGAAGTAAAGAAACAGTCTGCCAAATCAAAGAAGGGCGCGATATCTACCAAGCATACTGCTGCGTCAATGTCGAGAATGCGATCTCAGAGCATCAGTACCAAGAAGACAGGTGCCAAGCAAGACGGGCAAACGTCGCCTGCTCTGGGATCGGCAGTTCTCAAGCGCGAAGAAATGAAGGTCTCCATGGACGGCATCCGCGTCGTGTTGATTGGTGATTTACACGAATTGCCGATTTTGGACTGGAGCGTGAAGAGGTTCTCCATTGACGTGGGGGACTGGACAGCGAACCTCACCGCCGATACTCAAATCGATACCTTCTTCAATGTGTACAACTTTTCTAAATCGGCATGGGAGCCATTGATCGAGCCTTGGCAGGTCGGCTTCCACATGGCAAAGGAGACCAGTCCTGACAAGCTGGCCGTTGAGTTGTATTCGCGCAAAAGCATGGAGCTGACAATCACGAGCGCCACAATTGCACTGGCAAGCAAGTCTGCTCAATTCCTTAGCAGCGATGAAGACGTTCTTTCGAAGCCACGCGGCAATAACGCCCCATACAAAATCCGCAATTGGACGGGTTTTGACGCCGACGTTTGGGCCAGCTCGGAGCAATCTGGCGACGACGAAGGCCAGGCTACGAAGCTCGCAGATGGCGAAGAGCACCCTTGGCGATTCGAAGACCCTTCTACCACTCGTGAAACGCTCAGTCCCGAAGGCCAGACCGGTGTCATTGGTGTGCGGCTCGAGGGCAGTGGCTTTGACAGCGTTGACCGCATCCAAGTCAATCGCGAGGGCGAAGAATTGTACAATCTCAAGCCGAGAAAGGATAAAATCCAGCACCGCATGCTTGTTGAGGTCAGACTTGGTACGGACAATGTCAAGTATATCACGCTGCGAAGCCCAATGCTGGTAGAAAACCATACACAAATCCCCGTCGAATTGGGTGTATTTTCACCAGAAGAGGGACATCTGCTAAAGATTGAGAAGATTGCGCCTGGAGAGTCCCGGCCATCTCCCGTTGGCGCAGCATTTATGCACTCTCTTGTCGTCCGGCCTGATCAAGGCTTTGGTTACACTTGGTCCAATGAGCAGCTGTTCTGGAAGGACTTGCTCAAACGTCCCGTGAGAACAATGACTTGTCGAGGCGAGTCTGATGACAGCAGTCCACCGTTCTACTTCCAGATGCAGGCAGTCTTCGACAAGAATAATCCTCTCACGTCAGTGTATCCCTACATGCGCCTCCGACTGTCAGCACCAATCGAAGTACAGAACTTACTGCCATTCGATTTCAAGTATCGCATCTACGACAAGAACACCAAGAAGGACTGGACGAACTTCCTGCGCAAGGGCGGTGTGTCGCCTGTGCACGTCGTGGAGCTGTCACACCTCTTGCTCCTGAGTATCGACATGCAGGATACGCCTTTTAAGGCGAGTGAATTTGCAATCATCAACACCAGTGATAAGAATGACTTTCAACGCGAGAAGACGCTCACGGTGAAGGACAACAACAACCTTGACTTGAGGCTCAAGATTCATTACTACAATGTACCGGACAGTGGTGGCGCTTTCAAGATTACGATTTACAGCCCGTATGTTGTACTCAACAGGACGGGCCTGGAGCTGGACATCAGAAGCAAAGCATACTTTGGAGCGACGAGTCGTGCCGCTGGCCAGGCTACCTTCGCAAATACGGAAAATGATGCGAGGACAGCGAAGCCATTCATGTTTTCTTTCCCTACAGATGATCGCAAGAGCCGTGCTGTGATCAAAGTTGGGAATTCTACTTGGAGTGGACCGGTCAGTTTTGACGCGATCGGTGCGAACGTCGATGTCAAGCTGGGCGCAGAATCTGGTCGAGCGGAGATGCATTGTGGAATCACCGTCTCCGAAGGCGAGGGCAAGTACAAGCTCACCAAAGTTGTCAGCGTCACGCCACGATTCATCGTAAAGAACAAGTTGAGGGAGGCTATTCAGATCCGCGAACCTGGATCGAGCGAAGCGACCACACTGCAAGCCGGAGAGCTGCATCCGCTCAGGTTCTTGAAGCAGGCTACGGGGCAACAGCTCAGCTTGTGCTTTCCTGGAGTTAACAACTCGTGGTCGTCTCCTTTCGACATTGCGAACGTCGGCTCTGTGCATGTGAAGCTTGCTAAGGCAGGTGAGAGGCAGCGATTGGTTCGTGTCGAGGTGCTTATGGAAAATGCTACAATTTACCTGCATCTCAGTCTAGAGACGAAGCATTGGCCATTCTCTATGCGAAATGAGTCGGATCAGGAATTTCTCTTCTGGCAAGCCAACCCGAATGTGGACGAAGACGAAGAAGATAGGACTTCTGGCTGGAAGCCGATTCGGTATAGACTGCCAGGCCGAAGCATCATGCCATACGCCTGGGACTACCCGTCGACGAAGAACAAAAATCTTATCATCAGCGCCAATGGAAAGGAGAGGCACATCAAGCTTGCTGAGATTGGTAACCTGATCCCTATGCGCATTCCCGCCAAGGGACAGTCAGGCCAAAAGATTGTCGATCTCAATGTCATTGCAGATGGGCCCACGCAGACATTGGTCATGAGCAACTACAAGCCACATATGAGTTTGTACAAGCAGAAGTCGGCCAATGCGAGCCAGAGCACTACTGCAGGGTTCGAGGTCAAGGAACAAGATACGGACGTCAAGATGCGTGCAACGCTACGCTTTGCCGGTATTGGCATCTCACTGGTCAATTCACAACTCCGAGAGCTGGTCTATGCTACCTGGCGAGACATTGAGTTGAAGTACACAGACTCGGAGCTGTATCAAACTGTGAGCCTTACGATCAAGTGGATCCAGATCGACAATCAACTGTACGGCGGCATCTTTCCTCTTATCTTCTACCCTTCTGTTGTCCCGAAGACTGGAAAGGAAATGGAGAGCCATCCCATCTTCCGCACTGCGGTCACCAAAGTCAAGGATGATTCATATGGTGTGCTGTACATCAAATACTTCACGTTTTTGATGCAACAGATGACGATTGAGATTGACGAGGACTTTATTTTCGCATTACTTGATTTCACCAAAGTTCCTGGCGCGAGCTGGACAGAGGAGAAAGAAGGACAACTTGCACCTGAGAGTCTTGAAGTGCCCGAGCCGACCCAGACGGAGAGCGGACAGGACATTTACTTCGAACTGCTGCATCTGCAGCCCATGCAGTTCGATTTATCTTTCGTTCGAACGGAGAGAATCAACGCCGAGGACACCGGAAGCAGCTCAAGCAATCCTTTCATGTTTGCCGTAAACGTTTTGACGATGAGTATTGGAAACGTGAATGACGCGCCCATCAGGTACAACGCCCTCATGCTAGAGAATGCGAGGTTGAGTACAGGCGCTCTCATAAGCAGCATTCAGAGCCACTACGTTCAGGAGTCTTTGCGACAGGTCCACATAGTCATTGGATCCGCCGATTTCCTCGGCAATCCTGTGGGTCTTTTTACAAACATTGCATCTGGTGTTGGAGACATCTTCTACGAGCCATACCAAGGGCTCGTCACCGATCGCCCGCAGGATCTCGGCGTTGGAATTGCAAAGGGCGCTAGTAGCTTTGTCAAGAAAAGCGTGTTTGGTATCTCCGACAGTGTGAGCAAATTTACGGGATCCATCTCCAAAGGTCTGGCAGCTGCAAGTATGGACAAGGAGTTTCAGGATTCGAGACGTATGTCCCGAGCCAGAAATCGGCCGAAGCACGCGCTCTACGGTATCACGTCTGGTGGTAATGCTTTCGCGAGCAGCCTGGCAAGCGGTATTGGCGGACTGGCAAGACAGCCCTTGCAAGGTGCTGAACGCGAAGGCGCCGCTGGTTTCGTGAAGGGCGTGGGCAAAGGTCTGCTTGGTCTGCCGACGAAGGCACTGATCGGAGGCTTCGATCTTGCGTCTTCCATGGCCGAGGGTGTGAGAAACACGACTACGGTATTCGACCAAGAAGGACTGGATCGTGTTCGACTAGCAAGATTCATCGGAACTGATGGCATCGTTCGCCCCTACAGTCAGCGAGAAGCCTTGGGACAGTTCTGGCTCAAGACTCTGGACAACGGGAAGTATTTCAATGAAAGCTACATTGCTCACTTGGAGTTGAATTCGGGCAGTCAAGGCGATCGATCGGGGGCCATGTCACCTACCAGCCCGCGAAGTCCTACGCAGACGTCGGAAGCGAGCATGTTGGTCATGATCACCTACAATGCCATTATGCTGGTTCGAGCTAAGAAGTTGACCTCTGAATGGGAGGTCCCGTTGAAGGACATTCAGACCATTTCGAAGGAGAGGACGGGAATGAGCATCATATTGAAGGGTGGGACGAATGGGCCTTTTATTCCTATTGCTGATGAACAGAGTCGGAATTGGTTGTATCGGCAGGTTGCGATTGCGGTGAATGCCTATAATGATCGATGGAATGCCAAGGGGTAACGGAAGACGGAAGATGGGAGCACAGGACGATCAGACGAGGGAGAGCAGCACCTGATGTGACACCTCAGATTCTTTTATCGCGAGACCTACGATGGCATGTCCTACTATCACCTCGACACAGTACCCAGATCAATACTACCTACCATATTTTAATGAAAGTGATTTGATGGAGACAATGGCGTTTGCGACGGACCGAGAAACGATACAACATGGTTGCTCCTCTTCGCCAGCGCCAACATCCATCTTTGCGTGTTCATGGTTGCACTCCAAGACACATGACCATACACCGAATTTAGTATACCTCTTCTTGTGACGACATACCTCCTACATGTACATGTCGTTCGGGAACCATTCTTACCTACAGCCTTCGATCTCCGATAACAACCACTTACGTACATGTGTACGTCAAGAAGCAGGTCCGAATCCATCTTTGCATCGATCGTGCCAGCCTCTCAGCCTCTCCCGTCTCTCTCTCTCTCTGAATGTGTACCTACTACCTCCTAGCCTCTGATGAGAGTTCGCGTCCAGCCTTCAGCCCACCACACCCACCACATGCACACATAGGTACAGACAGACAGTGTACACAAATCTTATAAGCGCCGCAGTGGAGTCGTGAATTCGTCATGGTACATACCCTACAGCTGGCTGCTGGAATCAGTAGGTCAGGTACACCGTACAGGTACATGTTCTCAAAAATCAAACAATAATGGCTCATACACATGTGCACCTAGTGCTGACACTGCCGTGTATGTGTGTGTGTGTCTACCAAGACTACCATCATCATCATCACCACCATCACGTGGGCAACAATGATTACGGTAATTATATGGCGCAACAACACCACATGCCGATGCTGATACTAATGCTAAATGCTGATGCTGACTCGCGGGCTTGTATTACCTGAGGTATAGGTATAACTCGTATCTGTCAACGTACCTCCTAGTGTATCTGTCAGCCCCAGCGGGCCCAGCCCCAGCCCCAGTCCAGCCCCAGAGCCTATCGATAATCGGGACTTCCCATCTCCCGTCCCTCTTTCTTCCAAGCGCACAAAGCGCAACTGATTACTCGATTGGTCAATCTTCTTTAAGGTTTCCAGCTAACGATCAAGCTAAGCAATTATTGGTGGATTTGTTTCGGCAATGCGAGGGAGAGGGAGTTTTTTTTACCGGCAAGTCTCACTTCATGCGATGGATATCTCTCGGCGAATCGCTATCGACGAATGGGTTGGTGGTGTATCATGATGATGCTGGTGGGATAGGATGCATAAAAGATGTGTGAGAGGTTTTTTTTTTGGTGCGAGAGAGCTTGGGAAGTCGGCATACCCGTATAGGTACCTACATGTACCTTACTGTAGTAATACAGAGCCGAGGGTAAAGGGTAAATACGGAATACTACCTCAAGTACCTACCTACCTTGCCTACTTCCTAGGTGTGTTTGGTGAACCAATGAGAAGCTGTGCAGTGGCAGCACTTCAGTTCGGCGGCAATGCTGTCGTGAGATTCATTCACATCTTGGCTGAAGAGGTCTACGACTTCCTACTGTAGTAATCACTAGTCAGCCTGGAAGTGGTAGACATTCTTCCTCCATGTTGCTGGCCCAGGCCCAAGCCAGTTTTCATCTGGAATTGCACGCACTTCTTGTTACAGCTGTGCATAATGGCAGAATGGCATGATCAGATCTTGCATGGTCCACGCTCTAGACCCAGGGTCAAGAGCGAGCTTCCGAAGCTTGCTGCTCGATCATGTCGACAGCGGATCCCATCGAGATGTATCATGTCGCGCTCGCGCTCGTTCTCATCTCTCGCCCCGGGGTGGCGCACACATCGTATACAAGCCAGCACGAGGAGGGTTTGGTTCAAAGCAGGTAGTGTTTGTTTGCTCTTGTCCACCTCTGCACGACCTTACTCAGCTTCTCGGTCTGGTTCATCCGCCTCGGTCTGACCGAGTGGTACAGAACGAAGACTACTACGTCAGGTTGTAAGGTGACGCAAGGCATGCATGCAAGCAACGAACCGCTCAGGACCATTACAAGAACGATGGCGGTGGTAGCGCCAGACAAAGACGGTGTACCTGCGCCGCCATCATGTTCGGCCGATCAAGTTACAGCAGCATCCAGCTAGGAGGGTAGCTTTAGGTCAGTTCGTGGCAAAATGAGAGAGAGAGAGTTGCTGCACCGCGCCCCGGCTGTGACCTGCTTTTTCGGAAGTATTAGGAAAGCAGAGATGGACAGCAGCAGCAGACCAGCAGCACGTCACGTCTTGGTCGTCGTCGCACGTGTCCAATGGTCCTCCGTTACACACGTCTGTCTCTTCGGCTATTGTAGGAGAGTAGTTAGTGGTACTGGGGAGCACAGAGTACAGTAGTAGGCGAGCTGTACGAGGATAGACTCCGTTATAGGCATTAGACACCCTGCAGCCTGCAGAGTAGTGGGAAGGGTGGTTGGATCGTAGGTACATGTTGCATCGAATCGGAAAGCTTCTCGCGCGCATCATGATTATTTGTGGCAAGTGGACCTGGTCTGTAGTGGTGGAGGGTCGACAGCCAGCGGGGCGCTTGAGGGAGAAGGGCAGGGCAGAGCAGGGCAAGGCAGGTCGAAGGTTCAGGCGTACATAGACTCACATAGAGTACATATGCACGGTGAAGAGAGCGAGAGAGGTAATAATAACGTGCGAGGCGGTCGGCATGCACGTGATGACCAGGCACGACATCCAATGTATCCATGATATGCAAATGTACCTCTAGATCGACCTGTAGGAGGCACAGGCTTACATGTTACAGCGTAGTTTGTGAATAGTAGACCCCGCTCCACGCCAAGGTTGGCAGTGCGAACAGTCAATCGCTCGTTCGCTCGCTCGCTCGCTCGTTCTAGGTAGCTGTAGTCCTCGCGGGCAGGGGCGCAAATCGTGTCCGCCGTCAGAGGTTGATCACTCTCGTGGGCACTGGAGTCTAGGTGGTGGCTTCCAAGTTCCATTCGGGGCGGTGCCTCAGGACAACCAACCTCCGCCTCCGCCATACCTCCTACCTGTAACCTGAGTAATATCTCCTACCTCCTAGTGTCGGGGGTGAATAATGTACATACACCTCTCACCAGAGTCTGGCGGCGGGATGGTGACGAGCTGCGTGCACGCGGCGTGCGGATGATGCCAAGGGCAAGCGCAGTATCTCCCTAGTGTCGACGAATCGGCGACTCGCTCATGCACGCGGAAGGCTGGTACACCAATAACATCCCATGTCCCCACCCTCTCGTGCAGCCTCACCGCCTTCGTCTTCGACTTGGTGCCACGCCCGCCGGGCTGCGGGTACGCAAACCAGTCTCGCCCATCGCGGGCCCTCGTGAGCAACCAGCAGCCAAAGCAGCCAGCAGCACCTCGCTTTCGCCTGCTGCTCGTCTCGCTCAAGTTAGAGTGCTCTGGTGTGCCGACGCCGTTGCTCCCACCATCCGCAACCAACACAGTTCGCCCGGCGGTGAGCACAACTTCGCTCTCAGACTCGACCAGGCCTCCCCATCACCACGCGCTGGCCCCAGCACCAGAGCAGCGCGCCGTCAACATGGACGACTTCGCAGCTTACACTACCCATGATCTCCCCTTCGATTTTGGCGGCCAGCAACACCTAGCACCCGCCCACGATCCTCGACCGCACACCTATCCGCCGCCCTTTGGTCAGCAGAACTCGCAGAATTCACACGCGTGGCCGCTACAACACCAGCACCACATTGGACAGCAGCGATTTGAGCAGGAAGTCGTGATGCAGCAGCAGTTGCAGCAGCACCACCAACAACAGCAGCAGCAACAGCAGCAGCAGCAGCAGCAGCAATACCAATACCAACAGCAGCAAAGCCAACTTCAGGCCCATCAACAGGCTCAATATCACCAGCAGCAACAGCACCAGCAACAACAGCACTACATGGCTTCCCAGTCGAGTCAAGACGAAGACGCGAAACCGCAACAGTTGAGTCGGCCGAACAGCAATCAGAGTAATCAGCCAATCAGCCTGAATCCCAATGGCCTCGACATGGACTACTCCGCCATGCTGTCTACTACAAACTGGCAGTATCACTTCCAGCAAGCCGCCGCCGCCCAGCAGCAGCAGCAACAACAGCAGCAGCAGCAGCAACAACAACAACAACAACAACAACACTTCGTCGCACCAAATGCGCAGGCTTTCGATAATATGAACAGCTATCACGCGGCGTCGTTTGGCACACAGTTGCAGGCGTCGCCAGTCGACTTCATGCCTACGACCACTGTCGGAGGTTATGCCGTTTCTGCCGCCATGGACCAAACGAATTACATGACCATGGCGGGTCCCATGGATTCCATGAATTCTCTCGTTTTCCCGCTCGAAGACTACTCCGCCGGCCTGGTCTTTCCAATGTCCTTGAACCAGGCCGCTCTGCAAGAGCACACCCAGCTTACACAACCCGCATCCGACTCAATACACTCCAGTATTCCTGGCAGCTCGCCCACCGGTACGATTCTCGAAGTTCAGTCATTGTCGGATAATGAAGGATGGTCGATGGTCAATTACAACAGCCATCGCGCCTCGCTCGACTCTTTCGGTACCGTGTCCAATCCCAGTCAGAACCTCCATATTCGCACCAGCTCAGACTCATCGGCCTCGGACGGCCCGCATTCCGCCGAGTTATCGGGCAGTTATGAGGAGATTCCACCTTGGCCATTGCATTCGCCACACGATCTTCACGGCGAAGGATATCTCGATGCCCAGTATGCTGCCTACCAGCAACATACTCACCAGCAACATGCTCACAGTATGGGGATGCATCCACATAGCTCGCCGCCGGCATCCGCTGTCGCGTCAGCCGCCGTCAGCCCCCAAAATGGTGTGGTATCGTATCATTCGTCTGGATCATCGTCGACATCACCCGCTTCATCGGGTCCAGTATCGCCACCGCTTCGACGCCGAAAGTCACCAGTCGAGGCCAAGACCACGAAAGCTGTCATCAAGAAGACCACGCCTCCTGCGACACGTCGCGATGCTTCTGGCGAGAAGAAGGTCGGACGTCGACGAGGTCCTCTTCGTCCTGATCAACGCCAGCAGGCCCACGAGATCCGAAAGTTGCGTGCATGTTTACGATGCAAGTTCTTGAAGAAGACTTGCGACAAAGGTGAGCCATGTGGTGGATGCCGACCAAGCCATGCTAGGTTGTGGCAAGTGCCATGCACTCGCATGGACATCAAGGACATCGGCTACTTCATGAAAGATTGGAAAGCAGATTACGATCGCCAAGTCTCACTCGGCTTCAGCGCTGGCAACGTCAAGGGCTACAGCTCGTACGAGCGTGTGTTGTACATCACACACGGCTATGGCCACTACTTGCCCATCAATGCTCGTGAGGTCTATGTCAACGATGATCAGTGTTTCGGCATGGATTGGGTCGAGACCGCACTCGGCCAAGGTCCTGAAGGGTTTGAGATCTCCACTGCGAAGCTCACTGCTGGCATGGAAGGCGTGAGTACTTCCATGTTGTCAGAGTACCTTGACCGGCACCTGGACGAGGGCTTCGAAGCATTTGTCGGCGAGTATTTCGAGGGCACAAAGTTCTTGTCGGAGATCCTGATTACATGCTACCACTATTACCTCAAAGAGAAGACGCCTTCAATACGAAAGGCACTCAAGCTGGTCCTTGCATATAACCTCACGTTACATGTGACAATGGTCACTGGTCTCTCGGAGGAGGAACAGTTCACCGGCAAGATCCGGGATGAGAAGTCCCGGTTTTATGGACAGACCATGGCACCCGTCATGATCAATTTCCAGGTGAAGTGCGCGCTGGCTGATATGTGGCGCGAATTGCAAAAGGACATCTTGGAGGAGCTCTCGGCTCTGTACTCCTCTGTTTACTCGGGCGAGAAGCTCAAAAATTGGCCGACGATCTTTATGCTCGCCACCATTCTGTTGGCAATCTGGGAGTGGATGCAGTTTGACTGCCATTACCGCGTGCCAGATGAAAAGGCAGTGCACAAGTTCTGCGACGACATGGAGACCACGCCTGTCGGCGTCATCGTGGGTCTCTTCTCGGCCATCTCCACGAAGTTGCCTGGCCTGCAAGAGTGGGATACCAAGAAGCACCACCAACTCCTTGGATCTAACCCTGCTGTGTGCGATGCTTTGACCGAAGTACGAGGCCACATCAACAAACACGGTAAGCTTGTTCTTCATCGACATGCGCGCTTGACAAAGTACTGACTTTTACTGCAGAAAAGTATTTGAGAGAGCGATCTACCGCTACGTTCGACCGCGACGATTTTGATTGTCTCAGCAACAAGTTTTTGAGCAAGCTCGTGATTAAGGCCAACTAGGCGACACGACCGCCCGTTGCTGTGAGCTGCCAATTCCACGATTACGAATAACACTCGACCACGACATGGTGCCTACGAGTTACTGATTAACACCGCATCAACAACGAAAAACGGAACGAAATGGAACGAAATCACAGCTGCCCAGTCTTTTATTTACAATTTTGGATCCCTTTTCACCAGGAAACATATCCAACCATCCGGAGTTACGGTTTTTGTACCATCTTGCATATTACGAGGTGTTGAATTGATGGGTCCTTGCGACGATACCATTCACCGCGATCTCGACGGGATTGACTTTGCTCTCCCATTTTCCTTAACGACTACTTATGGAGTACGACATACACGTCTGCGTGAACCTTTATCTGAGCAGGAGGACAGTGAATGATGATGGTGGGAGAGGATGATGACGACGATGATGATGATGATACGCCGTATACGTCTATCAAGGCCATGTGGAATGCGAGGAGGGCTGGCATATGAGGTGCTCACGCCTTTGAGCGCTGTCATTGGAAAGAATGACCATCCACATTGATGAATGTGTGGCATGCATGATGTGCAAATGTAGCATGCAGCACGCAATGAAACGGCAGACAATCTCACTTACAAACTTGGGTACGCTTCACCTCTCAGTGTCATGTTTCTGAACTATGTAATGCTCCTTCCAGTGTCTATATGTGATTCGGTATTGACGTGAAGCTCACTGCACCAAGTACATCTATATGTGGTCGCAGCGATCAATCCAAGTGCGATTACACCCGTCAATTTACTGATCCAGAGAGGAGTGAGTGGATAAGGTATGATAGAGAGATTTACTTCCCCGTTGGAGGCTCCATTCGCGCTTGTCTACGTTAGGAGGTAGTGTACCTTATTGAAAGAAATGGATAGAGAACGAGCCGTCAGCAGGGGTACAGATATTTTTTGCTCCGCCAAGCCAAAACGATCCACTTGGTCCACACTTCACCTGGTATCACTTGACTCACCGTCGACTTCTGCTGTGTGGGGATCATCAATCACTTGCTGATATTGCTGGAACGAACTTCTCACATCCCATTGCTCATATCGTGTGGCTGTAACATTCTCTTTCTCATCCTTTGGGTGAACAAGCTTTTCGCTTAAGCCGGTCCTTTGAAACCTTACGGGACAAAGATCTGGGCAAGGCCCCAACTTCACGCACCATGATGTTCGACAACATCATGTCTCCCGGCGTATCAGGTCAGCCAACTTCCATGATGACGAGCGATCATGATGTCTACCAAAAGTGAGTACTCGAGCAAAAGCACAAGACTTCAACGAGTTTCGAGACAAGATCGACCAGTTTCGCACAATTGGCAAATTTTTTCCTCTCGAATTTTCAACAAGACTTGTCACAATGAGAACGATGATGCGCCTCGACACGCACAATGGGATGCCCTGAAATTGTGCTTCATGGGGAATCGGTCGAATAGTGGAAGAGAAATGGCGGGGAAAAAGACTACGGAGTAACTGGGAAGTCTGGCTAATGCGGACTTTTTTAGTCCTCTCAACTCGAGATACTGCTCGACGGAGATGAAGTACATCTTCTCTCCTCGCAATCGATTCAGTACCTGGCGACAACTATGGGTCTACCTTGCCGAGTCAGAAAAGGAGCTCGGTCTTCCCATCTCGGACATGGCAATTCAGCAGATGAAGGAGCACGTCCGCATTGAGGGCGACGAGTTCGGGGCTGCTGCCATTGAGGAGAAGCGCAGGCGTCACGATGTCATGGCTCACGTCCACACGTATGGTATGGTAGCGCCCGAGGCCGAGAAAATTATTCACTGGGGAGCAACCTCATGGTGAGTCTGACGTGTGATGAATACGATACTACTATGTACTTTGCTGCCAATCGCTGATATGCCATCAGCTACGTCACTGACAATGCCGACCTCATCTTCTTGCGCGACGCCTTGGACATCGTCCTCCCGAAGCTCGCCGCAGTCATACAGCGCCTGTCTTCGTTTGCGATCGAGTACAAGGACCTTCCATGTCTGGGTTACACCCACGGTCAAGCCGCTCAGCTGGTCACGGTTGGCAAGCGTGCGAGCTTGTGGGTGACCGACTTGCTCCGCAATCTGCGCACCCTAGAGCATCAGCGCGAGGAGCTTCTGACTTCCTTCCGTGGGGTCAAGGGAACTACGGGCACGCAAGCCAGCTTCTTGACCATTTTCAAGGGCGACCACGCCGCAGTCGAGAAACTCGATGAGCTGGTGACTGAAAAGGCCGGTTTCAAGGAGGCCGAAGTATCTACCAGTCAAACCTACTCTCGACTGATTGACGTTGATGTATTGCACGCATTGAGCTCCTTCGGTTGTGCGTGTGAGCGCATCGGGAGTGATATCCGCCACTTGGCTATGTTCAAGGAGATCGAAGAACCCTTCGAGCCCGACCAGATCGGCTCCAGCGCCATGGCCTACAAGCGCAATCCGATGCGATCGGAGCGCTTATGCTCTCTCGGCAGAGCTCTGCGGGGCTACAGTGCCAGCGCTGAGCAGACGTACGCCTCACAGTGGCTGGAGCGCAGCTTGGACGACTCCGCTGTGCGTCGCATCACTCTGCCTGAATCGTTCCTGTGTGCAGACGCGTGCTTGATACTGGTATGTAAAGCTCGCTTCAAGTTTACTACTACCTAGCTGTACACTCGCTAATTTTCTGGGTCAGCTGAACAACATCTCGAATGGCCTCGTGGTGAACAAAGCTGTCATTGCCAACCGAATTGAGCAAGAACTCCCATTCATGGCTACTGAGAACGTCATTATGGCTCTCGTGGAGAAGGGCAAGTCAAGGCAAGAAGTGCACGAGGAGATTCGGTATGTACCATGCAATGCGATTGATGTGTGGTGCGAGTATGTACTGACTAACATGTGACCAGCGTGCTTTCGCATCAAGCTGGTGCGGTCGTCAAGCAGGAAGGCAAGCCGAACGACCTGATTGAACGTATCAAGAACACGGCTTACTTTGAGCCCATTCTTGCCGAGCTGCCCTCGCTCCTCGATCCTGCGACATTCATTGGGAGATGTCCACAGATTGTCGAGAAGCTCGTCAAGGAGAAGGTGAAGCCTGCACTGCAACCGTATGCTGCAGCTTTGGCGAATGCCCAAGTCGCGGAGCTGAGCGTATAACCCATGTCATAGAACATAGAAGCTGAATCATTGCCTTGGATCCGAGTATACTGACTGCGGCCTCAGCCGTGTTATGTTATGTACCGCCTGGAAGCGTACTGTAGAAGCTACATGTAGGTAACGTAGCCCACCCATATCAGTACATTACGTATATATCTCCAACCCCAAACATAGCCACATACCATCTTCATCATTCATTCTTCCTCCCTCCCTCCCATCCATTAACATATTCTTCTTTTCCCGAGTAAAAGGAAGAAAAAGAAACCTCACGCCTTCCCTACAAACGGCCACGGATCATTCCTTGCCCAATACAACAACGACCCCCCGACCATCAAATAATTCAACATTGTCACCCCATGTGCCCCCGCCAACTCCTGAATCCCATACTTTTTCACAATCGCCGCATCCGCCAACGAGCTCATCGCACCATACAGCACCGCGAACCCCAACGCTTTCCGATCTCGTGTATAGCAAGCCAACGTGAGAATCAGTGCTCCATTTTGAATATTGCGAAAGGAAATCGCTTGTACGAGTGCTTTTTGCGTTTTTTGATTCCGAGTCAGCGGAGGAGCTTCTTTGTTTTCTGCTACTGCTGATGGAGTATCAATTTCTACACCGTAGCTTTTGCCAAATGCTGATGCGTCGGAGAGGCCGCCTATGCCGCTGACGATTAATTCGGCGCAGCCGACGAGGATGGCGAGGCATTCGGCGGGAGGAGGGAGGTTGGTCCAGAGGCTTTCGCCGGGGTATCTGGTTGCCATATTTTTGGTCTTTGGGGGTTATCTCTTTTCTCTTATGGGCGGGAGGGTCGAAGGGGGTGGGGAGTGGGAGCGGGCTCGTCGTGGTGGAATGCGATGGTCGAGATGTGAAGGGGAGGAGGTTTGTGGTTCAGGCATTTGGAACCTCTCTGGAGCTTCAGCCACAGAGCTCATAGCGCCTCAAGTGGCGTCGTTCCTCCGACTATAACCTTGTGACGCTAGGAGGTACATGTAGGTCTCGCGTGCTGGACACTGTTTGACTGTGTGTTACTAGGTACCTAAGGTACTACTGGGTAAGCGGAGATCAACTACTCGAGATGGCAGTAGTACTACGTCTCCAAATGTCACAGTGGCAGTCGCTGTCGTTCTCGAGGACTTCTCCTTCTACCTCAAGCCGTCTGCACCTGAGACTCACAACCTGACCGACTTCAAAAAGGCGAATTTCAGGCTAACAAACTGAGTCAAATACGCATATCCAGCATCACCCGCTACAGCCACCGCAATGGCAGAACGACCGACCTTCAGTCACGAGCAGCTGGAACAATACTACAAGCGCATATGCCTACCAGAAGAGAAGCAAGTCTACGATGTCGCCGGAATGTCCCACGACGACAAGCTGGATTTCCTCAATCTGCTCATGAAGCACCAACTCTGCAAAGTGCCGTGGGAAAACTTGACTCAGCATTACAGCTGGCACAAAGTCGTCAATGTGAAGCCCCAGCACCTCTTCCGGAAAATTGTCCACCAGCACGGCCGAGGCGGGTATTGTATGGAAGCGAATTCGTTCTTCCACACCGTCCTCCTCAGTCTCGGATTCGACGTCTACATGTGCGGATGTCGAATCTACAGTCCTGCGAAACAGGCCTATGGAGGCTGGACCCACGTGGTCAACATCGTGACCATTGCTGGTGTGAAGTATTTGCTCGATGGGGGTTTTGGCGGATCAGGACCTTCCAAACCCGTGCCACTTCATCACCAGGAGATCACACATCAGATCGCGCCCGCACAGATGAGGCTGTGTTTCGAGTCTCTCCGACAGAATCTCAACAGCTCGTATAAAGTTTGGGTAGTGCAAATCCGCTACGACGAGGAGGAAGACAGTAACTGGACGCCAATCTACTCTTTTCCCGATTTCGAATTCCTCCCCGAGGACGTCGAAGCAATGAATTTACAGCCGTGGTTGAGCCCTCACACCTTCTTCACGCACAAGGTCGTAGCAGTGCGTTTCACGACATCGAAGGAATGTAATGGGACAAAAGGTCCTGGCAGTCCCGACGAGCACGCTCTGCTGGATGCCGACATTGATGGTGCTATTACCCTGAATCAGGACGTTTTGACTTGGCGCAGAAGTGGGAAGAAAGTGGTGCAGATGCCACTTCGGACAGAGAGTGATAGGATCGAGGCTTTGCTCATGTACTTTGGTATCAAACTGAGCGATGAAGACGTCGAAGGTATACGAGGTACGGCAGCTGAAATCGGTGCTAAAGCTCCTGGTTGAACTGCCGCTAAACTGGCGAGCTTCCACCGACACCACACTCGCGGCCATGGCTGAAGCGATGATGCTATTGGGTAGATGGGACTACTGGGTAGCCACGTACGAAATCTGAGCTTCGATATGCGGTTATTCGAATTCGATAACGAGATCGCGTACTTTTACCTGAACCAGACAGGATCGAGGCCAGTACAGAGAAGTTTGAGCCAGGCAACACCACCACTCTTGCAGATAGATCAGTTGCACAATACCTTAGTCGTTGGAATCTGGGGGATGGTGTCATATGTACTTGGGCATCAATATTATCCAGAGACTATTTTTTCCTTTCTGGGGAAAAGACCAGGTGAAGTTTCGCAACAAGATATTCTCAAAAGGGCCACTACTTACCCATGCAGAAGCAGTACCTCTTGTATCTTGGGGAAGCCCTAGAAATATATTCCTTGTGTAGAGGTGTCCAACAATAATATTTACCTAAAGAGGTATACATCAGCAGTACATGTACATGTAGTAACGTACCTCCTAATAGATACCTGAGGTTACCAAACTCGTCTTATTACTGATCTAGTACGGGAGCCGAGGACGAAACAAACCTCCGACAAAGCATGTGATCATCGGCTACGGCTATTCCACCTATTCTGACCTAGGACCTAGGTATACAGTATGCTTGGCTTTGCTGAACACGTCAAAGTTCATCAAACAAACCACCTTTTGCGGCAGATACCTTACTACCTTGTATACTCCAGCACGAAACAGACATACCAACAAAGGAGAATCCCGACTCCTGACAAGACAAGACCAGACAAGAACAAAACGATCCCCCGGTCGCTAACATCCCTGGACTGGATACGGTATAGATGACGATGTCGGGCATGAATGATAACAACAACAACAATGACAATGACAATAACAACATTGTACTCTTCCATTACCGAGCTTCACCTTATGGACGTGCGTACCTAGTGATCCCTTACCCTACCCTACCCTACCCTATCTGTTTCAGTATCATCAGAGATACTAGGTACCTGAGTATTCTGGCGCTGTAAGGTCTATAGTCTATACCTACTGATAATACTAATCATGTCGTGGATGGATGGATTACAGGTCGAGTCACAGCATATCTCGCATTAAGGAATATTCCATATGCAGAATGCGTAAGTTTTTTTTTCCCTCAAAAAGCAAAAAAAAAAAGCATCCACGTTCATGACGAGCAAACGAATGCTAAATTGGAAATAAAAAACAGATCCAACCACCGATGTTGCCGCGACCGGATATGGAGGTCAGTAATACCTTTTTTCGTACAAGTAGTAGTAGTAATGGTCTTTTTTTTTACCTTGGGTACCTACCTACTGTTGTAACAGGCCTTACCTAATGCTTGCTTACCTTACACATATTACCTTTTTTGTTCCTAGGCATTGGGCATCAAATACAGGCGATCACCTGTAATGGCCATTGGTAGAGACGTGTACGTGGACACACGGATCATCATCACGAAGCTCGAGGAACTCTTTCCCGCTTCGTCAGCACATCCTGGTCTCTCGACGCCCGACACGATCGGGCTGGCGAATCTCTTGTCCAAGTTTGTGGTCGATGGCGGGGTGTTCAAGAGGGTGGTGTCCCAAATTCCACAGGACTTGCCCATGTTGAAGGACCCCAAATGGCAAAAGGACCGATCGGAGTTCCGTGATGCTGATCAGAAACGGAATCCGCACTTGGTCCGGCCCGAGGGGACAGTGCATCTACGCCAGTGCTTTGATATTGTAGAGGCGCTGCTGGCAGATGGGAGGATGTGGATAGGTGCTACGCCGGCTATCTCTCTGGCGGATCTTGAGGGCGCGTGGGTGCTGGACTGGTAAGAGACGGCCAGGCTGTCGGAGGGACGCGGCTCTCCTCTTGCACTTACATCTGCTGACGCTTTAGCTGGTGTTCAGGTTCTTGGGCGACTTGATGCCTGATCAGGCCTTCTTTTCCCCGCGTCACTATCCCAAGGTCCACGCATGGAGGAGTCGTTATAGCGAAGCTGTCGAGGCGGCCAAGAAGCGTGCCCAGAAGCCGGTCAGACTGCAAGGGAGTCAAGCGGTCGAGGCAGTCACGTCTTCAGGCTTCCAAGATCGTGATCTGGAAGTCGATGCCGCCGACCCTCTGAAGCTACTGAAAGGAGACTATGTGAAGGTCTTTCCTACCGACGGAGGCGGCTCTCATCAGGTGAGTAGTTCGTGAAATCATAATATAGTAGTGCCACGCGGCATCGTGTTGGTCGCGCGTTGCCCTACCTCCTAGTCGAGACTCGACTGACGTTATTATACTACTGCAGGATAGCGGAAGATTGATCAAACTAACCAAGGATGAGGTTGCTGTTGCCGTACAGGCCCGATCGGGCGCTGATGTTCACATACATGCTCCCAGATGGGCATTCAGAGTCATCCAGGCCAATCGCGATGGGGCCAGACTCTGAGCAGGCCCGGCGTATAATCAGACTTACCTTACCTTACATACATGTACCCAGACAAGATGTGACTGCTCGTTTTGTCGTTCTCCGCTTGCTGCCTGCAAACAAAATAGTTCCAGCGAAGTGATGCCTTACGCAGCTCCAGGATTCCTGGGAGAGGCGTGCATATGCACATTTACTTCCGACGGTACACAGTCAGACACGACATTTACGTGTACATGATACACTGCATCTCACGTTGGCGACCACCACGGACAAGGCGGGATTCAACTATGGTTCGCGGGTGCGCGCGTTTTCTTATCAGGTGGTTATAGTTCCGCTGGGCCATGTCTTCAGTTCGCGCCGGTGGTGCTGGCAGTGGGAGGTGCATAGACGAGCACGTCGTCGTGTATAGTGCTCTGCTGCAGCGGAGGGGTGGTGGTGTAGCACTACATGTACCTGTCATGATGATGAGGTGGAGGTGGGGGTAGAGGAGGTGGATGGTGATGATGGTGATGACGGTGATGGTGATGATGATGGTGATGATGATGAGGAGGATAGGTATTGATGATGATATTGATGAGGATACTGATGATATTGATGACGATGTTGGAGATTATTGGCCTCACGTATAAGGTAGGTAGGCACAAGGTACATGCAGTATATCAGTCATCAGGACGTCCACACAGGTGTGTGTGTGTGTGTGCGAGAGCGAGGATGCCCGGCAAAGGCGACGCTGGGCAATACCAAAGGTAGTGTCAAGTGTGTCGCCTGCCTTGCCTGCCCGCGCGCCTGCCAGCCTGCAGTGATGCCCAACAAAGAGAGCAGCCAGTCAGACGGGAGGAACGACGACGGGCTCGTCGTCCGTCGCCACTTCTACCACAGCAGGAACCGACACTAACTGTGGGAGTTCCCAGCCACAGGACCGCAGACGGGCCTTCCTGGCTCGGCTCGTGGACTCGTGGACCTGTGGGCGCGGGTCCGTCGTACTAAGTGCCCGCCACAGCCTATCAAATCATCAGACGCTGCCGCCGCACGGTACTGAGAGGCTGAAAGGCTTTTCCAGAACGAAAAAAGTCGCAGTGTGCGGTGGAGGAGGTGCGGTGCGTGTTGTGGACTGTGGACAAGCCAAGGCCGTGCGCGCGTGTGTGCGTTGGTTGGGCATCCGTCACACAGTAGTAGTTTACTCGCTCTCTCTCACACAGCGCCCGCCCTGTCATCTTAGGCCTCGACGTTGTTTCTACCTGAACCTGCTCCTGCCTGACCTGAACCAACTCCGCTCCTGCCTGCCCTCTTCCCGCGCCATCGTCACTTCCCAAATACATCACCACCAGCACCGCGCCCCATCCTTCCTTCCTCCCTCCCTCCTTCTGCTTCTTCCTTCTTCCCCTCCTCGGAACCAAGCGGACAGCCTCTGTTGACCTTCCTTGCGTGCCCGTTGACTCAGCTAGAAGCCAAGGCTGGGATCGCTCGCCATCGTTGACGCACCGCTAGAGCCTGAGACTCTGTGCCGTGTAATATTCATTTCCCACCTGCGCCCTGCCAGAGACCTTCCGCAGGACTTAATTGCCCGTGGTCTCCCACCTCCGCGCACTGTCGAGAGCACCCCAGCTTCAGTGTCGCTATCGGTTCTATCCCATTCATCCGGATCCGGACCAGCCAGTGGAAGGAAGCTGTTCGTTCGCACTGCCCAGTGTGTATAGTCCACTGCCAGGAGGTCCACCCGCGTGTCCATCATGCCTCAGGAAATCGCTCGCCAGTGGTTCGTGCCCGGCGAAGGTATCGACCGCCATGTGATATCTGCAGACATCCAGAGGTATCTGGGAAACGATGCCACTGTACGGCCAGGCGTTGGTACTGGCGACAACCAGGTCAGCTGCTCCGCTGCTCAACCTGTCATACCATCCGCCGACCTGACGTGCTGACGAGGTGGTAGGGTGTGCAAGGCTACTGGATCAAGGCGTATCGAAACTTAACCTCAGTATGCGGGACTTGCTGTTCTCACATGGTGTGCTGTTGCTGACCTCCCACACACAGGCCATGATTGCAGACCTTCGCGCAGATTCCGCTCGATGGAGACAAGAACAACGTCAGACGGGCACGAGAGGTAGCAAGACTCCAGACATCAGCATTGCATCGGGGTTCACAGTACCTGACGATTCTATAGAACCTTACGTGGGGTCATCCACATACCACGCGTCTAGCGCAGGAAGGGTGTCACAAAAAAGATCAGGAGGAGACTCGCCCAACACAGATGGACCATATGGCCTGCCGCCATCGGCACGTGAGCGTGAACGTGAGCGCGAGAGGATATCAGTAGACAGGATGCAAGTGGACCCACCTGCTCCCAGCAGAGGCTACCCAGCTGCGGAACGTCGTGCTCCATACCAACCGGACGGCAGATCATTTCCCTCTGATAGTAGAGGTGGTTATGCGCCGGATGGTAGGTCATCATATCCTGTGGATGCCAACATGTCCGGTTTTGGTGCCCAGCCTCCCGTCACCAGTGCCTATGGTCAGGAACAACCCCGGTATGCGCCGAGTTACCAACAGTCCAATGATGGCGCTCCGCCAGGATACGTGAGGCAGGGCAATTACTTTGTGCCCGTTTCTGGCTACGAGCCAGCTCCTTCCATTTCTTCTCGGGCGGACCAGTATGGAGCAGGAGGTTACCCTCCACAGCAGCAACGTGACCCCCGGGACACCAGGTATCAACAGCCAGAGTATGCGGATCCCCGGTATGCCTACCCTAGTCCGGCGGCCACTGTCTCTTCTGTATCAGCTCGGGATCGTGAGCCCGTGGTCAGCCCGCAGCAGCCAAGGTTCGCGCACTTGTACGGTTTTCCTGTTTATGGTGCAACACTAACTTGACTAGTCCATACGGCGCCATTCCTGCACAACAATACGACCAGTATGGAGGCCGACGTAAGTTTCTATGATGCAATACAAGAGGCGTAGACCCGTACTGACGGGTCACGCCAGCTGCACCAAGCAATCCGCCACCGAGCTCGGGATCGTCACGCACAAATCGTGCCAGTGTATTTGGAGGGTTATCGGGCACTTCCAGTGGAGATCGACGCAGACGATAAAGAGAGTGATTGATGAGAGATGAGTATGTCAGAATCGACCAAGGCTCTCGCTACCATAGTTTTTTGAGGATCCGTGCACCGCACTTGGACCACACGGCACGTCTCGGTCACATACGTAGACGGAGTTTCCAATCTTGGCTCATGCTGTGTTTTGAGTCGCTCAGCCTGACAAAATGTCAGCACTTTGCGAATGTCTGGTGAACCTACCCAGTCGAGAACGGACTCTGCCAGTTGTGAAATCACTGGACATAGCCCACCTCCGAGTTCGGAACTTCTTATCTACCATGGCTACGGAGATGCGATGCACCGCGCGCGCTTGACACCCATGGATGACTGCGTGGGCCTTGGATTTGTTTTCCCGATACCCACGATGTTCGCACTCCCGGTGATGTGCTTTATACGGTTGATGATTTCCAGTTCAGCATTAGGAATGGCGTTCACCCACAACTGGCATGTGCATTGGGCGACGACGATGACCATAACAACAAAGTTGAACGATTTGCAATGAATGAGCGAACGGCTTGGCTTGGCTTGGCCTGTATTCGGGAAAGTGTTTGGGAAGCGTTGCATTTATAGCGCGGGAGCTATCAAAACTGGAATTTCCTCGCCTTGTCTTACTTGCAGGTTCTTGTTTGGAATCGCGTACACCCCTCGTGGAGAGAGATGTGTGTATGTGCGTGCATTCGAGATGAAAATATTTACCTGGCCTACCAACTACCTACTTAGGTATCTTAGTTTGAAGAAAGATAATACCAATGTCGCAGCCCCTTCACTTTTTCTCGAGGCCGTTTTCCTTTTCTTTCTTTCTTTCCTCGGTATCGGGTTTGGACGGCAGACGGCAATCGTGCAGCTAACTACCTCTAGCTGCAACGATTGAAGAGTCGGAAGTACAGAACTGAAAAGAATTCAGAAATGCATCAAGTAGCGAGTTGTCTACACGATGGTACTTGTACTTTGGGATAAGATATGCCTAGGTAACACCTAGGAGGTAACACCTAGGAGAGTAGGGAGTTGTCCTGCCCCCGCTCTCCCTACCTCGTAGGGATCTCCCTCAAATATAGTCTGCGTGCATCGCTACAAGGTACGTACGTGTACTTGTGTTCATTATTTCGAATAGTCATTTCAGTGTGTACTCTATACATTCTTACTCGTAAGGTGGCTAGGTAGTCAGTCTCTGGGTCTCAAACAATATGAACAGTAAGTAGGTCAAGTCACCCAAGGTGGCAAGGTCGTTGAGGATGCACAGCTGTCGCTTGTGAGTGATACATGCTTCCATGTTCTTCATCATTAAAAAAATGTCCCCCCCCGGCCCCCTTTTTCTTCATCATTCCTTCATCGCTCATCGCACCTTGACCTCTGCGCGACATCGAGGTCAGAAGGTAGTTTGTGCTAATCGACTGGCTGCGTTCCGGGCATCAATCCTGTCATCATCATCGTCCTCAGCGAGCTTGCCCAAGCTGTGAGCTGAGCTCGTTGCACGTTTTCTGCCACCACCCCCTTCGGTGCCATCTTCCTCGCTCTCTTCTGGAACAGCACCCGGCACACCGGGCGCGAAACTGCCACTAATGCTTCGATTGAGGCCATCGGGACGTCTGGGCACACCAGACCATGCATCGCCTTTCGGTCCTTGGCTCGACGCCATACTAGAGCGCCTCACTACCGGATGTGCTTCACGGCCAAGCCTGCTGAGACCTCCCGACGCATCAATGTTGCGCACATCCGGTCGGACTTGCTCCAGTGTGGCGAGCGTCCGGCGCTCAGCTTCAATCTCTCGAATCACATATTCGCGAATGGCTGTCCTCATTTCTCCCGCTGTGCGCGCAAACCATTTTCGCTTTTCAAGTACTAGGTTTTGCGTCACTCGTTGCGTCTTTTGTTGTAGATATGCTTCGTGGCTTCTCGCTTCCTCCAGAGCTGAGATGGCCTCATCAACCTTGTCACGCTTGACACTCGAGCTGGCCTTGAGTCGATCTGCTGCCTGGAGCTTACTCCGGGTAGCATTTTGTGCTTGGGCAAGTTCCCGGAGGAGGATGTGGCGGTTCGTGAGAGTTTCCTTGACGATGAATGCATCGCTGCTGTGATATGCGAGCGGGTCTGATAAAGAGGTTGCCTCCGCAGTGCCTTGTGCAGAGTGGAAGTCACCAGTGTTCTGTACCACCTTACCCAGCTTACGATATGCATTTGCCAGCCCGTTGTGCTGCTCGTTGGTTGATAGAGTGGCCATCTTATTCCCTAGATCAGACTCTGCCACACCGAGAGCTGTTGCGAGTCAGTAAACTTCTGCCATACATGGAGCTTGGAGCATGCGGCTACTTACAGCGCCTGCTCTTGACCACCCTGTCGACCTTTTGCTGTGCGTCCATCGATCCCAAGTAGAATGCTTTGACGACAGGTCTGCTCTCAAGGAGCTCCGGGGTGTCATCTGGCGGCGGAGCAAACTGCTTGAGCACTTTTCTCCTCATGCCCGTGGCAGCCTGCTTCTTACGCACCACGGGGCTATATCCAAAGTCGCTTTCTACGAAGAACACCATCTCCTCGTCCCTCATAAGGACGTCATTGGAGCAGACTACATCTAGCCAGCGCTGCAGCGCCTTTTTCGTGATTCTCTCGTCGTCGTCTGTGCCTAGGCCGGCGCTCGAGGAGCCAGGCGGGACGGCAGGTACTAATGCTTCGGGATTGGAGGCGATGAGATGAGCGCCCAGCTTCTGGAACTCCGAGTGCTTCCGTCGAATGTCGCGAAATTGTGTAGTACGAAACTTGGGCAAGTTCGTCTGCGGAGATGGGTTAGCTACAGCGCCGTGTCAACCATGATACCATGCAACATCATACGTGAACGTCAAAACGCAGGATGGGATCTTTCTTGTCCGACCTCTCCAATCCTGTAATCTTGGCTTGCAGCTTGTATTGCGGCATGTGCTGTCGCTGTTGCGGCGGAGGCTGCACATTGTGGTATCTAGACGAGGCAGGTCTCCTATTCTCCTCGCCGGCGACAGGAGATGCTCTCCCCGCTCCTCCACCTCCACCTTCACCTCCTACCCCTGCTCCACCTCCACCGCGCTGCTGTGGTGGCTGACGTAGCTGGTCTTGGTGCTGCGCCGCGGACCAGCCTTCACCGTTCGCATGCCCATCTTCGTGGTCATGGTGTCCTGGGGCGACGTGCGGAGGAGGAGGAAGCGCTTCTCCAGGCACATCATCGTCGCCAGCCCAGGGACTCTGGCCGGCAGGATAGTCCATGGTCGGGGTGCGCTCGGCTTCGCGGTATTCAGTCTCCAGGAAGTAGCGTTCGGACTGGCGGCGCTGGAAGCGATAGAGGGTCCGGGGATTGGTGACCACGTCAGGCTGTTTGCCTGCCGAGTTGGAGCTTCCGCGAAGAGGATCACGATCAGGATCCGTCGTCGATTCTGGTGGGTTCATCATGAAGCTCAAGGCGCGTGTGGGGAGGAATGAAGCACCGTTTGTGCTCGCCTCTCCCGACGCCGACGACCAGGATTAAACGTCGAGTGTCGGCAAACATCCACACTCTATTCAATGCAACTGTAAAACCGCGCCCAGAAACAACCACCAGCGTCCCGAGGTACCACTACTGATCACCTGCGCTTCTTCCAGTTCTACTCCCTCTCAGTGTCCCAGCGCTATCGCCCAGTGTGGGTGATGCTGGCACGACGGCTGCTACGACAGCGCCGTCCATATGGCCAGCTCAACCACCTGCGCGCCTTTGCAGTCTCCTGTGCGCACAATGCTCCAGCAATACAGGACGCGGCGGCTGAGCTGCGCACACGCAATATTGGTATCATAGCCCACATCGATGCTGTATGTATAGTGCTGAACATCTAGTTGGCGCCGGCAATATTCTCACTCCAAAGGTAGGGCAAAACAACAACCACCGAGCGCATGCTCTTCTATAGTGGCCACACACGCCGAATCGGAGGTAGGAAATGTTTCGCATATCTCTACTGTTTCACAAAGTCTACTGGCGATTGCCCTGCTCGGCTTGCTGATACCTCCTAGATGTCGACGAGGGCAGCACAGTCACTGATTTCCTCCCTGCCGAGCGTGCTCGAGGCATCACAATCCAGTCCGCAGCCATTTCCTTCTCATGGCCACCCTCTAATGGAACTCCCCAAACTGTCCTCAAAGCAGGGCAGCCACGCTCCCGTGTTTCCCACAATATCAACCTGATCGATACTCCTGGTCATGCGGATTTCACGTTCGAGGTGCTACGATCGCTACGAGTCCTGGATGGCGCTGTCTGCATTCTGGACGGCGTCGCGGGCGTCGAAGCTCAGACGGAGAAAGTATGGGCCCAGGCTTCAGCCTATGCAATTCCTAAGATTATCTTTGTCAACAAGCTAGACCGAGATGGTGCTGCCTTTGCGAGAACGGTAAAGGAAGTCGGCACGAGACTAGACGTGTGGCCTGCGATATGTGGCATTCCCTGGTGGACTGCAGATGGACGATTGCAAGGCGTTGGCGACGTTGTGGGCCTGCGAGGCCTGAAGTATGCCCAAGGAGGAGACGGCAAGGAGATTAAGGTCTTTAATCTCTCACAGCTGGAATCGGAAGACCCTAGCCTCGCACAGGAGCTGAGGATCGCACGAATGGCACTTGTGGAGCGGCTATCGGAGCATGACGATGCAATGGTCGAGAAGTTTCTGGAGTCGGACGAAGACCACATTGCCATCCCCGCCAACGATGTCACCGAGTCCCTGCGAAGGTGTGTCTTGCAGCATCCGCAGCCAGTTGCACCGATATTTGCTGGGGCCAGCTTTCGAAATGTGGGCGTCCAGCCTCTTCTGGATGCTGTGGTAGACCTCTTGCCTTCACCCGGAGAGCGACCCGAACCCGAAGTGAGCATTGGCCCCAGTACCAAGGGCGGGCTCAATGCGTTCTTGTCTGGAGAGCTTGTAGTTGAAGCAACCGAAAGCCGCAAGGTGCTCAAGAAAGCACTGAGCAAGAACCACGCGGCTATGTCACTACAGAAACTCGAAGCATGCGCACTAGCTTTCAAAGTCGTGGCGGATGCCAAGCGTGGAGTCCTGGTCTACGTGCGCGTATACTCGGGGTCCATCAATCGCAACGCTGCGCTTTGGAACACGAACCTCTTGAACACTGAGCGTTCCCAGAGGCTGCTCAGGATGTATGCTAACGAAGCCGTTGACATTGATTCTATCTCGGCGGGCCAGATTGGCGTTATACCAGGCTTGAAATTTGCCAGAACTGGGGATACACTAATATCGTACCAAGGAGCAAACCCCAAGACTGGACCACCACCGCCTGTGAGCACCTTACAACTCAGGCCAATCAATGTGCCACCTCCAGTCTTCTTCGTCAGTGTCGAGCCCAACAGTTTGTCAGAGCAGAGGCAGATCACAGAATCGCTTGCTCTCTTGCTGCGAGAAGACCCTAGTTTGCATGTCTCCATCGACGACGAAAGTGGACAGACCCACCTAGCTGGCATGGGTGAGTTACATCTGGAGATCGCCCGAGACAGGCTTGTGAACGACCTCAAGGCCAAGGCCCGAATCGGCAGTATCGAGATTGGTTACAGAGAGGCAATCGCAACCTCCAGTGGCCAGGTCACGGAGACATTCGATCGTGAAGTCAGTGGCAAGAGCGCGAAAGCAGCGTGCACCGCGACTATCGAGCCTGCGCAAGATGTGAATATATCTCAGGACGAGCAGCGCTGCCACGACTTTGCCTTGGACGACAGTAACCATCTCACGATACGTACGCCGACACTTCATAACAACGGCTTGCCAATCGAAGAGGGACAGCCGGGAGTACCAGATGATCTACCGCTTCCCGTCATTTTGCGAGCTCTGCGAAATGGGGTTTCAGCTGCACTCGCGCGCGGTCCAACGCATGCCTATCCCGTGCATTCCGCCTTCATCGAACTCATATTCGACCCATCGAAACATTTGTTCCCCAACTCCACTCCAGCTGCGCTTTCATCAGCAGCACGTCTCGCAGTCCAATCGGCTCTCAAACACAGCTCATCTTCATCCGATACCATCCTCATGGAGCCCGTCATGCTCGTCACAATCTCCGTGAACGAAGATTCTCTCGGCTCAGTCGTGCACGACATCTCGTCCGCTCGTGGCGGCTCAGTGATCTCACTTGGCGCAGATGAGCAGCAGCAGCAGCAGCAAGATCACACATCACAGGATATTGATGTTGCTCGGATCTATACCCCACCTGATCCGTTCGGCGGCGGTGGTGGTAGTAGTAATTCAACCCAATCTTCGAATACGGCAGTGACGAGCGGAATGCGACAGATTGTAGCGAGAGTCCCGCTCAAGGAAATGGTCGGCTACCTGAAACATTTGAGAAGTTTGACAGGTGGTAGAGGCACGTTTACTATGGTTGTTGATCGATTTGAGAGAATGGGTATGCAACGCCAGAGGAATGTTGTGAATGAGATGAGAGGTGATTATGCTTGATCAAATTGCTCTCTCGGCTCGTGTTCAGAACGAACTTGTATCCATAATCGTGTAAGAATATCAGAGCATCTCCTGCCTCATCCGTGAGATCATCCACATTCAGACTACCAAAGAACGTTGAACAAACCGAGCGAACCACTTCTGTGAAAAGAAAAAAGCGAATCTTGAGGAAAGAAGCAAACTCAACCGGCAAGAGCTATCTTTTAGATGAGGTACCTACCTACCTACTTAGGTAAGTAGGTTTCCTCGCATTACATATGAGTGACTATGTAGTTCTAAACTGGAAGTCTGGGCACGTCCAAATGGCTGATGAACGAGAAATGGCCGCGAGAAACTGTCTCGGTGATGGTACAATAACTAGGTAGTGTTGGGATCTCGAGATGTGTACTACTACCGTAGTAACACTCATCGCCGGAATACAGCATGACTGGAGACCTCTCAGGGCGAGAACTGGTTGCTGATGATCTATCTCTTATATACCTCACTCGAGCGCTGTTTCATTGCCCACTCCGAAAGCATTTCGACCTAAATACCAGGGGCGGGCATTCTGTATCGAGGTTACATGGCATGTCACGGCGAGACGATCATCTTCTTCGAGTCGTATCGCATCCCATGACCTTGTCATGACCAGTATCCACAGTGATTTGTTCAGGCAGAGCCAGATCCTTCTCAATATCTCTCGTGGATGGTAACTCTTCACTTTCTTCCGCGCAGTGGCCGCTTTCGTCATCCTGGTCCTCCGGGGTACCTTCGCGACAAGCCCATCGATCTACAAATCGTAGAACGTCCTTGGACCAAATTTTCTTCATGACTAATAGACGAAAGGGAACCAAAGCAGCGATGATGAGCGGAAATGCCGGGCCAGCAATGGTGAGCGTGACGATGAAAATGATGACCGCCATGACGATTTCGAACAAGGTGTAAGCGTGAATTGGCCACCAGCTCTTGATGCTCTCGCTCGGCAGACGCGGCAGATCAGACGTGGGTGTGAGAGCCCAGATGGTACGCTGTAAGACGGGATTGACAGACAGTGATTGTTGACCCATGAAGAGGAAAAGCCCGGCCAAGACAGAAGTCGGAGTCAGGCCCAGAACGAGTTGGAGAGGAGGTGCAATGCAGGCCAAAATCGCGGCTGCGTGGAGGAAATGTGACCAGCGTTGTTCGTGCACGCGTTTCATGGGGCGTTCGACCACGTGTTCGATGCCGTTCTTGTCAATCACTGCTTCTTCCACACCTGCTTCTGCGAGATTGTCATACATGAGACTTTCCGAGTGGAGAGGCGCTTGAGGGAGAAGCCCGTTGGCTGGTGGGATACCTAATATGCCACATAAAGCGGTCGTGAGTCCTAGAAGCACAATGTCTTGTGCGTACCCCGTGGGCTTGCGGATTCCGTAACGCTGTGTCGTACATATGATACTGCTGATTTCGTGATCAAAGAAGAAGAGCACAGTGATGATGAAGCCTGGTATCATGGCTGCAAATACCCATGAGGCGGACAGATTCCAGAATGGCACATAGAAGGACTCGCGGCCGGGCAGTGTTGGTCGGAAAGATTCGCTCGAAGTGTAGAGTGTATCTTTATCTAATGGCTTGAGCTCTCCGGCGTAAGGAATTCCGACAAAGAAGATGATACTAATTGCAGCAGCGTATTCCCGTAGTCCCATGCGAAAGTATTTGTGTACGATTGGCGGCCAGCGTTCTGCCGTACTCAAGAAAAGGGCGAGCATGAATGTACCAACAGCACTAAGATGCAAATGCGCCTGTCAGTTGAGGAGTTAGAGAAGCAGACAACGGTCTCCAGCTTACCTGATGATGGCGTACAAGAAAGCTGCTTGATCCACACTTGCATGGACGCGCTCCAGTTCTTGAACGGCCTTGTGGAAGTAAATGATGCTATTCAGCAAGCTGAAGATCTCGCAGCTAAACTCCGTCACATACAACATTGTCCAGTCGTGTGCATTGAACAATGCCAAAAGGATGTGCATCCAGCCCGAATGGATGAGGGCCCATGCCATGAACTGAAGGAAGTCAATCTCGAGTGTCTCGGAGCAGATCTTGTAAATGTTCTCAGCCAGAACTGTGAAGGGTCCTGTAATCCCGAGGATAACAAGAGGTTGGAGGGAGAAGACGCTGAAGATGATGCCACATAGTCCTGTACCGAAGACAATTTCAATAGTGCCCCAGTTCTGTCCTGTTCGCTGATACAGATCCGAAGCGAAGGTGATGCCAGGGAGGAGATTTGTGAAGAACACATAGACAGCGCTTGCCAGCACGAGCTGGTTGAAGATGGTCCAGTCGTCAGGCCATCTTTGCAGCCATTTTCTCGCATCTTGATGGAGAAGTCGACCTGGTCTCAGGACTCCATTTTTCTTCCGGAACGCTGCTGCAGACTTCACGAGCCAGGACTTCTTGATCTTGGCGTCTGACATCTTATGGCATGCTGGTCGTCGCCGTCCTGACTGAAGCGTAAGTAAAATCTGCGTGAGCCAGGCACTATAGCCTGACCACGCCTTCGAAATATCATGCTATGCCATTATGCGTCACTACGAGGATGCCAGGGGAGAGCTGAACGCCGCTCTCTTGTCACCAAGACTTGGCGGCATGCAGAAATCGTCCCCAGCCTCAAGAGTCGAGCACGTGGTATGTCAAGTCTCTCGTCCCAAGGCTTCGCTAGCCTGAGGTCAACGTTGGCGAACTGAATCCGGGGACCGAAACCCTTGGCGGAATCGACGTATTGATGCTCGTTGCCTGAGGCTGAAATTAATGTTTGCGCTGTTGTACATTCTACAGTGTGGTATCATTCTATCATTTTGTCTGTTGCATGCATCTTTACCTGTGTCGATGCCGCAATTCATGTGTTCATTCTGGTCTCCAAGTCTCTAGATCCAGTCCGCAAATGTCTATTCTCTTTTGTGCATACTCGCCATAAAGTTTCGTATATATCCAGTCGGCGTCTTTGTGCTTCGGCCGTGCTGCTCTCTTCATCGCGAATGGCACGTCGTATTGCGGACCCGGTAGCTTAGGATCCGAGAAACGGATATAAGCCACATTCTCCAAGTATGCAGTCGAATTGAACGGCTTGCCGGGCACAGCGTCATGTAGCGTGCCGACCGATCGGATCAGAGCGCTGTGCTCGGCGCTTGATGCCAATAGCACTGGCTCTTGAAATAGAGATGACAGGTATGTGTCATTATATGTAGCATACTCAGGAGCCGCCAACGTGGTGTTCAGACGCTCATACGTCGCCCTTGATGGCTGGATCAGGAACAGATCTTCGGAGTGAACATTGTCGTTGTTCACTGTGTCGTGAAGCATGACGAATGGTGAAGGCTCCGTGAATCCCAGAACAGCATCCAAAGGCTCTGCGTCAAGTAAAAGCCCCGGGGTCTCGATCACCAGCACACGATCGAAGCTTCCATACAACCGGTAGGCACTCGCCAGCGAGTACACCTCCCCTTCCTCTTCGCTACTTCTTATGGGCTCGATGGGTTGGAGAAAGACGCCATACCTCCTGTGAGCCAGTTTTAAGAGCCGTCTCGTACTGTCGAGATATGGATCTTCACTCTCCCCTTTTGTCTTTGCCTGCACCCACGCACTCGGAATCATCAACCCCCTCTTTGCAGGACTTCTCATCTGATGCAGGCCTGCCAGAACCATGATGGCTGCACACAAGTGATGGTGCTCCTGCACGAGTTGCACATGCGCCAGTCTATCCCAGTCGACATTTTGTGCAGATACGGTGTGAATGTCTCGATCGATATCGGCCTTGATGATCCTGGAGCCGCCATCGCTCCCAAACAGTCGAGAGCGATGCAGCTCAACAAAGTCGGGCTCCGCCTGTTCTGAGCCCGGGGACGACGGTCGTTGTGGAATTCGAGGCTTCACTGCCTCCCGGAGTCCTTGGACAGTGCGTTGTTGCAGTACGTAGCCGGAGAGGAAAAGTAGAAGCGTGAAGAAGATGACGATTGCGGATGAGAGTGCCACCGACACTTGAGCTTGCGATAACAAAAGCCTCATGTCTGCATGCCGATGGTGTGCCCAGGAATGATACTAGGTCAGGTATTCTCGTATACTTGTACAACAATACGATGTATTCATTTGCATGGTGGCTACGTCAAACAAGACGCTCAATTGTCATGGCAACAATCTTATCGTGATGATGCCAAGGAATTCACATGATGTAGAACTCAGGTACCGGGTACCTACTGTACCTCCTACATATACCTAACCTTACGGACCATTATAGAAGTGAAAACGAGTTTCCTTCCCCGCGGAAAAGGACAATGGCCCATCAAGCAGATGCGAAACGAGCTCTGGACGAGCGAGGCTACTCGGGTACGCTCATCCGCGGCGACAACCCGCTCAAATTATTCGAGAAAGCCGTCCGCGATCGCATTATCGACTCATACTACTGGAAAGAACAGTGCTTTGGTCTCAACGCTGCTACACTGCTCGACCGCGCTGTAGAGTTGAGCTTCATCGGCGGCACATATGGCGCTGCGCAGAAGCCGACGCCATTTCTGTGTCTAGCGTTCAAGCTGTTGCAGCTGACGCCAGAACGCGAGATTATCACATTTTACCTGGAAAAGGCTGGGGATGAGTTCAAATATCTTCGTGCACTGGCGGCATTCTACATCAGACTGGCATGGGAGAAAGATGAGGAAGTTTACACCACGCTGGAGCCGTTTCTGGCGGATGGCAGGAAATTGAAGCGACGCGTGCGAGAAGGCTGGGCTTTGACTCATATGGATGAGTTCATCGACGACTTGTTGACCAAGACCAGAGTATGTGCGACGACTTTGCCCAAAATCAATACGAGACTGCACTTGGAAGATGCGGATAAGCTGGAGCCCAGAGAAAGCGCGCTCGGGGATGAGCTGGAAGAGCTGGACCGTGATGAGGATGATGAGGACGATAGGAGCAGCGACGGAGAGGCGCAAGAGAATGGACATGCGAGAAGTGATGGGCATGACTCAGAAGATGGGAGGAGAGAGAATGACGAGGAGATGAGCGATGCCGACTGAAGGGCCAGCTATCGAAAGCTTCATCAGTCCCAAGTCACGCCAGCCAAATAAATACTCTGTGGGTGGAGGAAACGCATTCACCGACGTCCAGATAAGCGGACGTATGTTACGATGGTCTGCTATCGACCGCTAGCCAGTGGTGCGGTACTCATCCGCGAGGATCTCCATGTCACGTCCACTCGGGGGAAAGTGTCGCCAGCATCCTCCTAAGCGAAGCCGACAGCGTTCACAGCATGTCATACGATAGACGTCAACGACTGCCTCTAGGCGTGCTCTGGTGTTGGTGTATATCGAACTAGCAGAGGAGAAGGCGGAGAGGTGGCAACGCCTCATGACAATCTGGGCTGTCGTACACTTGGGTAGCATACTACTCCTATGTCGATTGACGAGAGAGTTGAGGTAGGGTCCTTGACTATGTACAACAGTACAGCACATGCGCCCGAAGGTTGGATGAATGCATATATACCTCTTGTATAAAAGACAACGGCAGGTAGAAGAGAACAAGTGGGATATGTTCCTTGATCTAGTATATACCCAGAAGCTTTGTCTCTCTCTACTCTTGGTGCCAGACTGGGATTCACTATTAGAGCTGCTGCTGCTGCTGTGGTCTTCATCAGTCCATATGAGAGTGTGAAAGTCGAAATGGGACCAGTTCATGACGGAGGCCAATGCTCCCCGAAGTTCTAGTAAGGTAGGACAATCACCACATAAGCAGCATCACGGCGCCTACTGAGGGAAGGAAGGCCTCTCAAGTCAACAGATTTGAAAATAGGTACATGTAGGGTTATGTATTTTACCCCCGATGATTCTTTTCCTCTCTCTCTCTCTGAGAATAGAACAGAATAGAACAGACCACCAACCAAAGCACCTTGAGAGCGCGTCTATCTTACCTTACGCTTAACTTACCTTACATTTAGAATTTTTGTGTACCTGAATAAATAAGGGTAAGGTCGTACCACAGCTTTTTGTACGGACATTTTATATGCTCTTCTGGGCGGCTGGTGTTTCAGAACGGCCTTTTTTCTGCTTTGCTTTGCCAAGCGGCGGCTGCTAGCGACTCAGTTTCAGTGCACCCCCCGATGCCCCCCATGCGACGACGAAAGGTTGTCGGACAGTCGGACTTCAGTCGGACGAGACCGACGAGTGCCTACTCACGCTCACGAGAGTGGATCCACCACGGCGACTCGCTTGGACCCTCTTTATTTTTGAGTTTTGGTTTTTGCGTGTTTGCGATGCTCATGTGCAACGGTGGAAAAAAGAGTGTATCGTGTGATATGACTATGATGATGATGATGATGTAGTAAGGTATGCTTTCGGTGTAGGAGGAGGGGAGGAGTAAGGTACAGGTAGTGAGTGACGGATGGAGGGGATGGTTTGCGGCACACACTGGACCAGCCTGGAATGATGAGATCGTGGTGGCCCGACTGGAACTACTTCATCGCAGCATGCCTTTTGACTAACTACCTAACTGAGTCCTGACAACTGACCCGCTGGGGACTACCTAGCAGCAAAAACAGGAACTTCGGAAGCATCGCAATAAGCGAATGGGATTGTCCCCCTTTGTAGCCTATCCGCTGGTCTCTTATGCAGTCTTGCTCAGTGCAAGGGTGTCCTCCGCGTCCCACTATGGACCAGCCCAGCCCTAGTCTGAAAATTTCGAAGGGCTGTATGATATAAATCGTCACAGTGATTATGCAACCATTAAGATACGGCGCGTTCGACGCGTACGTCTCGTAAGCACAAGGGCCCGAGAGAGAGAGATAAACCATCCTCGTAGAATGTCTCCTGGCGCCCGCTGCAAGTCGTGGATGGCAATACGATAGTCTCAGGAGGCATGCGCTGCCCGGCTGCCGGCGCGGGTTCGTGGAATGGCTGGCTCCGGACACGCGCAGCACATGTCGCTGTTTGCCACGAACCACGAACCGCAGAGAGGGAGGCAGTGGAGGTAGTACTGGGGGGAAATCAGCATGTCTGTAGTAGTCTGTACCACGGCCTGCAATCGCACGAATGTGGATATCAATATCCGCTGCAGAGTGAAAGTGCCGACCACCAGTTGGGCCAAGTGCTCGCTATATGCCATAGGCGCGTTCTAGTGCCTCTACATGATACGTGCAATACGTGCAACACGTCAGGTAGATACTACCTCCTAAGGTCACAAGCTGTGAAGCCACCAGCAGACACGCAGAGTCTCACCTGCGGTGGATCACCAAGAGAGCACGAATGTACGTAGCCCCAGAATTAGTAGGCAGGTGGTTGCGTATCACGAGGCCCTGCAGAAAGAGGCCAGAGACTACCAGTAGAGTCTGAGCCAGAGCCAGAGCCAGAGCCAGAGGAGCCAGAGGATCTACAGCACAGTTAGTGCGCGCACTGCGCAGAACCCCTCGCATAGAGTCTTTGTCCGGAACCTGGCGCCAATAATTGAAGATGCGCAGTTCGACATTGCGACATGAGGATGGGATGGGTGGAGGGGGGGAAGGGGGGTGTGCGCGATCCAGTGTCTAGTTGTTCACGAATCACGATGGCCAGCCAGCCAGCCAGGGTAGAGAGGCTAGAGAAAGGAAAGGGAGTTGTTTCTGGGTGCACCAGCGTCTACGATGCGGCGATGCGTGTGGGCGTGTGGGCATGTCCATCGGGTTCAGGTTGATATGAAACACAGGCGGAGAGTGGCTTTGCCCATTTGCCAGGCGCTCAGCAATATATTTTTCTTTTCTCTGGGCCTTTCAGGCTCCAGGTGTGAAACAGGACGGACGCGCTGGCAGGCAACTCTCAGCCGTTCGATGGCCCTTGGCTCCCCTGCTGCCCGCTACCCGCTGCGGGTCGGCGTTAGCTGGGCCGGAAGCCGCCCAATCACATGCGCCCGGGCACGGAGTGGGGCACATACCAAAAACTCAAGGCCTCTCCCTCCACGCCCGCGACGGTATCCAGTTCTCCTGCATGACAGGACAGGCGCCTGGCACGCCTGGCCTCGAATCAGCAGCACCAAGAAGCACAAGCAGCATATCGCAGCTTCATAAGTAGTCGGCGCTGGTATGTGCTGAAAACCCTTTTCTTCCCCCGTCCTGTTCTTCTTCATCACCATCTCCAACCTCACCTCTCCTCACCGTCCCGTTACCGCACCAGCACTGAGCCATCTGTCCTCCCCGGTCCGGCCACTCAGTCCCCCAAAAACGCCGAGCTGCACGTCGCCAGCCAGAGCCGGACGATTGCCCCGCCAAGCCATAGCCACCGACCGCTGCATCGTGGACCACCAACCACCAACTCCTGCGCCAGTGCTACGACCACTTCAATTTTCCGATACATCTCCCAGCACTTGTCCGCAGGCCGGCAAGTCTCCGCCTTAATCAATCATTCATCATCACCATCTTTTCCACGCTGCGAATCTCGTGCCGGTTTTTTTGTCCTAAACCCAAAGGTTGATCCCCGGGAGCCTATCAAGCGCACACCGTCATTTCAAGAAACCTCTTCTCTGAGAGACCCCAGCTCCCGCTCTCTGCCTAATCCTCTTGTCTGTCTATCGAGACAGCTCATTATCAGGCTGCAGCGCGATTGTCTTCTCGTCGCTATTGTTGTCAACGGGCTTACGAGCCTATTCACCTCGCGGACGACCCCCCAAACCCTATTGTGTGAACTGCCTGTTATTGTGCCAGGCAACACTCCCACTCGAATCATCTATTCCCTATTGTCACCATCTACAATAGGTAGTCTTTCCATATAATCCCCTCGATCTACCCTGGGACTTGTCGACGGATTTACCGACATCAACCGTGGATTAACAACGACATCGACCACACATATCTCACCCACGATGGCTTACTCACCCGTCACACCAGAGCAGAACGCTGCTGCCTTGCAGCACTTCATCTACCAGCCTGTCTCGCAGCACATGGTCAGCTATCTCGCCAGTAAAGCAGCACAAGTCATCCGCTGCGAAAGCAGCCAATCGACTTCGATCCACAAGGCACTCCCGCCTACACCTCCGACCACTCCTCCCCAACAACAAAATGCGTCGTCCTGCTTTGAACCTTCGCTTCCATCGCTGGAGCTCTTTATCACTGGACTTGTCGAGAAGTCACATGTGCAGGTGCCTACGTTGATGACGTCTCTCGTCTACCTGGGGCGGTTACAACAACGTCTGCCTCCCGTCGCCAAAGGCATGAGGTGTACTGCGCATCGAATCTTCTTGGCTGCTCTGATTCTAGCTGCCAAGAACCTCAATGACTCCTCTCCAAAGAACAAACATTGGGCTCGATACACTGCCGTCCGTGGCTTCGAGAACTTTGGCTTCAGCCTGACCGAAGTGAATCTCATGGAGAAGCAACTCCTGGGATTGCTCGAGTGGGACTTGAGAGTCACAGAAGATGATCTCTACTTCCATCTCGACCCTTTCCTCGCACCCATCCGCACTTTCCAGATCCGCCAAGCAGAGAAGCAGCGGATGCGGGACGAGATTGCGGCTCTCGAGCAACGCCAGCGCGCAATTGCTGCCGAGCAGCAAAGACTGGCTTCAATCGAATCTTCTCGCTACTACGAATCCCCACGAACCGTGGGGCAGTACACATATCAGCAACAAATGTACTACTCCGCTCCGTCAACATCATCGTCATCAACGTCATCATCACGGGTGCCTTCGCGAACGCCCTCTCTATCGCCACCAACACGAAGTCACTCTGCAGCCTCATCGGTGTCTGCAGAGTCATTTGCTTCCACGTCCTCGCCATCTAGCCTGATGTCTTCGCACGCCGACTCCAACTACGAACTCCAATACAAGCAGGCGCAACCCATCATCAGCCATAGCTTGCCGCTCGAGCACACCGACCTGCCTCCCAAAAAGCACAGGGTTAACATCTTCTCGCGCTTCCTCCCGTCTACCCTCAGCCGTACTCAAATATCTTCGAACAACGTTGCTGGATACTAGGATCAACTTGATAAGAGAAGTTCTCCGACTTTCCCACGACACGGCTTTTCTTTTTTTGCTATCAGGGATTCCACGCACACACGTACCGTGTAATAAATGAGACGATTCAGCATTCTGGGCGGGACAATGGCGAAGGCAAAGGCGAGACTTGTGTCATTTTTTGTTTTGGCGCAACCGGCGAAAGGGGCATTCAAACGAGCATGATTGATTGATTGATTGATGGATTGATTGGGGAGCTGGCATGGATTCATGACTTGATGATAAACATTCAACTGCATGGCGCAGCGAGAGGGCGTTGCGCTACGAGCTGGCTCGTATGAACGAGCGATTCTTGACAAGAGGGCGGAGTTGACGCAGCATGATACCACACTTTTTTTGACGCATGGCGTGGCGTAGTTAATGAGAGAGACTTTTGCATTTCGTTCTCTCCGCAAAAAGCTACGTGACGAGAAATGGTTGATAGACTGGCAGTAGTAGTAGCAGAAAAGTACCTTTGATGGCATGAAACGAACGAGAGAAAAATAAGACTGCCTACCTGACCTTACCTTGCCTTACCTTACTATCTCCAGCCGATTGAATTCCTGGGTACTTGCCTCACTTGCCTTGCCTCAACTTCCTCTCGCTGTCGCTCTTTCCTTTTTTCTTCATTCCTTCCTTCCTCATCCCCGATCTAGCTTCCCAAAGAGGTATCCTCCCGATATACTCTTTTCTTCGCAACGGTTTTTGTCTATTTTTTGGGGACGTTATTAAGCGGTTGACTCTCATGTAGGTACCTGACTAAGGTAGTGTTATAAACTTTACTACCGGCATGTATAATGTACATGTAGGTATGGTATATGTTTTTATTTGTGGAAACATGCCGAAAAGTATAGGCAAAGGTAGGCAATAACGGCAACGTTGATGTTTTCCGAAAGTCAACTTGTGTTATGGTATGTTGAATACTGGATATAAAATATACTACATATTTACCTGACGTTTTTAAATGTAAATAGATACTTTGTCGACAAATTCTCTCTCTTTCTGTCTTTGAAAAAAACAAGGAAATTTAAGTAAAATAAATTCGGCCCCGCCTTCAAACGGAAACAGTTTATATACCTACCTAGAAGAAAGGTCCTGCGATTTTACCGGATTCGAGGGGCGTTTTACATGTATATGTGCTTTTTGTTGTTTCGAAACATGTCCGACGACGACATTGTTCATCGTTGATCATCGTCATCATCATCGCAGATTTCCAGTTGTGTGTCAAACGGTAATGACAGGCATCGGATCGAGGTAGGTACATTACATGTCAGGTGTCTGCCGGTTTGAGATAGAGATCGGAATTTCCTCCTACAAGTATTGGCGGGATCGAGGTGAAGGACATTATGTATATTGCTTGCTTGCATGAGATGCATCTTCTAGGTTTAATGCTCGCGCATGTTGGCATCTTCGATCTAATGGCAAACTGCTTTTCGCAAAAGTTGTCCTCCGATGATGTATGCATGCGAATGGCCAGGGCTCTGCTACCAGCTCACCAGACCCTTTTCACGATCAAAGCCACCTCGTAATTGGCGTTCTGGCTTCACGACTTTGCCTTGCATCACCGTATACCGCACCACGTTCTCACAGTCCTCAGGTCTGATTCGCGCCAGCCAAATGCACTGTGCCGCTTCACCTTCCTCCATCTTGGAAACCCCGGCAATCTGCTCTGGAACGGTTCTGCTGGGTTCTGCGCGACGGTATATCATCATGTTGGCACTGTACTTGTGGCCTCCGACGTGATTGATGAAGTAGATGCCCACGCCTCCGGGTCGTTCATCGTGGAGATCTCGGTAGAGACCCAGAGGGCGGAGGTGTCGCTCGAGTTCTTTCCGCAGAAGAGGTGCAGACTGGCCGCAGCGGGCATCTCTTGTCGCATGTGAGCAGAGAAGGATGACATATTTGTGTGGGCAGGCCCGTAGCGAGATGCCAGGTGGCAAGTCTGTGGGTGCACGAGGTAGAGGGGTGTGTGGTACATCGCCATTGCCATTCATCTCCTTCTCTTCACTGCTACCACGTTCGGGCTCGAGGTCGAGAGGGGTCGTCGTAGTAGGTGCTGTGTTGATGACACTCTGTATGAGTTGAGGTACCTGCTTTGGTGTGACATTCTCGATCCAGGTGAATGAGGGCATGAGCAACACAGTCGTTGGTCTGTCAACTCCATAGGGTCCAATATGGTCGCCAGCAATAGTCGGTGGTGGTATGTTGCTGGCGCTCAGCATCAGCTTACCGTCAACCTTGTCAATGTGGTTGCCCACGGCCTCCATCACGCTGCCTGGGACATCTTCCACTGCTCGGACCCAGTCCGTCTCGCCTGTCGCCACGATGAGATGCCGTGAAAACCCATTGATACCGCCATATAGCTTGTCCTCTTCATCAATCGACCATTTCTTGGGATACTTGATCGAGCATCCTTCACAGTCATGTAGGCATTCCTCTCCGTCCACTTCGGCCGTCGTCTTGGGAAAAAGAGCGTCTATGGCTTTCGCCGTGTAGAATCCATCGGAACGCGCTTTGAGGACCTCGTCGCCGCCGCCCGACGTGACCTTTCGATATATTGAACGCAACATGCCTGCGGGCGACATGGTTGATGATGCCGTGCTCGTTCCTTATCAGATCCTTTGCGCGGCGCCGATTCCGCGTCGGAGAATAGTGAAAACGCTCCGTGATTGGTAAGATTAATGAAGACGGAGGCAGGCACTTTGTACGACACCTGACGAAGTACCTTACATGTACCTACATGTACATATTTGGGATGAGGCAGCATAAAAGACCATACCTTTTAGTGAAGTGATCGTTTGCGGACAGTCGCGTTTCTATATTTCCATTTTCCACCACTGTAGGGAGCTCGTAACTCCGAGTCACAGCACCGGCCTCCGAAGCAGACTGGGCTTCTTCCGGCGCTGCCTCGTGCGAACGACTACTCCTTCCGCCTGCCACCCCACAATGTTCACTCTGATGGCGCCATGGCCACTACATCGAGGCGCGTCGTGTTCTTGGCGGGAGCTCCAGAAGCGGCATGCCTGGCCTGGGACGCGCAGAGCTGCGCAGCCAGTTTGACTCCTCGATTCCAGCGATACCTCGGAGTCGCGGATCGGGACAATGAAGCCTTCCTCCATGCTCAGACCCAGGCGACGGCACTCGCCAAGTGGAGGCATGTGCCGCTGAAAGGCGAGGCCAAACGGGCTGCAGAGGCCACGACTACTGAAGCACCGCAGTTCCTATCCTTCGAAGATGAGGGCGAGGACCAGCCCAGCCAAGAGTACATGAGATTCTTGGAGCATTCTCTGGCAGTGCTACAGAATCTCGACTCTTCACAGGTTGCAGCTCCCGACCAAACGACTTACAACGAGACCACCTTCGTGAGTGCTCTTTCTTTTGTTTCAGACCTCTCTACTTCGATCCCGCCCAGCTACAGAGGCTCGTTTTCCACGAATGCTTCCGAACAGCCTTCGCAACACATTGTCAACTTCACTGGTCCAATCACAGACCTGCGAACGATTCCTACCGCCCGTTACCTCGAGTCTATACACCCGCAGACCATGACGATCAACTGTCTCGTGAGTGTCATCTCCATACAGCCGACACGCACAGTTAAGCTTCGCAAGCGAAGTGGAGAAATGGACATTGTGGAGGTTCTGGTTGGAGACGACACCAGAGCGGGCTTCAATGTCAGCTTCTGGTTACCTCCTGCAGACAGCCAGCATTCCACACGGTCCGACCCTGTACATGGTGGAAGAAGTCTAAGAGATGTTCTCAATCAGCTCAGACCCGCCGATGCATTGCTGGTTACCCACATCGCTCTCGGCGAATTCAAAGGCACTGTCTACGGCCAGAGTCTGAGCAAACGCATCACAATGAATAATACATCTATCTTTAAGCTGTCCAGCGAGACGATGGGCCTTCCAGCACCGTCGATGGCCAAGTTGACGAGGGTCATAGAGTGGACTGGCAATTTCGTGGGTAGACCAGTTCCGCGTACGGCATTCGCGGACCGTGGACGATCTACGAGTAATACATGCAATTCAATCTTACCCCCTGATACACAGACGGGTGAATTGTGAACTTCGACTGAGCTCGTACCACGAGAGATGTTGTATCAAATTGTGCGAGCACTTCGTCATATCTTTATAAAAAAAAAGGGTATCCCTGCAGAGAAGAAAAAGCTCGCACACTATATGGTCATTTGGTTTTGCATCCGAGACTCCAAGAATGGAATTTACCAGTCCGCATGGGTTCCATACATAGCTGTGCCGAGCGTAGCGAAAGCTCGGGTACACCCTGGTAATCTCTGCACTTGTGAGAATTGACGACTGGGAGACGTGTACCACAGCGGCACAGCCAGCGTCGACGGCATAACGCCTTCTCCCATTCACGAGACACGATGCCTGACCTTTGTCTGGAGGCAATCCTGTCCGCCTCCTAGCTCGGCCCACGCATTCAGAACCTCCTCGCCGGCAGACGTAATGCTCAGCATGCTAGCCCGCGCGTCGCGCACGTGGTCCCTGGTATCGAGTCTAGGCAGGACTGGTTGTTTGCCCATACTCACTCGGGTCTTTGTGACATCGATCTTTTGCAACCCATCGTGGGCAGGCGCAGGACACATTTCCGTTGACGAAGCTCCGCGAGGATGGTCAGATTGCGAGCTGACGTGAGGTGCCGGGTGATGTAGGACATTGTTCCTCGAAGCTGAATTGATGAGAGTCGCAAATGGAGAGGCTGCCATGGATGATACGCGAGGTTGATAGGAGCTCAGTTGAAGCGGTGCGGGTGACTCTGCGACCTTGCCATCGCCCTGGTTAGGCACAACAAGTCTCGATGACAGGCACGCCACGTCGTGAATCGAGTCATGCTGTGCGACAATCATGTCGGGAGAGTTCGTTCGATGTGTGCTGCATTTGCCGCTGAGCGCTGATACGGGAGATCTGTCCTTCGATTCACCCCGGATGGACGACGAAGATCGTCTGAGGCCCAATGTGCTCACTGTGTTGTTGGAAAACCCGCGTCTGTGACTCACGGAGCGCTGCGGGCTTCGTGGTGGGAGAGGGGGAGCACCAGTTTGATCCTCTTCCATCACGGGTGACGGCGACATGCTCGTAGTTTGTCGTGTTGGCGGTCGGCGCATGGTTCGTATGTTCGAATCAAGTGGTGGTACAGCGCCTTTGCTCGAGATGAATTGCTTCACTCTCATTCGGACAGCCTCAGCATCATTCAAGTCGGTCATCGAGGAGCAACTAGCCTTTCCCGAGATGCTCGTGGCAGGCGTACCATACGCGACCGGAGAATATCTGGTGGCGGGCAGCACTTCTCCGCTGGGTGCTCTTATCTTCCGTGCAGTCTGCGGCGCATCAGGCGGGTGTGATGCTAATGGTGCTGGTCCAGACATATTCAAGAACCTCTCCATCTGAAAACGGTCGTCGACTTGTTCTTTGCATATGGCGCTCAGCTGTCTGCGCATCTCGCTTTCTTGCGTCGGAGTTTGAGCAGATGCACCCATTTCAGTTGCGCGATACTCGCTCTTGCCCTTTCGCTCAACTTCGATACGGTTCAAGACATGTTCCTCGGCGTTACTAGAACGCGACGCTAGACGTTGCTGCTCGGTGCGAAGTGCTAATTGGTAGCCTTCGGTGAACGACATCTGCTGCATCGCAACGCGCTTTTGCCTCATGATTTCGAGTAACATTCTCTCCTCCTCGGTGATTGCGACCATATGCAGAGCGTCTTGTGACGCCCTGTTGACAGGGTCATCGTAGGAAGTCCCTGAGCTTCGAGTCTCTTGCGTCCGACTAGTGTGGCTGGTCTCAGTGGTCTCGGTGGTACAGGACGATTTCACACTAAGTCCATTCAAGCGCCGTAACGTGTCAGAGTCGGAAGCGATTGCGCTGAAAGAAGGCTGTTCCTGATGAGGCGGTAGCGGAGCTAGCCTGTCGCGGCGCTGTGTCGAGGGCGCAGATGTTGATGAGCGGAATGAGCTTCGACTGCTGTTCACTTGGTTATAGATGCGTATGTCACTGAGTTGTGTCGGCTTCGGCACTCTCATGACGTCTAATGTGGACGCATCCGCAACCATTATGTTGCGATCATCGAAGATACTGTCTCGGATTGCTGGTAGCTTGCCCCGAGCCCCGTCGGCCTCCTCCTCATCATTCTCATCTGATTCGTAGTCCTCATCTTCGTCTTCATACTCAGATCCCGATAACGACATTATACTATCTCCTTCTATATTGGACGACGCAACTCTATTGTGCGCACCATCGTACTTGCTACCCAGATGCGAAGACTGGATGCTGTCGGTTCTGCTGGAGTTGCTGCTCCGATTGAGGCGCGCGTGCCCCGGAGCATTTTCCACAGCCTGGCGAGGCGCATGGCGTGAGTCGATTGGTGCACTGAAGCCATTCGTAGATTTCTCAATCGCTCGCGACGCGTGTCGATGGTGGCCAGTATAGGCAGGTGGATGTAGATCATCGCCGGGAAGTTCCTGGGGCTCGGCTTCGTCAACCTCATCTGCAAGATCATCTTCCTCGTCGTCCTCGTCAAGATAAGCATCGAACCAGTTCTTAATTCCCTTTGGAGGGCGGCGAACGTTCGTCTTGTGCTGGTCGAGAATAGCTTCATCGAATGGTCTACCAAACCGGCCGCTACCCGATGCACTCTCCGAGCCTGCGGCCATTCTGGACTTCCTGGATTTGCGATCGGATGAGGGCGACGACGTGAAGTCGGTCATGGTGAATGGCGATCGAGAAAGTCGAGATTGGGAGAAGAAGCGCACGCTGGCTGACCTGGGCTGAGGGAATAGGTTCACCAGATCCAGACCTCGCGATCTGGAGCTCCTTCTCGTCGAGAATCTGCGAAAGTTTCTCGCCTGTGGCAAGTTCTCTTCAACAACTTCCGGAGCCTTGGAAGACCTGGTGCGCAGAGGTGCACGACCAGTGTTCTCGAAAATGGTAGGCGCGCCCTTGTAAAGTGCCATGTCCCGCACGGCAGACGCAGAAGTCTGTTGCGAAATGTAATAAGGATGCTGTCCAGGATCGTAGTAGGCGGGAAGCATAGCATCAGACGGTTCCCGGCGTAGACAGGGCAGGGTAGCGCTGTCGTGGCCTGTCGAACTAGGTTGCGGCCTGTAGGGATAAGCATCATCAGGGGAATAAGGACTCCACGAGCCACATGACTCGTCCTTCGGCGGTTGGGGAGAGAGAGCGTTCTGCATTTCGGACAGAGCTTCCAGCGCTTTGCCTTGCGTGGTAGTGGCCTGTGGTAATACCAAGGTATGAGTTGGATCCAGTGCTTCAACAGCGAGTTGTGGTGAGCGGGAGATGCGGATGTTGGCGTGCATCAGATGGGCTGCTTGGAGACCAGTTTTCGCAGAGCCAATTTGAACGACAACATCTGCGCCGTCCACGCTGTTGTTCTCCGGCAGCCATTCATCTGGAGCGCGCCTGATGAATTGCATCCTGGGCTCTCGCAAGATATCGTGATTCGTGTTTGGAAGGTCTGTTTGTTGGGTTGGACAGGGTGTTCGGCGGCTGAGCCGAGTTGCGTATGCCTGGTGTGATCCGTCTCGCTATTCCGAGCAGGCTGAATGATAAGAAGATCGCAGTCCATCTGCGACAGCGGTCATGATTATTGACGCTCTGCTCGTGGCTGGCTGGCTGGCGGCGACAGAGGATTGTTTTTGTTTGACGACGTGCAGCGTTCCAGCGCTGGAGGTCAAAAGGTCGAAATGGAGGTGCAGCGCAGTGGCCTTTCTGCAGACTGAGTACCTCCTATCGCCGGTGACCAAGACACGTAGGCTCGCGACCGGCCCTTTGGGGAGTGCCATGCTACATGGTCACAAATCACAATGGTGCTGTCGGGCTTATTGTTTCTCCCATCCACCCGCCCGCTCCAGCCGGGCCAACTCCAAACCTGGCCGTAGTAGGTAATGTAGCTAGGACGGGGGGCCTATTTACTCCTGCATACCTACAGGTAACAGCGGACGGGACCCTTGGACAGCACACCAGTCACCCAACCGGGGCGCTGGTGCTTTCACTTACGCACATGGTACCCTAAAGATCTCGCTCGCACTACTCCACACTGGCAGCGTGATCCATGATTCCCCAATGCGCGTGTGATTTGGGACACGAAAGGCATCCGCAAGCGCCATCCTGGGCAGAAGAAAGTGTGGAAGCACAGAGGCGGCGCAATCGAAGTAGAATAATTAATAATGTGAATGCAGCAGGCCCAGCAGCGTATATGATGATATCCGTGCGAATTCTCCGCGTGTCTCACTCGCACTGACCACCGTAGATCACCCGGAGCCGGATGCGCATCTCGCGTAGCCCCACTCGCCGGAAGCCGTCCGTAGGTATACACGAGACTCACGAGCGAGGGGTGGCAGCGGTGGCTCGACTGTTGAATTCTGCGACAACCAAGTGCACACCGCGCACCATCTGACAGCCATCAATGGGTGCGCCGTCGTCGTGATAACGTGGTGATGTACTAATGATGGCCCGATGGGATGTGTCAGATGAATCATGTTGGCACTCTGGCACTGGCTCACTGCCACAAGGGGTATGGAATACCCGTAGACTACTATATACCTGGTAATCATTTTCCACCACTACAGTACAGTACATGTACCTCCTGTCTTCCCATGGATCGGATACCATCCCACATCGTCTTCTCGTCGCGACGACAACAACAACAATCACAAGTTGGTGCATGCTCCGAGACAATGGTGATTCAAGTACAGGTACCTTTAATGGTCAAACCAAAAGACTCTCAATCACACATCTCAACATTCAGCGACCTCCATGCTGCCCGTGACCACATGGTCTGCCTGTTCATCAACCAACGCGTGTTGATTATACATTGATTGTACAGCAGCTCTCTTGCAGCACCGGGCAATGGCCAATGAGCATGGTCCTCTGGCGCCGCAAATTTGATTGCTGAGCGGCAATGAGGCCGTAGTTCACAGTAGTGCCACCGCACATGGTGTGGCGCCGCATGGGCCTGGCTGCAAGACCTGACCTGGCCTACCTCCTAGTCTGGTCAAACACCAACAACTTGCATTGACTCGAATGGGAACTCTTGGCATTGCAAAGCATCCCCTTTGGGCTGTCCGTCCATACACGTAGGTAAGTAAGAACATGTTTTAGGTATGAGGAGCCGCTCATACTTCAACTTTCTCACCGGTGGATTTCGTCACGCGCAAGGGCGTTGCAACCACAAAAAAAAAAAAAACAAAACAAAAACAAAAGCGGCTGGTCTTCACGTGCCCTTTTTCTATGAACATTCGGCTTCGCTTCGGTTTCGATCACTTTTAAAATGCGCGAAATACAAAGCTGCATCATGATACTATCTATATCAAGATTGTCCGCGACAGGCGATCCAAAATGCAATACAATAGAGTTGTGCCTGGGTGCCAACAGCCCACCTCAATGTGGGAAGGTTCCCCAACCCCATTCTGTGGAACGAATCCAGGTACCACAGGGTTGAACCTAGCTCACTGATGTTAGCTGTCAGGTACAAGACTGCAACTCCCAGGTTACTCCTTGTCCTCTGATATCGGGACTGACCACTAGTCTACTCCGAAGACTTTTCTAAAGTTCATGATAATTTCGTGAACCGAGTTGGCGACTTTGCGTGCTCGTTTTCTTCATCACGGCACTGACGGGACGGCAAGGAGTCGACACCTGGACTCATGTGACAGTTGCAAATCATTAGTCTCCGATTGATACACGTGGCACCCTCGCAAGAACAACCAAATACTTCAGGCGATATGCCAGTGGTGAAGGACCGCGATGCTTGATAAGTAGTGTCTAGTCTCTACTGTATCAACCGCGACGGCGGCGTCTCTTCTCGGAGTTGAGCATGATGATACTGGCATGAGGATGATTAGTTGAACTGGCTTACAGGTCCGACAGGGTTATCAAGGACACCTAAGCACTGACTACCTTGTCGTAAAGATGCAGTTCTTTCCGGATGTCATATACTTACGTGTGCAGCATGGGAACCAGGGAAACTGGGCGAAGAAGACGTTTTAAGAGATACCTCAGTATCGAAGCTGTCTGATGCACCTAACACCCTTCCACGTACATGGCGGTGGTCTGGCTTGATGACCCCTCGCCTTCTGTCATAGCCTCTTCCATTCTTTCTTATTGTTGACTGTCGCTGAATTGGCACTCGCGTATCTGAAACCAAGTCTACTCTGTCCTCAGACAGTTCGATAGGACTGACATTCGATAACCTCAAGCAAGGAGACGACCTGGGAGGAAGCCGGCATCTTTCTCCACGACTCACTCGCCCCGAAATTGTTTCGGTTCTGGCCCCAAGCACATACTGCTCTCCGTTGCTTCTCCGCGAGTAGTTGCCACTTCCGCTCAGTCACAGTATAGCCCACAATCCGGTCCATCAAATGTTTCGGAAGGTGGCTTGGCACACTAGTATTGCGGAATACACAGCTGCCACCTCTTCTCCCCACCATGTCCTCTTGCCAGCGCACGAAACGATGTGGCCCATTGTCTCCGACGTCAAGGCTCTCTAGTTTCTGGTTCACAGCTTGCAAGTCACTGCCATCACTAAAGGCACCTTTGCGATGTGGCTTGAAGATCATGCGGGGAGTGGTCGGTGTGTTCGTGACTTCGGTAAGTGCCAATTCGGGCTCTCCAGTTGACGCAATCGTGGTAGCAGTCAGCGTGTGTGCGTACGTGCCCTGCCGCGAGGCACCTGGCGACTTTGGTGAGCCATGGGAGCTGTTGCTGGGCGTCTGTAGTCGTGTTTCATTGCCCGGTTGAGGATGATTGCATGTAGAGCTACTGCGGAAGAGCGGCGGACCAGTATAGAAGACGGCAGGGTTGCGGTCACGCACTCGAGGTCCGAGTCCGGTCAGAACTGTGGCGGAGATAGCAGCACGGAGTCCCGTATGCCACAACTCTACCTGTGCAACACCTGTGTCGGCAATGATATGACGCATTAATTTTGTGCGGAGACTCTCCAGCTCAGATAGCTCGTGCTCGCCGCCATCAGCTGTCGCGATCGATCGGATGCTGCCTCGTCGGTCATGAGTACGTGCGCGTGTGTTTTCCAAACCCTCGGTCATAGATGCTTCTATGATACTGCCATCATCGAACATAAGTTGCCTCCTCACAGCCTCAGTCTTCTTCAGGAGATTCACGCCGTCTTTGCTCAACAATGGCTCTTGCGTGCTCCAGTCAAGACCAAGAGAGGCAGCTTCCTGAGCATAGGTTTTGATGCCCGAATTTGCCGCCGTAGCGTTCAAAAAGTCAATCAGCTGAATGGGATAGTGGTGTTCCTCGAGTACGTAGGACAACCATAGAGCCCCCGTATCATTCAGACCGACGTTTGTGAACGTGAGGTACGGAATGCCTCGTAGCCCACAACGGCGCTTGACGATTCCACCGCTGGTCATAGCATCGTCGCGGTGTGCACTGGAGGCCTCATCCTGGCAATGCGTTTCCTCGTTGTCGAGTGAAATCACGGATGTATCGCCCCGCGCACACACCGGATTGATCTGTGGCTCCTGAGCGTGAACGCGTGCAAGGATCTCGAGCGCACGCGCACCGAGGTTTCTGTTGCCGCTGAGATCCAGGCGTCGCATCTTCAGACAATGCTCGAACGAGCGTAGGAATATTTCCCAGTCTGCGGCCTCTTGGTCATTTTCCACTCTGATGTTGTTGTTGGCGAGATTAAGCGTCTTGAGATCGTAACGTGCTCGTTGAATAACTGGACCAAGTTGCGCAAGTGTGATAGTCGTGATTGCGTTGTCGCTGAGGTTGAGATCTTCGAGCAGCACCGCCGCACTCCTCGTTGTGCCGGCCTTCAGCGCAGCCTCCAAACCTGCTGCCAGCGCGCAGGCGCCCTCGTCGCCCAACTGCTTGGAGGGTGCTTTGATATCGAGCGGATGCACGAGAGCTTCTGTGATGTCGAGGCTGCCGATGGCGCTGATGCTGCTGGCAGTGCTCGACTTGCGCGCCCTTCGCTCGACATCCTTGACAACCTTGTCCGCCTCCTTCTCGATGTCTCTGCCGATGATGCTACCGAGCTTTGCGCCGCTATTCGGCCTGTTCGAGTAGTCGAACTTGTTTGACTTGCCCATGATCTTTAGCTGCTGCGTCTCACCAAGAAGGCTGACGTCGATGAAGTCAGGAGTCGGCGAGCAGCCCGGGCTGTGTGGACGCTTGTGCTGGGGTTTGGCTGTGATCGAAAGAGCACTGCAGAACTTCTTCAGTCCTCGGTCGAAGAGGTCTTGACGCCGCATCAGGAATTTCGTGTTGTTGTCTTGGTGACAAACGCTAGACAACAAACGACGCGCTTTTGCTTGCGCATTTCCGCGTCAAATTGGGCAGGGACTACCCGCAGCCGATCCACCAACAGTGCCTAAGGTGCCATCTTTCCTGCTGTGAATGAAGCATGACAGCATTTCCGCGAGGTAGGTACTTAGATAAGATAGGCAGTCAATGCAAGTGCGCTCATCATATTCACGAACAGTGCGCAGACCAGCCGAACTCTCGACAGACCTCTGCCGTCCGCTTTCTTCTCCTATGAGAATATGAGAAGCTGCACTGGTGTATTTCATCTTTCCTGCCATGATTAAAAGCGATCCTGCATGGCATGGCAACGCGCAGTGTTTCACCAACGCCACACTTTTCAATGCCTTTCGTTCGTATACCCGCAGACTGTCACCATCCAGTCCTAGTCCAGTCGCCCGCACGCAGGCCCACCGTCTCGCTAGTAACCCGTCAATACACTGAGCTGGGTCTCGAATGCACTCTAGCCATCCTTGATTCGCACGGTACTATCCACCAGATGAGGGAATTCTCGAGCGAACCTCGTTCCAAGACTCCAATTGTGCAAGTCGCGCAGGTGATGCTCAAAGGCTGGATTAAGATCCAAAGTCTCACCATCGGCGCCCGTCGTGCTGATAAGTACGCAATCAGGGGGCAGCGGCCAGTTGAGCGATAACGTCGTCGTAAAGGAAACGAAGAAGTCTTCAAACTTGACCTCATGTTCTTGAAGTGCGAGTTGTGAACGTATGTGTGGCCTGGACTAAAGTCAGCAGCATGACCCGAACACCGCAGCGCGAATAATTTGTTCATACCATGGTAAATAGTCAGCCCACGCAACATGAGGCTTCTCCAGCTGTACAGCAGTTGGCCGGCACCATTCTGGAAGTCGTTCATAGCACTTCTCGCAAGGACAAATGAGCCAGCGCAACACCAGAAACATGATATACAGGACTGCGACCTTCTCCGGCAGCTGTTCCACGTCGGGAAACTTGCTGAGTATATCGATCAGCAGAGCTGATACCTGGTGGCATGGCGGTCGCGGTTGGCTGCTTTCCGGGTTCATGCTCGCAAATGCTGGATAGTCTGGCCCAATTGCATCGCGCATGGAAGCGCCGTCTTGCATCATCTTTCGACGGCTCCTGAAAGCATCTATGAGCAATGAATCTAGTGGACAAGATGGAGGCCCCTGATTTGTGATGCGAGCATAGACAGGCAGCTCATTCGAGGATTGCGACGGATGTGATTGTCCGGGCGAGGAGCTGTTGGACGGCTGAGTGGTATCGAGGAGGAAACTGAGGCCAAGACGATCGCCGTTGGTAGCTTGTTGTTGCTGTGGTGAATGCGACCTGGGCTGCTCGTAGCGTGCCTCGGTAGGGGAACGCGAGTAGTGTTGGTACGTGGTATGCTCAACATGCTTTCCTATGTTGTCTCTGTGAATATAAGTTTGTCCGCTTGTGGCAGAGTGGCAGCCAATAGGAGGTGTCTGACTCGCGGATTCAATTTCTGGTGATCTGAGCTGTGGGTGTAAGTTTTGCTGTGGCTGCTCACTGTAGCGCTGCCCTTGACCTTGGGAGATGCTCTGCTGGTTCAGCGCAGCCAGTGAAGGCAGCGGGCTCCGCTGTGCCGTCAAAGCTGCAAGCTCTATATCGTCGTCTGTGAGTAGGGATGAACAATCAATGAGTTCATCGAACGTAAACATACCATTGAGACCGGGACTGGATGCTTGTGCTGCCGCTCCTGCTATGCCTGCCACGGCACCAAGGCGCCGACGAAGTTCTTCACATTCTGCAAGCGCTCTGTCTCTCTCCTGCATCACACGCTGCAGGTCTTGAAAAGGCTGCTGGCTCTCAAGCTCTCGTATTCTCTGCTCCAGACCCTCGATCGTATTCCGAGTCCTTTCTCGTATAGCACGCTGTGCTTGTCTGTCGTTTGCGCGCTTCTTCGCCAGCTGCTCCGGCGTCAAGTTGGCCACGCCTCTGCTCCCTGGCGCGCCTGTTGCGCGTCTCTTGCGGGAATTCGTGGCATTAGGAGTAGAATCGTGGTCTTCCGAAAGAGCCGCGGTAGCGGTGGCTGCTGCTTGCTCCAGTTCTTCGTTGCCGTTGATTTGTGTTCCATGTGATAGATAGGGAGCTGCCTGTTCCGCTGGTTGCTCCATCTCGCGAGAGTTGATGATTCTGATCGTGATGGACAATTCTTGTCATGCGACCGAGGTTGAATAGAAACCACTGACTCATTCAGAGTTACAAGGATCACGAATCTGGGGCTCGGCCCCCTTGTCATGCAGACTTAACCAGGTTGTCCTTCGTGCTGTCGGATAGATCAAACAATTATGGAAACGACGTTAGGTAAGGACACATCCTCCAAAAACGCCGTCGAAGTGAGCCTAATGCACAGGTCTTTCATGGAGGTACACAGTCCGGTGAAGTGAGAAAAGGTAATGCGATAGCCAGCACGTGATATCGCGAGCTAGCGCGTGGCGACCATTGGCGCGTCTCTTTTCGTCCTCCTTGCTGCCATCGACGTTCATCTTGACACACGACAACACCAACTCTCTTACCAACTTTGCCACGATGGCTTCACGTCCCACAGCGGCCTCCAAACGCTCTACTATCCTGCCTTCAACAGAAACAACTGTGAAGCCCCCGTGCAAAATACACCCCTCAGCCGTGATCTCTGACAAGGTTCAAATTACTGGATCGCATGCCGTGGAGGTGTGCGAAGAGAGTGTGTTACATCCGCATTGCAAGATCAAGGCAGAGCATGGCATAGTGTACATCGGCAAGAGCACAATCATATGTGAGGCGACCGTCGTAGGTGCCACCGAAGAGGGCAATGTGATCGTTGGAGATGGCGTTACAATTGAAGCTGGGTCCGTCGTGGAAGCGAAGAGCATAGGTGATGGGACAGTGATAGAAGCAAAGGTGAAAATCGGGAAAGGCGCAGTGATTGGCAAGGTAGGGCTGAACGAAGCTGCGTACTACTCGTAGCACAGTACGGATGCTGGGTGTGCTGACCATGTCAACAGCACTGCAAGATTACGCCAATGATCGAGATCGCTGCAAACGAACAGCTACCAGACTATACTGTAGTCTACGGCGACAATCAGCGACGCCACAACCAGACCATGGCCGGTAATCCTGAAGTCAGAGAGGCGAAGCGGAAGGGACAAGCATTACACATTGAAATGCTTAAGAAACTGATCCCCAACGCTTCACACAAGTGGACCTGATCTAATCTATGCAAGCACGAGCTGCGCAACGACTCACAGGCTACCAAATACAGAGTCTGGCAAAGTCCACCGGTGATACTATGAGGTATACTATCATATTACGTGCTGAGCTGAAATCAAGCTTTGAATTGTAGCTGATATCAAGAATGCGGACTCATTCTGGAGTCCTGGAGAACATGGCGAGCGGCGCCAAGTAATGCCTCCTAGAGACTCGCTGCTTCTCTTGGCTTCTAGCACCAAAGACCAAGTGGTGTCATGACGGGCCATGAATGAAGAGATCATCATTCCTCTATTACGAGATCTTTGCATTCGAGCATCAGGTTGCTCCAGGTATTATCAATCTTGCAGTGGCACTGAGCTCTGGGACGCTTCTGAGACCATGTCGCAAGCTCTGGTCGCAGTTCCAGAAATTCACCATCGTGCAGTCCAGATCGAGTGCAAACACTGCTAAAAATTTTGAGTCATAACTCTTCCGGATAGCCTAACAACCTTGCCTGCCGAACCATTGTGAGTGCTGAAGTTATGGCGGGGGCAGGGATCGAGCATCGGCTCGTGTACATGGACAGTAGGCCACGCCGGAGCATCCCAAGTTCATGTTGCTTTCAGACTTATCATTGGAACAGAACATGACCCCGTGGCGAAAGACGAAAGATGACTACGTGGATGATTGTGATGTGGGGAAACCCCAGATGTACATGTGCATGTGTACTACACATGTAATAAGAAAATCGGAATATTTGACGCCACCTTGCGACACGACGGCCATGCAGCGAAGGAAACCAGAGAGCGAAGACGTTGCTGCGGTGCTCCTGTGATCCTTCTGCACATGGAGCACACTTTTGTCGATGCCGATGAGATTATTAGCGGTGATCCCTGGGGAACGGGGTGGCCATCAATTGCGTTATGCTGTTGGCGGCTGATCGGGCAAGGTATGTGAATGAAGCAGCCACAGCGTGTGAGCGGTATGTATGTATTGACTGACTGCCTTGAGCCTTGGCCACTCACTGCCACTCCGCTTTTATAAGCTATCATCCTGAATTTCAGCTGAAAAAAGCCTGCACATTACATCAATACAGTACCTAGTCGCTCCTTTATTCCGATTCCCAACACAAGCCTGGAAATATTGCGGGTCACTGCATCACGCGTGATATGTCGCCCGACACATGCGCGACCGCGCGATCCAAAGCGTCAAAAGAAAATCGATCTTTTAACGCTGGCGTCACACTGCCACGTTGCACCAAAGAGAACGGAAGCTTGTGGACAGCTGCAGGAAACCAAAGTCCGCAGCAGGCAATACTCGATCCCGCGGATCAGGCCCAACACAGCGTTTGCTGGTCGTCGGGGACTTGTGCACCTGCTGAGATCGAGCGTGTGAAAGGGTTTGAGATTGTCACACCGCCCTGATATTTCCTTTTGGCTGGTTTGTGACGAATAGTGCCGTGGTTGTAGGTACAAGTAATGTAGGTACCTACCCAAGGTACCAGGTCGGAACATACGGTCAGTTAGGTAAGGTACAGTGTAAGGTAAGGTATTCTTGGCTTGTTCAAAAGCAAGGCAGCACTTCCGCTGATGCAGTCACGCCATGCCTCGATACATGTAGTCCAGTACAATCGTGAAGGGTGGAGGGTGGGCGCGAGGCACAAGTATATTACCTTAAGGTACCTATTATTGAGCCGATTAACCCCGCTAGGAGGTAACAAGGATGATAGCGGCAAGGTCGTCCGACTCGTCCCCCCGGGCCCCCGCTCGTGCAACTGGCGCCCGCGACGACAACCTTACTTGAGCATCATCAACTTCCACTGGTCGACACAAACCTACCTTAACATACCGACCTTAGCCTTCCTTCCTGCTACCACAATTTCTGTCCTGGCCCTGCTGGACAGCTAAGTTGATATACTACACGCAATCAGCCACTACAGCGCTTTTTATCCAAATATTCAGCTGCCTCCCGTCGTCTTCGACTTCGACTAAAGACACCTCAAGCAGCAGAGATGGGCAAAGTACGTCATCGTGTCCCCAGTTTTCCCCTTCACTGGCGGCGAGTCTGCTCGTCGGCGTGCCAATGACAGCCATCGAGTCCTTTCACATGCACAGCCCGGACGTTGCTGTATGCCAGGAGTCCGGAGTACTTCCCGCTAACCTGTCACTTTCGCAGGTCAAGTACATTCTCCTCGACTGCGACAATACCCTCTGCCAGTCAGAGCGTTTGGCATTCGAGGCATGTGCCGATCTCACCAACGAGGTGCTCAAGAAATATGACATCGATGCCACCTACACCACCGAGAGTCTTCTCGAAGATTTCGTTGGAAACAACTTCCGGAACATGCTCATCGGCCTCCAGAAAAAGCACAACTTCAGCATGTCACAGGCCGACATGGAGAAGTACGTTGACATGGAGCTCGATCGTGTCACAGCCAAGCTCGCTGAGAAGGCTGTCGAATGTCCAGGCGTGACTGAGCAGCTGGAGTGGGCCAAAGCTCAAGGCTACCCGATGTCTGTCGTGTCAACTTCGGCCAAACCGCGTGTGGTTGCATCGCTGAAGAAGTGTAATTTGATGAGGTTCTTCACGGTGCGTAACTGCCCATTTCTCGCTTCAATGTTTTACTGACGTCGTGCAGGACGAGCACGTCTACTCCGCAGCCACTTCCATGCCAGACGGGCCATCGTCCAAGCCAGATCCCAAGATTTATCTGTACGCCTGTGAGCAGCTGGGCGTCAAGCCAGAAGAAACACTCACAGTCGAGGACTCAAAGTCGGGTGCGACTGCTGCCATGCGTGCTGGTATTCCACTGATTGGATACGTTGGCATCTATGGCCTCGAAGAGGGCAAGGAGAAGGAAGCGCAGATGGTGAAGACTTTGACCGAGGTCACTAAGGCAGACTTCATCATGCACGACTGGAAAGAGTTTCCGGAAGCAGTCAAGAAGATTGAGGCGAAGATGTAAGGTCAAGGAAGAAGCCTCACAGGGAAATGTGACCATTTCTCGGCGTACTGGTGTAATAGGCCATGCTGCACAGGTGTAGATATAGATGCACAGACAGGAGCATGCACGCTGCACTCTTGCTTTTCATACTTGTTCAACATCTTTTATCTTGCCGTTACATCAAGCTCACAAACATCGCAGTGTCCGGGAGTCATCCATGAATCCCATGTTCAAAGAGAGTTCCAGAAGAAAGCGTTGCTCTTGCCTCGCCAAGCCCCCATCAAGGCAGACGCACCGAGCGCTACAGTTTCGCTTCCCTTCACCATTGGAACCTCAACTCACATCTTCACCAGGAAATAGACACCAGGCCACCAGCATGCTGCCGGTAGCCCCATCTGCCACCGCCGCACCGGCTCCGCGTGCCATCAAACGTAAGCGGGCACAGGTGTCCCACCTTCAAGACGACGACTTCGATCAGCTCGACATTGAACCGCCCAAGCACATGCAGAATACCGAGAGCAGCGATGACGAGGCTTATGGCCGCAAGGTGACATGCCCTCCACAGACAAAACATTCCGCTTCAAGCTCGACCCTCTGACATCTATTTAGCGGAGCATCAAGAAGAACCCCGTCGAAATGACGGCGAAGAAAGAGCCAAACCTGCCAAAGAAGACCAAGCCGTTTCGCTTCATGGACCTGACCGCTGAGCTTCGAAACGAGATTTACGAAGTTGCCCTGACAGAGCCTAATGGGCTCACACTCGTTACAAAGAGAGCAGGACATCGTCGCAGCATTCAGCGTGGTCCCATCTCTGTGTCGGAGGACAAGAACTACTACGGCAAGGTACGCCGTCGTCCTCCACACTTCATTCACCGACAAGAAGGCGTCCGGAGTGAGCAATACACCAATGTGCGTTCGTTGGTGCCCAACCTTCTCGCCGCCAGCAAACAAATCCGCGACGAGGGAAGCAGCTATCTCTACAAGCAAGAATTCATTCTTGCTGATACGAAAGCTCTACACTTATTCGTGGCCACCATTGGCAGTCATAATCGTCAGCTCCTGGCACGACTTACTATTCGTGGATGGACAGAAGGTACGCATACACAGATCACTGCTCCGAATGTCACACTGGCTAACGAAGTTCAACTTTCAGGAGGTCACAACTTTGGTGCGTTCACAATGCTGCAGTTCTGCCCAAATCTCCAATGTCTCTTCTTCGACTGCACTCTCAGCCGCTACCGTCTTCCCAGAGACCTTGCTCGCCAAATCTACTGTGATAGCCACCTTTTCCTCGATGCCATTTGTGTAGCACAGGGTAGACCAGATGCAGCCCTCGAGATCTTGCGATTTGGAGATTGGCATTTCAACAAGAAGCGTTCCCCATTCGACTTCCAGGTCGCGGATGGTGATCCAGAGTTCGATCAAAGCCAGAGGGATGAGTTTGATAGAGAGCTGAGAAAGCTGCTGACCACTGGTGTAAGGCGCTAGAACCGAAGAGTCAATAGAACATGCCCGGCGTGCTGGAGGAAGATACGACGGTCCGGAGCCATGTTTGCTGATGTTAGTTGCTCTAGCAAATATGGTTTCTTCTCGACAGGAGCGTACCTAAGGTAGCGACAGATCATAATAGTGACACTTCTGTCCTGATAGCACGACGGTTCTGCTCTATGAGAGGGTCTCACTCTTGCATTCAATGTCCAATGATTTCCAACGACTGCTTTGAAATCGTCCAATCTCATGCTTTATTGCGAAATTATTTGGTGCAGTACCTACATGTAGTAAGGAGCCGTCCGGTACCTATAGATCTACAGCTGGCAGTGAGTTTGACACTTGGCACTTCATGGAGCAGCTTCCTCCTTCCCGTCGTATTCAGTCTCCTACTTCACGTCACCTCATTACCTTCTAGATATTTCATTCACCAATATGCACGCATCCGGCTTCGCGAACGCCCCCGTGACCCGAGTTCTCGTAATTGCAACAGTAGTCATATCCTTCCTCGCGACACTGACTGACACAAAATACTACGCTTGGATCGATATCCGTCCGCACCTCTTTGACTACCATCAGTTCTGGCGACTGTTCACATGGCAACTATGCTATACCAACAGCACAGAAGTGCTCTTCGCAACCATGACACTATACAACTTACGAGTGATTGAGCGGCTCTGGAGCAGCAGGAAATTCGCTGTATGTCCGGACCACAAGCCACCACACTCCGACAGTCCCGCGAGGAGATATCGCTGATGGGTAGGTGTAGTCTTTCCTTGTATCCACTTATATCTACAACGCTCTTATTCCGCCGATCCTGTTGGCTGCGGTCATTCGGCCGCTGAGCCTGGGCAGGATCAACTTACCTGCCGGTCCCACGCCCATGGTCTTTGCTCTGCTCGCACAATATCATGCTGCCATACCGTACATTTACAAGTACCGTCTCTCGGGGTCGACGACAGCGAATGCGCAGGATTCTTCTACTACTGCGGGGCTGATGCTCACGTCGAAAGCGACATCGTACCTTCTACCTTTACAGCTTGCCCTTTCGCAGCTTCCAGGCTCCGCGATCACGGCCGCGGTGGGATGGGCTGTTGGGTGGGCTTACCGGAGAGAGATCCTGCCGGGAGCGACGAGATGGCGTCTGCCCACGTGGGTGCTCGGTGGAAGTGAACAGAAGGAGCGATATGATAATTTGCGGCGGAGACTGGAGGGCGAGGCTGGCACAGCTACAGGCGTGGAAACCAATACAGATGATCGGACGAGGAGGAGAGGCGTGTTGGGAGGACTGGCGGATCAGTTCAGAGGAGCATTTTGATGATCTCTAGCGGAAGGCTACGTACACTGCGGACAGCTCTCTGGACAACCACCACACGGGTGTCTGGATGAATGTTTCCCAAAAGAGACACCGAGGTCGCTCATGATGGGGAAAGATTTGTCGTTTAGACAGCCGACTTCTTGATGCCAATCATCTCGCTCTGGAGCCATTGCTGTGAGGCAGGCAGAGGGTCGGTTCTATCTGATAGGACACTCAGTCGAGGAAGGCATATCACAGATTGTAGAGATGAAGATACGATTGGACCGAGATATTTTGCAAAGCTCGACTGGTTGTATGCCTCGAATTCACGGTGCAGAGACGATTTGGCTTTGATTCTTCTGCTTTATCGTTGTATGATACCTTACCTACCTGTAGGTAAGTACCTAGGCAGTCAAGCCATAGCCATTTCTGGCAGCCTCAAGCTGCCAGCTGCCAAAACTCCAGATCTGGCGCAAAAGGTTTCCAAATCTCGAATGGGCAGCACCTTTCGGCGGGACGGATTGAAATGCTCAATCAACGCAAATTAATTGGTAGGTAACATAAAGTACTATTATCCTGTTACTCTGTTCGACCGCTTTCCATGTGTGATCATTTCAATCATTCCTCGTGAAAACCTGTCTGCTTCTTCCTGTTGTCTTCCACCTCAATCCAAGGTCGCCCCTGCGCCTTCCAGGGTTTGCGGACTTTCTTCATCACAAAGAAACGGGAGTATCCCTTCCTATGTACTCTTGGTTCACGATCGGATTGTCTAGTTGCTGATCTTCGTCCGCTCAATTAGTCTCCCGACTCCAATCACCAATACATTCAAGATCCTTATCGCCGTTGGCGAAGTCCCAGCCCACGATGAACTTGTTTTGACTACAAGCAATGATCCGGCGAGCATCGAATTGCAGCTTGAAGACACGGTTTGACTCCGATCGAGCACGACCATGGTGATGATGATGATGACCATGGTGATGGTGAGGCTGCGCTGGACCACCGGCGGGTACTTGTGCTGGCTGCGGTCCCGGCACTGGAGGGTGTGCGGCACCTGCGCCATGCGCTACTGGAACCGTTGCCGCTGCCGCTTGCTGAGCAGCGGGCTGTCCAGTAGGTGTAGCTAGTGCGTGTATGTTATTGTGAGGGTGTGCTTGAACTAGTCCAGCAGCAGCAGGCACAACTGGCTGACCAGGAGCGCCGGATTGTGCGGCATGGGTGCCATCACCAGGGGCGTTCTGACGCTGTTGCTCATCCGCTAAGGTCTGCATGTGCTGAGTTAGGTTGGCCTGAGCAGTCGCCATAGCATGTAGCTGAGCATGTGGTGGCGGCTGCTGATGATTCAGCGAGTGCTGATTCAACGCAGCATTGGCCAGAGCAAGACCATTGTGCGCCTGCTGCAGGACCATTTGAGCCTGCTGTGTCGCATTGGCCGCTGGAGCACCTTGCGCAACTTGTGACGCAGGATTGGCGACATTGACTGCAGGGCCACTCGCTGCATTTCCGATGTTGCCTCTCACTCCCTGGGGAGTACCGTGTCTAAAGGATAAGGACCCTTGGTTTAGACGCACGTTAGGCGTCCACTTGCCGGCCTTGTTCGGATCGCGCTTCCAGACAATAATCGTCTCGTCGTAAGACCCCGTAACGATCTTGGACCATCTGCTCCCCCCACCGCCCGGAGGTATCTTAGTGCCATAGCTCGCCGTGCCAGCATTGCGGGGTCGCCGTGTATGCGATGATTCGACACCCTCATCCAGGGTCCTCAAGAATTTACGGTCCGCCTCTTTCGCCTCATCAGCAAGCTCCTCGTCCGTCACCGTGTCCATGTCGCCAAATCTAGCCTGAAGCGTACGCACAAGATTGCTGTGCCCATCCAAGCACGCAACCTCGGCAGTTGTATCGTAGTCGAATATGCGCACCGAGTTGTCAGAGGATCCACTGACAATGCGGCGCCCGTCGAATTGTACACATGCAATACCTTTAGTGTGACCAGTATACTGTTTGCGGTGACTAGGCCCCTCCTTAGTTGACTGGATGTCCCACGACCTGATGGTTCGGTCACCCGAGGCTGACACAATGATGTTGTCGCTGATCTGAACTGCATTGACAGCAGCCTTATGACCATATAATGTGTCCAGAAGAGTGAAGGGCGAGAGCAAATCGGGACCGTCTGCAAATTCAGGGATCACTCGCGCAGGCATAATCGGATCATTCTTGCTAATCTCGTGCCGATTCCAGATCTTGATGGTCTTATCCTTAGAGCAAGTTATGAGATATCGGTCATCGAAGCGGAGGTTGAGGACGCTCTCAGTATGAGGTGCTGTTATTTTGTGCAGCATCTCTCCTGTTGAGAAGCGCCACACGATCACGTAATTGTCGCTGCCTCCACTGACAATAATGTCGTGCTTATCTCCGGGCCGCTCATCGAACTGCAAACACAGCACACTAGCCTCGTGGCCTTTGAGTTCCGGTATGCGTAATCGCCGTGTGTTCAAGTCCCAGCATCGAATCGTCTTGTCACGAGAGCCTGATACCAGATGGTTACCAGAATGCTGGATGGTGTATACGCACTCCCTATGACCTTCATTTTCATGATCTGGATGCGGCAAGCGGAACGCGACATACCTGCCTGTGTCCCAATTGCTTTCCAACCTCCGGCGTTGCTTGTATAGCCATGGCCAGCTGATCTTCGGATCCGGTGCGTCGTTGTTCCTTGAAGCATTTGAATTGACGAAAACACGCGGAGCCAGATCAAGTGCTGAGTGTGCTGGAGTGGAATCCCAAACAGTTTCCGATGTAGAATCCCCAGGTTCGACTGCAGTGTAGACAGAGGTAGATTCCGTGACAGCAGAGCCCTGCGATTCGGTTGTGTTGAGCAGAGCTGTAGCCTCCACCCCTTCCATGTTGCTTATGGAGTCGTCGCATGCCAGTTCTGTAGGATCGGTCGCCGGTGCTGGCCCATTTTCATCCTCACTGAATGCCTCGATCCGTGCCCGTTTTCGACTGCTTCGACGCTCCAAGCCCTGCCCTGGCCGACCACAGCGCATCATGCGCTCGGCAGCCTGCATACCCTTTTGCTTTGCCTTCTGCTCCTGCTCATGGAGCTTCGATTGCTCGAGCGCCCACCCCTCCCGATAGAAGTTGTGGCGCCACAACCGCTCATCCCGCGCAAGTTGTCGCCATGGCCGTGAAACTGTGGACGCGGTGAGCACATCCAGTGGCGACAGGTGCGAAAAGACGTTGAGAACCAGCTCATTTGGAAGGTATGCGACAGGGTCAAAGTAGATGTGTGCTGCAAGTTGCTTGTGTAACACCAGCAGGGCGGCCGTACTGAGTCTGCTCGTAAGAAACTCGAAAAGTTCTAGGGTTATGATTCAAGTCAGGTCAATTGCTTCTAGCATAGCCATGCGCACACAGCATACCTGATTGTTGGTTCGGTGTCAAAGTCGAGGCCAGATCCTTGGTGTGTTCGAGATGCGCATCGCTGCCGATGGGAAACAGACTGCTAGCATCTTCCATGGAGTCGCTGCCGGGCTGACTGTGTGTCTCCTCGGAGAAGCCCTCATCGAGCTGGATGGGCGAGCGGCTCATGCTATAAGAGGTCGTGTGATTCATTGCGCATTGACGATCGGAGTCGGAGTCGGAGTCGGAAGGGAGTGGAACTGGAAATGGAGGTGGCGACGAGCGGAAAAGAGGAAGGTCGTTGGCGTGAAGGGCGTGTATGGCGGAGGAGTGACGGAATGTTGCTTTACGGTGCGGTGCTAGCTCATCGCAGTACAGTCATCAGAAGTGAGGGTGATCGAAATGGCTGTATTCGCGCAAGAAAGATACTTTGTGTGAGATAGAATGCGCGATGTGTCCAATAAAAGATGTAAGGTGAGGTCGGGTACAAGTACGGTAGGTGTAGAGGGTGGTGAAGATGCAAGAGCAAGACAAGAGCAAGAGCAGAGGCGCTCAGGCGATGTTCTGGAACTAGAGGTAGAACTACCCAACCGAGCTTAGCCTGTTTCTCTTCCTCCCTCCCGGTCCCGTCCTCACCTAGGCTAGGCTCCTCTCTACCTCCTACACATGACTGCGTAACCCAGCTCGGACTAGCCTCCCCAATCGACATCACACCACGCCTGGCACGCCCCAGAGTTCCATGGACTCATTACGGATTATTCAGGGTCAGTGATAATAATACAGACCCTTGCCTATACCACGTTGTAAGGTGGTGGAGGTATCCTCTACTTTGGTACATAGCAACTACAGCACCCACCCATAGGAGGTAAGAGAGACTCTGAGAGAGGCACAGTACATACTTCCTAGCTGTGAGGCAGCCAGAAGCACCTCAGGTATCATTTGTCGTGGCGAACAATGCATGTACTTACGAAGGTACCTGAATGTAACAAAGCCATGACACGCACTCCTGCTTGCTGCAATGCCATTCGCAATTTCGCATCAACAACAACAACAACAGGCCGGAGAATAACAACAACAACAACAAGACCACCAACAACGACAACAACAACAGCAGCAGCAAGCACGGCCCCACGTGAGGCGCCGGCGGCGATCTGGTGGCCATGTCTGTCGCATCTGAGCGTGCACTGTATCACGAGATAGAACATACCGAATCTTTCTAGATTTCGTCCTTCGAGTCCTCTCGTCGTCGCCACCCAACCAGCACTCTTGTTGAAGATTCTGGGTCTGAGAATCTGAGTTAGTATCGGTATATCTGTACCTTAGGCGCACATGTATTGCTCAGGTGGTATGGTCGTTCTACGGATACGGTCGCATTCATTCCAGTTCGCGATCATCATTGTCATCATCGTCATCACCATCACTAAGGTACAGGTAGTGTACACTAATGATCAGGCTGTTCCAAATCGCGTTTCACCTTCACCTCTGCCCGCACTTGTAGATTCTGGGTACCTCCTCTCCTACCTCCTAATCCTCTCGTCACCTGTTTCGGGTGCGGCACACATTTGAAAGACTCAGCCTCCAGGCCAGGCGTGAAAGACAACCACGCCACCGTCCCAGCCACTGCTCGCACGCGCCCCTCACAAGTAGATACTCAAACACACAGACACCCACCGCACCCAACACACACAGAGACACAGACACACACACACCTACTCACATCCATCCCATCCTGACCGCACCTGTAGGAGGTAGTTGCTACTAGATAGCCATCTCTTCCACCGCACCGCCACCGCTCGTCTCCTGCTTCCGACCGCACGTGCATCACCTATCCACCGCACAGTCGCAGTGCCGACGCAGGGTTCGTGGTTTGTTGTAGCAGTTGTTCTGTCCAAGGTCAGGGGCTGGGCTGGGTTGGGTTGGGCTCGTACTAGTCACATAACACACTCCTACTATCCTGCATCTCGCTACTGCCCTATTATACCACTACCTACCTTACCTCCACAACACCCTCCCACCACCGACACCTCACCTCACCTTGCCTCACCCCGCCTCACTCTCCACACGCAACGCTCCTGTGCCATACCCGTCACCTTCTCAATAAGCGCCCGCGCCCGTCTCGAGACATGCTGTCTGCCGCTTAGAGCGACGGCGACATGGAAATCGTGTCGCATGGGCACCCGCATACCTTCCGAGCCCTTACTGCGCCATTCTCGACCGTCAATAACCACACTAACCAGCATCGCCGCCCCGACACCATGAGCGACGCGGCCCAGAGTCAGCTGTTGCAGTCGCAGGCACACACGGGCTCCAACTACAGCATCCAGTCGCAAGCCACCAACCGCAGTAGCAATACCACCCAGGGAACCTCGCAGTCGACCCTCTTCACCCCCCAGCCGATGCCCACCGCCAATGCCTCCACCGCCGGCATGTCCTCCAACGGCAGCCACGACGTCGTGCGATCCGACAACATTATGAACTCGGTCGCAGACGCCAGTAGCTCTTTGTTTCAAATCTGCGTCGCACTTCGTCAGCGTCTGCTGGGAGTGCCTGGCTTCAGCGAATCGCTGGCGGAAGAAGAAGAAGAGGCTGACGATGACACGGATCCTGTGACTCTGCTATGGAGGACGTTCAGGCGTGGCTATCCTCTCATGCTGCTGTACAACGCGCTGCGACCGCAACAGCCACTGAGCATGCCACAAGGAGTAAAGGAGGAGAAAAAGGCAAAGGCTGCCACCTTCAAATTCATCCAGGCTTGCATTACAGACCTCAAGATTCCCAACGAAGAACTCTTCATCATCACGGATCTGTATGGCGACGATACTACCGGTTTCGTCAAAGTCGCACGAATAGTGAATCGTGTGCTCGACGTCCTGGTTCAGCGGGGGCTTGTCGAGGATGTGCGACCTACGGCATCAGACTTCGAAGAGGCAGAAAAGGGCATCAAGCGCACGCAACGGCAACACATCGTTTCCGAATTGGTCAGGTCGGAGAGGACGTATGTGCAACATCTGGAACTCCTGCAATCCTTCAAGCATCTGGTAGAGGAAAAGGGTGTCATCCCTGGTGATGCCGTGCACGACATCTTTCTCAACCTCAACTCGCTGCTGGACTTTCAGCGGCGTTTCTTGATTCGTGTTGAACAAACAAATTGGCTACCCGAGGAAGAGCAGAACTGGGGAAAACTATTTCTACTCTATTGCGAAGCCTTCAAGGTCTACGAGCCATACATTGCGAACCAACGGAAATGCGAGAAGACTGTGATTGCAGAGTTCGGGAAGCTGCGAGAGGCTGGCGGCAGCCTTGAGATGCGACAAATGGTCGAGTCGCCAACCGCGTTGCATTCATTTCTCATGAAGCCATTCCAGAGACTCACAAAGTACCCTCTCTTGTTGGAGCAACTGCATAAGAAAGGCGATCTGGACGACGAGAGGAAGCAAGATCTCCTAAATGGTATGGAGGCTTCAACTGCCGTTCTCTCAAGGACGAACAAGGCGGTTGACCAGGAAGAAAAGCGGGAAGCTGTCCACGAACTTCAGATGAGAGTTGAAGACTGGAAGGGGCATCGTGTTGAAGGATTCGGCGATCTATTGCTCTATGGGACGTTCACAGTGCTCAAAAGCGAGAATCTTGCTAACGGCAAGGATGGCGAGCGGCAGGTAAGTTCCAGGTGCACAATTGTTGTCAACTCGCCACCCTGCATTGGAGTTTCGAGAGCGCGGAACCTGACAATCCTTATTAGTACCACGTGTACTTGTTCGAGACGATCCTCCTCTGTTGCAAGAACATTGACCCTAGCAAGCCCAAGAACAAACTTTCCAGCAAGCCCATGGTTGATAAGTTGGGAAAGCCAAAGCTTCAGCTCAAGGGGCGGATCTTTATGCAAAATGTCACGGACCTCGTGTCCCTGGCGAAACCAGGTAAGCTATCGCCATTGCACTTGGATGTGCGCACTGACAACTGGGCATGCTGGTGAGATTGCTAATGGACATGAAATCTAGGCTCGTACACATGCCAGATCTTCTGGAAAGGCGATCCTAGCATCGAGAATTTCATCATCAGGTTCACGACTGAAGAGACCCTGCGAAAGTGGGCGCAACAAATTGAAGTCCAACGTCGACGATATCGTGAAGAACGAGTATCTGGGGCTCGTCGCAGTGACAGCAGTAGTCGCGGCGGGACCAGCGCGACCGAGTTTACTTTCATGCAAAACCAGCCAACGCTTGAAAACCCATACAAGGAAACCATCGACGAGGATGATGATGACGACGATGCCGAAACGATGGTTGGTAGTGGGCAGTGGTCCAACTCGGCAGGGTACCCTAGTGGATTCTCATCAAGTAGGAACGGCAGCTCCAGCTCATTGCGCTCCCGCAGCACGACCGGCGAGAGCTCCATATCAAATCTCTCTGGATCAACCGCGAGAGCACAAACGCCTCGGCTGCCATCTGGTGGCATGCCTGGGCCTCTATCACTCCGCACGCGAGAACTCCAACAGGCAGCGCAATCGCCTGGCTCTCAAGCGGGAATGGACAGTTACTTCTCGCCAGCGACCGATTCACCCATGTTCTCAGCCTCGGCGCGGACGAGCGCTAGCTCAGCCATGTATCCTTTTCCAAGGCAGAACATGCCTCAGAATGGATACTACGAGGAGGGACATGGCGCAACACGATTTACCGCACCTGCTATGGGCCGCCAACCACCAAATGGCTATGGTCCCCCCGGCAGAGCGCCTTCAACTAGTCGGCCATCGTTTACCCCTGGAGCAGCAGGCATGCATAGTTCTGTACAATTGCCAGGCCCGAGAAACCGCTCGGCCAGCAGCCCAGACATTAACAACGCCCAGCGGATGCAGCAAACGAGAAGTGCAGGCCAACCCCCAGTGCCAGAAGTGCCGGCCTCATATTCGAATCCAAACCGTAGCCAGAACGCTTCGCCAGCATACCCCGATGGCATGACAGGACGAGCATCGCCTCAGCTTGTGCGGGATAGACAGTACTCCAACTCTTCGGAGCAGATGTCGCCCACCGAATATAATTATCCTCCTCGGCCTGGCATGATGCAGCATGCTAGCGCAAGGGCGCCTTCACGATCTCCTTTTCCACCAGCAGCAGCGGGTCCGGCTGGTTTTGTCCCACCCACGCCTGTTGATGAAGAAGGACCCATGGCCACTCCTGCACAGCTCAAAGTCCGAGTCATCTGCCCCGTGGCAGGGCAGACGTTAACCTTGGTTGTGTCGACCAATATCAGCTACCAGACTCTGAAAGATCGCATCGATGCGAAATTGCAACGATCAACGAATCTGAGCCTCGGCGATCGCGGACCGAAAGAGAACCACGTGAAGCTGAAGTATCTGGACGAAGACGACTTTGTCAGTATTCAAAGTGACGAAGACGTACAAACCGCTTTTGAGACATGGAAAGAACAGGCAATTGGAGGCCTGGGGGAGATTGAGCTTTTCTGCCAAAGATGAGTCTGCATGATCATCTTCAAGCTATACTTTAGCATCCTGGCGTCGCAACGCTGGTGGAGTGTGCCAGGCGCTTGTATTGCCCGCAAGGGCGCAGAATCATTGCAACAGGGTGTATTGCTACGCAACATCGCGTGGCCCAAGGACAGTCTTCGGTTCGTGGCAGCACACGCACTGCGCGCACAGCGCCCCAGACGTGGGGAGAAAAGGTTTCGTGCTGAAAAGCCTTGGTACTGGAAGGTGGTGCAAGGACCGATGAACGGCATGTCTGGCTTCTGCTGATGGAGGCGGACGGAGAGACGAATAGAGGGATGAGGGCTATTATTAGCCCACGAGAAGGCGCTTGCAAAGGCCTACGATGTGATGATTGTGGCACTGGGTGGAATCTGAGCAGAGCAATCCTGCGCAGAGGAAAAGGTGCAGGTTGTGAACGCTGCTCCCATCTGCTTCCGATCCAAAAGTCGATTGTTAGCCGATGATAGCTAGCTATTTAGCTGCTGCAGCATGAAACGGAGATGAGAACTCTACCAGCGACGTCGCAAACCATGGCATAGCTTGCTCGTTTGTTCAAACCTTTTGAAAAGGCCGTAGGCATTCCATAGGCATGCGTGTATACAATCACTGTGTATACCCGACCTTACCTGTACCTCCAGGTACCACCTACCTAGGCTAGGTAGGTAGCCTTGGCTGCTGTAGCACAGATGCCGGCTATTGCCGTTGGAACTAAGCAAGCTCCGACCTAGGAGGTAGGAGGTAATGTCATTCCCCATTAGCTTATACAGCGTACATGTTGCTTTCTTTCTCCGTTGCCCACCGCGTCTCTCATTATTGCCGTATCATGGGAGGGGTTACAACCATGGCTGCCACCAGCGTTGCCAATCGTCTGATGGCCTTGCCACCCCAGCTCCGGACTTTCGCTGTTCAGCAGTCTCTGGCCTCACCTCTGATCCGCCTTCCGAACGCCATGATGGGCTTCCGCTCATATGCCACCTACAACACCAACGCATCTGCTACCCCTCCTTCTCCTCCACCATCCTCCAGCTCTTCCTCGTCCTCGTCCTCGTCCTCCTCCGTCAACGCGACCGAAATCTCTCACTTCAACACCCTCGCCTCCTCCTGGTGGGATCCTCATGGCTCGTCCCGTCTCCTCCACCTCATGAATCCGCTGCGACACCAATTCATCCAGAAGAAATGTCTCATCCACACACACGATGATCTCTCTTCTCATGGAACGGCAACAGAGACAAATACGCAAAGGAAAACGAAGAAGCTGAAATTCCTCGATATCGGTTGTGGAGGTGGAATTTTTGCGGAAAGCGCAGCACGATTGGCCATGGCGGAAAGTGTGGTCGGGATCGATCCTACACCAGAATGCATTCGAGTGGCAAAGGCACATGCGAGACAGGATCCGTTGTTGTTGCAGCCGGGGAAGTTGGTGTATAAGAATGTTGCGATTGAGGAGTTGGCTTTGCCTTCTTTCTCTTCTACTTCTGCATCTAATGCCGAAGGAAAAGACGGTGAAGAAGCCGGGTTCGATGTAATATCATTGTTTGAAGTGATTGAACATATTCAACAGCCTGGGCCGTTTTTGGAAAATGTGCTGAAGCATTTGAAACCGGGGGGATGGCTGGTGGGGAGTACGATTGCGAGGACGGGGACGAGTTGGTTCACGACCAAGTTTGTGGCGGAAGAGGTGTTGAAGATGGTGCCGAGGGGCACGCATGAATGGAGTCAGTACATCAATCCGGGAGAGATGAGAGAGTGGGCGAGAAGTCGACCCGAGCTGGATGTGGCAGTCGGGAGTCCTGGGTGGCAGCAAATGGGCGTGGTCTATGTGCCGGGACTGGGTTGGAAGGTAGTGGATGGCAGTGAAGACTGGGGGAATTACTTTTTTGGAATGAGGAAGGTTGGCAGCGCAGATGTTTAGTGCATTTCTGGAGGAGGAGAAGTGTCATCCTCACACACAATACCCAGCAAAAAATAACATGCCTCCCCATGGACTATATCAATCTACAATCGCATGCATGCCAACTCCACAACCCAATAGTTGCCGCTGTAACGCAATCAACAAGCAATTTTTGCCGCTCACATGAGATGTATCTTCCACTCCCTTGACTATGCGAGAACCCTAGTCACCGCTTTTGCCTCTCTTCTTTGCTGGCTCGAGACCAACAGCCGAGTCTGCTTTTCTCTTCCGTCCATCGCCCGACTGTGCCTTTTCCAGTAGGTCCGCAGCTGCTTCGCCCTTGCCTTCCCCCGAGAGCATCTCGTTGATCGATTGGAGGAACGAGGCTTCTTCGTCCCCACTGATTCCGGCCTCGGCCAGCTTCTGTACCAGTATGGTCCTCAGGTGGTCAGGATCAATATCAATATCCCCTTCCACATCATCTTCTTCACTCTCCCATTCTCCTTCGCCCTCATCATCTTCTTCTCCTTCTTCTCCTTCTCCTTCTCCTTCTACTCCTTCTTCGCCCTCATCTTCATCGTCCATTCCTTGCTCTTCGAGTTGATCCTCGTAGACCGCTCTTGCCATGGACTTGGGCATGCGCTTACTCGCGATCAGCCCATCGGTATCTCTAAATTTTTCTCGCCAGTCAGGCAGAAGAGCGAACGAGGAGTCTCTCGATTGCACAGCAGGTGGTGACTTCTGGTAAGATGCCATGCGCACCTCTCTGCTCAAATAAATCACCGGCTGGGAGTCGCGGTCAACGGGCGCAGACGTCTTCTGTCTCTTGCTGCGCGGTGCGTTGTGAGAGTCACGCTTGCGCTTGGAACCAGACTTTACCATCTCTGCAGCATGGCTGGCATGGTCTCGACGGATGGGTGCAGGTCGTGGGCCCGAGGTATCCCAGTAGGCATCATCGCCATACTCTGCGTCGTCCTCGTAGTTATACAGATCGTCATAATCATGTTCCACGATGTCATAGCCCACGATATAGCCTGGATCCGGAATCGCATTCTCTGCTAGTTCGTCCTTCACGCCATGTTAGCACAGGCTCGGGCATGGCTCGACGGACTCATTCGCATGGCTCTCCCAAGAGAACGGCACAGGCGGCAACACGCCGACGGCTGACAGTGGGATGCGTTGGACGGATACACGTACGGCCAACTCGAAGTCATCTTCCACATAGAGCCACTCGAAACCGTCCATTTCCATATAATCGCCGTCGTCGAAGTCGTCCATGCTCACTCAGGATATGTGGACAGCGATGTTTCCTGGTCGACGCGGCAAGAGGTAGGTAGGTAAGACACCTAATGTATGCTTCCCCAGCGGGAAAGTGCGGCCAATCGGGGAGAGCGAGGGCGCAAGTGCAAGCAGGCAGACAGGCAGACAGGCAGGCGGGCAAGCAAGCAAGCAGCCGTCGATTCGGGTGACGAGTGGGAGCAAACGTGATGCGGGTGGTGGGCAGGCAGGATGTCGGATGTTGGTTGTTATGAGATCATTGTTGTCGGAGAGACCACGAACGATAGGTAATGTAGGTATATACCTGTACCTGAAGTATGTACGGACAGGCGAAAACAAGACCGAAGGAGGTCATCGGGTGACGATGACTGTGGCCGGATCATTTGACACGAACATTGCATGTGGAGGGGAACTGCCGTGTATTTCTCTCTCGGGGGTGACAGACTCTCTCTCTCTCTGGGCTCTCTTTTGATGGCAGCAGCGGGAGGAGTGAGAGAGGTGGAGGAGAGAGAGGGGGAAGAAGAGAGAAAGAAAAGAGTCCGAGCCGATGACCGATGCGTACCTAATTTACCTATCGCTACCAATCAAATTGAATCAATCACTCACTCGGAGTCGGAGCTACTGTTGGTAAAGACCGTAAGAGGAGGTACTGGTACCTACTAGATATCGACCTCGTCGCCGCTGCCATTTCGAGTGCCAGGGTCAAGGCTTCCGGAAGGACAGGCCCGGCCCGCTCGCCTCCACCGCCCGCTGCTTGGCACTTTAGTGTGGGAATCCCCCGTGTGGGGTTGGCCTTCCCATGGGACTTGGAGAGGCCAGAGATGACCGACGGTAGCCTTTGGTAGCCGATATGCTCTGCTCTACCTGCGCTCAAGCCATTCTTCACCAAATGCCCTCTTCCACCCGTTGCCCACTCACACCTCTCGCAGACATGTGAACGCTACATCAGACGTGGTCCTACTGCTGATTGTCTGTCCTGCAAACTGACCATGCGCTCGATAGCCCGGCCTCGTGCCGTCCGACCTACAGCAACCAATACCCTGGCCAAGCAAGCACGGCGATGGCAATCAGCTTCGACAGCATCGCCAGAGCCATTGCAGTCCATTCTGATAGCGAACCGCGGCGAGATCGCTCTACGGGTCAATCGAACAGCATCCCAATATGGCATCCGGACGACCACCCTGTACACCGATCCAGACCGCCATAGCCAGCACGCTTTGAGTTCCCCCTTTGCTGTCAATCTTGGATCGACTGATCAATATCTCAACGGTACTCGAATCATCGAAGTCGCCAAGGAACAAGGCTGTCAGGCTATCCACCCAGGATATGGCTTCCTGTCGGAGAACGCAGCCTTTGCAAAGGCCTGTACAGATGCTGGTATCAAGTTCATCGGGCCTCCTCACAAGGCCATTGAGGCCATGGGTGATAAGTCTCGTAGCAAGGAAATCATGACTGAAGCCGGAGTTCCCTGTATTCCTGGCTATCATGGATCCAATCAAGACCCAAAGTTCTTGGAAGCAGAGGCTGGCAAGATGGGCTATCCGGTTCTCATCAAAGCTGTGAAAGGTGGAGGTGGCAAGGGCATGCGAATTGTGATGCAAGAAGATGAGTTTCAGCAACAGCTGGACTCTGCCAAAAGCGAAGCCAGATCAAGTTTTGGCGACGATGTGATGCTTGTGGAGAAATACATCACTACGCCCCGGCACATTGAGGTGCAAGTGTTTGCTGATAGGCACGGAAATTGTGTCGCATTGGGCGAGCGAGATTGTAGTCTGCAACGACGGCATCAAAAGATCCTGGAAGAAAGTCCTGCTCCTAACCTTGCTGAGGACATCAGACAGGATCTGTGGGAAAAAGCGAGGCAAGCAGCTCTCGCAGTGGGCTACGAAGGTGCTGGCACGGTGGAGTTCATCTTCGACAACGACAGTGGCCAATTCTTCTTTATGGAGATGAACACCCGGCTTCAAGTCGAACATCCAGTGTCAGAAATGGTAACTGGTCAAGATTTAGTTCGGTGGCAGATCATCGTGGCGGAGGGCGGCAAGCTGCCATTGACTCAAGAAGAGGTTCACGAACGCATCAAGGCGGGAGGTCATGCCATCGAAGCTCGGATATATGCTGAGGATCCAAGCATGAACTTCATTCCATCAACGGGCAGATTACTTCACCTCCGGACGCCACCTGTGACAGATTCAGTGCGAATAGATGCTGGATTTGTGCAGGGGGACGAAGTATCAAGTCACTACGATCCCATGATATCCAAGCTTATTGTGCATGGACCTGATCGGAATGCCGCCCTTCAGAAGATGGTGGCTGCGCTCGAAGAATACGAGGTGGCTGGCCCAGTGACCAACATCGACTTTGTCAAAAAGTGCTGCCAGAGTCCAGATTTCATTGCGGGTGAGGTGGAGACTGGATATATTCCCAAACATGCCGAGGAGCTCTTTGCGAAACAGACTATATCCAATGAAGTCTATGCACAAGCAGCCATTGGCCTTTACGAAGCTGAACAAGCACCACGGAGCACAACGAGCGCCCCCGTTCAGCCTCTGCGATCCATGGGATTCGGATACGCCCCACAGCCACGTGAATTCCAGATTGTCGAAACATCTTCCGATCCACAGGTCACAAACGCGCCAGTCGCTGTGCAAGTGTTGAAGATCTCCCCTGACACGTACAATGTCAAGCTCAGAGGCCAATCCTATACCACAGTGTCGCACTACACTCCCAGTTCGACCACAGTTGGTGCTCTCTCGTCTTTCTATCCTCATACCCGCCTATCGACCACCATTGTCCGCGACCCAGAAACCAACCAGCTCACTCTCTTCCAGCAAGGATCTCAATACCGGCTGCACCTCGCCATACCAGCTTTCCTGCAGTCTGCTCTCGGCATGAAATCTACCGAAAACTCGGTGCTGGCACCTATGCCGTGTAAAGTCCTACGAGTCGAAGTTCAGGAGGGTCAGGAAGTCAAGAAGAACCAAGCGCTGGTCGTGATTGAGAGTATGAAAATGGAGACGGTCATTCGAAGTCCTCAGGATGGAATTGTGAGTAAAGTGGTGCATCAAGCGGGCGACATGTGCAAGGCTGGAACTGCGCTGGTGGAATTTGAAGGTGCCGAGGAGAAAGTATAGGAGGTACCTATGTAGTAGGGAGGGATTTATCGTGTCGTGCTTTTGAGATACTTCTGAAGCTCAAAATGAAAAAAAAAAAACACACATTCAAAAAAAAAAAAGCTCGGCTTCGCGTTTCGGTTTTCGACCTCGCTTGTGAAAAGCTTTCGTGGGTCTTTCTTGCGTGGATGCTGATTGTGAGAGGGCTCGGTGACATACATATACATGCAGACAACTTGAACGGTACATGTACTGGTATTCCTCAAAATTGCATCATTTTCTGCGAACGTAGAGGCAGTGACACTTCAGCTCTCTCTCTCCTCTTAGATTTCTCAGGTAATTTTCTCAAAAACAGGCAATAAATCGTCTACTGACCTACAAGTACAGGTAAGGTAGGTATGCTACGATCTCGCCTCCTTGACATTCGTCTCAATGACCTTGACAGCATCTCTGACTTTCGGATCAAAGTGGTGCCGCAGAATTTCTCCTTCCCATACCGTGCTTGCAAACGGATTGCTGCTTTCCACTTCCTCACCCAGGGCATCAAAGACACCATCGCCTCTCCTCTCCTCGGTATACCACAACGCCGCAATCTTCTTGCCGTGCGTCTTGGTGACAGTTTTGAGAAGTTCTTGTACTGCAGTCGCGCTCTTCTGCGGGAGATGCAGCGACAGCATCTCCAATTGCTTCACAAACGCAGCGACGCGGATTGGAGGCACGTTCTTCGTGCTGATGGGCGGCAGAAGTACACTCTGTAATGACCTGAGCAATAGAACGGCCGTGGTCGAGACATTGATTTTGTTGTCTCGTGAAGAAGTAGATGGAACATGAAGCCCATTCGGATCGCTGAGATGAGCTTTCTTCGCGGCGGAAAGCTCGATATCGAGGTCCATGGAAAGTGGCACGAGCGTGCGGTACAAGTGACGGATGAAGAATGACAAGTCAAGAGACAGTGAGTTCGCGGACTTCACGACATCGATCTGGCCTTGAAGCAGCGCGAATGCTGTGATAATACAGAGTAAGCTCTCGCGCGTAGCATCGCGCTTTTCAGCATCGTCGAGTTCATCCTCGTCTTCAGTGTTTTCATCCTGATTCGGTTGGAGAGCGGCTTCCGCTTCGTTGATGAGGTCCTTGAGCGCTTCGAGAACGTCGCCGAAGAAATCTTGGTTGATGAGGTGGGCATATTTGGCTAGGCCTTCGAGCACGGCACCCATGAGATGTTGCCTCCTTTCCTTCAGGATGCGGAAGTACGCGATGAATACAAGCTTCAGTGTTTCGGCCTGGTTCTTGTCCTTCTCTTCGTAAGACACAGTGGCGTCAGCTTCCTTCAATTCCTTCTCGACCTGTTTTCTTTCCTTCATGATTTTCCGTTCCTTCTTAGTCCTGAACTCCTTCTTGAACTTTGGCTTCGGCCCATCTTCATCCTCGCGTCTGTCGATCCTGTTTGGAGCTCCCTTTTGTGAGAACTCGTTCAGCAATCGAAGATGCAGGAACGTGTTCAACACGCTTTCATGTATCGAGTAATCTCTTTTCTTCATCATAGTCGTCAACTGCGCCACCACATCCAGCGAAGCATGACCTTCCTCATCGTCCCGGAAAAGCTGTTCCAACGCTTCCCGACACTTTGCAAAGTCTGCATTAATATTTCGTCCAGCGAGTTTCTTGACCAGAATGCCGATCAGATCTCCACGATTGTTGAAATGCGGCACGCTCGTCAGCAAAGCACAGGCGCAAGAGATTGCCACTGTTGCAAGTCCCTGTGCATCCTGTTGACTGACAGTTTTGCTCGTCTTGCCAACGGCGCAATGCTGCAAAGTAGAGATGTAGTCCTTGTAGCCACTGAGTAACCCTTGCTCGAACGCTCTTTGCTTCTTGACTTCCTTCGAGACCTTACCTGACATGTCCCTCTCTGCGATCGGTCGTATCCGGTACCCAGGAATGATGTCTTTGAATACAGCCAGTTGCGTTGCCATGGCCAGCTTCCTGATCGTGACAATTTCGGATCGCGCGAGCTCTGCCAGAGTGCCCAACTGACCGATATGCTCTTCAGGATCCTCACTAATAGACTGGGCGGTTTTTGCCAGTTCCTCCTTGGCCATTCTGACCTGCTCTTTCAGTGGAAGTGCTGGCGCAGCGGGCTTTTGTTGCGGCTGCACAGCTGCAACAAGTCCATTGTCCTCATCATCGCTGGCAAGAAAGCTGTCGACATCTTCATACTCTTCCAGTCGCTCTTCGACTCGCGGATTTTCGACCACGCGCCCATCCTGCGTCTTGACCAACAATTTGTCGTGCTTCTTATCCTTCTGCTTCCTCTTCGCCAGCCGCTGGACATAATCCTGTTCCAGATCATGATTCGCAAAACCCAGGTCTGCCTCTCGATCGCCTGGCGGACTCAATCGTCGCCTCTTCACTGCTGGTTCTGCCATAATTGACTCCTGCAGAGAAGGGTAGTCGCAGGACCCAAAAGTTTCTTGAAGATGGAAGCCGCGATGCAGGGATCGCAAACCTTAATTGAGAACTTTCAGATCCAAGTAACACCTGCGGTGAACTTTTTCTCTCGACTTACAACCCATCGCCATCATGCGCCCACTCACTGATACCGAGACGAAAACGCTTTTCGAGAAGCTCGCCAACTATACCGGCAAATCGCTGAACAATCTACTCACGGATACGGTCACCAACGGCAAGATCAGCGATCGTTATGTCTTCCGAGTGCAAAAAGACCGCGTCTACTATGTACGCGAATCGCTTGCGAACCTGGCCACCTCGGTCGCGCGAGACTCTCTCCTGAGTTTGGGAACATGCTTGGGAAAGTTCACAAAGACGGGCAAATTCAGACTGCACATTACAGCACTAGACGTGATCGCGCCGCATGCACGATACAAGGTCTGGGTCAAGGCGAATGGAGAAATGCCATTTTTGTACGGCGGCCACGTTGTGAAGGCACATGTGGGAAGATGGAGTGAAGATGCGCCCGAGCATGCGGGAGCTGTAGTTCTCAGCATGAACGACGTGCCGTTGGTGAGTGGGAGATGTAGATGTCAACGAGAAAAGTCCAGGGTGGCATACTGACGTCTACAGGGCTTTGGGGTAACAGCGAGAAGTACGGGCGACGCGAGAAAGCTGGACCCTACAGGCATTGTGCTCTTCAGGCAAGCTGATGCAGGCGAGTACCTGAGAGAGGAGGATACCTTATTCACGACCTGAACGATGGCCCATGCAGAGGTGAGCTGGTTGTTGAAGTCACACCGATTCAAGCATAGCGTGTTGAGGTCTGCAGTATATGCTAGACAACATGGCCACTACGAAGATGGCTCTGTCAAGCGGGCCGAGGGGTTTCGAAGCTCGTGAGCATTCCCAAGACTCGCTTATCGCGACGCCAATCGCGGTGAGAGAGAGAGAGAGCAGTACGGCCGTGGAGCGTGTGCGGCCGACGAAGCCGAGCGGATGCTGTTCAATGGAACGAGAGTGTGCATTTGCAATCAGAGCTGTCTTGTTCGACTAGTTACACGACTCACACCGTCGAAGTTCTCATGCCGATGACCGTCAATCATAGCACAGCAGATGGAACAGCAGACGGAACAGCGTATAGATGATTCAGTCACCCGTAACTGAACCAAGATCTTGGGTCAGGCTGCTTGCCATGTCGTATTATCCGACATGCTTCCGCTCGCAACTTATGCAGCTTTCATAACTCTTGGATCTTCTCTTCTTTTGGGAGACGGGAGCGCTTCCTTCCATGTCATCGCTACTTCGCGAAGAACAGGCTGTACATCGAGTACATGGGGCGTTCAAGTGATGTGTTTCTCCAATTCTTCGAGGAAAATGTTGTTGACGGCAATTGTGGCATTGGGGGCTCTGGCGTTAGGATGAACAGACGTGCTAAATCCACGAACACGAAAAGTAGGTGAGGTACGTTAGTACCAGGTATAGTACATAGGTAATACCTCACGAAGGATGACATAACCTCACGAGAATCGCAATCGCGTGATGTCTAGCAAAACTCGTGATGGTGAGAATGGTCTCCGTCCGCGGAGTGTACGTCAAGAACCTCGGACGACATCAGACATCAAGTGGATAACAAAAAATGTGCCCAGTGCGCTGCTTCTTCACGAGCAGACCATCGGTCATACCGGTCATAGTTCCCCGAACGGCTTGCTACCATTCAGCCAATCACCAGCACAATTTCCCCCGGCGATCGACTCCTCTTTTTCCTTTACGCACAGCACTTTGCCGTAGCCCTACCGCAAAAGCTCCTTCTCGGATCTCACGGATATGCGCGGGAAGCGGTCTGCTATCACGCAGGCCCGTTTTTTTTTATTCCATAGCGGTGGTGGTGATGATGGTGTGGAGGTAGACGATGAATAATCCACGCAAGTCAACCTGATGGGTCAGCCGTGTACCAAGATCCTAGGTATATGTATACCGGCGGCTCTCTTTCTACCTACTCGTCCGCGACAGCGCAGCAGACATCTGTTATATTTTTCTCTCTCTTGAACCTCAGCTTCCCCTGGGCCAAGTCCCTGCCATTGGAAAAAAAAAGGTCTTGTTGGGCTGGCACCCAGGGAAGTACTGTACAGTAGTTCTACTACCTTACATAGACAGCCCAGACGTCCGGTGTGTTGGGGGAAAAACAGAACAAACCATGGCGGGACGTCATCATCAGCATGCTGGATCCAATAAGAGGTGGGTGGCCTCAATTCCCTGCGCGTTCGGGGCAACAGCTCGCGTGAGCAAGACTACCTCTTACAGTATCTTATTACTGACGACTACTCTCTCTCTCAGCAGAGCAAGCCCGAGCCGTGCTTTTGCGGCAAGCATTGCTCTCACCTCGTTGTTCTACAATCTATTCGTCGCAGCATCGTGCGCCTACTTGCCTGATGATCCACTTTTGATCGGCGTGAGCATACAATACTATGCCTGCGCTGGAAGTGTGTTGAGCGCACTGGGCTTGGTCGGAATAGCGACGGTAAGTACATGTACCTCCGGTAGTAGTACATATGATTGAATATTTTGCAAGACTTGATACGAGCACAATCTAACGCGTCTGGAACTCCACAGAAGAACTACGCGCTCACCATCTCCTTGGCGCTCTTCCTTCTTGTGGACGCCTTCCTCTCCTCCATCGTACGGCTCCTTGTCCTCGAGTTCTTCTTCAAGGAATTCCAGGATTTCAACGTCTGCGAATCGAGCTACGATCCGGCCTGGACTCCGCGCAACTTTCGGCACGACATCGTGACTTCAGTACGCTTCCAGAAGGAGTATATTTCGCAAGCGCGTCATCAGCAGACATGTCGCCTAGCTCTCGGTGCTACACAAGTTGTCTTTGTCGGAGTTCTCATCTGTTTCACTGCTGCGCAGGCCTCACTGGCCATGACAGTCAGACAGTGTGCGAAAGAGCTCGGGAGGAAGAAGGGCGAAAGGTTGGAGGTGGCTATGGCTGGGGTCATCAGTGAGAAGCCGCGAAGGAGTCAGGAACTACCGCGGTTCAGTCCCCACGACGAGAAATTGGCGTCAAGCTTCGCGTAAAATCGGCATGATTTGGCGTTGGAGAAGGTTGGATGCTTTACGATACCCAAGTGTGATATGACTTATTCCGATCAAGGTTTTATGATAGCGACTCAAGATTTATGATAGGGACCAGCTTCCTGTACGATAGCAAAGGTTCCCCCAGCACCTCTCGGGGATATATAGTTGAAGGCCATGTAGTCCTAGCTGGCTGCCAGTGTTCCTCAGTGACGTGTGTGCCATCTTCAGTTGGTTCCGAAATCTGAGGGGTGTCCAATGTGGGTGATATTCTCAGCAGACATTGAACCTCGAAGTGACCTGTCCTTGATCAGCATATAACAATGGCGGTAGATGCCAATTTCAGGTCGATACCCACCACAGCTATCGCACGTACACGTACACTTGAAGATAGACCACCCCACTACGAATGTAATATGTCAGCGGGCAAGCAAGGATTTAGGGGCACGTGAGCCTGTTTGAGCAGGTCTGTCTTGGAGCAGAGGTTGTCGCCTTGGTAGGCTTGGGACTGTGGGTGCCTTTGAACTGCGAGGAACTTACCAGTCTCCCTCTCATGTGCGCAGTACATCCTGGTGATCGGTATCCACACAGCCTCTTCCTTTTCCCGCGTCAACAACAGTAATCGGATCTTCAGTGAGCTCTCCATGTGCTTCGGGATTGAGTTACTTCTGAACCGAGCTTGGTGCCATTTGCATAAGGGAGCAGTTCCTGGGAAGCGATGAGTGGGAGCCAGGATGCCGCAGTGCACACATCGTCTTCGGCCACCCAGCAACTCCTTTCGCTCGCGAGTGGCTCGATATGCAGCAGTTCTTTGGCAGTCGGTTGCGGTTTTCAACCAGTTTGTGGGCGGCTCTGGTGCCGTGAACCAGAGTTGTTTACTGGCAAGCTTTAATGAAATCAAAGAGGAGGGAGAATTGGACAGGTACGAGATGACCTCGAGAACGAGCTCAGGAGGTAGATCTGTGAGGCTATATTTCGACATGGTTTCGTCTTGCAAGGCGAATCGCAGAGCTGTAAAGTCGAACTCTCGGTCATGCACTCGCGGAGAAAGTGATGCCAGTAGCATGATAGCTGCCATAGGGAGTGGCGCCGTGAGAGCAACATATAGAAGAGCTGGTCAAGACAACTTCCAATATGATGGTAGAAAATGGCTTCCAGATCCACATTCGAACGTACGCATGGGCGGAGCACGAGCGACGATGTATAAAAGACACAGGGCTCCTGCCTCGTGCCTGTTTGCTGGTGTTCGCTTGACAACATCATCCGGTTACACATGCGTCCAGCGGGCGGTCATGCAAGACATGTTAGCGTTCAGGCGCGTGACGTGCCGTACCAGTGATCGCAGACCAGGAATAGTTCAGGTCTCCCAAAGCCATATGAGATGTTCTCATTCTCATACAGACCGACGTGAACTGAGACTATAGTGCAGCCATGATGGACCACAAAGCATGGATCGATGGCAAGACAATCCAGAGTCTCACGTTTCAACCAAGCGCTACTACCGTAGGCTTCGTATCGCTGGTGTAACGATATTTGACAGGTATTCCTACCTACAAGGTAATCTCATAGTAAGTACAATAGACGGAGTGATACATACCTCTTGTAAGGACCTTTGTCGAATCGAGCTGGGCTGCCGCCACTGGGCTACAGCAGAACGTGTCCGAGACGAGATCTGCATATGTTCCTCGATGGCAGGAGCACAATCGACAGGGACTAGATCTTGCAATACAGAGTGGATGAAACAAGCACAAGAGAGCGACAGCGACAATAATGGCAGCCTTGGTGGCTTCTGTCATGTCTGAAGATCTGCTCCGGGACGTGTGCATGCAGCCACAGAGCGTGTCCCCAGCGGACACGCGAGGTCGAGGCTTCAAGACCAACAAAAGGGGGGTGTGCAGCACAGTGAGCTTAGGAGGTATCGTCACAGCTGAACTGCGCGCAACTACCTGCATGTACATGTACCTTAGGTATATACTACACCACTACTGCCACCAGACCACCTGTTGATGACCTCCCCTCTTGCGAGAGCTGCTGTATGATCTGGCACCTTGACACCTTCTTGCCCGGCCTGAGAGCCATACCAGCCTACCTCCTATAGGGCAGCCCACTTCGGATCGATCATCTTATGCAATCCTCATGGACCCCCATGCCGTTGCTGTGCGGGGCGGGGTCGATGCAGCCACCGGCAGCATGCACCAGGCAGGCAACGCCCGCGTGCGAGGGTGGATGTGTGCGGGACACACTGTGGACAGACACACTGGAGGTCGACCATATAGGTACCTACTACTACACTGGGCCCGGTACATCGTCATGGACTGCCGACTGGTGCAAATTTCTCTGGTTTGGTGGTCGTGATGAGGTCGTTGAAGATGGCAGGCGGGAGGTTGAGGCGGATCTCGCAACCACAGTGTGGACGCAGACGCAAAGGTTATAGTAGAACAGTCCACAGGAGAAAGGGAATTGGAAATGGGATGGAAAGCCAGGTTCGCACTTTAGAGCTAAGCTTCCCGGCTAGCGTGGCGCGATCCAGGATCCGTGCCACCGTGTCACCAGCAGCCTCGAACCGCGTGGGTGGCATGGCACAGAGAAACGACGGGAGTGGAAGCAGAGCAGACATTTTTGACAGGCCAGACATCAGCAATACCTACATGTATCGCTGCGCCGCTGCTTGAACCCGCATAAACCACATTGTGTTGTATCGGAGGCGCTGCCGGCAGAGACGATGCGGCACGCATATGAAGTGTAGGTACATGTAGGTACTGTACCTAGGAGGTAGGTAGTATCACGAGACGATGGAGGCGTTGGTTGATCGCAAGCGGAAATTACGACTCTTGTGGACGCGCCGAGAGAGACGGACGGACCCTAAGGGCCCGAAGGCAGAGCGGAGCTCAACTAATTTGCTTTCTGAAATGCGCTCTTCGCATTAGCCAGTCGTCCTGCCGAGACTACCTCCACGGTACTACTGCCCTCTCTGTTCATCCTCCAGTCCTCGTCGTGTGGTCGTCGTCGTCGTCCATCCGTCGAGACAGTCGCTCCTTTCCCGTCTCTCGGTCGCCAGCTCGCGAATTTGAACGCAGGTACGTACATCTGCGCCCCAGCACCCTCAAGTACATGATTGTACGACATCCCAGAAAAGTTGCGCGTGCTTGCTTTCTCCGCCGTATCGCTTCGCCCAGCCTGAAAAGAGTTTGGACCTCGCCATTCTTCCGCGGCATTCCCAACAAGCAAGCACATTGTGCATATTGCAGCAGGACTTGGGCAGCAGGAGGGTGCAGTGGCACAATCGTTCTAATGTTCATCGACATACAGTTTGCGACTCTCGATTGCTCTCTTGCCTACCAGTACCTACCTACCTTCCTTCGACCCGGATCTTTATACCCTAATCTGATCCGCCAATTCTACCACGATTCCGGCCTCGAACATGTCCTTCTACAGCAACGATGAGAGCCCCTGGGCTGCGCCGGGCCGCCAGCCAGCGTGGGAGCAGCAGGCGCCTCCACGCTCTGCAACAGCCTCCGCTGTGTCTCAGCACCCCGATGCCAATGCATTCGCGTCGCAATTCGAGGAGATTGATCGTGCAACAGACAACCTGATTAAGAGCGGCAAGTGGATGCCTGGACCAAATATCGCTATGGGAGGAGGACCAGGCCGAAGAGAGAGCATGCCCCCGCCCAATCGCGCCTTTGACTTTGGGGGCGATCCACGGCTGGGAGGAGGACCATCTCGTCACCAGTCTGTCAGCAGTGAGCTCAGCAGCACTGAACGTCCAGGCTCTGCTGGTCTGCAGGGTTTCTACGCTGGTCAGAGATTTCCAGGCAGGCAACCGAGTGAAGCCGAGCAGATGCTACAGGCGAAGCGTAGAATGGCTGCCCAACGCGAACGTGAGCTGCGAAACTACCATCAAGAACAGCAGTATAACAGGAGTGAGTCGTCTTCGAGGATACCCGTGTGGGAGATGCATATTGACAAAGTCACAGGTGGCAAGCAGCAGGCACAAGATCGATCCCTGAGTCCAGCTGCCACGATGAGTGAGGAAGATCGTCGCGAATTGATCGCTCGCCAACACCGTGCGTTATACGGCGAAGGATCAAATCTTTACAATGCGGATGGAACGAGAGCATCCTCTCAGGAAGCCCGCACCTCGAGTACTGGCCGCGGGGCTTCGCCTTTAGCATTCGACTCATTCGGTCAAACTCCAGCAGGTGCAGGTGCAGGTACAGGAGATGGATCAGTGCAAATGCCACCACGTGAACGTGCTGAAAGTACTGCATCTCCGGTTTCGAATCCAGCTGTTCACCAATTCGGTTCGCTAAACGATGCGCAACAGAGTAGCCGGACTTCAAACTCCTCGCCAGGCGGATCGCCGCCTTTGACTGGAACTTCCAAAACCAGCGCATCGAGTGTTGCGCCAATTGGCACGCGGCCAGTACAAGCCCCGGGCCTTGGTAAGAGGTCCACCACGCCGCTTACGCCGTCGTCGCTGAGCTATGGCTTCAACGCGAGCGACAGCAGGCCAGGACATGCTGGTACTGACCAGCGATCCACCTCAGCAGCTTCCAATCCACCCCATGCGAAAGAGGGAGCCAGCAATTGGGGCAGCAACAGCGGAACTTGGGGTCCTGCAAAGAATCTCTCTGTTCAGCCTTCTGTATGGGGTTAGAACTCTCGAACGACGAAGAAATGAACTCACAGCAACTTTGAGGATAACAGAAGTCGACGATGAATTAGCGGTGGAGTTTCTTGTTGCGGCATTGACGGTAGTGAGGGTGTGGAACTGGTGTCTCTGGTGGGCTTGTCAGGGGTGCTCTATCCGTTCTCGGCATTTTCGAGCGAAAGGATGTTTGAGCCAAAGCACGGGGTTTCGAAGGTCAGGATGGTCGCATTGATATGGTCGGAGTCTGGGTCTGGTTTGTGCGGCACTGTGCAAGTTCTTTTGGAGATATCCCTTGGTACATATGCGCTCGTCGGGCGAATGCTTTGGCGGGAGCTCGCGCACTGGAAGGAGTTTAGCATTTGGAGTGTTGCAACATTTATATCCATTGGAGGCGCGTCGATTGCCCGCCGCGGCATGTACTTGAGTCTTGGGAATAGTGCCATCGAGTTTGAAGATCGAAGTGAACGCACGTGGAAGAGACTTCAGTATTGGTGACCCGGCGACTGATAGATGCACTCGATAGCACAAAAAAAGGTGTCAAAGTGGTGAACAATCATGTGCGACTGCTGCGAATGCGGCTCTGCCGCAGAAACTCTTAGCGTGAGGTGGACCCCTGTCGCCAAAGCCAGCTAGATCTTGCCAGATCACTCAATACCTTTTGAGTTACCTTACCAAAGGAAAGGAGGAATCTTGAACTTCAACACTAACAGCCTCTCGTCCAAACATTATCGTTGCTTCGAGCCGCCAGATTCTACGAGATAGTCCACTTCGCAATCTGAATAACGACCGCGCCTCAGCCCGGGTCTGCCAAAATGGTGAGCACACAACACCTCCGCTGGCGCCGCTATACCACCAGCAGAAGCAGAGCACGTAGATGCGTGCGCCGCAAGCGCGCATGAGCACGCGCGATGAGATCTTGTGGTCGACGAGTGGTTTCACCGGACTAATGCTCGTATTCCTACAGTCTTCTCCACGCCCTTCCTCCCCGATCAACTCTCCGTCAACTGGCTCCACGACAGCACGACCAGTCTCGCCCAAGGCCCCCGGTGGACCAGCGACTGCTATTCGGAGGAAGGCAGCTGCGGACAGAGCCGATAAAATTGCAAATGCTCGTCCAGCCAGCACGAGAGCCGCGGGTGCTGGTGGGAGCAGCAGCACAATGTTGAGTGAGTAGTGGAAGAATGGAACACTGCTGTCGTCTCCTCTCGAATGAGATGACTGGCAGGAAGGAGCGCATACTGATAGGGATCCATAGGATTATACACGGACGAATCGCCTGGTCTCAAGGTCGACCCATTCGTTGTCATGGTTCTCTCGATTGGTTTCATCATCTCCGTGGTCGCCCTGCACAGTAAGCCCCTCCCGCACGTCGACCTCTGGTGCGGGCCTGGCTAACACGTCGCAGTCATTGCCAAGTTCACGAAGAGGTTCTCCTCGTAGACTCCCACGGACAAAACGTTGAGACCACAGCGAACGATATGCTGGCTCAAGAGCATAAGTGCTAGCTGCATATCGCAAAGCGAGGTGATGACGATGCAAGCTCTGGGCCTCGAACAGAGACGAGTGCCGTCTGACAGGGCTTGTGCTTGATGAAGAGGTTGGGTTCGATTCAGTTGTCGATCCAGGTCGAGCAGGAATTCGGCATAATTCAGGCACGAGCGCTTTGTACATGCACACATGCACCACTATTCGAGTATGCGTTCTCAATACCTGTAGCGATGAACTTCCCGTTCCAGATGGTGCACTACTTCGGTATTACCTTCTCTTTCCAGACGTGATATCATGTTCAGACGGGGGTGCCATGATACAACACTGATACAGGTAGCTCGCAGGTACATAGGTAACAGACGTGTGCCAGCCTGCATGCCAATGGCGAGCCATGCCAAGGACTGTCATATTTCCCGCAGACAGTCGAGGACCGAGGACTCGTGGACTTTAGCCGGAGATGAAAAGCTTGGGCGAAGATGTGCGATGGCGCCGTGGCGGAGGCGACGGCCGACGGACGTGCTCCGCATTCCCGTCGTCGCTTCCCTGCTCGCGAGACCCCTCCTAGGAACTCAGAAGTCATGACAGCATCTGCCAGTGGCTTGCATTTTGCCAAAATGCTGCTCGGTGACTGATGGAAGTGACCTAACCCACCACCTAGTACCTCACACGTCCAGACAGCCGCAGAGCCGCCGGTGGCCACTTCACCGTGGGTGTGAACCAGGCACACAATGCAAGCTATAAGAAGGCAAACATGAGACTCGATTTTGACCTTCCACCACCATTCCACTGACACACCTTTCTTTCCCTAGATCTGTCAGACTAGACCTTTTCTCCCCTCCCAGATCAATCACACACCGAGCAGCGGTATCCTCTTCACTCAGTCGCCTCGCTCTGCCGAGACTACAGCTTGTCCATCATCACGCCCACCGGAGACCTCTCGCAACCATGTCTGCTCCTACGATCAAGTTGAACAACGGCAAGGAGGTCAGTCCGGACGTGGGAGAGGCGAATTCTTGACCCTGTTGCTTATCAATGTCACAGATGCCAATTGTTGGTTTTGGTCTATGGAAGGTCAACAACGATACCTGTGCCGATCAGGTCTACAATGCAATCAAGACTGGCTATCGGCTATTCGATGGCGCCTGCGACTATGGCAATGAGAAAGAGGCTGGCGAGGGAGTCGCTCGTGCCATTCAAGACGGGCTTGTGAAGCGTGAGGAGCTCTTCATCGTCTCGAAGCTGTACGTGCTACAAATGTCGATGCTTGCGAGCAGATCGTTTGGGAGCTGACGACTGATGCAGCTGGAATTCTTTCCATGACAAGGAGCGCGTCAAGCCTATTGCCAAGAAACAGTTAGCCGACTGGGGTCTCGAGTACTTCGATCTGTTCATCATTCACTTCCCCATCGCCCTGAAGTACGTCGACCCATCCGTGCGCTACCCACCTGGCTTCTTCGACGAGAATGACAAGCTCTCGCTGAGCAAGGCGCCTCTGGAGGAGACCTATCACGCCATGGAGGAGCTATATGATGAAGGATTGATCAAGGCTATCGGCATCTCCAACTACAATGGCGCGCTGGTCCTCGACGTCGAGCGTTACGCGAAACACCTGCCACAAACGCTCCAGATTGAACACCATCCTTACCTAGTGCAGCAAGATCTGCTCGACCTATGCAAGAGCCGAAACATTGCCGTCACAGCTTACTCCTCATTCGGTCCGCAGAGCTTCCTCGAGCTGAACATGCAAAAAGCCAAGGATACGCCTCTGCTATTCGATCACTCTTCTGTAAAGAGCATTGCGGACAAGCACGGTAAATCGCCGGCACAGGTACTGCTAAGATGGGCAACGCAGCGTGGTATTGCAGTGATCCCCAAATCGAACAACCAGCAGCGTCTTGCGCAGAACTTGGACGTCACCAGCTTCAATCTTTCCGATGCTGAGATAAAGCAGATCTCAGATCTGGACCAAGGACTGCGATTCAACAACCCTCTGAATTATGGCGTGCAGGTACCGATCTTCGCCTAGCCGCGCTGAAGTTGCAACCGTGGCCCTCAATCGTTAGTGTAGACTATGAGATCAACACTTGAGCTGGGTGGGGGGGCGTTGAGACAGATAGATAGGACGGGTATTGTTATATCTAGAGCAACGTCTACGAAGAAAATGCGATATGCCTCGCGATAGCACAGGCTGCATGCGTCAACTTCTAACCGTCTTTTCTGATCACACGTGCGAAGGTCTAGAGATTAAGGTGGGCAAGGGCAAGAGCTTATATCCGGGTCCGGGGCAACAGTGGCTTGGCACTTTGCGATAGACCATCCCTGCGACAGGGATTGCTATGTCCAAGCTCTACTTTTCCAGCGACGACATGTAAATGTACCTGGTAAGGTATGACTACGGCTTCTTTGTTTCGACTGGGATACTCAGATAACGACGACTCCGTAGAGAGCCAAGCATGATGAAGAAAAGATAGGGCTGGACACACATCTGACATCCGAGTAGAATGTATCTCGATATCAAAGACCTGATATCATCATTGACATGGAATACTTTTTCTTCGCAGTCTCCCATAACCGTGACGAGGTATTCTTCGTTACAGCCTTGCGGCGTCTTTCACATCTGATGGTGGAAAAGTCTTCTCAAAAGAATAAACAAATCATACCAAAGCTGCTATTCTTATACTAGAGGCTGCCTGGGTTGCACCCCGAGAGCTCCAGAGCGGAGGCTACAGTAAATAAGTCTGATGTGAAGCGATGCTTGCTAGTAGTATATATGCCCCACACTTGAGCATCATCAAAGAGTTGAGGATATATTCGATTCGCGCGGCCAGTCTCTGTTGTACCTCTGTGGTCAATATTGCAAGTGCTGCTCTCATGGTTAGGCCAGTGATCTGAGCAGATGGCCATCTCTGGCGAGCCAATGTCCCTGTTTCCTGTTAATATAGCAGCTGCTATATGGAGCACCTGTCTACGGTGAATTTGCTCGTGGCTTTGTAGCTACTTCTTGATACCTCTCCACGGTCCGAGAGTCTGGGTGAAGGAGGGAAGAAGTGAAGGAGAAGCAAGTGAAGGATTGGAGAAGTGAAGAGGAGGAGATAGGAGGGATAGGTATATAAGGTGCAGGCCGGAAGAGAGAGCGAGAGTCGTGTCTTGGCACTCAAATCATCCTTGCGCCTTCGTCATCGCACACACCACCACAGAAAGGGCACGAACTTGCGAACCTCGACCACCTGAACACTCTTCACCGTCCTCGACACCACACAAACCATACCGCTTTCGATAAGGTACTCACGCCAGACGCAGCGGGGAATAACAACGGGCCGTCTCACACATGGAAGCACAAACGTAGTCGCCAGAAACACCAAAGTGCCAAGATGAGTGCTCAACCAAATGCTCAACAAGGCGGTTCGACCGAGAAGACACCTGCCAGCAGCACGGGACAGCCAAGAGGAGCCGACAGCGACGACAGTCTTCGGGACTGGGACGATGAATCAGCTGATGAAAATGGCGAGGGCAAACTTCTCTCCGGTGCTCAGGCCCAAGATCCAGAAACGCACGTCTTAGCACAGTACCAAAAGCTGGAATCACGACGAGTCGATCTGGTCGGAGACTATGCTGGAGACGAGCTGTTTTTGATTGAAGGCGACTCGATGCTGCGAAGATGCTTCGACGACGACAAGCTGGACTTCAGCCCGGGAGCACAACTGCTACACGCCGTCTACAACGTCGAGCACTTTCTGCATCAACTGGCGAAGCGAAAATGCAATTTCGATCTGATCTTCTTCAACAGCAACAGAGACCTGTGTCTGCCGCCTCTCGCAAGCACTGAAGTATCCAGCAGATACTACCTCGCCCGGTCGGCCATCATTCGTCACCTCCAAGCAAACGTGGCAAAAGTGCATCCCGACATTCGCATCAATGTGTTCGAATCATGGACGTCCAGTGGCTTCATCAAATATCTCGAGAGCACTTCTCCCTATTTCCTGATGGCACACGACGGTGCACGCGCTGTCGACCGCAAGTCGCGCACGACTGAAGACGATATCGAACCACCCTCGCCCAAGTCGCACAGGGTCGCACTCCGTCAAATGATTCTGTCCTTCATTGGGCGAGGATTCAACGTGGCACTGGTCAATGGACTTGAGTGGCGAGACACAAAGGTCATGACCATGGTGCTGGAGACTGGACGACGATCGACGCAGCTCACGAAAGGTGGGCTGAAGGTACAGCCAGGGAATGCTGTGTTGCCCACTCTAGACATTGCGGCCGATGTGGAGAAGCTCAAAGCTTTGGACAGTGGCCTGACACAGAGACAGCATCTGGCTTGCCTGACTGTGGCCACTCTGTTCCGTGATGAGTCGGAGATAGATGTGCAGATTGCTGCTCGTCTAGGCGCTGCTTTCTTGCTTCATCAGGCTTTGCTTGTGCATCTTCCGTTGTCAGGACGTCGGGTCGAGGTCGGCACGGTACATGCCAGTCTGCAGAGCCTCATCAATGCACTTGCATCCACTGCAGAAGCCATCTTGAACAGCTCTGCGTTCGATCAATTATCCGAATCTGGATCTTTGGTGGACATCTACGACTTTATCGATGGCCGCTTGTTTCTCAACGTGGCCGGCGCCAAGCCTGAGATCTCCCCTGAGGTCAAAGCGACATTTGATCAGTTACTGTCAGCGGTTCAAGCTATTTCAGAAGAAGCTGAGCTTGACCTCGATGATCTACCGGCAGGAAAATCCAACGCGCAGCCCAGTTCAATTGCTGATGTGGCCACGGCAAAGACTGTCCGAGTACTGCCATTCACCAACCAGGTATTCGACAAGCACCTGGAATTGGTCAAGATCAAGACCACATCCGCGGAGGCACCAGGATCAGCACAAGCGCAAAGAATCTTTCGAGAGGTGACCCATTGGCACAACTACAAGAAGCCCATCGTTCCGAAACCTGTAGTCGCACCCACAGACACGCGAGAGGCTCGAAAGAGGGTTCGGGAAGATCGGAGAAATCAGCTGTTCATGGCTGAAATGCGAACATATGCTGCATCCCTTACGAACGCTGTAGGCAAGAGTCTGGAGCCGGAGACGATAATCGTCGGTGCCGCCAAGCAAGCTCCAATCAAGTCCGACACTGCATCGCCGATCGACTCGGACACTGACAGCGCGAGCTCAGCGCAGAGTAAAGGCAAGCCCGGTGGCAAGAAGGGCGGTGGCAAAACGGCGCAGAAAAACGCTGGCAAGCAAGCTATGCTCAACAATATCGCAGCAGCAAAGGCGAAGAAGGACGAGAGCTCCGGCGATAAGATTCATGCTGCATGGCAGGTAGCATGTAAAGGCTTTGAGGCGGATAAAGACCCCCGAGGACGATACCGCAAGGCCAAGGAATACTTGACGAACATTCAGCCAGCATGGAGGGAAGTTTTCGGCACTGAGGGCGAGCTCTACCTGGTCAGCAATTTGCTGCACTTCTGGATCGATGCGTGCCGTCGGAAGGAGAAGAGCAGCAGGGCACAGGTTGCTGCGTTGATCTGGAGCCACGCTCGGAGCATTGCACAACATGGGCCTTTGACAAAGTCAGTTGCCAAGAATCTAGAGCTCACGCAAACCACGCTCAAGTTGCCAGCTCTGCCGCAGTACGCCGAAGCCCCTACCGATAGAAAGCTTGCTTTTGTCTTTGCCCTTTCTGGTAACGTAGATGGTTTAGCGATCGAGCTGCCATCTCGTGAATTCCAGCTTCTCGAGTGTGGACCATATCTGGAACGCAGTTTCGACTCTCGAGCGGACCCGAGAGTCGAGTTCAAGCCCGATGGCTGGCAGCGCCAGGTGCTTGATACCATTGACGCCGAAAAGAGTGCCTTTGTCGTCGCACCAACCTCGGCCGGTAAGACGTTCATCTCTTTCTACGCCATGCGCAAGGTTCTCGAGGCAGATGACGATGGAGTGCTCGTCTACGTTGCGCCCACCAAGGCTCTTGTCAACCAGATCGCAGCTGAAGTGCAAGCGAGGTACTCCAAGAAGTTCAAGTACGGCGGCAAATCCGTTTGGGCAATTCACACTCGTGATTACCGCATCAATAACCCAACTGGCTGTCAAGTGCTCGTTACTGTACCGCACGTGTTGCAGATCATGTTGCTCTCGCCTGCTCATGCGAACTCCTGGTCCGCTCGCGTGAAGCGCATTATCTTTGATGAAATCCACAGCATTGGACAAGCAGAGGATGGTGTTGTTTGGGAGCAGCTGCTTCTTATGGCGCCTTGCCCCATCATTGCACTCTCCGCCACCGTCGGCAATCCAAAAGAATTCAGCGACTGGCTCGCGGCCACGCAGCAAGCCATCGGAAAAGAGCTTGTCACTGTGCAACACCCTTACCGGTACTCGGACTTGCGCAAGTACTTCTATGTTGCACCAAAGAAGTTTGGCTTCTATGGCCTGCCACAGAAGAGAGCATTCGGATCGCTTGGTCTTGAGGGTCTGACTGGCTTTAGCTTCGTTCATCCCGTGGCAGGCCTCGTTGATAAATCCAGAGGTATCCCTCAGGACCTGTCCCTTGAACCACGGGACTGTTTCACCTTGTGGAAGGCAATGGTCAAGCTTCAGACGAAGGAACACACTGTGCCCGCCAAACTTGATCCAAGCAAAGCTTTGCCAGAGGTTTCCCGCAAGATCGATATTCTCAATTGGGAAAAGGAGCTCAAGGTCTTGCTTGGCGAGTGGCTCGAGGATTCAAGCTCGCCCTACGATGAGTTGATTAAGGAGCTTGAGAAGGATTTCCGATCCAGCGCGCGCGAAGGCCTATACACTACCGATCCTGAGCAGACCAAGGCAACTTCGAAGATCGTTGAAGAACTTCCTACCACTTCCACCCTTGCGCTTCTATGCCGTCTGCACGAGCAGGACGCGGTGCCAGCGATTTTCTTCAACTACGATCGGCACGAGTGCGAGCGCATCTGTGAAGAAGTCGTCTCACAGTTGCAGTCTGCAGAAGAGAAGCAAGTCAAGAGCGGTCCAAAATGGGCCAAGACGCTGGAGCGTTTCGAAGAGTACAAGAAAGTCAAGGCAAAGAACAACGCTCGTAACGCCAAAGCGACTTCGAAGAAAACAAAGCTGCAGGGCGAAGGCGATGAAAAGGGCAGCAAGAATGACCTCGAACGCGAAGGCGCTGATGATGGTGTATCCAAGTGGGAGTCATTCGATCCCGACGCTCCGTCTGAGAATTACCATTTCGCCGACTACACCAAGGTGCTCGCGTCGGACCTTGACATCTACGTGAAGCAATTACGCCGCCGTGAGGTGCCGGAGTATCTCATTGGTGCTCTCGCTCGCGGAGTAGGTGTGCATCATGCGGGAATGAATCGCAAGTACAGACAAGTGGTGGAGATATTGTTTCGTAAGGGCTTCTTACGTGTGATTATTGCCACTGGTACCCTTGCGCTGGGTATCAATATGCCCTGCAAGACTGTGGTCTTCTCCGGAGACTCAGTCTTCCTGACTGCACTCAACTATCGTCAGTGCGCTGGACGTGCCGGTCGTCGAGGTTTCGACTTGCTCGGCAATGTAGTCTTCCAAGGTGTTTCGAGGCAGAAGGTCTGCAGATTGTTGAGTTCCAGATTGCCAGATCTGAACGGGCACTTCCCAATCACAACCACCCTCGTGCTGAGGCTTTTCAGTCTCTTGCACGAATCGAAGAATGCCAAATACTCAGTCAACGCCATCAATGCTCTGCTATCGCAGCCGCGTATGTACATGGGCGGAGAGTCTTTTAAAGAGCAGACTATGCATCACTTGAGATTCTCGATCGAGTACCTCCGACGCCAGCAGCTGCTTGGGAACGATGGCGCGCCACTAAACTTTGCTGGCCTCGTGTCGCACTTGTACTTCACAGAGAACTCGTCGTTTGCCTTCCATGCTCTGCTTAAAGAAGGTATGTTGAAGTCACCATGAATCAATGTTGTACCCCGTGCTAATAAATGTAGGATACTTCCACGAGCTCTGTGCGAACATCGAGAAGAATGAGAAAGACACTCTGGAGACTCTCATGATGGTATTGTCACACCTATTCAGTCGTATCGAGTGCCGTCAAGCAGACGAGGAGTACCGCGAAAAAGTGGTGAAGCCATCGTCTTCGATGGTGTTCTTGCCACCAATGCCGACATCAGCCTCGAACATCCTGATCGACCACAACAAGCAGACACTCTCTGTCTACCGAGCATATGTGGAGACATTTGTGGATCAGCACATCAAGAGCGAGGATGTCATGCTACCGTTGTCGGGTATCAAGGCCGGCACAGATGGCGCAAAAGCGCCAGCGAGCATCCCATCGTTGCCGCCGTCACGTATCCGATCGTCCTTTGTGGCCCTGTCTGGGGCTGGTGATGAATTCGATAACATTCACGACTTGTGCGCCACAACTCGTGATGGCGTGTTCCTGGAGGAGGCGGTGATCCCTCACATGAATGTCTACCCCGAGGAGATGGAGGTACCTTTGAATGCGTACCTGCTCGACTTCTACAAGCACGGCGACGTGCACACGATTGAGCGCGCCAACCGCATTCGCCGATCCGAAATCTGGTTCTTGCTCAACGACTTCTCCCTCGTCTTGGCTACGATCATCACCAGTCTCATGAATTTCATGAAACTCACTGAAGCCACCGATCTCGACATGCTTGAAGTCATGGGCAACATGGACGCTCACGAAGAAGCTGAAGATGACAAAATCGCCGCCACCGAGACCGAAAGCACGATCTCCGGTCCCAGCGTGGGCGGTGATAGTGCGGTCGGTGGCCTGGTGGATCGCACTGCATCCAACACTGGTAGACCAGCTGCGCCAACCAGAAAGCAGGCGAAGAATGCCGACAGCTGGGAGGATCTTGCAGGAAGCGATGATGACGATGACGTGGAGGCTTCCTTGGAGCGTGCTGTGGGTGAAGAAGCAGAAGCTCTCGCGCAGGAGCTGGCCAACAGTGCATGGGATGGCGAGGGCGGTGAGGGATTGAAGAATGTGCTCAAGGCCTTCCAGAAGTTGCACGCGGACTTCACGGTGAAGTTCAGAGCCATGTGGGCTTAGTCTTTCTTATGGGACTTTGCGTGGCGGGAAAAGCTGATAAAAGAGTACTTAGCACGACTCCGTATAGACATCTCCTTGGAAGTGTGACATCGTGGCTTAACGGGATCTCATACAAGAAAAACAGAATCAAAACGCCCTGTAGCAGCCCCTGGGCGCTCATGCGCCTTGCTAATTCACACAGCGTCTGCCCCGTTCATGCTACCGATAAAAAACCACATGGTCTCGTCATCTTGATCTCATCATTATGGCTTATGACCAACAGGAAAAGCGCCCATCTGTGTATGCTCAACGAAGGCACACCAATTCTACCGCTTCTTTGCCGTTCCAATGTGTGTACCGACAACTTTGGTGCCAAATCCCAAGCTGGTTTTGCTATCTTGCCAATGGGCCTGCAATGGACTGAGATGCAGCAAGAGAAGAGTGCGAGACGATTTGCCTGCCGTGGAGCCGCCAAGCGACGATTGTAAGAGGTAAGTCAACTGCAAAACAAATGTTAGCCATGATCCCGGGTCGAGGAGCATTATTCTCTTCCTGACATACCTTGCTGTTCCTGTATGGCACATGGGCTTTACCGCCGCTCTTGCTACCAAGCGCAGCAATGACATCTCCGAGCGATGCCAAAGACTTATTGATGGCTTGCGTCTCCTTCAAGGCGTTGCCTTTGGCTTCGGATTGCTTGAGACGTTCACTGCCTGCCAAGTCGACCAGGTTGAGAACTCCTTCGCTGCTTTCACCCGTGGCTGCACATGTGCCCCTGAGTGTCATAATGAATATGCTGTGACTTCGCGAACTGCGCTCGTTCGCTTTGGTCGCGGCTACCCTGCGGTTCTTCGCTGCTGTGTCCAGGAGGTTGGCCACAGCTTGCTCAGTGTACGCGTTGGCTGACGTTGCGACGTCGACGACGTCCCCTTCTATGGGCGCTGCAGGTGGCCAATTTCCATGGTCGGCGGGCGGAGGCCACAGACGATTCGTCGTGAGATTCGTCACGGAAGTCTTTCCAGTGACAGCGTCATGGTGAATCTCGTGCTTCTCCTTCACTTTGCCTCGCACACTCGCCCCAAGATCATCAGCGTCATCCCAGGACTTCGCATCGCCCAATAAATCGTTCAAAGTCTCGTTGTAAACTTCAACGAAGTTGGCATCCACTGCATACTCCCATCCCTTGGTCTTCAGCCGTTGCATTTCCGCCATGAGCATGTGTATGGCGCTCGGTATGATACCATCAGGCCCACTCATCCCATACGTCTTCCCACTTCCTGTTTGACCGTAGGATAGAATGCTGACGTTGTATCCGTCCACTACAGATTGTATCAGGTCTTGACACTCCTGGAATACAGTCAAATTCGGAGTACCAGGCGTAAATACTCGATCGAAAGCGTAGTTGTGCACTTCTTTTCGGACCTCCCCCGCTGCAGACGTCGTGGATGTATGCACGACCATTTCTTTGCAACCCTCCAGAGAGTCTTCGTCCAGATAGTCGACTTTGGTCGGATCATCCTCTCCTTTTAAGAGTGGTCTGGTTCGTGCGTAGACTCGAATGTTCCCTCGCAGCTCCAGAATTGTGTTACTCAGCTTCCGCCTGAGCACCTCCTCCTTACGAAGTGTCTCCACAGCCACGTCTTTGGCCGCAACAGCCTCCTCCAGAGATTTGCGCATGTTCGTGAACTCCAGACTCTGCGCCTCTTGATTGCCTTCCAAGAAATGCGCCTTGGACACGAGAGTGTTTCTCTCTTGTTCCAATGCAGTGATCCTCGCTTCAAAGGCGGTGATTCGACTTCTCAAAGTGATCTCTGTTGCCTTGCTGGCCTCCAGCTGTCGTTGAAGATCTGCAGATCTGTCACGCAGGGATTGCACTTCTGATGCAGACTCAGTTGCTCGACTCTCTCCAGCCTGCCGGAGTTCCTCCAATTCTTTCTGCATGATTGCCTTCTCCTTTTCATGCTCTGCTCGCAATTGAGCCATTTCTTCCCAGCTTTGCGAGGTCAGGTCTGCTTCTTTATCGTTTTGCTGCCGCTCCCACGTCCTCCTAGCTTCTTCCATCTCCCTTCTGAATCGATCGGCTAACTTTTCTCTCTCCCGCTCAAATTGAAACTCCTGCTTCTCTTGCTTCAGCCGCAGCTCTGAAGATTCTTTTTCCAGTCTCCTTTCCATATCCAGCATCTCTCGCTCGTGGTCTCGACGTATCTGGCGCAGGTCGGTCGAGGTCGTGTGCAATTCGTTTCGTGTTCGTTCGAGGTCGACGGAGGAGGCCCTGAGGTCGGTTTTCAGCTCATTCTTCTCCTTCTCCAGCTCGGCGGTGCGAGCTTTGTAGATTGCCAGGGTCGATTCGATCGAGTCTTTCGCGGTATTCGCTACGTCGATGTCGCCTTTGAGCTGGATGTACATCCGCTCCATATCGTCGAGCCGTCCGTTTGTGTCCCATGCTTTAATAGGCGTTAGCTTGTCTTTGGTTAAGAAGATCGGCTGTGGTTCTCTACGCCTGGCCCTCGATACCGTGACCGGCGTACGCAGGCCAACTATCGAGGTGCTGTGTTTCACAGGCGAAGGAGAACGCAATTGCTGGGCAGATTGAGTATGGCGAAGAAGAGGGGTATCAACAGTGCGGATATGTTTGGGGATCTTGGTCGGCGACAGCTCTTCCTTGACAGGCTCAAGAGAAGGTCTATGTCGCGACGAAGTAGGGGGTATAGGCGTGAGGGATAGGCCAGCAAAAGCTGTAGCGATGGATACTTCGCGGGAAGGTTGACTGGCACCAACAGGCCCTCCTTGAGTGAACTGATCTTGCGGTGGTGGTGGTGGTGCTGAGACAGAAGAAGCGGAGCTTTGACGAGACGTAGCGACTGAGCTGGCGTCGCTCGTGTCATCGTAGATGCTCAGGTGATACTCGCCAGAGTGTTGAGACTTGGCTTGTGCAGACTGAAACTGCAGTGGGGGATCATGTTGATGATGATTTTGTGCTGGTATGTTGCTTCGAAGGCGTGTCTTTTGTAGGTGTATAGCGGTGGAGCTGGAGTTGAAGAAAAGGGCGGGAGTACCTTTGCGAGAACCCGAAAGTGCCACCTCGCCATCATCCTCGTCGTCGTAGTGTGACGATGTCGTCGTTTTCGAGACGCTGTAGCTGCTGTTCGTGCGAGGGACGAGTCCGAAGGGATTCGCCTGCCGACTAGATGGACGCGCTCCACGAAGACTGCCGGTGGCTGAGGCGATGCCAGATGCAGTTCGGGACAGATTGGAGTCGCTGGTCGCAGGTCGTGCGCCGAAGCCATTGGCGACGCTGGGCTTCGTGCGCAGAGTTCCTGAAGGCTCGCCGGCGCGCTCAGCGAGAGTCTTCCGCTTCAAGGGGGGCTCGGGCACTGCATCACATGTCAACACTGCATTCTCTCCGCTCTTATCATCGTGTGGGAAGGACGCGTCACATACAGCCGCTGACTTTGTGCTTGCTCGGTATGATGCTGCTCGGCGGTCCCATCGCGCCGCCGTGTCTGTCGTTGCCAGCCCCATGTGCGGTTCGCGCATTTTGGTCGCTCGAGGTAGTCTCTTGCAGGGCGCGGTGGAGATTGTTGAAGGCGGGAAGGCGACTGGGAGGCTTGAGACCGGAGGGCCTCGTGTTCTCGAGGGTGTCCATGGTGTTGTGCGCATGGAAAGGATGACTTGCGTTGTCGAGAGACCGCCTCGAGCGTCAGACGAGAGTGTAGGTGAGAGCGGCCAACGGGGCATTCATGGTCGCGAGTGGGAGTGAAGCTAAAGTAGTAGCCTCAGGTACCGGATACCGTATACCTTGTCAACAACATTGAACTGTGGAATAACAACAACCGCAGTTCAGGCGCGCGAGTCCGCTGCAGGGTGCATCCAATCAGAGACATTTTATCGCGGTATCACGTGACAAATTCTCTGCAGTGATTCACAATTTCAGTTTAGGGTTTAGCTTCTTTTCTTCTTACCATCTTCCTCCATCTGATAAACAACCGAATCACACGGAACTCCGCCAAGCCCCTACCTCCTACTGGACTCATCTGGCACACATCACAACGATCACTAATCAGTCAATGAACATGGCCTTGGAAAGAATGGTCCTCCTACAGCTTCATCATCCTCTGCTGAGTCTATAGTCATAACCCGCAGCAGAAGCAGAAGCGGGTGTTTTCATTGCCGAGGAAGTTGAGTTGAGCCATGTTCAATTCACTTACCTCCTACTAGTTGCTACTACCCGCAGCATTGCTTCAATACCGTCCACGCCAGAATCTCATGCTGTGTCATCAGGCTAAGAAGTCCCTGTCCCTTCGTCATATCTCCCTCTTCTCTCGCTACATGTCACGCTTCCGCATCATCGAACACATTGTGCCGGCCCAGCATACTCGAGACCGATATGCAGGCGCGGAGCTGGGACGTGAAAACGACTTACGGCTGCATGTGAAACAGTATATACCGAGAAACAACCCTACGCCCAGACCTGGAGACGTGACTATCATCGGCGCCGTAGCGAATGCCTATCCCAAGGAGATCCAAGAACCACTATGGGACGATCTACTACTGCGACTGGACTCCAAAGGTCGCAACATTCGCGCGATATGGGTGGCCGATCCAGTGAACACTGGCCACAGTGGTGTATTGAACGAAGCTATACTAGGACCTGACCCAAGCTGGCTGGATCACGGACGAGATCTGCTCTTCCTGATCAACCAGTTCCAAAGTGACATTCCTCGCCCAATTATAGGCATTGGCCACAGTATGGGCGCTTCACATCTCACACATTTGGCCCTTCTCCACCCACGATTGCTGGATGCCCTGGTGATCATGGATCCGGTCATACAACTTGTGCACGGCGACCAACAATGGGCTCAAGCTTCCACATATCGACGCGACCTCTGGCCTTCCCGTCAAGCAGCTGCGGAGAAGCTGAGATCAAGCAGAGCTTTGCAAGCCTGGGACTCACGCGTTTTGGACAAGTACATCGAATATGGACTGCGTGAACTTCCGACAGAGCTGTACCCTGACATTCCAGCAGATAGTGGATCAGATACACCAGTCACACTGCAGACTACGAAAAGCCAGGAACTCTTCAATTACATCCGGCCAATATATCATGACGATCGTATGCTTCTGAGCCCTGACGAAGTCTATCGAGACTTTCATCCCGAGGACATCATACCTGAAGCAACCTTCGCACGACATGAAAGTAAATGGCTGTATCGTCGACTACCAGAGCTTCGTCCAAGTACCTTGTTCATTTTCGGTGCCAAGTCTGAAGTCTCCTCCGCAGAAGCTATCGAAGACAAGTTAGCCATCACAGGGACTGCGCCAGGTGGAAGTGGTGGCCGGGTCAAAGGAAAAGTGCAAAGTGCCGTTCTAGATTGTGGCCACCTCGTGCCATTGGAGAGGCCAGCGGAAGCCGCAGAATTGTGTGCAACGTTTGTCCATGCAGAATTGGCGAGGTGGAAAGCTGACGAGAAGGATCGGAGACAACGGTGGGAGCAGTTCTCGAGAAAGCAGAGGGTCGAGATTAACGATTTGTGGAGGAAGAATGTTGGGCCGCCACCTGGACGAACGACGAAGCGATCTGAAGGCGAAACGAAGCTCTGAAAGTTTACCTAGCAGGATGCCGACGATGAGTCGTTTGTAGCAGGACGTAAAGAAGTAACAAATAGCAGCTCGAAATTTTGTTCTGTTTTTTCCCTCTAAGTCTTTGTTTTTCCCTTCAAGTTGAATACTTTGACAAAACCTCCTCAGTAGTCTTGACCAGCTCTTCAAATACCTGTCGCACATACTTTTCCTCTGCAAGCGGATTCGCCGACACGATGCGAATGGCATAGACACCTCCTACCACGCTCGATGTCAAGAACCACTCCTTGCGTCCATCGATGAGTTCGAACACCTCCTTGGTCACATCATTTGCGGCTTTTAACATGGGATCGTCGTCATTGGCCTTTGGTGATGGATCGGCGGAAAGGTTGATCTTGACTGGGTCTTCTTCTTGCTCCTCTGGTCGTGATGCGGATGCAGATTGCGATAGTTTGAGATTGTGCCACATGTGTGGATTGATGGTAATGACTGTGAGAGCGAAACGTGGCGGGGCGAGAATACTAAAGAGGTCTGGTCTGGAACGCACGAGATCTGCGAACAAATTCCCGAGATTGATATGATGTTGGATGTGTTCTTGCAGGCCTTTGACACCCCACGTGCGAAGAACGAACCAGATTTTGAGGGCTCGGAATCGACGGCCGAGGGGGATTTGCCAGTCGCGGTAGTCGGTCACGAGGCCGCTGTCTGTATACTCGTTTTTGAGATATGAGGGGGTAATGCTGAGGGCGTCGGTGAGATCTCTACGGTTCTGGATGTAGAGACATGAGGCGTCGAAGTTGGTGAGGAGCCATTTGTGCATGTTGAAGTTGAAGGAGTCGACCAGGGTCATTTGTTTGGAGAGATACTGGTATTCCGGTAAGACTAGGGCAGCTCCCGCGTAGGCGGCATCGCAGTGAATCCATATGTCGGGATAGTCGCGAGCAACTTCGGCGATGGCCTCGAAATCGTCGACGGCACAGACACTTGTTGCTCCGATCGATACCGTCAGATAGTAAGGGTGAAGCCCTTTGGCTTGCAGTTCCTCGATTTTGCTTCGCAGGTCGTCCCCTTTCAGAGCGTAAGCATCTCGGTGCCGCGTTTTGATACTTCGAAACCTGGTCCCAGCAATCGTTGCCGCCTTTTGCGAAGATGAATGAGTTTGATCCGAAGCCAGTGCCACAAGCTCTCCTCGCAGCTCGCAGGAACGGTCCTCGATTGCTTCTTCATCTGTCAATCCTTCTCGTGCAATCTGCCTTCGCACCCATCGTTCCCTTGCAGCCACCATCGTCGTCACAATCGCCTCTGAGGCAGACCCTTGAATCACACCACCTCCCTTGCCACTCGATAGAAACCCCTCAGGCAATGCTAGGATCTTGGCCGCCCAATCCATCACCACGGTTTCCAACTCCGTAATGGCAGGAGAACAGATCCAATTAAACGCTGGCGCAGTCAACGCAGCACTCCACAACTCACCCAACATAGCAGGATATGTCGAACTCGAGCAAAAATAGGCCATAAATTTGGGATGTTGCCAGTGAGTGAGACCAGGCATGATGGTGCGTTCAATGTCTTTCTGGATTTCGCTCCATTCTTCTCCCACCTCGGGGGCCATATTGGGAAGAAGCTGAGGGAGATAGCCAGGCGCTATACTCGGGAGCACGGGTCGGTCTACAATGTTGGAGTAATACTTTTCAATCTCGTCCAACGATGATGTCGCTGCTTCGAGGAATTGCTTGCCCGTCATGCCCAATGGTGGCACTGTGCGATGATCCAGCGTGCTTGAGCTTGTCGTGGCGTCGACGCCATTGGCTTGAGGCGGATCTGTCATTTTTCCTGCAGAAATCAAAAGTGATAACCAGTGGTATGGTCCGTAATCGAATTGAGGGACAATAGACACCTTTAGCCGGAGTTTTGAAGGAAATCTCTACTGCGTCGACTGCATTATAGCCGCGTAGCTCTCTGATTGGCTGAAATCGATATTACGTATGTCAGCTTCTGAGAGCTGCTGAATTATCAACATTGTAGTACTTTAGTCTTTCTTACTCTGAGTTCCCCAATAGGTATATATATATATATGTAGAGTTCGTACAGTTAAAAGTCAGGTAGGTATAGAGTAGTATATATATACATGTACCTATTCAGTTTATCGTTAACACGTGATTCTCGCTAAGCCGTGCATTATGGATAGGCACCTTATGTAAGGTAGGTAGTGTTGTTCTAGCCTTCTAGGAGACAATGATAATTTGAGTTTCTTAGCGCGTCCTTAGTTCGTAATTGACAACACTCAATCTCAGTTCAGGGCCCAGGCATATTGATTATTGAGCGATAGCACGTACTTACAGCCAATGTATATTGGTGAAACTTCCTCCTCTCACCCTAGACAAGGGTATGCATCGATTATGTCTCAGGGAGTGAGTTTGTACAACTATCTCAAGCAGTGCAATCAGCTTTTGGAAGTTGGCGTGGACGACGACAACATCCTGCTTCCAACGTCAGGGAAGCGCGCGATCGGAACAAATGGACTCAACGGTTGCACCTGTGTTGTCATTCTGGGAAGGTCCATCATCCTGTCGCATATCTCACCTCTCCCTGGTACCTACCAACAATTAGCCACAAGCAACCGCGACATCCCCCAGGCAAGCCACAGTCATCACGAAAACGCTATCTCTCGGGTCACGGAACTGCTTCGCAAACATGCCGACGAGTTCCCCAAGTCCAGCACATCTTGGGGAATCTTCGCCGTGAGCTCTGAAGGCCACCTCAAAAGCGTTGAAGATCAAGTACGCAATCACCTTTCTCTGCTGGGCTACTCTATTACGGCGGCATTTTATCAGGAGATTGACCCACAGAGTGTAAACCCTCTCAAGGGCGAACTTGTTGCCGTACTCAACAAATCTGGATCCGCGGAGTTGTATCTAGAGAGTGCGAAGCTGTGGCCTTCGCCGGAGTCAAGCAATCAAGTTGCCAATACTCTTGCAACCTCTTCTGGTCGCCAGTGGCCAAGCCCTACAGCAAGCTATATCTCGGGCCAGCAGCGCACATGGATGGGATACAGCCTATCCGGGCCAGAGAGCCATTTAATACTGAGCTGCGGCATTGCTGGAGAGCGGCAGAATGTAGAGGCAAGATGGACTGATGGACAGGATTATCCAATGATAAAGGATCCGGTCTGCGATAGCTGGAGTCAGACAGTAGCGCATGGAAATCACCTATGGGCGATGGTTCGCGGCCAACAAGTGAAGCTGGAGAAATGATGCAATGCATTGGCGTCTTCCTCTGTCCTTCTCTCATGGAGATACCGCCTTCTCTGATGCTTCACCGCGCCTCAGATGGCTGCAGCACCATCACTTCAAGCACTATAGGATTTACAGCTCCAAACATTATTGTCACTACTGGGAGTCTGGACTTTCCATGTCTTACAGATCATCATGGGTACACAATGCATGGTCGTATAACATTGCCAGCACACCTTCGTGATGCAGCAAACTGTTGAGGAATACCGGTCACGTGGTTCTAGGAATGCATCATCAGTCCATCAAATGTTGGCCCATGTAGGGGCCAAGCGAGATCACGCGGTTGAAGCGAAACGCGCGAGGTCCATCGACCTGCGAACATCGAAGCCTATCAATGCCTATCACCTTCAAGTCGCGATCGCTTGAAGGCTTTACCAGAGGCGCCTGCATAGCTAGAGTTTGCTACAAAAAGAGGCAGGAGGCAGGAAGTAGGAGGCGAGGCTGCGGCGCTTGATTGCAGAGGATGTTCGCTAAATAGACATGTTAGTGCCAAGAAGAAGTGGTTCTGCAAACATCGAGACGTTAAACGATGGATAGTCAGGTTGTACAAGCCAGACCAACGACATACCTACCAACCTACCTCACTACATGTACCTCGATAGAGTTCGTGTCCTCGACCTGTGGTGCTCACAATATGCGCCGGCGAGAGCAAGTCACTACACGAGACTTTTCGTGGTCTGCGTCAGTAAAGCGTGCGGTCTTTCGCGAAGAGAGGTGGGCATGGCTGTTCGTCAGATATTGACGTTTGAGGATTGCGCTTAAGAAGTACAAGTCAGGTACTATTAATTGGCGCGGGCCGATTGGATCCCCACCAACCACCAGGCCCACCCCACATTGCTTCTTGGCGTTATTCTCCAGTCCCTCTACTGGAGGAATGGGATCTAATTAGGTACGACGGCGAACAATGACATGTTCCACCAGGCGGATCCATCCAGAACCATCGATATACATGTTGCCATCAACACTCGGAAGAGATGAGCGGGTTGAGGTCGCCGCTCGGCCTCGAATGCAGCCCGAATGTACGGCAGCATATTTCGGCTGGCGGGGACAAACAGTCTTGCACTGTGAAACGTTCACCCCATATAACTTATGCCTGAGTAGATGGCCTGAAGTCCGGCAGCAGGGCGATACCTCCCAGTGTATGGTTGAGGAGACCCGTAAGAGCTACATGTATACAGCCTACGGTGCTTTCCGTCTCTGAATGTAGCTGCGTTTCTCAACTGACAACAGCTTCATCTGACTACACACCCATCAAGTGCAATGACGGATCCACGGACGAACTCAGCTTGGATACTCGGCGACAAGTTCGACCAAGTCTACCCTCATCTCGGCTCAATCTCGAAGTTATGGTACAAGAAATGGAAGTTCCCCTGTGAACGTTCCTTGTATCCTTTTCATGATGGCAAATTCGAAGATTTTGCACCCGTATTCGAGTCCCTGATCGAGAAAGGTATACACGATGGCTATACCGATGCATATACTCAAGAGTTTGTACCTACAGCCGAAGCGCTCGTAAAGGTTGCGGATCAGAAGCTCGAGATAGGAGAGAAAGAGGAAGCGATCGGAATCTACTTGAGGGCATGTGCGGTCTACAGGATCGCCAGATTCCCGTACATCAACAGCGACCTGAAGAGGGATATCTATACTGCACAAAAGAAGGCGTACTTGAAAGCTGCAGCACTATTCGAGGTCCCGATTGAGGACGTCGAAATTCCACATACCGCTGGCACCGCGGAAGATGAGGGGAACAAAGTGCCGTTGTATGTCCGCATACCGCCCAGCGCAAGCAAAGACGAGCCTGTGCCATCGGTCATCTTGATGTGCGGACTAGACGGACATCGACCAGACAATACTGTAAGGAGTGATGAATTCCTCAAAAGAGGCTGGGCGAGTGTGATTGCGGGTAGGTATCTTGACCTCAATGTGCCTCACATCTGTTGACAAACTTGTTCCATTAGACATCCCCGGCACAGCCGATTGTCCCGCCCTCCGCTCTGATCCGACCAGCGCCGACCGCCTTTGGACTTCCGTTCTCGACTGGATGCAGGCGCAAGGGCGCTTCAACATGTCCAAGATTATGGTATGGGGTCTTTCTGCAGGCGGCTATAACGCGATTCGCGCTGCACATACTCACGCCAATCGCCTTCTTGGCTCGGTAGGCCAAGGAGCCGGCACTCACCATTTCTTCAGTCGTGGATGGCTCGAAAAGGCCGCACATCATGAGTATCCTTGGACTGGACTTCCAGCCTTGAAAGAGAAGTTCGGGTATAAGAGCGAAGAAGATATGATGGCGAATGCACAGAAGGACTTCTCGCTGGTTGAGACTAAGATTGTGGACAAGCAGAGCTGCAGATTGCTGCTTGTGAATGGGACGCATGATGGTTTGATGCCGATCGAGGACAGTATGCTCATGATGGAATATGGCAGGCCGAAGGAGGCGAGATTCTTTACTGGATTGTTGCATATGGGATACCCCCCTGCAAATGGAGCCGTGTACCCATGGATGGAAGAGGTCATGGGAAGTGTGCCATGAAGATGGCAAAAATAAGTGCAATGGGCGCAGCAGTGCACACATGCGTGCTGGCAGATTACTCAAAAGGCGGAGCACGATGTACCTATGCAAATAGCCAGGGTTGACCAGGAGCACATGTATGCTTGCGCTGTATACAATAATGTACATGCACCGAGGCCACTTTCGCTACGAATGTTCCCGCGGACTGGCACGACACGTCTTGTGACGTCGAACTGCCACGCTCCTAGTGGTATGCAAGCACTGCAGCTACCCTTGAGCTTGAGCTTCCATTCATGCTACAAGCGAGCGCGCGACTTCTTGACTTGGAGTCGGTGTGGTCTCAAGCTGATGCACACCCATACGGATATTAATATACCTACAACAGCATTCAACTGATGGAGTTACGGTTGAGCACTGCTGGAGCCATCATCTTCCACCCCTCCACAAAAGACTCAGCGAAGCAACATGTCTGCGAACACGCAACGAATGTTCAATCAGCTATCTCTGTCCCGATTGCCATGTTGTTCTCCACTTCGATCGATCAAGGGACCAAGAACAACAACAGCAACAGCAGCAGCAGCTACAGCAGGTCGGCACGAGGTGGACGAGAAGGACAAGCAGAAGCAGAAAACGACTAGTCTCGAAAGTGCTAGCAGCAGCTCGATAAATCATACCTCGGGATCTGGAACAGACGATTCGACAGATTCAGGCAAGACGAGCTTCGCGAAGGAGGATGGGAGGATCGAAGCCTGGTGGAAGACGATGCCCTCCGATGGTACGACGCAGCAAGGCGAGGCGCGAGTATCATGAAATTGAGACTTGAACAAGGGCACACGGCAGGAGTATGCGATGCACCGGACCAGAGAATGCTTTACGAAATAAATGGCGAATCCGAGATTTTCCGTGGAATAGAGGGAGCTGTATGCAGCATCATTTGACCTTTGTCAAGGGTGGCAAGCTGGACAGACTGCCTTCTGCGCTCCTGTTCATGACAAGACAACTGGTTCCTGACTATGCAAGAAGGGACTTGAAGACTTTCAGTGCTTCTCCTGTCCATATAGCCGTGCTGGCGGTTTCGGTGTGAGGTCAGCATCACACTGCGCTTGCTTGATTCAATTATCCCACGGCATCTTCAACACATTGGTCCCTGCCAGCGCTCCTTGGTCGTAATATTCCGTCCTCTCCTTTCTCTTCTGCTCAACCTTCTCGTCATGCAGTCTCCGCATCTCTTCGACCTTTGCACTCCTCTTCTTCTTCCGTCTCGCGTTCTTCTCGCGCACTCTCTCTTCTTCTTTCAATTTCATATCGATGGCTCTTTTGGTCTCCGTATCCAGAGTCCAAGGTTTATTCAGCACTTTCCGCTTCCACTCCGCGACCTTGCTCCAATAAACCGCCTCATCGTGTGTATCCTTGACAAAATTGAACCTCTGCGCAATCAACTGTCGAGATGTGTTATACTTTTCCACTTTCCCTTCAGCAATTACCACACTGCCAATCTCAACTCTCTTTCCCCTGATGTATACGGCTGGAAGGCCCATTTCAATTATTGCCTCGACATGATCCAGTGTGGTCTTGGTTGAGTAGACCGCGCCACTCGGCGCTCTGTGTGCCACCGGCCTCTCCAGCTTCACCTCCATGTTCGCTCCACTCCCATCGTCCACAGTCAAGAGGATGAACTTTCCGCCCGCTACCATGTCGACCTGAGCTACATACCCGACTATACGGATGAACTGAATGGGATGGTTCAGCCAAAACCAGACATGTTGACCTTGAAAGTGGAATTCTTCGCGGAGGTTGGTGTATATGTCGAGGATGGTGAGCTTGTTCCAGCGATTCCAGGTTGGAGAGGCGGAGAAGTAGCAGGCGGGGTGGATGGTAGCCTGATGTGGGCCAGCGGTGGTCATGTCATTGTCGTTGTCCTGTTATAGCTACATGTAAGCGGTACAAAGTAGGTAGACGGAAAGTGGAGTGAGCCGTGCGTCACGTCACGCGTCACGTCAGACGCGACTCCGACGCGTTCCTTGTGACTTCCACATCAATCTCGATCTCACTCCTCTCTGCCCTTTTTCCAGATAGCGCAACCACGACTTATACCAGATACTACTTCGAACGTGATCTTCCAAATTCCGCTTGATATCACGAGAAGTACCGACATATCTTCCCCATAATGCCCAAACGCAAGCAGCAGGACGACGATGAGGTCGAAGAGGAGCTCGAAGAGGAGCTCGAGGAAGAGCTCGAGGAAGACCAAGAGATGCCCACATCCATCAACCCATACCACGTTCTCGATATTCCTGTAGACGCATCTCAATCAGACATCAAATCCGCGTACCGCAAAGCCGCGCTCAAATCTCATCCGGACAAAGTTCCAGAAGAGCACAAGGAATCCGCTCACAAAGAGTTCCAACAGGTCGCTTTCGCATATGCTATTCTATCGGATGAACGGAGACGGAAACGATACGACACTACAGGATCCACCGAAGAGAGCTTGGACATCGAAGATGATGATTTCAATTGGGCGGACTTCTTCAGAGCACAATTCAAGGATGTGGTGACCGACGAGAAGATAGAGAGTTTTGCGAATGAGTACAGAGGGAGTGAGGAGGAGAAATTGGCTGTGCTGGAGGCCTACACGAAGTGCAAGGGAGCGATGCGGAAGGTCTATGAATATGTCATGTTGAGCGATATGAGCGTGGACGAGGAGAGATTTCGCGAGATCATAGATGACGCTATTGAGAGCGGAGAAGTTGAGGACTTTCCAAAGTACTCTGGAGAGAGTGAAAAGGCGAGGAAGGCGAGGATTGCAAAGGCGAAGAGGGAGAAGGAGCAAGAAGCCGCGGAAGCGGTGGAGTTGCAAGAAGAGATCGTGAAGAAGAATAAGAAACCCAAGGACAGCAGTGGTGATATGCGAGGGCTAGGTGATCTGGCCTCTCTAATCAAGCAAAGGCAACAGGGACGGGCGGAGACTTTCTTCGATAAGCTAGAAGCGAAGTATACGGCTCAAGAAAAGGGCGGGAAGAAGGGGAAGGGGAAGGCAGCCTCTGCTGTTGCGCCGGACGAGCCGCCCGAAGAAGCGTTTGCTGCTATGCGGAAGAGGGCTGATGCAGTTGGGGGCGCTAGGAAGAAGAGTAAAACGCGAAAGTGAGCAGGCCTCGTCAGGCCGTGTGTTGAGTATAGCATGACATTTTGATACGAAAGCACGACACCCAGGCTATGTCATACATGGTTAACAATCAGGGAGAACTGGAAATGTCAGATCACATTCGCCAGTCACTCTCATCTCCACCCTCATCAACTCTCGCCACCGCTCCACTGACCAGACTACTACTTGCCAAAGACTGCAGACTTGGAAGCGTGCAGGGATGCACATCGCGCACTAGGAACCCTTCACTGTCCAGCAGCAGCCCTCTTGATAGCCTCAGCAACTTCCGCCGGCTTTGTCATGAATGGAGAATGTCCAGTGTCGACTGTCTCCGTCTTGATCGGAACTCCCTGCGCAGTTCCCGTAACCATCAACTCCTGGATTTGCAGAGGTATAGCAGCATCTTGCTTGCAATACAGATAGGTTGAGGGCACATCCCTCCATGCTGCATACGTCAGCGGCGAGTGGAACACCTGGTAACTGAAAGGTAGCAGGTTTGCGATGGCAGCCTGCTGGTCAGCTTCCGGCATATCGTTATAGAAGATTTCCGCAGGCCGGTCAGGGTTCACTTCGGTCCTCGCTTCATTGATGTTGAACCAAGGCAGATCATTACCACCGAACGCTGAGATCAGGGTTTGTCCCTCGGGGATGATGAAGGCGGCGAGGAAGAATAAGTGGGTGACTCCGCCCGACTGACCAGCAGCCTTTCGAGATTTGAGGTCCAGTCCTTTGATGGCTTCTGAGGCCGGGATGCTGCCATACGAATGTGCTACGACTACCACATTCTGTCCTGCATTGGCTGAGGCTTCAATGTGCTTTCGAATCTCATCGACGTCGGGATTGAAGTTCTTCAGATGCTCTTTTGGGCCGATTGAAGGGAGAGAGACGAGATCAGTCTTGTAGCCGGCCGCTTCGAGCTGTTGGACGACTGGCTGGAAAACGCTCGGTATGTGCCAAGCTCCTGGTACGAAGAGGATTGTCGTTGAGCTTGCCATGGCCGTTTATTGTGAGTCTTGCCTTGTCCTAGAAATCTTGGGACGTTCCTGATGCTTCTAGCTGATCGATCTCAAAGGTGCAGGGACTTGCTTCAATCTCTGTCGTACTTCTAGAAGGAAAGGAGAGAGCTTCCACTTCTATATGACCTTGAGCCAGGGGGGCTATTGGAGCGGCTCGGAATTGGGCCATCGGCTTATCGGTTGCAAAGACAGGGCGTTCATGATAGCAGACCAGGGGCTATAGGCACAGAGATCGTGTCTTATAGCACCAGCAGAGTCTTCGGCTCGTTCTTCAGGGGTCAGGCCTGTGACAGATGCGGAGAAGGTTGTGGAGTTCGTGGAGCTACATATCATGGAGTAACTGGAGTTCGTGTACTTCGTCGAGCTTGGACAAATTTCAGCCGGTCGGGTACAGATTTGGTTTCCTTCGTCGAAACTCAATACGCTGGATATGCAAGGGCTATATAGCCCCACATCCGTCCACACCCCTGAATTTGCCAAGATTTTCACCCCCCATGCTTGCTGAGTCCAGCATTATCCAAGACTCGGAATCATCGCTTTGAGTATCCGAGCATCAATCCTTCATACGCTCCAAGAACAATATCCGAACGATCACTCAGCACCCTGTGATTTACAGACCGTCCTTCCTCTCCAGTTCCTCCCAGCCAAACATACGTGGCAAGTTTGCCATCATCGTGTTTTCCTCCGCCAGGAATTGGCGGCAGTGGAAAGACGACATTTTCGTTCCCGGTCAGATTGAGTATGACCAGAATGGCTTTTTCATTACTCTCATTCCTTGTTAATATAGGCTTCTTCCAATACGCCATCACTTCGTATTCATCATCATCATCAAGCCTTTCATCATGACTGACGATTTCGAAGTCTCCCAAAATCATCGTCTCGGGATGTTTCTGTCGGAATGATATTTGCTTCCGCCAGAAATTCAAGACAGAATCTGGATCAGAGTTTTGCTGTTCAATGTTACAACTCTCCGAATCTGTGTTCATAGGACTCCACGTATGGCCTTCTTCGGCGTCCGAGAATCCAGCGTTCGGTCTTGAAGATGCTGACGTCCACGGTAAAGGCATTCTGGCATGATCTCTGGCTTTCATTCGGATTTGCTCTTCAAAATCGGACATATCAACGTCTGAGTAGTCCTCAGCAGAGTGTGCAAGACGACGAGAACGATAACACGCCTCCCAGGCTTTCTTCGTCTCTACATCAGGGTATTTTTCGATCGAGATCTCGTCTGAGAGGTTGACAAGTCCAAGTTCCTGCCCTTGATAGATGAACAACGTCCCGCTGAGCGTCGTTTGCAGCAATGCCAACATCTTTGCTACCTTGCATCGATTTTTGGAGCTTCCATCTCCAAACCTCGAAATCGACCTCGCAGTGTCATGGCTCTCCAGCCAAACAGTATTCCAGCCACCTTTCGAAAAAGCCAGCTCTGTCTGCCACTTTGTGACAATCTTCTTCACCTTCCTCAAGATGTCCTCTTTCGAACTCAAAGAGGCACTAAACTTTCCACTCAGACCGGAGTCAACATCGAAGAGATCATACTGATATACCATATTCAGCTCTTTCCTCCCCGGTTCGACATAGCACCTCACTTCTTTCGGCTCCGAAGTCACAATGACCTCCCCAACAGCCATTCGCTCATCTTGTTCAGAGTATCGATCGAGAACCTCTTCTCGCATCTCCCTCAAAAATTCATGAACCCGGGGTCCATTACAATAAAGCCCATATGCAGGCTGCTCAAATACCTTCTCATTCACACTCTCCGCATTCCATAATTCCAGATCCTCAGCTTTGGATATGATATTGATGACATCCAACCTAAAACCCGCGACACCTTTCTCCAGCCAAAATCGCATCTCATCATACACTGCCTCACGCACTTCAGGATTCGACCAATTGAGATCCGGTTGTTCTTTGGAAAAGATACGAAGATACCACTCATCCGTCCCTTCATCATACGTCCACGCCGAGCCCGTGAAGATACTTTCCCAATTATTCGGTGGAATATGCTGCTTTCTTCCATCCTCCTTCGAATCATCGTGGCCGCCTTTACGCCAAATATACCAATCCCTTTTGGAGTTCGTCAGACTACTGCGACTCTCTTGGAACCACGCATGTTGGTCGGAAGTGTGGTTCACAACCATATCCATGATCAGTTTTATGCCGACTCTGTTCAATTCTGCGATCAAATGTTCCAGATCTTCGACGGTCCCGTATTGGCGGTCGACCTCTCGATAGTCGACTACGTCGTAGCCCATGTCTATCTTCCCGGACTTGTGGCAGGCTGCGAGCCAGACTGCGTTGATGCCGAGAGAGGCTAAGTATGGGATCTTGGATATGATTCCTGGTATGTCCCCGATACCATCGCTGTTGGAGTCTTTGAAAGAGGATGGGTAGAGCTCGTAGATGGTTGCGGTCTGCCACCATTTGGGCTTGCTGGAAGTGTGGGTTGGCATGATGGCTTTCGAGTGGCACTGACGTGGAGAGCGAGAACTCTAGGACTCTGACCAGAACATGTGCATATCTGCGGTTGTTTCAAGGAAACTAACATTATAAAAGATTCTCTATTGGATGTTGCTCGAGATGTCGCGCCACGCTGTCACGCTTGCTTGCCTGCTTGCTTGGTTGCTTGCTTACCAAACCGATGCGGTGTGACTTGAGCTCGTGAGACTTCGGAATCTGATGAATACCAGCAAAATCGGCCAAGCGATGAAAGCTGTGCTGCAGTCCTCATGTCTTAGCATTCAGTAGCAAGAACCGTTCAGCGCCAGAAACTCCAGTGATACTTTCTCTCCCCCTTCGCCAAAGCGAATGGCTTCTTTTGATCAGTCGATGCCTCTTACGTCTTACTACAGCCTATTTTCATACAGGTGTCCAGCGCAGAAGCATGCCGCAACATACGCGATAGTGGCCGCACCCACGATTGAGGCAGTGTTGGGTTCGGAATTGGAAGAGCCAGCTTCGCATGAACATGTTCAATATAATGTGCACGTCGGATACGTTCAGTGTCCTTCAGTACTTCCCATCAGCATTTGAATACTTACCACTGTCTCTCATGTGTTGAGGCTCGATATTCTTCAAATAGCAAAGCATATTCAGCGCCTCCACGAAGCTCGCTTCACTGTACAAGAGCTTCCCGAAATAGCCCTCTTCTGTTCAGTCGATGACCAAATAATAACTAGATCATCCAGCTTAACATACTGTAGGTCTGTTCGGGGCCTTGTGGCCTTTCACGCATCTACATTGGCCGTTGCGGCCGACCCGGCAAAGCCAGGTAAGCCCTCATACATCGCCGCACATCATCACCCGTAATTCGGAGAGCAGTGACGTTTGCGTTCAAGTTGTAGCACAATCTCTCCTCGGGTCGATGGGAGACGTAGTTTAGAGTAAGACAGTTAGTCATATCAAAGCAGAGGTGACAGCCAGCAGGACTTCTCCTGTACTCCAATAAACCGAGACGACTGGGCGAGGGTAAATGACGACAGCAATGCTTCAGAGAGTTGGAAGGGTTCCGTGCTGGCCTTCCTCATTGTCGTAAGATGTGAGTTTCGAGCCGGAGAACGTGTTGCGTGGTAGGAGAATGCTTGTGGAAGTCGGCCTTTGATCAGAAGACAGAGGAAGTGTTTGTGCTGGTAGCACACAGCACAGCCGTCCAAGAAGCGAAGACACTTGTTTGAATGGCGAGTGTATCGTGATAGGTTGTTTCCGGATAAATGCCAGCTAAGACAAACACCACCTAGCAGATTATTGCACTATAGCCAGTAATGACATACGGATTGAATAGACATCCCATCAGCATGTCTCCTCAAGTGCTCCAACCATACTTGCTCCCGCCTTCTCCTCGTGCCCGTTTACCGTCAGCCCACTTATCCTTGAGCGCCTCCTGCTGAGTCTGAGCATTATTGACAAGCTGCTGCAGACTGTGCTTGCCCGGAGCGATAGCCTTCACGGCACGATGTTCCACAACTTCTCCAGCCTGTCGAGCGCGTTCGTTCTCCGCATATTGGGCATCCATGTCAAAGTGCGTGACATTCGCATCCTTGCCATTTCGGCCGAAGAGGTGTCTCCGCTGAGCAGGAGTGAGATTCATGCTTGCGGCAACTGCTTCGAGAGAGTTTGGATTTGTGGGTGCAGAAGAGGGTTGAGGATCTAGAGGTTGTGATGTTTCTCCATGATGCGAGGGTCGAGTACTTTCTATCGTGATGGGTTCGTAGTCTCCCGTGACGCTGTCTATCGGCACATTCTGTTCATCTGAGATGACAGAGAAGAGCGATTTCTTTGGCTTCGGTTGAACTGGTTCGACTTCCGTCGCTACATCTTTTGGTATTGCTGAGTCTGACCCTTTCGCCACAATCTTCTCCGACGCAGGTATTTTCGGCAGTGGCTTCTTCTTCTTCTTACTCGACACACTCAGTGGCAGGAATCTCGTCGCCTTGCCCACGATCTTGGGTTCTGGTGGTGGACTATGTTTCTCGGCCTTCTTCTCGCCAACATCGCTCAAGTCTGGGGCCGTGTAGGCGTTGTCTTCGGTCTGCTGTGGGAGTGGATTGCGACTGAAAGCCGCTTCACTGCTCGTCTTCAGGTTGACACCCTTTTTCAGTACCACTGCCTTCTTCGGTGCTGGTAAGAGTGCATTGAAGCCACTGAATGCGCCGCCTGTCCTCGCTCTCTTCGCTGGTGGTCCGTCTAAATCTGCGTCGTCGCTCTTCAGACCCACTTCAGGCTTCAGACTCGGCAGGCTGACCTGAAGTCGTCCGGGAGCTGCTTTCTGGAATGCCGGCTTTGTTGTTGCTTTGGCTGTTGTCGCTGTTGCTGGTGCTGGCGCAGTTTCGCCGTCGCTCTCACTGTCCGAGTAGTTGACGAGTGCCATGTTGATAGCATTCAAGTCTGGGGTCTGTTGAAAGTGGTCAGTGATCAGCGTGAAGAGAAAGAAGAAATCCAAGGTGATCAAATCTACACTGGAGATAAGGTGAGGTGGAGGTAGTAGGTAGTTCTAAGGTACAATGGTACCTGGTCAAGTTCTAATTCTGCCTGACTCGCGCCCAAACTCCCACCACTGATCAAGGCCCTTGCTTGACTCCACATCAACACCACCTTGACGTAACGCATTATGCTCACGCCAGCTGGTCTGGTCTGGCCACGATAACGAGACCATGTCCTTACTCATGAACGAAGACTTCTCCATCTACCAGCTGCGCCTCGGCTATCTCAATCAGATCCACGACGGAGTGGGTGAGCGACTGATCAACCTCAATCCCGCAGTGCTGAATAACCCGGCCTTTCGGACTGCAGGATGGGTGCCCGATGCCGCCGCCATCAAGCGATGCTACAGTCCGCCCATTCCCACCGGCACCTCCGCCGACATCAGCAGCGAGTACTTTCAGCGCCCACGTCGCCCGACCAGACGTGCATTGGATGATGACGAGGGGGGAGAGGGAGGCGGCGTGGGTGGAGGGCTAGTCACTGGCCAAAGTGGAAGTCAAGATACGATCGGTGCTGCAGGACTGCACGATCATAGAAAGAGAGAAAAGAGACGGCGCAGAGAGGCATTGGAAGACGACGACAGCTCCGATTTGAGCGACGACAGCGATGAAGACGACAAGGGCCCCGCGCAGAGCATCAAGTTCTCCAAGATGCCCGTTCGCCATCGTGCTGCCTCCTCTCCTCCTACACAGGCTAGCACTCTCAGGCCTGGTTTCGAGGGCGATGGGCCTGAAGTGCTGGTCACAAGTCCATCACGACCACCAGATTCGACATTCACTCGGCTGCGTAGTGGCAGCATGGGCCAGGTCGAGAGCATCAAGCAGAGAGCACGACGAGATACAGCCACCAGCTCAGATATATCCAGCGATAACGATGTCGGGGGTGCGCCGAAGAAGTTCAAACGCAAGTTGCCCAGTAGGCCCGGAAAAGGTCCTAGCGTGCTTGCGCTCGAAGACGACATCGAGGAGGAACCCCATGCCAATTCCGATCTGGACGACGACGATGACATTGATGTGGGTGAGGCATCAGATCTCAGCGATGAGTTTGAAGGTACTGTAGAATCACCATCTATGCTGGCCTTCCCCAAAGCCAGCGATGATATGTCGCGATCGCCCCTCAAGCCTCCTCCAGACATCATGCCTGCAATCAGTGCGAGTGCTTCATCACCCAAGAAATCCAGGGAACCACTTCCCAGACTACCGAGATTACCCTCCGGACAACGCCCACTCAGCATGCTACCTCAGCCCATGTCTATGATCAGCTTGGCGTTGCACGGGAATGGCAGTGGCTCCGCGGACAAGCCATTCCAACGCTTTGCAGATCTATCTGGAAAAGGTGAAGCGAGTCCGTTGTGGATCAAGATCTATGCACCATTCTCCGACAAGCCTACCAAGCCCATCGAAGTACCATTGCGAAGAACAAAGGACGACCGACCCGTAACGGTCGCAGAGTTGATCGGTCTCTCATTATGGCGCTACGCGGAAGAGGGCTACAAACCCCAACTCCCTCAGGACGAATGCAACATCAACTGGTGGACTCTACGAATCGTGGATGACGAGGAAATTGATCTGGACTTTCCAGCGCTGGGACGAACACGACCAGCTGTGGACTTCACCTCGAACAACAATCGGCCACCTCAAAGGAGAGCGAGGGACAAGCCGTGGGACGAGTTTGGGCTGGTGAAAGCTACCACGGAGCAGTTCAAGGAGAATGAAGAGATTACGCCTCAGATTGGAGATATGCCGCCGCCTGCAAGATCGACCCCCAGGCTCGAACAACAACAATCTTTCACGTCAGCCCAAGCACGACCAGAAGTCCAGCGCTCTACAACAGAGACATCCCTGTCTCTCAGACCTGTGCCTTCCTTCAACCCACGCCCGAACCCAATCACAGGTCCTTCGTTCGGCCCGAGTGCGCTTCGAAGAGAGATCACTCACCAACCTGCGGATCTGCCTCAAAGAGAAGAACGGCAAGGCGCAGCAAAGACTGGTGCTCCTCGAACTGTCACCATCACTCACATGAATCCCACCACAATGGCTTCACGGGTCGACAAATACGAAACCACGACGGACAGCTACATTGCCGAAGTCTTCGAACAAGCCTGCTCGCGTCTCGGTCTCGAAAAGGCTCTATACAATCTCAAGGTGCACGGCACTCAGACGGTGGCGCCACCAGATCGTACAGTGGAAGCGCTCAACGAACGGCTCCATCTTGATCTCGTCCCACGCCGCTTCCACGGACCCGAGGGATTCTTGGGCGGCCTCTCGGGCTCACCAGGAAGTTCGTCTCCGAACGCGCCTCTCGAACTCACGCCGGCGAACGCCACGCCGAGTCATACCAAGAAAAAAGGAAAGTTCACGCTGCATCCTCTGGCCGCTCAACAGAAGTCCGAACTTAACCACACCACCTCGATCTTGAACATGCAAACGGAAGGCAAACGTTACAATGTCATGAGAAAGCAGCCTCTGTCCTTTGCAGCCACACATCCGCGAACGTTGATCATTACGCCGGAGTACATGACGATCATGCCTGCGGCACCGGATAGCCTGGCTGCGCCGAGCGGGAAGGTGACGAATGTTCCCATGACCAGCGTGATCGGTGCCAAAGTGAGTCGCAAACATACCAAGATGGTTCGCATCCTCGTGTATCGTGAGCGAGAAACCAAGCGGTACGACTTTGAAGCGGCGAACCATCGCGAAGCGGAGGAGATTGTAGACGATGTCAGGAGAGGAATGGAGGTGTTTGGACAGGGCGCTTTTCCTGACGACTAGAAGTTGAAGAAGAAGAAGGGGTGGTCTTGGGGTCGTAAAAGCTTCTCTACCTACGTGGTAGCAGGCGATGGCCCGCCAAATGTGTGGAAAGAAAGCAGCGAGATGTGGTGTTCATCGCAGAGTAGCTCTTTAGCTGGACAGAAGAGCGATGGCGGTTGCGATCCGTTTGGAATGCGTCGGCACACTGTTGCCGGTTTCGCTGGAGTTCGGAATGGGTATACCCACAGTAGCAAGAGGAGGTTGTCCTTGTACTCGTTGTTGACGATTGATGAGCGTTGAAATTATGGACCAGGGGCGAACCACGATCCTGACACATTTCGCCTGCTGTGCACCAGTTGACGAGCGAGACTGAACTTTGGCAAAAGTGTCTCGCCGGCACGAACGATAATTTTCAGATCACCCCATTGAGCCGTGGCTTCTTGTTCCGTGCTCGCTTTGGCTCGAGGTAAAGTACTATATGCACTTTCGGAACATGGCCCAGTGCTTCATGTTAGTCACGAGGTCACGGACGAGCTTCAGATAGAACATGTATCTTCTTGGGGGCAGTCCTCCAGTGCCTCACTTGAAGGGCTCGGCGTTTCGAAACATAGTGCCTTCTTTGACCACTGTCTCAGAAGATGATTGTACATGTTCATCTATTTTCTTTCTGGCGATTGATGGCCCGGGGGGTGAGTACTGTAGTTGTCGTGGTGGGACTTGGCGTCGGTCCAGGATTGATGCTTAAGTCAGATAGCCAAGAAGCCTCCCAGCAGGGGCAGCCCATGACTACACCAAACTCTGTCTCAACCTCCTCTCGCTTATGTTGTCTACATGTAGCTGATTAGGTACCTCCGATAGGTAAGTGTGAGGTAGGTAGGCTCTGGTGGGTGTCCGGTGGGTGTCTTGTGGTAAGAATAGAAGGAATGACATGATGAATGATGATGGATTGCATAGCAGTGCCAGTGTCAGTGTCAGGCAGGAGAGCAGGAGAGCAGGAGAGCAGGAACACGCAGGTTGGCTCGTGGCTGGAGCGTGGAAAGACAGTCCCGAGCCGGGGAAGAAGGGAGGAAGGAGCGAACCTGCCATTCCTTCCCAGACCTGACCTGAGCTACCACTTGTTAGCCTACCTGACCTCCTACCTAGGACGGGAGGTACCACCTACCTCACCTCAGTCCTCGTCAGCTAAAAAAGGCAATGGAAGAAGAGAGGGTCAAGGAGAGGGTCAGAGAGAGGGTCCTGCTGCATGAGGTGTCACAGCCGTTTCACGCTTCACGGCATCGCTGGCGCTAGCAAAGAAACGAACACGGCACGCACGGGAGGCGCGGCGGGGGGCCCACCTCTGTGCATAGCACTGTACCTTATTGGAAAAAAAGGCAGATCGGCTCAGGTACGCGAGAAGTGCCCTTCCATCATCCATGCACATCATGTTCCCACCGAATTGCTGCAGCTGCACTTGGCTCGGAAGAGAAATGGAGCCAAGACGGCGAGCAGAAAGGGAAAGGGCAGGCCACGAAAACCGGACGAAAAGGAAAGAGCGGCTGCGCAGCGTGTGTGTGTGTGTGCGGGCCGGGTAGCTGCACCGTCGTTTCCCTCCCAACTTCGGCCGCATTTCTCCAGCGCTCTGGCACGCGGGCTGCTTTGCCATTGACCGAGCGAGAGAAGGAAGGGAAGGCACGGCCAGGGTGAACAGGGTCTTCTTTTTTGATGCAAGTGCGTGCAGGTGGGTAAGGTAGGAGGAGGTCAGTGGTAGGAGGTAGGTGGCCATGGAGCACAATGCTTCTGAGGCTCACTACTACTACTACCACTACTAACACTACTGCTGCTGCTACTACCTTACTACGACCAAGGTACTACTACTACTACCACCCTACTACCCTACTACCCTACTACTAATACTATTTATCCATCGCTCCCTACTCTACCTTACCCTACCCTACCCTCCCTTACGCCTCCTACACCACCAGACTCTCTTCCCTCCCTCCATCCCCCTCCAATATGCTCCCACACTTCCTCCTGACTGGCCTGCTGGCTGTGGCCGTCAATGCCATGCCCAACATCCCGTCTCACTCACTGTCCGTCTACCGCACCGTCGACCACATCACCAAATACAAGCCTTCGACTCTCTGCACCGGCCGTGCTCTCCCCACCAAGTCGAGAACGAAAGTCAAGACGGTGACCTCAACCATCACAACCTGTTCGGCGCCAACGACTGTGACGACGACGGTCACGCCAGATGCTGTGACGGTCACCACCTACGACAATGCCACGCAGCTCGCCATTCGGGCCAGACAGGACGCAGGCTGTACGAGCACCACTACTGTGTATGTATCTCGTCTATTCTGCCTTCACACCTCCCCTTCCATAGCACTCCAGTGCTGATTCTCTGCAGATCCGCGAGCGTTGCCACAATCTTCACTGGAAGCTACAACGCGACTGTGGCCAAGCGTACGGCGACTCCGCTGGACCAGAGATCTCCACCCCTCCTGCCAGCACTGTTTGGCCCCATGGTCCACCGCCTGGGCCAGAGCGCCCTTGCCAACCAAAGAGCCTTTGAAGTGGACTGCTTAGAGCAGATTACCTCATACGTCCTTGTCACCACGACCATGGCGGAACAAGCAGTCACCGAGACTGTTACTGCCGCGACGCCCACCGTTTACGTTACACGGCACACAGGCAAGGGACTGTTGGCCACGGGTAGTGTCTCAATCACCACGACCTTGACCGCGCCATTGGCCACCGACGCTGCAGCCACAGGTGGACTGTGTACCGTTACAGAGGGCGCTTCGTCCACCACGACACAGCATGCCAAGTGTGCACCAACCAATCTCATCTCGCAAATTGGCGGCAAGGGAATCGGCCAGACGCAAGGAAATGACTCCAACACACGAGGGTTGGCACCTGGCAGTGACCCCAGCGCATGCTGTCAGCTATGTGTTGATACCGATGGCTGTGCTGCCAGTGAAGACGACCAGAAGGCTGGCAACTGTTTCTTGTGGTACACTGAACCCACCTGTGGTTTGGGTTTCAAGTATTCGGACAACAACCAGAATCTTGCAGCAGGTGCTGGATTCATTGTGCAAACCGGATGTGGATCCATCGAAGCGGTTGCTGCCTAGAAACGGAAAGAGACATGGCATGATGGAGGTTCAGCATCCAGATGATGGAAAGGGGTCAGCGGAGGGATAGCACTCGACTGTACAGTACAGCATGCGTCAGACTAGCATCTGAACAAGCGGATGCGAAACAGGGAAATGGGAGGTATAATAATGATGCAGAAGAGGAGACTGCCAAGAACATGTAAATCTTGGATAGCTCCAGCAGCCACGAAAGCAGCCACGAAACAAGGTAGCTGATGCCACTCCGCTGACGCGCGGTGCTTGTGACACCATGAATGAAAAATCTTGGTTGGATCAACATCTATGGTGACGCCACAGCACGTTGAGCTGATCAATATGTGTTTTTCGGAGTATCTGAACACTTTCCATGTTTACAGTGTGGAATACCTTAGCTGCTATACGACGTGTCTCGTGGAATTGACGGCGCGGCAATTCAAGCTTTGAACCAATATTGAGCGGAGCACATCAATATTCGAATAATGGCGGAGCCTCAGATCATACCAGCTCGGCGAGTCTTCCGATCCGTGTCCAACCCCTTCTTCCGTTGTAGATGCTAACATCCATGACACGATAGCCATGGCGTCGCCACATTTGTTCCCGCTGGACAATGTATCAAGATCATCAACACCTCGGGCACGCAAGTGGTCGACACGTGGGCCTTTGCCCTGCCACAGCCCGCGCCCAAGCGCGATGTAGACGAGGGCACCAAGGCCAAGGAAGAGGCCGGCAAGCAAGAGACGGCCAATGCAGCCGACAAGATCAAGAGTAAGAACAACAATGGCTTTCCTAGTCAGGAGGAGGCGGAGAAGGCTACGCGGGAGGGCCATGCGCAAGCAGAGCAGCAGCAGCAAGATTCGCAGAAGAAGAGCGGCTGGAGCTCCTACATGCCTTCTATACCTACCTCCTTGGGCCTGGCCAAGAAAAGCGATGGAGAGCAAGCAAAGGACAAGGCTGGGAGTTCTAGTGAGACGCAGCAGCAGAAGAACTCCCGAACATGGGCCTCGTACTTCTCGCCGGGCAAAGCGTTTTCCTCGTACATACCCGAGGTTGCGACAGATACTGTGTCCAAGTTTGTGAATGTGCACTCGAGAGATACGAACAAGACCTATATTCAGCAGCTTGCTGATTTCTCAAAGACTCCCGTGGGCGCAGCAGGTAGGCAGTGTGACAGACGACATTATTCGACGAGCTTTCGCTGACCATCGTATCAGGCATGTCGGCCTTCACCGGCTCCGGGTATAGCGGATCTCTCTACGCTGGTTATCAGGCATGGAACGCCAAGAATGCGGCTGATGCTCCCAGCGTGGAGTTCATGTCCATGTCGCACACGCGTTCATGTACGCTCCATCTGGTGCCCAAGCAGAACGACGTCCTCGTCACAAATTTACGGGAGCCCATACTCAAGGTGATCGAGGACAAGTCGCCAGGCATCCATGATACGCTCATTCCAGCATGCGATCCTCCTCGATACCGGGCTCTAGGTGTGGATCATTGGGAGGAGCATGGCTCATGTGCGGAGAACCTAGTTCTCGCACTAAAAGAGCTGAACGAGCGGGCGGGATTGAAGGGAGCGAAAGCGATTGGAGCAGACGTAACTATCAATAGCGTTCCTGCTCCCCTCAACCTGTTTATGAACATCCCTTGGGACGACGAGGGTGACATCAGCTTTGACGGGCCCCAAGGTAAAGCGGGCGACTATATTCGACTGCGCGCCGAGCGTGACGTTGTGGTAGTGATGAGCGCATGCCCGAACGATGTGAATGGCATTAACGGCGAAAAGATTAGCGATGCCAACTTCATCGTGGAAGAGGAAGGTGTCACTTCAGCTATCAAAAGGACCCAGCCGAAGAAGAATAAGAAGATGGCGCCAAAGATGACGACTGCCTCGCCTAATGCCACTCCTAGTCCTGCACAGGCTGTTAGCTCGCCATCGCACACAGCGGCGAAGAAGAAGACTCCTGTGTCGCCCAGCATAGTCTCAGGCAAGAAGGAGTCCTCACAATCTTCTCCAATACCAGGAAAGGCACCACCTCCAACGAAGCCACCGCCAGCCAAGGCTGCTCCAGCGCCTGCGAAGACGCCCAATCCTACAGCACAGAAGGCGACTGCAGCGAGGCCGACAAAGAAGCCTGCGCCGGCTCCAGTAAAACCACAAACCTCACTCAAATCTGATTCATCTGTGACTCCTGTCGAGAGGAAGAAACCCAGAAAATTGGTTAGGCAGCCCGCGCAATCATAATGCAAGTCTGATTGGTGCGAATGGGGGGGAGGGTGGCCCCGTCAAGAACGGTAAAATGCATACGTGCTGAGTTGAGTGAATGGTAATGATCTAACATAACTCAGTAGTTGCAGTTCAAACAGATGTAAATCATTGTTATTAAATTGAGCCGGCACACGTAACCGCCAGTCTTACTTAGCTCTAAGTAGTAGGTAGTTTCTGTCGGAGCTTTCCGGCATTTTTATAGACCGAGAAGATAACAAAATGGTCAGCAAAGGGCACGAATAGTAAGACACTAACACGAATTTAGGTATCGCTTGAAGATACGGGCGAGGGTACCTACACATCTCTTGGAAGGCCTCGAAAATTACTGACTAAGGACAAGGTACATACTCGTTAGTATGCATGAATTGTCCTCGTGCCCGAAGTGGAGTGCATAAGGTAGTAATGTACCTGATCTACAGTACTGCAATGGATCCTCTCTGTGAGCCAGAGTGGTCCCTATTTTTCCGAAAGTACATTTCGTTTCATATACAATATCACCGGCTCCAACCAAGCCGGCTCGCTTCGGGGTAGACTCCGCTGACAAGAGGCTATGTTAGATATATGCAGATGAAAATATACCTACGATTTGACCTGACCCTTGGACATCTATATTGTCTTCAACCTCTTCTCGATTTCTTCTTATTTTTTGTTTTCGATTTTTTGTTTTCGCTCTATTGAATCAATCGACCACAGTCACAGTTCACAATCATGTTCATCTCATCCCCCCTCCCCCTCCTCCTCCTCTTTTCCCCCTCCCTCTTCATCTCCACCACCCAAGCAGCCCTCACCTACAAAGGCGTCGACTGGTCCTCCCTCCTCGTCGAAGAGCGCGCAGGCAAAATCTACCGCAATGCTGCAGGTCAGCAACAACCTCTCGAGAAGATTTTACAATCCAGCGGCGTGAATGCCGTTCGACAACGGATTTGGAATGACCCCGAGGATGGGAATTATAATTTGGAATATAATTTGGAATTGGCCCAGAGGGCCGTCGAGAGTGGGTTGGATGTGTATTTGGATTTTCATTATAGTGATACTTGGGCTGGTGTTCTTCTTCTTCTTCTTTTTTCTCAATAATCAGGCAGTGTAGTATCATCACTGATCGAAGCCCCCCTTTCCCCCTCTCCTCTTCCTCCCCGTACGATGGGAAAAAAAAAAAAAAAAAAAAAAAAAAAAAAAAAAAAAAAACTGACTAACAAAAAGTGAAAAAAAAAACCAGACCCATCCCATCAAACCACCCCCTCAGCCTGGTCCTCCTACAACATCGATGACCTCTCCTGGGCCGTCTACAACTACACCCTAGACACCATGAACGCCTTCCACACGGCCAACATCCCTCTCGCCCTCGTCTCCATCGGCAACGAAATCCGCGCAGGAATGCTCTGGCCTCTCGGCTCCCTCGACTCGTCTTCCTCTTCCTACTCTCCCGCAAATGTAGCCCGTCTCCTACACTCCGCCTCCGCCGGAATCAAAGACTCCTCCTTGACCCCCCAACCCCAAATTCTCGTACATTTAGACAACGGATGGAACGCCGACACGCAAGAATGGTGGTACGATTTAATTTTATCCCCAAACAACGCGTTTACGGCCGCCGATTATGATGTGCAAGCCGTGTCGTTTTATCCGTTTTATAATTCTGCTGCGACGATGAGTGCGCTCCAAAAGAGTTTGGAGGGGTTGAAGGGGAAATATGGGAAAGATGTTATGGTTGTGGAGACGAATTGGCCGCAGAAATGTTCCAAGCCGGAGGTTGCGTTTCCGGAGGATGTGAGGGATTTGACGTTTTCGGCTGAGGGGCAGAGGGAGTGGATGGAGGAGGTGGCGGGGGTGGTGGAGGGGGTGGGAGGGAGTGGAGTGTGGTATTGGGAGCCGGCGTGGTTGGCGAATGCGGGGTTGGGGAGTAGTTGTGAGAATAATTTGATGTTTGATGCGGAAGGGAGGGCGTTGAGTAGTTTGGAGGTGTTTAAGAGTTTGTAGAAAAGACATGGAATCATCCATCATCACCATCTCATCCTTGGAGCGCTTTTTGTGCTTCACTATTGACCTCTTTCAAACTTTGAGCACTTTCTGAAATCTTCTTCTTCTCTTCGTCGCTCAATTGTAACGAAATGGTCTGCATGACGCCCCCTCTCCCAATCACAGCCGGCATGCTCAAACAGACTCCCAGCTCTGGAATCCAATGGCTGACTCCCCTAATGACTTTTTGATCAAACAAAATCGCCTTGCAAATGCTCGCAGTCACACTCCCAATCCCGTAATTCGTTGTTCCCTTGCCATCAATAATCGCACCAGCCTTATCCCTCGTTGCAGCCGCAATTTCTTCTCGATTGAAACTCTTCTCCTTCTTCTCCTCCGTAAGAATCCGATCGAGCGCCACCCCTGCCACAGACACTGCCGACCACGCAACAACCTGCGATTCGCCATGCTCACCCAACACAAACGCTTCCACATTCCCCTGAGAAACGCCCACCTGTTCCGCAATTTTCCCCTTCAATCGTGCCGAATCCAAAAAGGTTCCGCTGCCAAAAACCTGCTGCGGCGGCAAATCGAACAATTTCTGCGCAAGCAAAGTCATCACATCCACGGGATTAGCAACAATCAATACAATCACCCCCTTCTTCATCGACGACGCGCTCCCCAAATTCTCCACGACGGATTTTAAAATTTTCGCATTTTTCCCGACAAGATCCGTTCGACTCTCGCCTTGCTTCTGCGCTGCACCGGCGCTAATGATGATAATGTCTGCTTGGCCCGCTTCTCGAGGATCCTGAGCGACGTGAATCCGCGTACTGGTGGTTTCGCTCTGTAAGACTGCGTCGCGTAAATCTGCGGCTTGGGCTTCGACGACTTCGGTCTGGGGATCACTGAGGATGATTTTGCCGGCGATGGGGTTGAGGATTAGGCTGTATGCGATTGAGGAACCGACTACTCCGGCGGCTCCGATGATGGCGATTGTGGTGGGTGAGGAAGATGAAGGCATTGTTGAGAGTTGTCTTTGTAAGGACTGGCGTTGGAGGTGATGAGATGCTGCTGGCTGGTTGGGGATCGGGTTGCGACTCTGTGTTGTAATACACCGGCTGGATTTGGATTGCACTGGGGACAATGGATGTTTCGTTGCAGCAACAATTGCGCATCGGGTTGTGAAATTGCGCTTGAGCATTTGTGGATATGTCGAAACGGCTGGAAAGAGTGAGTGAGGTATCTACCAGTACCGACTTAAAATACGGACATGTATGTCGTATCGATGATGGCGTGCACGTCATTATTCGCTGGAATACTGACCAAATGCAGAACTGCTAGTATACCTAATTTGAAAGTTGAGCCGGACATTCAAGTAATCCGTGTACAACGTTACAACGTCGTCTCTACCAGCACTTACACATGTACTGTATGTACCATTCTCGAGTCAACTTTTACCCCCTACTCACTCTGGGTGCATAGATATATCAGGTATGTACTGGTCTGTACCAGTAGTACAGGTATTCTCCAAGCGTAATACAGAAGAACATGGCGATGTATTATTCGGAAAGGGGAAGTCTGTCGACTACAACATCTTGAGTGAGGTATTGATAGTACGTTGGTCGAGGTCATGAGCTGTCATTGTTATTATCCCATGATCCCAGACGTGTTCAAAGCTTGTCGGGCCGCTCGCCTGAACAGGCTGAACTGAACGACGACGACAAGGCCATATTTTTCAAGACTGCCGTCGTATCAACATTCTGTCTGCCAACGCCCACCTGCTCAGCTGGCCGCCGGGAGGATCAACCCCCCGGAATATTATTGACACTCCTGCACAGCCGAAATCCTATGTCTGACATACTAGTCGCATGGCCATCCTCTTCAGTCCATTCACCAATCAACAAGAAGATCTCATTTCTCCTACTCCTCCTCTCGCGCTTGTGCAGAACGCAGTAGTGTGACAGTGCTAGTCACAGCATACTCATTCGCCAATATTTTTTTTTTTAAAAAAAAAAAAAAAAAGAAAAAAAGACAATATGCCCCTCCTCGAGATCGCCTGCTTCAACCCGCAAAGCGCTGCAATCGCCGCTGCAGCAGGAGCAGATCGAATCGAACTTTGCGAAAACCAAGCAGCAGGAGGTACAACCCCACCAAAAGCCTGGCTTCGACAAATCAAAGCAGCAGCAGCAACAGCAGCCGCCGGCGGCTTAGAGAAGAGAGAAAAGAAAATTCCCATCTTCGTCATGATTCGGCCTCGAGGAGGAGATTTCTACTATTCCGACGCGGAATTCGAAGAAATGAAAGCGCAAATCGACGCATTTCGTTCCTCATCATCGTCATCGTCACCATCAAAAGAAGAAGAAGAAGAAGAAGAAGAAGAAGAAGAAGAAAAAGAAGAAAAAATAGACGGCTTCGTCTTCGGTCTCTTAGACAAAACCCATCCTCAACAAATCGACATTTCACGAACCAAAGAGCTCGTCCAAAGGGCAAAGCCACTACCTTGCACATTTCATCGCGCATTCGACTCGACAGCCAATCCGATGCAAGCACTCGAAGACGTCGTGGCTGCAGGCTGTAGTGCCATTTTGAGCTCGGGAGGAGCGAGGGATGCGGGAGCGGGCGCGGCGGTGCTCCAGCAACTGGTGCAGGCATCTCGCGGACGAATTACAATTATTGCGGGTGGAGGTGTGAGGTTGAGTAATATTGAAGGGATTTGTGCGACTGCGGGCGTCCATGTTTGTCATTCTTCGGCGGTTGTTGCTGCGCGTGGCGAGTTGGCTGATGCTTCTGAGATTCGTGAAATGAAGAAGGTCTTGGAGGCAGTGTCGTCTGTCTAAGGTAGAAAGGCAGGGCTAATTCATGCAAAAGCAAAATTCATTTCCGTGGTGGAGAATCGGTGAAATGGAAAGAGAGAAGAGATGATGGACGAAATTATGAGCCTAATATGGCTGCAGTCCCGCTGTGATAGGAATGCTTCAACTGGTCTCACTTGAGATCTATTCTGCCACCCATACGGCAGCCATACCCATACCGGTACCCACACACATACTGGTCAAACCAACCTGCTTCTTCGTCCTCTTCAGCTCATACAATAATGTGCTGACCTGCCTTGCACCAGTGCAGCCAAGCGGGTGACCAAAGGCAATCGCACCACCCTTCGGGTTGATCTTCTCCTGAGGCAAGCCAAGCTCATTGGCACACCACAGGCACTGGGAAGCAAAAGCCTCGTTGATCTCGTAAATGTCGACTTCGTCCTTGGTAATCCCGGCCTTCTTGAGCGCCTCCGGGATAGCCTTCCAAGGGCCAATACCCATGAGAAGTGGTGGCACACCGACGATAGAAGCAGCAACGTACTTGCCCAGGATGGTCTGTCCCAGACGCTCGGCAGTGCTGCGCTTCATCAGAAGGACTGCTGCAGCTCCATCAGATATTTGTGAGGCGTTTCCGGCGTGGATGGAGCCATCCTTGGAGAAAGCGGCCTTTATCTTGCCTAGTGACTCTGCGGTGACTTGACGCACACCATCGTCGGCAGCCACTGTAATCTCCTTCTCCTCATCGGTCTTGGGGTCTGTCCACTTGACCTTTAGTGGGTAAATTTCCTCTTTGAACAGACCAGCCTTGTTCGCCTCGCCAGCCTTGCGGTAGCTTTCCGCGGCGAATTGATCTTGCGCAGCTCTTGTGATTCCTTTATCTTTTGCCATGTTCTCACTGAGCAGGCCCATGGGCACTTTGCACTCTGCAGCTTTCTTGTGGCCCTCCAGAAGCTCGCTGAACTCAGTTACGGCACCTGGACCGTACTGCGAACTCATGCTCTCGACCCCAGCGCCCACGCCAATCTCAATCATGCCGGTTTTGATGGCATTGGCAATGTCGACACATGCTTGCAAGCCCGAGCTGCATTGTCTGTTCAAGCTCTTGACTGCCGTAGAGTCTGGAAACCCGGCGGCGAGAGCTGCAGCTCGGAACTCAGTAGCGCCGCCACCTGGTGCAAGCACACAGCCGACGGAGATATCCTCGACCAGGGACGGGTCAATGCCGGAGCGCTCGATGAGGCCTGTGAAAGCACCATACAGGAGATCTGCACCTGCAGTATCCTTGAATCCTCCTCGACCGCCCTTGGTGAAGGCTGTCCGCAGAGCACTGGTCACCACGACATCGTCGGGGTGCTTCTCTAGCAGTCCTGCTTTGCCGGTAGCTTGCATGTGGCCTACCACTTGCTGGACGCGAACCTGCGCGGCGTGGGTGGTGCTTTGGTTCGCCATGGTGATGATGGAATGGTCTGTGATGGGCGTCGATGAGGGAAGTGAAGATGGAGAGGAACAGATCGGAGAGGAAGAAGAAGAAGCTCGAATCACATTACTGTACCTATGGTCACCGAGGTGGAAGGAATCGATCTTCACAAGCCAGAGGCCAGCCAGGCCGAGGTCCGTACGTCATCTCATCCCGTTATGGGAGCATGTGCATCTCACACCTGTCGTCTCAGATGACCTGTAGGAGGTAGTCCGGTACAGAGTCAACGGTACTCATCAGGTATGGAGGAACATGTAGTCTGCTGGTGAGAGATGAAGGTGAAGTGTACTGGAAAGGCAATACCGAAGGTCAGGTAATGTAGGTACACATGGATGGACAGGCACAATCAATATGATGTGCCTCGACCTTCTGCCTTGTGGAGGTGCCTTGGCCTCCGCAACTCACGTGACAAGGCGAGCGAACATGGGTGGGCCGGGTAATGGGTATACAGTAAGGCCTTGGCACTCTATCGGATTTCGACCTGGACTCAACACTGCCAGTCTGCCACCGACATGTACTCCATACCTACCTCCTACCTCCTACACCATCTCCCGCTGGATTCACCACTTCCACTTCGTGCCCTCCTGGCGCCACGCCAGTCTCTTCATCCGGACACGTCTCGCTGCTTCACCTACCTCGGTCAGTGGTATCGCCATGTGCCGTCTTGAGCTTGTTCACTCGGCCTCCGGATGTGCGATCGAAGTGTAATTCGTGTAGCTTCGTACACCTTCCTGGCCATACGGCTGCCCGCGCCTGGTCGTGAGGCCACAAGGCTTGGCAGAGCGAAGGAAGCAGCCACTTACATGTATTACCTTACACCTCCCGTCCTCCGTTCCTCCTGAGCGCATCAGAATGTTCGGACCGAGCCAAGGAGCACCACTAGAGCCTATGTAGGAGGTATGCTCTGCCAGGAGAAACGTGCACTGCCTCGTCAGGCATGCCATGGCGCCGCACATTCGATTGCCACTTCAAGCTTGCCCTGCGGCACAGTTCGGCGGATTTGTCGACAATGTGATCTACACTGGATGCAACCTGACTGACGATCATGGTAACAGCAGCTGTGGTAGGAGGTAGCAATCCGATTCGACTCGATTTGTAACCGCGCAGGGCATACGGATTACTATACATCGGCACATTAGGCTAATAAGCCCTACATCCATTTCGGCCTGCTCATTATGGCAATGTTCTAGCTCAGAGCATGTTCCGAGCTAGAAGCACAAAGGATCGAGCTTGCCATGCCCTTCTCGCCGAAGCACCACCACATCGCAGGATTCGCTGAGCACGAAACGTGGAAAATCTTGCGTTGCATAGGAGGGAGGCATAGGAAGTATGCCGACCTGACGGCACAGCGTCTCAACCGTCTTACTGGAACCCAACAGCAAGGGAATTGCGGCGTAGAGATCCCCACTCGCGATAACTTCCAAGCGCTGCTGAGCCGCTTTCGAAGGGAACACCCCGTCTCATTTCCGGTGAAAACTACTTACTAGGCCGACTATACCGTCTGCGTGAACAACATGCGCGGCACAGCAGCAACGAGCACGCTCCCGCGCCTGCTATCTGCGCTTTCCAGTATCTGGCGCTACGATATCAGATCATGAGCACTCAGAGCCCCGCAGCGGTGTAGCTGATGACATTTACCCATCCGCCGCCGCCTGTTGTCATCTACAAGCGAACGAAGGCATTGCATTACATACAGCAATAGTGAGGAGTCAGTCTCCTACAACGCCTCGCTCCAACCCTTGCTACACTGGGCATGAAGAAGCGAGCTCGCATCCTTCACTAGCGCCATGCGAGCCGTAGCCTGTTCTTCCATCAGGATTCAAGCGCTACATGCAAGCCACCGAACCTTTGGACGGGCACTCAGAACCCTATCAGCTTTGTAGCGCTCCTGCTTTGGCCCTGTTGATTGTAAAACCACTAGCCTGATCGGACGCTTCTCCAAGCTGACTTCGAGATGCAGGTTGGCGCGCCTCTACTTCTTTCCCGACACGAGTTGGCTGTTTCTACTGCATTATCTACTGACGGTGACAAGCCTTCGTTCCACGTGGCCACCAGGCCCAAGATTGGACACTACTAATCGTGCGACTTTGCATAAACCTTGGATCTCGCCGTGTACAATTGCCGGCCTAGTGGCGAGCGAATCGAAAAGTTATTGCATACCTAAGAAGATATACTGTCCACGCAACCGTCCACGGCGAGCCTCTCTCTTGTCGACGTGCTCCGCTGGGGTATTGAAGCTGCAACGCTAAATCCACTGCCGACTCTGTGGGGCCATTGATTACACAAGGGATGCCCACCGCGACTCGAGAATTGCATTATGTTAACACGAAGCTGCCCAAGCTACGCACCACATACCATATACCAGTCGCGATGTCCTCGCCATCAGGAGTGTCGGCCAGCAAGCAAGACTCTATGTCCCCAGCGCAGTCGAGGGAACTACCCATGCCGGTAATATCACGATTCACGAGCATAGATCAAGCTCATGCAACTCTTCAGCATTGCGCAACGAGGTTGAACAACTCGTGGCAAGGAAATCCAGCTCGATCGTCACCACCAAGCCCCCCAATCGATGGCAACGAGAAGCTCTTCTTCCAGCAATGGCTCGCACGATGGGAATCGGCTTTCACAGCCTATCTCTCCGTCCACATGTCGAGCATGTCTGCCAATGATGTGACGCAGTCGCGAACCTTGAAAGCAAATCACCTCTCCTGTACCATTCTTGCGTCAGATGCTGGTCCGAGCAAGAGAGAATACGGCATCTTCACAGCAGAATTTCAGGCAATCGTCGAGCTCGCGAATGCAGTAATCTCGTTACGACCGCCGCGCTCCAGATCACCAGCACCGGTAACCAGCGCACTCGACATGTGCGAACCACTCTACGTTGTGATTGCTTGCTGTGACCGAATGTCAACGCGGAACAAGGCTATCGAACTCCTGGGCAAGATTAATTCACGTTGAGAAATGGTGCACAGTGGCTATTCCATCACTAGCGGTGACGCACGTGGAAAGCCAATACATGAGCGGGCTTCTTTCCGGACTTTGCAGCGGCACATCTGGTCCACGACAGTGAGCGCAAAACTCCCTTTGGTCACCAGAACTTCAAAAAGGTTCGATATTCCGTCTGGCACGTTCCTCCTAGGACGATCGTCCCACTTTCTTGTATGTCGTCTGGACTCTGAGATGGAATAATCGGGAAATAACTCACCACACTCCAACAATTTCTCTTCTGATCCCACCTATTGACATACGCTGCAGCATGAGCCCAGTGATGACAGGGACGGTGGTGGATGCAGCATCAGGTATACATACATTATGCAGGATGGCAGGTGCGCCGCATGTTACCTAGGCACGGCAATCAACAGCGGCCCGTTGACCTTCTGGAATGACCTTATACCGAAGCCACGAACATATTTTCCTCCCCATCAGTGCCGTGGGATTGTTACTACCGAATTCAAATCTTTGCACCATGCATACCTAAGGAGGTACTTACCTACTGCGCTACCTCTTACATTGTAGCAAGCACCGTACCCTACCGTCATCAGATAGCCGACATGCACATATGTAGTTATAGAGTTCCAAGTGCTGCAATATCTCTCTCTCCCTGATTATAACGTCAGCTGTGGTCGCAGTCTCTGATGATAAAACTGATAAACCGTAGGGAGTTTGTTGCGAATTGTCGATTGCAGAACAGTGGGAAGGCAATCACAGCACGTATTATACCTATACCTAGGCATATACCTACCTTATATATAACCTTTCCGTTCCAGTCCACAGGCAAAACCCTTTCTTACACTCTCTCAGTACTGGCATCGGGACGATCCTTACGACCAGATTTCATTTTCACGCATTACTGAATGAAGAACGGAGTGGAAACGCTTTCTTTTCGAGTCCATGTTACGTGAATAATGAATTGATTCTGAAGACTGAATCTGCTTCTCGGGCAAATTGGAGTTGAACAATACATACCTGATACTACTTCTATGGATATAAAGTTCGACAGCCAAAATCGGAGACACTCGTGTCTGAACCTTCCAAAGTCTCTTGTCGCTACTAGTACGAAACGCTCACCATGAAATAATGACAGACAGCTTACTATGAAACGTCCCATATCCTACACCATCTTCTTCGGCTCCAGCTCCATCTCGCCAAGCTCAGAGCTACCATCGTCACTGTGATCATCACGCTCAATGACCCACCCATCGCTTTCGCTCTCTCGGCGTCTTCTCCCCCGCTCCCGCATTGCTTCGTGAAGGTTTTTCGAAACCTCTTCCAGGTTCGCCTTCGAACTATTGGACTCGATAGACGTGAAGCCCAATCCCGTGCCAAGCCCAAACCCGAAGCCTCCCGATCCACTGCCAGCTCGACTGCGGCTACGGTTCGGCGTGGAAGGTCGTGATGCAAACATGCCGATAGATCCGATGTTCTTGAACGACTCATTCCGAGGCAGGTTGGTGGCCGCGCGACTGAATGATCCTTGATGCTGTGTTGGGCTGGATTTGGTGAACTGGAGAGCGTCAAACTCGCCGCTCCCGTCATAGCGATGCCGACGAGTGGGGGTGCCAGGTCTCGATCGTTCAGGGGAGTGGAGAGGGTGCGTGGGGTCGTTGACGATGCGATTATGGTCAAAGTCTGGATATAATTGAGGGCCCAACTCATTGATGACATCGTTGATTCTCTGTTGCAGCTCTTTACGGTCTTCCCTCAGTCTGACCAAGGTGTTGGTGGAGGTTGGGTTGACCGAGAGTAACAATGGTCTGAGCGATTTGAGTATGTCCATTCCAATTTCGCCAACACGTAAAGCTGCGAAGCAGATGGCCGGGAAGAATATGAGCGCGCTGACGAACACGAGCCACACCGGGACCCAAGTCGGGACTAACCCTCTGATATTGTTCTTGTAAGTCCATGCAGTTGCAACAATCGTATAAAAGAGGTCCAGAGCTGGGGTTAGCGCCAAAGAAACCAGAATTTTCCACGTCGCGACCACATCTCGTGCCTTGACTTTGACCGTAGATGCAGCCAGTGCTTCTCGGGCTTTCTGTATTGAGATGAGCTTTGCGAGAATGAAAACTGGCGAGAAGAGGATGACACCGGGAAGCGCGCCGAGCCCAAGCACGATCACTTTGAGCGATCTGTAGATGAGCAAGTATACCACTTTCCAGATCGGAAACTTGGCGTAAGACACTTGGTGATCGCGAATATTCAATCTGAAGAGAGCCCGGTTGTAGCCCAGAATGTCATCTTTCAGCTTGATAATCTTCGGATCACCCTTGAACTTTTGGTAACCCTTGATTAGTCGGCGATTGAGCTCCACGACAGTCGGGAGAGGGAGAGGTCGTCCTTTTGGATTGTAAAGTCTTCGGACTGCCTGCACCAGCATCAAAGTCTCATAGTCGGGTGCTTGTACTGTGACAGCAGAGAGCGCGTCATGAACGCGATCAAGGACGGTACCCACCGCGTCGCGTTTTCGGCCACTGCTATACTGCTCGACAAGTTCGGGCTCGATCTCTATAGGAGCGCCAAACTCAATGACGGCCCGCGAACGAAATTTGTGTGCATTGAAATAGTTCATGCCCACGGGCACGATTTTCACATTGCAGTGTGGATCCCTCTCCAGAGCGCCAAGTGCCATGATGGCCAGGCCAGGCTTGAGTGGAAGAAGCTCAGTCCGATCGTGACTGCCTCCCTCAGGGAAGATACCGATACAGCCTCCTCGATGGAGATGACTGAAGACTTCGTTGTACACAGAAGACTGGTCAACGTGTGGTGCCACACTGAACTTGACACCTACAAAATTCTCGTCCACGCCGTCCGTACTACCACTGTCCAACGGCTTTCCAGTCAACTGTTTCAGTGCTACATCGCCTTTGAACGGCTTCTTCAATCTGATCTCTGTAGCACTAATAACCTCTTCGATTTCGGTATTGGCTGATGTATTGTTCACGCTGGGTAGCACGAGAAGCCCGCCCTTCATGAATTGATCACTTGTGAAGTCTGTGCCGTTGCCTTGAATCAGACATGGATCGCCCTCTGGATCTGGCAAATAAATCGTGCCCTGTGCAGGCTTCTTCATATCCAAAGCCCGTCCAACAGGCACTGATCCCACCAAGCCTGCCATGAAGCCTATGAACCTCCGCCGCATACTCTTCTCCGCCACCAAGAAGGCAATGCGGCGGTGCGCATCGTGTCTGACCACACGCATGAGGAGCAGCGGGTCGACGAATTGATTGGCGTGAGGCGCTGCCACGAAGATGACTGGTCCGGTCTTTGGTATGCGCCATGATGACCGGGGGTGAATCTCGCGAAAGAAGAGCTCAACGACAACGTTGAAGATCCACAGGAAGATGTCGTAGACAATGCCATTGGTCGTGTCCTTGGCCTTGTCCTTGGCCTTCTGGGACCTGTGGCTTGCCGACATCGCACCACTTTCTGATCGCGTTCACAGTGGTCGACCAGACATTTGGCTGGGAGGTATGCTCAGACGGAGCTAGTATGGTGGTGGGGAAGAGCGGGTGGTGGTGGTGATGGTGGTGGTGGTAGGTTCGCGTACGGCCGGAGATGTTGGTGGTCAAAGAATGCGTCCGTGAGAATGGGCGGGAGTGAGAGAGAAGTAGAAGTATGACACTGCACTGCACTGCACTGTACTGCACTCGACTTCGTTGAGAGTCAACCGCTGCTCAACTTATTTCGCTGTCACTCCCATCGGAAGGTTTGGGGCATCGCGGGGCAGGATGGTCCCGCGTCCGGGGATCTGACTACTCGTTGCGGAAACTGAAACATTTCTGCCTTGTAAGGCACCCAATTCGAAACCACTTGACCACCGAATCATGTATTCGGAATAACCCACCGCGGAAATATTGTACTCCTTGTCGGCGTGCCGTATTACACTGTGGCTATGGGTTATAAACGCATACATGTACTTATCGAACAATCCCACTGGGCATCACTGCTGAGCGTAATATGTATCCTCTCGCATTGACCGGTTTGGCGCCACACGACACAAGAGAATATGTACAGATGCAGGGAAAGAAACTCCTTTAACGCTGATTTATGCAGGCACGCAATACTTACTTCCTCACTTCCTCCACTTGACAGTCTTTCTATTGACCAGGCGCGATGAGCATACCCTTCTTCACAGCGTCGTGCTGCCAACCACCCGCAAGCGCCTCGCCGCCAGTCTTCTTTGCGTGATCTGCTATCCGCGCCTCCAGCTCAGGCCTGAAATGACGGATCAGGCCTTGGATTGGCCACGCGAAAGCCTCGCCCAATGCACAGATGGTGTGGCCCTCAACTTGCTTGGTCAGCTCTTGCATCATATCAATCTCACGCGCTCGTGCTTGTCCCTTTTCAAATCGCTGCATGATCTGCTCAGTCCATTTGCTGCCCTCACGGCATGGCGTACATTGACCGCACGACTCGTGGTGATAGAATTTGGACAGACGTGAGATGGCGCGGACAACATCTGTGCTCTGGTCCATGACAATAACCGCTGCTGTTCCGAGACCAGATTGTGAGTCCTTCAGCGCGTCAAAGTCCATCAGCTGATCATCGCAGATCTTTCGAGGCAAAATTGGTGTTGAGGATCCTCCAGGAATGACGGCCTTGAGATTGTCCCAGCCGCCACGGACGCCACCGCAGTGCTTGTCAATAAGTTCCCGTAGAGGAATGGACATCTCCTCCTCGACCGTGCAGGGATTGTTGACGTGGCCAGAAATACAGAAAAGCTTGGTTCCAGCGTTGCGCTCGCGTCCGAAAGAGCTGAACCAGCTAGCACCACGTCGGATGATGGTAGGAGCGACAGCAATGGTTTCGACGTTGGCAACAGTGGAAGGGCACCCGAAAAGACCAACAGCAGCTGGGAACGGGGGCTTCAGGCGCGGCTTTCCCGGCTTGCCTTCAAGCGATTCAATGAGCGAGGTCTCCTCGCCACAGACATAGGCACCCATGCCACGGTGAAGGAAGACATCGAAATTGTAGCCCGATCCACAGGCATTCTCACCAAGGAATCCAGCTTGGTATGCTTCTTGAATGGCACGCTGCAGAACAGTGGCCTCGTGGTAGAATTCGCCACGAATATAGATGTACGCAGCTGTGCACTGTGTTCATATCGAGTCAGCATATGTCTACTCACGTTTTCTGTATCCGATCCGATCATGCCACTCACGTTCATTGCACGTCCCGCCACGAGACATCCCTCGATGAGCTTGTGAGGGTCTTTGCGCATGATCTCGCGGTCCTTGCACGTGCCTGGCTCGCCCTCGTCTGCGTTGACGACCAGATATCGCGGCTTGGTGTCCTCATCCCAGCCTTTGGGGTTCATGAAGCTCCACTTCATGCCAGACGGGAAACCAGCACCTCCTCGTCCTCGTAAACCAGACGCCTTGATCTCGGATATGATCCAGTCATGGCCTTTGTCAAGTATCTCCTTCGTCTTGTGCCAATCTCCATACTTCATGGCGCTTTTCAAGTCTGCGCCATGGTGTCCATACAGGTTGGTGAAGATGCGGTCTTGGTCCTTGAGGCCGCCGTGTCTGTGGACTGGTGGTGCATCCTGCACAGTGGCCATTCCACGCTTCTGCTGGCCATCCTGGGAGACAGCCTGAGCAGGAGTGGTGGTGGAGAGGGTGCGAGCAGCGACTTTCGGAATGGTGTTCGTGGTGGTGCTGGCGCGCAGAGCGGCCTTGCTGGCCGGGTTGCTCAGCATTGTGGATGGTCGTGACTGATGTAGCAGGTGTTGGGTAGAGCGTGCGGCTTCGTCGCCAGGATACTGTGAGAGTCTTAGGCAGTGGAAGATAGACCAGAGTCGACGTCGAGGTGTGGCGGCGACCAAGGTCGATGATGCGTATGAATGCGGCCTAGCACATTGGCTGAGGAAAGGGTCCGAGCACACATAAGCAACATTTGTGATTGGACAGACATCTCCGCGCTACTCCCTGCTGCGACTCGTCTTCGTCCCCTCCGTTTGAGATACTTTCATGAGATGACCTGAAAGATGAGCTGCCTCAGGGGACGCCGTCAAACAGTGATCCGCGGAGAAGAGAAGGATTCGAGGACTCGGTTACGCTACATGAGCATAAGAAGCGCCGGAACGCTCGATACACGTATTCTTGCAGTAAAAGATGGCGACGCGATCATACAGATGGCAAAAGAGAATAGCGCGACATCGGATGCATGAAAGAGAGAAGGTCACAATGAATACCTAGCAGAGGTGCGAGGCTCCAGTCGAGCCGGAGCTCTTCTTGTCGGACTGCATGAGGACGACTTCGGCATGTTCAGCCGTGGCTTATTTTGCCATTGCTCTGGCAGTATCGCCCTCGAAGAACACGATAAGTACCAGGTACCTTAGTGATCTGTCGGCATGCAACGCTGATTTTGTAAACCATTCCGTGATTTCCACAGGCGCAGCTGAACTCGCGCTCTTATCCGCATGGTTGTCGTTGTCCTTCCTAGAAGTTTCACTTGGAATACATGTATGACTGACTAACCGCTGGCTGACGGGAACTCGCACGGACCAAGCTGGGGGTTCCTCATCATTCTCAGCGCTTTACTTGAAGCAATGCCACCACCACGTCGCTCAGCCAGAGCCAGCCCAAGCCAACCGCCAACCGCCAACACCAACACCAGCACCAGCACCGGCATCGAACTTGCTAACATGGTTTATTACACGGGAACTGACGTGTTCGTGCCAGGAGATGAGCTACTTTCAACCGGTAACCACGACCCCGTCTTCGAGGACGACCTCAGCTCTGAAGCTGATGTGAACATCGCAGTGACACCGTCAAAGTCTTCATGCCTCTGCAATGGCCCCGAGACGCTTTCCATGATCGAGATGTCAGACACTTCTACAATCCAGCAGCACAAGAACGCTCACACAGCTTCGGCCACTACTGAGCGTCGTTACGAGCGCAAGCGCGAGCTCCATGTGATAAGACTTCCCAACGGTGGGTTGACAGACATGTAAGCAACCATTTGAAGGGATCTTGCTCTTGTCGCATCGAGCACGCGTGTACCAGAGTATCCGACTCGAGATCGAATAATGTACCCTGGGCAGGCAAGGCTGCGACACTTGATGGGACAATTGCTGACCTTCAGTTTTAGGCATGGAACCCCGATTGTGGTCGACCCACCCCACAACGCTCCCCTTCCTGTGCCTGTCGTCAACCCTGCGCACAGGCGAGGAGGGACTATCAGGCAAGAATCACAGGATTCCCTGGAGACGAACCGCCGCCGCATCAGTGCCGTTGCTCGCAGAACTCCCAGGCCGATGATGGCGCGTTCCTCGGGGCACGCTAAGAGCAAGTCCAGTGCCTTCCCGCTGCACTCCGACTCGCCCGCCCAAAAACCTCAGGGCGTTCAGCCACCGGGCTCACAGCAGTTCCGACAGAGCCTCAAGATCAAGCTGGCGCCACTGAAAACGGCAACCCCGTCCAGTAATGCACGCAATAGGCAAGGCGAGCACAGCTCAGTGGAAGGCAATCCATTGCTTCGTGGCAGCAATGGCCGGCTCATCTCTAACAAGAAGCATTCCGCCACCACCAAAAAGAGTTTGATTATTAAACTGAAGCTCAAATGAAATGGTACCAGCCCCCGAGTGCTACCGGAGCAATCATCCGGTGTGTCTGTCTGTGCCGCATGGTAGCCAGGGCACCTTATGCCGGTCTATACCAGAAAATTTGAAGTGGTAGAGGGGCCTTCTCGGGGCGTCGCTCGCGTGATCTCTCAGGCTGAGAATCATGGTGGGATCGAGTTAGGCTGTCCTGGACAGCTTCCAACGAGAGACAAGAGCGGTTCGCCTAACGCTGCATGCCTAAGGTACATTGTCTCGAATGCTACATGGATGTTTGTTCGTGCAGGGTGAAGACGGGTTTGCTGTATGTAACGGAGAAGGTACGGGAAAGAGCTCTTGTCGATACCTACCTCCTATGACAAAGCCACAACCAGATCTGTGCCTACAGGTACCTTACCTACCTACCTAGGTACCTACACAGGTGTGATTCATAAAAGCTGATTCTTCCGTTGCGGTCGTGCTTGCCCGTATTTCCACCATTACCTAACCTACCCTACCTTACCTCCTACTAGAACCCAGGTCACTATGTACCTTACCTGCAGGTGAAGTTCAGGTTCCTTCGAACTTTCCACTCTCCATCTTCCGCCAGGACCCAGGTCACCCAGCTGCAGCACAGACGTCCCACAGAGGCTAGCGGCTGACGGCTCTGTCGGCTGGCAGCTGCGGGCGGTTGCTCCCGTCTCCGTCCACCTTTCCAGCGGCACCTTCCACCTGTGACCTTTCTTGCCGACTGCGCGCACTGACTTCCCTTCCGAAGCTTACTTCCAAGGTTCCGTGGACGCGTACCGTAGCGCGCCCAAGTGAAATACCACGCGCCTCCACAGCCAGACCATATTCGCTGTGTGCACCACCATTGCTTCCGGGAGTTTGGCGTTTTCTTGGGTGAAGGGAAGGAACGACGCGCGTTCGCGGGACTTGAAGTGAACTGCTGCAGAGAGCAGGCTGCCGTGGTCGCACAAAGAGGACACTTCAGGTCGCCGTCCGTCACGACCGCAACGCCACAGCCTTTTCGCGACTTCACCACATCCATCTCGGCAATCTCACTTACCTGCACTTTCCCTCCCCACTGCAATGCAGCACGCCCTGTAACTGCCGCGCACAAGTCTTGACGACACCAATGATGGCAGCAGTCAACGGTGACTGGAACCGCGATCACGATGCAGATGCCAATCCCGCCCGCACTCGCAAAAGACAACGCCTGAGTGAAGAGGCCGAGACTTCACCGCAATCCAGCAACGCGAGCGTCGTCATTGAGCTTCTGCCCATCGAAGACGACGACGACGACGACGGCGACCACATCGATCGTGCCGTGAGGCTGCACGATGAGAACAACATGGCGCCTTTCAGCAGCACGCTCCTTCTGGACCCGGCCGAACCAGCCATCCCGCCCATCAGCCAGATCAAATTCGTGCTCAATACTGTTGCCACCAGCTGGCTTCAGCCCCAGTACTTCGACAATCTCAGTAAGTGGCTCTCCCAGCACGTTGCGACCACGCCGCCCGATGGGCCTGGTGTACGTGAGAGATATCTCGATGACCTCGACTTCTTTGGCCTGCTGGGCCTGCTCTGCTACAACATATGTCAGCGTGAACTCAATCTGTTCGATGAAATTAGAGCCGACGAGTACGGCCTACCAGAGCTGGTTCTCAGCGTCGACGCCTTCATGGGGGCAATCTTTTCGCTTGCTGCCCGCCTGTTACAGTATTTGCCCCACGTAGTCGACTCTGCTGTCGCGAGACGAGACTCGGCACAGACAGCGAGGACCCGCCAACCGATACCATTGCTCTCTTGGGTGCAGGTGCTCGCACAGCTGCTGGCTTTGCACAGAGCACGCCAGTTGACGACATACTTTCGCGATCCGCTGGGGTATAAGCCAAAGACAGAGGCTAAGGCGTACCAACACCAATGCAGTGAGGATGCATCGATCATTTCAGGCCTCACGCATTTGCTGCAGAGTTTAAGCCAACATCACCGGGAAGTGGAGAATGCCTGGGAAGGCATTGATGCCGTCCTGCGCATTGTCGAGGTACTCGATCTGAAGGGAAGTAAAGATGCTGAAAGCCTACTGGCAACGATCCACACATCTATACTACCTGTCATCTGCGAGAAGCACCCTCGAGCCCTGCCTGATAACTTTCATGGCATGCTCGTGACCGTAGCACGTCGACTGCTGAGCGCTCTGACGCAATCTGCAGACGCGCAAGGCCTCGCGCATTTGAATCAACAATACATTCAACGTGGTTTCGATGCATTCGATTCGGAGCATCAGCAAGACGACGACGACGTGACGGTGTTGCTGCAAAGCGTCGGTGAGCATGACCGGGTCGATCTGGAGGCGCTAATCACAACTGCCTGGAGCTTGCAAGCGTACCGGTCGTATATCCACAGTGGGATCATGGATGTGCAAGGTCATGGTATCAACTTTCTCGGAAGCCGCTTACTGGAGATCTACAAAGAATACAGAGTGGACCCTGAACACTTCAACCACCCTGTGGTGCAGCACGCTGCGCGGTTCCTTCGGAAGAATGAGTTGACCAGGTACATATTTGGTCCAAAATCGCACACCAGTCTGGTAAAGCAAAGCCAGAATATCATCGGTTATCTGGCGGCTACCCACGCCTATACCAACTTAGAGACCGACATCATTTGGGAATCGTGTACGAGCAGCGTGGAGGTCGAGTTCGCGAAAGCTGCTTTTGCAGTACTGGTGGATGTATCACGGTTCCTTGAACTCGACCAATTGTTGCACCTGGCGAGAAAGTACACCACAACCGAACCAGCAAAGTTGGGTCAAGATGCTGTGGACTCTTTGACAGACCTCTTTCAAAAGGTACAAATGCATGTTCACAACAACGGAGAAGCCCGTACGGACAAACACCGTCGTCTTGATACAGCCTTCATCAGCATTGAGATCATGATGCGGGCAGACGGCACACACCTGTCGCCTTCCTCATTCCAGCTCAGAGAATCAGCGAGGTTGGAACTGTTCCGCTTTGCTAAGGGCAATTACGAGGCGCAGGATCGCAAGCTGATCTTGGAGCGATGTGTGCCACACATAGTGAATCCTAGCAAGCACGCCACCACCAGCATTGAAATCGTATCAATGTTCCTGCAGGAATGCGGGGGAGACGAGGAAGAGGCTGGTGCGCTTCTTGGCCTGCTACCAGTTGAGTCCGCGGTCTCAGAACTAGCTGGATACGTTAAAGCACAACGTAAAGCTGGCGGCGATCAGAGAAATCTAGATCTCAACAACGTGGCAGTGCGCATCAGCCTCATCATCCATCTCATGGGAATCGCCAAAAGCAATCCGAGCGATGGCTTGCTCAAATCGTTCTTTGACTGTACTGTCGGTTCGCTCGCAATCAATAACGAGGCACGGGAACGCGCATGGATTACCGTGAGCATCATTGGGGGTCCTGACGGCATACCTATTGGGAAGCAGCTGCTTGGCCACTGGCTCAAGGTCGAAGTCGTGAATCTTGCGCCTGAGCTCACGACTCCTAGATTGCTAATCCATCTGGTTAATCAGCTCGAACGCTGGGCTCGAATCCCGGAATCTGCGGATTCGTACCCTCGATTGTTGGACTTTGTGTTCTGGCGGAAATTGGTGCAGATTGCTGAGAGTCCCGCGTCGACGGCCGCAACTGCACATGATATGATCTGCCACATGCTTTTCGTTACACCAAAAGAATTCAGTGACAAGACTTCTACCGCAGAGTGTCACGTTCAATTCATGCAATGCCAAATCCGAAGCATATGCGACGAGTACAACAAGATGTGCGACGACAACAAGGTGTGCGACAACAACAAGATGTGCGACAACAACAAGATGTGCGACGGCACTGGAGAGAATCTCAGTACAGTCGTCGCGGGCAAAGTGGGCCTACTTCAGTCTGTCCTCGAACGAAGTCAAGAGCACTCCATGTCATACAGGCTCGCGCAGACCCCAGATATTACTCTGGTCAAGGGGCCGAACGAGAAAACAATATGCTATTCACTAGAAATTCACGGAGCTGGACACAGCCAACCATCGATTGTCCGCGCGCACGCTGACGCTGCAACGAAAACGTCAGAGCTTGCTGCAAAACTACCTAGCATCACAGGTGCTGCCGATCATCGTTTGATCGTCGCTGGGAAAGAAATCGTGCTGGAAGAGCGCGCAGACTCTCCGCTTTCGGACCTTGGTGTACAGGCCTCAGGTGTGATCTCCATTTGCCCCAGGCACAATATTCACAGCGATCTCGGGAAAGTGTTAACAATGCCAGGAGTCGTTGAGCGGCAGGTCTTGGAGCATTACGACCAACTCGAAGCGCTCCTCGATGCCCCAGACCCAATCGCAGCGAAGGTGTGTATCACGTCTAGTTGATGATGTTGTGGACAGTATAGCAATGACTAACATCCGACAGATGACTGAAATCCTCGCGAGGGTACCAACGCCATTGCAGGTCCGCGACAAGATATCTTCAGCTAAGTACTTGGCCTCTGACTTATTCCCGCCCGGAGGAATGTGGCGGAGTATGTTCTACCTCGACGCACTTCACCAGCACCTGAAGGACCTCGCGCGACTGGGCGTGGCCGACGAAGCGTTTGTGCGTCATGGTGTTACAGTTTTGATTCATGCTCTCAGTGATGATTCACGGCCTGGCCAGCATGATGTGTGCCTACGAGCCATGCGCGTCCTGACTGCCTTCTTACAAGAGAAGCCGACAGTCATGGAACCCACTTCACTGATTGACAGCCCAGCTCAGTTCTGCTCATGCCTTTTCCGCATCATCAACGAGGCGATTTCCTTACCACCGGAGCATACTGGCATTCGGCACACCATTACGAGAGACGCGTTTCTATTGCTACAGGAAGCTTCAAGACGACAGCCTACGATTTGGCACAGTTTTACGGAAGATCCTGGCGTGGTGCATTTACACACTCGAATCCTGTTCGATTCTGATGTCGAATTATCCACTAGTGCTGCGGAAATGATCAAAGAGTTTTGCGTCGACCCGAGTACCTCAAGCGACATTGTTGACTTCTACATGAACACAACATTGACAGTGTTGCCCGAAGCATTGAGACATAGCGGTCGTGCTAAACACTACTTCGAGCTTACCACGAAGCTTCTACTCATCAATTCAGTGCTTCGAACCGACGCGTCGAGAGCCAGGACCATCACAGATAGGCTGCTATCAATCTTTTGGAGCTATGATCATATAGAAACCGCAGACCTCCCGGTGCTCGACGTGGTCATGGCAGGTCTAATCGACTTGATCAGCGAATCAGTCAAAGTCCTCCGCAGTTTTAAGAAGCCCGTCGAATTGTCGGGCCTGGCTGCCAAATTGTTCGGCAAATTCTTGTTCGTGGACGGTATCGGAGGTGGTGCCGCAAGCTCTGATGGAAGCTCCCATGAGGACGTGGAGAACAAGTCCTCTCACCAGCTATTTCACAAGCAGTCCCGGGGCGCAATGTACGAACTCATCAAAGCTGTATGCGATACAAAAGACGATTTCAACGAGCTTCTGCAGGCCATGTCGAAACCTCTACAAGCAGCAGGCGATGACCCGAATGATAAATACATGGGCCATAAGGAGCACCTACGTCCGCCCACGCAATTCGCAGGACTATTCAATCTAGGACAGACCTGTTACATGAACTCCTTGCTGCAACAGCTGTACGCGAACGTCCCGTTTCGACAATTCATTCTCAACACGCCTACAGACCCTGAACGGCAGAAGCTACTATGGCAGGTCCAGAATCTCTTCGCCATGATGCAAAACTCTGGGCGGCCCGCTGTAGATACCACCGCTGTCGCCAGAGAGCTGAGTACCGATGTCAACTCGCAGGAAGATGTGCACTCATTCTACGCGGAGCTTTTGAGCAGATTAGAGAACGAGTTGCCTGCAGAAGCAAGGACTGCCTTTCAGAATTTCTACACTGGCAGATTGATAACACAGGTGAAAGGTGACTGTGGCCATGTCTCGCCGAAGACGGAGCCTTTCGTCGACTTGCCGATTGTTGTCAAAAACAAGAACAACCTTGCGGAGACCTTGGATGAGCTTGTGCAAGGAGAGCCTATGCAAGGCACCAACCAGTACAAATGCCAAGCTTGCGACCCCGATGGCGAGGGCAAGCTAGTCGATGCCATGAGGAGAAGTTGTCCTGATGTGACCCCGGACAATCTGACTTTCTGTCTCAAGCGCTTCGAATATGACGCCTTCCAGAACGCCGATGCCACAAAGGTCAATGATAGGTTCGAATTTCCAGAAACTATCGACATGTCCAGATATCATCATACGTACTTGGACCATCCGGATGCAGACATCGACCGAGACATATTCGAGCTTGTGGGAGTCATTGTGCACATGGGCACAATGGGCTACGGACACTACTGGTCATACACCCTTTTGCGCGACGTCTCAGTCCCCGAGACAAATACGTGTAGTTGGGTGCGATTGGAGGATCGAAACGTCACCACATGTCAAGCTGGCTTCGCGCAGGTTCAACACGATTGCTTTGGTGGCCTCAAATTTGGCAATGGGCAGGACCGTACCGACAATGCATACGTACTATTCTATCAACGAAAATCGGCAGGAGAGGCGCATTCGATCACTCCAGCCTCGTCAATGGTGTACGAACCAGAAACGCAAGCCTTACTACCGCCGAGAGTGCCCATGCCTAAAGATATGGCAGATGACATTCGAAAGGAAAATGAATGGCTCCATCGTGTGGCGCATCTATTCGACGATGATTTGTGCGGATTGCTCGAATGGGTACTGGCTCAGTGCAAACGTCTAGGCTACATCACGCATACTCCTACCGCAGATAGTCTGGATCTTCCTGCCGACGTCAGCTCGGACAACGAAAAAGAGGAAGCTGCAGACGAAGAAGTGGTAGAGCGCCGAGACTCAGATGGAGCGCACAATGACGAGTTTGCAATACTGCTCAGTAGAGTTGCGACTACATTCATTCAGCGCATCGCTCCATGCGACCCTATGCCTCTGAAGAAGCTCAGAATGATTACCAATGGACTGGTTGCTCTGTTCGCGGATCAGCCGAAGCTTGCCAGCTGTGTGCTCCGCGACTTCACCTCAACAAACTGGTTTCGGTTGATTATTGGGCACAACAATGAACGCGTGAGGGACACGATTGAAATTTTCGTGTGGCACTGTTTAGGTGTTGCACGCGAGCATGACCCTGCTGCATATGGCGAAGTCATGGGCCAATTTAGATTACTCCATGCCTCTTATCTGGGCATGCCGACCCGGATTGCGGATCTGGATTGGAATGCCTATCTTTCGTTCGCATCCTATATGGCTTCACTCAGTCCTGCAGACACTGCGGCTGTACTCGATCAAGGCTACTGGAGTTGGGTCTTCGAGATGCTTGATCTGCCCTGGGACCAAGCCACACAAGACAAGTACCCAGGCCTTGTTGACAAGCTGTCTGTAAACCCTCGGAAGATGTCAGCCCTTTACGAGTTTGTCATCGAGCTGCTGGAGCATCATCTTGCCCTTCCAGCCCAGGACGTGTTCAGCCCGGAGAATGGCTTACACGTGATTATCGGTGGCAATGCTCTTCTGAAGAAGTCTGAATTCATCCTGTTTGGTCGCAAAGCATACGTAGACGGCGTTTTCTCATGGATACGCACGGCGCGATTTGCAGACTCCAATGGAGGGAACTGGAGAGATTTCGCGCCTGGCAAGCTTCTGGGGATTTTGATCAGCAGATCTGGGTTGTCCTCGTCGCTACAGATCATCCTACTCCAGCACATCAATGCTGAGGAGGAACAGTTTGGCTCGGTCTTGAATTTGGCACTACATTTTTGTCTTGCTGTGGAGTCAGAAGAGAGGGCTGTTGCAATATTCACGGCAGTGACAAGGATTGCGCCTAGCTGGGAAGGCTGTGAAGGCGAGCTTGTACAAATCATTCCCTCTGCATTCGAGGCAATGCCACGCGTTGTCCTGATCACTCTGGAGTCCTGGGCCCTCCACTTCTTGCTGCTCAAGGCGAGGATGGTGCGAAGGCCGATGGCAGAGTTTGTGAAGAAGTGTGTCTTTGGTGCGGATGCGGACCTTACAGAACCAGACCTGGTCGCGGTACGCGCGAGACTTGCTGCTAAGCTCACTCGCGATGGTGCATCGGTGCTTCGTCGTGCATTCCATGAGGAGCAGCCGAGAAACAGATACGAGAGCCTGATCGAGGTATACCAATTGGTGATTCCGTACTTGGAAAGCTTGCGCCAGAGGGTAGGTGAGCAGTTACAAGCCTTTGGTGGAGGCAATGTCACCCAGGAGCTTCGAGTGGAGTACGACAGGGCTCAACAGACGCTGGGCGCCCTCGAGAATCTGGGCGCTATGGTGGGCGCGTGGGGAGCTGACACAACCGTATCACATTATTTGCCCGCGGATGTGGTGCGCTCCACGGAGGACGAATCAGAAGATTATGAGAGTGAAGACGTGGACGCAGAGTGGGACAGTAGCAGCGAATTCGCCTAGCAGGCGTCTAGGTTCGCATCGTGGTCTACGAGGGAGAAGGCCGCACACAGGGTGCGATATCGTGGTCTCAGCCTCTTTGCTCGGACGCGGGCTTCCTTGGCGAGGAAGTGAAATGTCCCCCTTGTATTCTTGTTACCAGGCTAGACCAGCGGCTTGGGGTAATTGTTGCAGTGATATGAGATATGAGACATGACTGATGAGTGTTATGGGCCAGAGCATCGTTGTGGGCACATTTCAGATGTATACTAAGGTACCCACAATCCACGATTACTTCTGCACGCACTAGGTCTCCCTCCAGTTGATGCTAGATTTTAGCTTGTTATTGCTAAAGTAGGAGGTATGTATGTACATGTACCTTGCTTTGCATATTTCTTGGCTTTCACATGATTGGCACGGTTAGTCGGAGGCTACCTGAGGTACCTGCACGATCGTAGGTGATAAGAGGCACTCTATCTGGACCCCGCCTGATCACTCACTCTATCCTAGCACACTCCACTCACCTCTCTTTCTCTCTCTCTCTCATCAACCACAAGCCATCATCTCTACTATCTACCAAAGAAGAAACTATACAAAAAGACAGAGTGAGAGAGAGTGTCTCTCTGTCTACTATCCAACATCCAACATCATCGGAATCATCATCTGAACAAACATTATCAGAATCAATCATCCTCCTCATCCTCCTCCTCCTCCTCAACAAGACAAGAGAAGAGAAAGCCATCATGTTCTTCGGCCTCCTCAAACTCCGAAACCTCGCTCGAATCTCCGGAGGAATTTTCGTCGGATGGCATTTACGCGATTATACCCATGGAATTGGTCCTCTGGCGGAACTTCATGAGAAAACTGTTGCGGGGAGGAGTGGTACCTCTTAGTATGCCCAGGTAGATGAGAGATGAGTTAGAAGAGTGAGACAGGAGAGGGGAGAGGGGGTTTTTTGAGGGAGGGAGGGAGGGAGGGGGAAAGTGGGAGAGGGGGTTTCCTGTCGCTTTTTCGAGCTATAGATTGTGGTGAGGGGGGGGGATATGCTCTGCTTCCTCGGGAATTTTTTTTTGATGATGATTTGGAGATGATCTTGGGATTTCCACATGAGGAGGAGGAGGATTACATGTAGGTCGGCTACACTAGGTGGTACCTAGGTATACTCTAATTTTGGAGGGAATAAGCAGAAGCAGATGGCGGAAAGTTTGGTTGGCGAAGGCAGCGCTAGAAAGACAAGCGGCATGGATGAATGGTGAACGACCTTTGATTGCTATGAAGAGGGCATCATTGGTCTATACACTACATGTATTAATAAGGTAAGCTCTCACAGAACGCTGCAGAATCATGATAAGATCTATCGGTACCAGTTCTGTTGTAGTCATTATCTATTCACTATCCTCTCATGTACCTTAAGCATCTAGGCAGTCTTCACTAGCTTGCCGCCCTCGGCGAGTTTCTTCTGACGCCACTGCCACTCTACTAATACAGGCAGGAAATGCCACAGATCAAAGTCTGGCCACAAGATGTCCAAGAACTTGATCTCAGTATTTTCATGCACTTGCCACAGCATGAAATCTGATAAACGCGCCACTCCAGATGTCCGTATCAGTAGATCCAACGGAGGTGCGTCGTATGTATACATGTTCTTGGTCAAAGTGTCGGCGGTAATGTTCTCAGGATCCGGCAAATTGACAGCCTTTCTTGCGGTGGCCTTGATGACGGGTGAGGTGGAGTTGGATGTCTGTGATGAGGCTGGATCCATGTGCGATGAAGCATCCAGATCCTGCGTGGAAACTGAATCCGCATCGTCAGACGGCGCAGTTGGTACGCCCCTGCTGGCTTCTTCCTCCTCGACATCAGGCAGATTTCGGCTGAGAATGTTCCTCTGAATGTGCGTTTCGCTGAATGGTCTCTTGAGTGGAGGCCGATTCGGTGGTGTATTGAAGTCCTGAACGGTCTGTCTAACGCTATGCGTAATCTCCTCGCGTCCAGTATACGGGAAGCATACATTGAGCACGGCACTGTCATTATGCTTGGTCATCTCCACTGCACGATCAATCTGTATCTGCACATCCTCCCTCATCAAGCTCTTGTCGCCCAATACCCTCACACTCGCGCCATAGCGATCCAGCAACGCTCCGTGCTGGCTCAGCTGTACCAATTTTGTCTTAGCCATGTCCATCAGCGCATCCACTTCGTACTTGCTGCGTTTAAAGTTTTCGATGCTGAAGGCGTAGATGGTGACCACGCGCACGCCGCTTTTGTAACAGACTTCTAGGATCCGCGCCAACGCTTCAAATCCCATGTTGTGCCCCTCTATGGTCTCAACTTTGCTTTGTCGTGCCCATCTCCGATTGCCATCCATGACGAATGCAACGTGTTCTGGTATAGGTCCGCATTTGAGGCTGCCAATGAGCAGCTCTCGCAGCTGTTGGATTCCCCATTCTACAGGTGGGAGAGAGAGCAGCCATCGTCGCAGGTGGGCGCTGTGCTGGTTTGTGGTCATGGTGGGAGTGAAGCTGTCGGTATAAGCTGAGGGTGGGTGTTTGCGGGAGAACGAGGTCGTTATGTGCTGAGATGATGTGCGAGTGGCATCGAGGCAGCAGTATTACTAGGGCAGTGGTGTGGTGGTGGTGGTGGTGGTGATGATGATGAGTTGAAGGTGGCTGAGTAGCCGTGCTGTTGACCAAGACTCGTCACGACTAAGGCCAACGAGCAGCAAGAGAGACGATTTTGTTGTTTCAAGGCATTGCAGGCGTCGCTCGTTTCACGTCCGAAGCTGACCTCCCTGATCCCTGCACGCAGGACGCGCCTTCTCAGCCACTCTCCTCGTCTAGCTCGCAAGAGAGAGAGGCTCACGTGCACCATCTTTCTTCATAGCCACTGCATCTAGATCTACTGCGCCACTCGGCACGGGCCGTCTTACCACTTGCGCCAGAGCGCGTATGGACGCGTACAAAAAGTACCTCCTAGTTACATGATGTACATCCCTACGAGCCCGCCCACCATGAACGAATTGCGAGCATGACACCAATGTGCCCCAGGCACGTATATGATGAAGCTACCAGTTTTCCTATCCTCAATCATTGGGGCTCTCTGATTGCAGACAAGCCTACTGCCAAACAGCGTCTACATTGCAAGGAGCCCGTCTTATCCGTCGTCCGGCGTCGCGATTGATATACGGTTGGCAGGCATCATAGTCGACTTCTACCTCCTACCTACTGTACCTTGCTAACAACGGGGTCCTTGCTCAGAACGGAGACTCCCCACAGATAAAGACACCGGTATGAAGGGGCTGGCCACGCCTGACACTGCTGGTGGACGCTCACGGCGTCGTGAGCACGGTGTGGAAGAATGGATCAGTATAATCTGGCTTGAGTTAGCTGAGCAGCCGCAGCGATCGAGAGGGACGAAGCCGACATGATACATGAGGTTGTCCTAGCAGGGTAAGTATTCATCAGGTACCTGACCTCCTACCTTAGGGACTCTTTTCTCTACGCTTGTTATAGCAAGGTCGTCGTTGCCCTCTGGGTTTGACTTTGATTACATAATGTAGGACCAACCACAGAACTTCGATCCGACCACCCCACATAACTTATGAACATACCTGAGCCACCACAACCACCACACATCACCGACCTACATGGACCTTACCTACATACATGTAGCCTACGCCGATGCTCAATAAGCATGCCTCCCTACATCTGCGAAATCTGCAATGAGACGCGAGCGCAAATACTGCGTCCCAAAAACCATTCCCGAATCTGCGCGCCATGCTTTATCCAAATTTTTGAGACCGAAGTCGCCGAAACTGTCACATCTTCCAATCTCTTCGTGCCCGGCGAGAGAGTAGCAATAGGTGCATCGGGCGGGAAAGACAGCACTGTCCTAGCTTCAGTCCTCAAGACGCTCAACGATCGCCATAACTGGCAACTCGATCTCGTACTTCTCAGTATCGATGAAGGCATTACAGGATATAGAGATCACAGTCTGGAAGCTGTTAAGAGACATGCTCAGCAGTATGACCTTCCTCTGAAGATCGTGAGTTATCAGGAACTCTATGGCTGGTCTATGGATCAGGTTGTAGCGCAAGTGGGCAAGAAGGGGAACTGCACATACTGCGGCGTTTTTCGACGACAGGCGCTTGATCGTGGAGCGGCGATGCTGGATGTGGGTCATGTTGTGACAGGACATAATGCGGATGACGTGGCTGAGACTGTTCTTATGAACTTACTACGAGGTGATCTACCACGATTGAGTCGGGCTACGAGTATTATCACAAGTACACCTTCTGCCAGTGTGACGAAGAGCGAGGGTGGCAAGGTCAACTTCACGGACGTCAAGAGGAGCAAACCGTTGATGTATGCGTATGAGAAGGAGATTGTGCTCTACGCGCATCACAAGAAGTTGGACTACTTCAGTACGGAGTGTATATACAGTCCCGAGGCTTTCAGAGGCAGCGCGAGGACCTTGATCAAGAACTTGGAAAGGATTCGACCGGAAAGTATACTGGATGTGGTGAGGAGCGGGATTGACATGGCCAAGCTTGTGCCCGGCGCCAAGACAGATGGTGCCGGTACAGGTGCTTGTGGGACGGGAGAAAGTGGCGAAGCCAAAGGAGCAGAAGATGAGGTAGTGGGTGGCTGTGGGACGGCGAATGGAAAGTCAAGTGGAGGCGAGATGGCCGAGATGGAAAGGAAGCTGAGGCAAGATGAGGAGGCTTTGGAGAACGGAACGGAGATTGAGGTGCGAATGCCTGCTAATAGGATCAAGCCTAGTCAACAGACGATACCGATGCGGACCAAGCAGGAGAAGAGAGGGGCACAGAAGGGCAAGGACGGCGCGCCGCCGAAGCAGAAGCTTGGGCAGTGTGAGAGATGTGGCTATCTGAGCTCACAGCAGATCTGCAAGGCTTGCGTACTTCTAGAGGGACTGAACAAGGCTCGGCCACGCACCGAGATCGAGGTGTCCGACGCTGCAGGTTGAACGCTCAAGGGTGCCTAAGCATTGACTTAGAACATCTGACCCGCTTATAGACACAGCGGCTTTAGAGAGCTCCCAGATCCACGCGTCCCTAGCCTGCGTTGGGAATTTCACGCTGCGCTCAGCAGCTTCGGGTGGAAAACAAGATTCTTGGCGAATGAGGCATGTCACAGCAGGTCTGTCTCATGAATGAATACTGTATCACAAGGCCAAGCTCATGGACTCTTCGACTCCAGACTCGATTCGAGGTATGGTGCCGTCGGAAGAGCATGTAGCTCATGGTCACAGACACAATGCTCCGTGTGCATCTGTAAGAAAAGAAAACTTGAACACTCGCCGCCAATGGGCAAAGCGATATTTGTGCAGCACTGTACTGTGCTGTGCTACGCTCATGGTGATGGTCGAGAATTAGGTAAGGGTCAAGACTGGATACCAGCAATGGGGGTCTGCATAGGCGCCATCCTTCATATATATAGCGTTCTTGGGAAAAGATTCCCGTAACAATACCTCGTCACAAGATGTGAAGTATGGCTGCTCGAGATACCATAGGCAGCATCCTCGTCGGCTCTCTCGGAGCATGAGCTTACCTACATGAGGTACCTTATAGCCTTAAATGCAGCGGAAGGATCCAGATTCCTCCAGATGCACGGGAAGTGTTTCGATGGAGATCAGCAACCTTACCCCGCAGCGTGTTTGTGGATGTGTGTGGTACGAAGGCTCACGACATGTTGCTGCTGACTTGACATCACACCAAAGCTAGGTACATGTACACTACCTTCCAGGTACGGTACGCCTTGGAAGTTGGATCTTCTAGAAAACAATCGGCGTTACCGAGGGTAAGGTGAGCACTGTTTGTTACATCTCTCTCAATCTCCTCCGCTGTTGTCTCCACATGCTCCATATTGCAAAGTCGACAGCACATTGCGCAGCATCGTCGGCATCGCTTGCTTTCCGTGCGATTGGATTCTTTCGCTGTGCCATCTCAAAGTATAGTCTCAGACCGTCAGACTTTGGAGTTTCAGTCCGAGCACCATCTCACAGCAGGCAAAATGAGAGCAGCAAGATACTACGGCAAGGAAGACATCCAGATCAAGGACGACATAGCCATCCCGGAATGTGGACCAGGACAGGTGCAGATCTCGCCAGCTTACGTGGGCATATGTGGAACAGACCTGCATGAGTACTTGGGAGGACCGAAGTAGGCATATTGGCTTCCTGACATGAGGCCGTCTAACTCACCTTGATTTCCAGCTTCTCGCCTACCTCACCACATCCAGTCACTGGAGAGAAGATTCCCATCACCATCGGGTAAGAATGTCCTACGAAAAAGAAAGATTTGGGACCCGCGAGCAACTGACTTCTGGCGCGTTTAGACACGAATTCTCGGGAACAGTGACAAAGGTCGGAGATGGCGTGTCGAAGCTCAGAGCCGGAGACAAAGTTGCTGTACAGCCTTCGATATACTGTGGCCAATGCGGAGCATGCAAAGTGCACGCTGAAAATGCGTGCCCGAAAGGTGGTTTTGTGGGCTTATCAGGAGGCGGCGGTGGCATGAGCGAGTTCGTGGTAGTACCTCAAGAAGCCTGCTTTCCGCTGCCCTCAAACGTCGATCTCGACATTGGCGCCCTCGTGGAGCCGCTATCAGTAGCATGGCACGCTGTAGCCGCTACTCCCGTTGAGCCCAATTGTCTGGTGATTGGAGGAGGCCCAATCGGTCTCGTACGTTGATCCGAAAGCCCATGATGAGACATCTGAGACATGACTGACATCTAGTGGACGGTATTCAGGCAGTGATACAAGTACTTTTAGCACAAGGCGCGAAGAAGGTGATATGTGCTGAAGTGGCCACGAAGCGTCAAGAATTCGCTCGGGAGTTTGGTGCACATCATGTGCTTGATCCAACCAAGGTCAACATTGAAAGCACATGCCTCGAGCTCTGTGGTGGGCTCAATGGACCCGATATCGTCTTCGACTGTGCGGGAGTGCCCAAGTCGTTGGAAACAGCTTGCAAGACTGTTCGCTCACGAGGCACTGTCGTTAATGTGGCCATTTGGGAAAAGGAAGTGCCGTTCAATCCAAACTGGTAAGTACTATCCCACGGCCGATACTATCATGCCTGGAATATCAGCTAAAACATCTCTTTCTCTAGGCTGGTGTTCAGAGAAGCAACCTACAAGGCAGTATTAGGTTATCAAGCTAAGGATTTTCAAGGAGTGATAGATGCTCTGGGCCAAGGCAAGCTGGAGCCTCACAGCATGATAACTAGCAAGATCTTGATGGAAAAGTTGGTACAAGACGGGTATCTCGCTCTGATTCATGAGAAGGACAAGCACGTCAAGATCTTGGTCGATGTCCAAGCGTCTTTGTAGTTCTGCTGCATTCTTTCTGTAGTCCAAATATCAGGCAAGGTGCGGATGATCGACTGTTTGACTTGTACTGTCGTTGCGAGTGGCTCGTGCAAGATAAATCGGGTTTGATTGTTAGTTTCGTGGGCGAAAGACAGAGATGGAAACTTGCGCCGGTTGTATCGACTGACCTCTAGGTCTATCTCGGCGTCCCCCCAGAGGCCCCACAATTCCTCCAGGAAGCTAAAACATGCAACGTGGTACCTACCTACTGCCTATACCGGATAACACATTATTTAATCTCGGATCGAGAGCAGCATTATTGGTGCAGGCACTGACTGTCCCAGGACTCCGGCGTGTTCGATGTGGACCATCGAAGCCAGCCGCCATTGCTAAATTCCAAGTCATCTCAGTCCAAATCTTGTACAATACCAATCATGGAACTGCCAGCCGATGACAACCGGCTTACCGAGCAACACGACATCATCACTTCGAGCCTAGGATACCACATCCACCCCACCATTGTGAAAGCCCTCAACGAAGAAGCTGGTACCCCACCCCACGAAATACGGATCGCAGACGTATCCCAAGGAGGGCAATTCGAAAACACGGCAATCCTCCCTGCCACTCTTCTCACAGCGCAACGCACCAGAATACACTTCGCCCGCCTCCTCGCCACGAGCACCATTCCCGATGACTTACGCGGCCAATTCGACGTCGTCGCCGTACGACTTCTACACACTAATCTCGTACCGGATCGCTTCCAAGAAGCCCTAGATTCCCTCATCGCGCTGCTCAAACCCGGCGGATGGCTACAATGGATCGACTGGGATCCCATGACGGCTCGCATCGCAACCGTCAAACCCGGCGCAGACGACATTGTGCTGCGAGAAATTTTGTCGCGATTTACTGAAGCGTTGCGCACGAGGAAATCCGGGTCGACGTATAAAATTTCTACGGCGATGCAGTTGCAGTTGGAATGTGAGGACTCGGATATGTATGTGGTGACTCCCGAAGTGCGGTTTACGAAGAATGTGGTCGCGACGGCGTTGTTGTTTTTGGAGAGGAGTGATGCGTGTACGGCCGAGGAGGCGAGTGTGTTGCGGGGGAAAGTGAAGACGGAGATTGAGAATTCGGGATCTTTGTTGTTTTATGACTTGTGGTGTCATATTGCGAGGAAGCCGATGGGGTCTTCTTGATTACAGTCTTCTTTACCACGGAAAGGAATTTGAGAGTTGCGATTTTAGCGAGTGTGTTCTAAATCTCTTGCATATCGCGATTTGACTTCGATCTGGCACAAGCAATGAGGTACATGGGAGCAAAGCACTTATCCCATGTTGATATTTGCATGTCTGTATACGCCTTATCCCGAAGCCTTGGGGCAATATGATAGAAAAAAAAATCTGAGCCCAGTGCAGACGAATTGCCGGACAGAGCCGATTCCACAAAGAGTCGCTGTCTCGATCCCTCCTCCATCTAGCCCAGCGGAAAGCGTTACCAATAGGAGAGATAATGCTGAAGTGTATTGCTTAATTGACTCGGAGCAAGAGTCGAGCACCTCTCATCGACGCAATTATTGCGCACGCATGGAATGACGGTTTACTAAGCTGTCCGGGGTTCACCCAGGGTGTTCTAAAGAAAGGCACTGTTGTACGACCAGAATTTGAGATGTCATCAGAGATCAGAGTCTTCAGAGATGCCTCCTTCAGCTTTCCTTCTTCTTCTTCTTCACAAATGCGTACAGGTACCCATATGCAGTGTTCAACCACATGCCTCTCACCTTGAAAGTTGAGCAATCCCTCAAGGGAAAGGTTGGCTGTTATGCGATATAGGTACAAACAGCTCGAGGCTTCTGTGTGACTGGCCATGTAAACATGCTCATTTCTTGTTTTTTCACGCTTATACCCTTGACTAAGGTACTTAACATATGTACCCAAAGATTCCAGGCGCGAGCAGAAGGTGATTGTCAAGTACGCAGACCACTGGCGTATACGCAACGAACGACACGTTCTTCTCCGATTCTAGCCGCGGACATGACATACATGTATTCGACCGTTGCTTGATGAGGTGGAAGAAGATGGGCCTAATAACTTGGCCCTTTCCCTTCAGCATCTCGATGAGGTTTCATGGCATACACTCGACTACAGACAGCTTACCCGAGGCGAAGTCAAACATTGGGAAAGGTGTCTTGGAGCGATGGAAGATGAAGATTATGAAATTGAGGTTCTGAGAAGACAACATCAATTCTTTGGTCCGTTTCCCTACTCTTACTGGAAGAGGAATGGTTCAATCAAGGTGAGAAGAGGGACGCGAGTGAAGATGTGAAGGTGCTTTCTTGATTGATCTACTGTGCCATTACCGTGTTGCCAATTCTACCTACGCGCATGTTGGAGCTCTTTACGTAAGCAGATTCCTGATCTTGCATCCATGGGAGATCAGCCCCGTTCACAAGCCTACCTCCTACCAGGGAGGTACAGGTATCATCAAGGCCAGCACATGAGCCAGTGCTTGTTGGTGACAATCAAAGCAGAAGGGCTCGGCTGACGTGGCCTGCATCTCTGTGCGTTCTATGACACCAAGAAATGGACATTTCGGTCAACTTCTGGCGTTTAAGCGTTGGCGTTCAATAATAATAGCGCTGACTGTACAGTGTGACAACCAACCCGTCTGTTGGCGTTCTGTAGACTACATGTACCTCTACCTGAGATGCGATTTTGCCCGATGAGATGTGCTAGTGTGTGTGTGGTACCAACGACATGTACCTCCTCCTACTAGGAGGTAGTACCTCCGTAATACTAATAAGAGGTACATAGTCCAACACCCGGAGGACTTGCATCTCCACACAAAGTGTCAGCAACAACAAGATCAGCGGCCCCGCGCCAATTCCAAACAAGCAAATGCCTCGGAAGGACTAGTGCATGTCTTCTCGTGTACCTGTTCGCTTAAAAAGGAACTTGTCCAGTCGGGAGTAGTTACCGACACGTGCATCCCTGCTGCTTCTTTCTCTTCAGGAGTCAGCAGTAGGAGGTAGTGACTGGAGGTAGGAAGGTTGCTTGGTTGTCTTCTGTCGGGTGTCTTCAGGCAGCCAGGCCAGACCAGAAACAGCGCTGGCGTGGAAGAGAGTTTGGCGCGGGGCTCCGATATTCTGTTCAACGTCAGCCGCACCTACCATCTGCCATCTCTTGGCTCGGGCAAGACCGGTTTGTTCCCCATCAAATAATATACCTTACTAAGGTATCTGTACCTTATTAGTGACTTTGTAGTGCATCATCCAAGGCCAACTTTGTTTTCGCCTGCTCTATGGATGAATGATCAGCTACCTATTGAACTCAACCTCGGCCATCGAGATCGGAACTCTTGCCCCCCACGGCACCAGCTCCGTGTATAATACAAAGAAACTACCTACCTGCCTCCCGCTTCTGCCTCTCCCTGCTCGGGAAGCATATTGAATTCCTCCGACACAAAGACCAGCCCTACTGCGAAGCTCTTCCTTCTGCCATTGTGCACAATGAACTGCCCATCACGGACGGAGCCGGACACTCCATTGGAGTGGAACCAGAATCCCAATCCACTGGCAGAGACGACGAGAAGTGACCTGGGCAAAGTGGCGAGCGCCAGAGTGCAGCACGATCATAAGCTCACTCCCAAAGACGGAGGAATCGTCGAATTGACTGAAGTTGGCGGAAGTCGCGACCATCCAGCGCTCCGACGACGCTCCGTGCTGAGCGAAGGCGATGGCGCCTGTTCCATCGCCCATGGGCGTGGTGAGCGTATGCTCGAGGACACTCTCGGCGCTACATCGCCAAGCCCAACCCGGCTGCCATCATGGCAGCACCCTCTGGATCGCATCTGGAAAGTGATCTGGAAATACATCCGCTTCGTCGGACCGGGCTTCATGATAGCCGTGGCATACATTGACCCAGGAAACTACGCGACCGACGCGGCGGCAGGAGCGACCTACAAGTTTAAGCTCTTATTTATGGTTCTGGTCTCAAACATTTTTGCCATCTTCCTCCAGTCCCTCTGCATCAAGATGAGCACAGTGACGGGTCTGGATCTTGCTCAAATGAATAAAGAACACTGTCCGCCATGGCTCAATTATGTCCTGTTCTTCTTTGGCGAGGCGGCTGTCATCGCTACGGATATTGCAGAGGTCATTGGCTTTTCCATTGCCCTCAACCTGCTGGCACCGAGTGTGCCCATCGTGGCCGGATGTGCCATTTCCATTCTGGACGTCATGTTCATCCTCCTCTTTTACAGGCCAGAAGGATCCATGAGAGCGTTGAGACTGTTTGAATGCTTTGTCATGCTGTTGGTGCTTGGCGTGGTCATCTGCTTCTGCTACCAGTTGTCATTGATCAGCGGCACCACACCTGGCGAGGTGTTCAGAGGCTATTTGCCGTCGAGTGCGATTGTCGAGAGCAAAGGGCAAGTAGCGCACGCACATAGCACTCCAATATGGCAGTCCACTAACTTGTTCGCTAGATTGTACCAATCGTGCGGCATCCTCGGTGCTACAGTCATGCCTCACTCTCTCTACCTAGGCTCCGGACTGGTAAAGCCAAGGCTCAAGCACTTCGACCAGAAACACAATACCCACCACACCGATCCGGAGTCAGACGATGATATGGCCGGTGCTGTTCGCAAGTACCGACCATCGATGGCAGCCATCAACGCCTGCATGAAATACTCCATCATCGAGCTCGCAGTCGCGCTCTTCACATTTGCTTTATTTATCAATAGTGCCATTCTGATCGTCTGCGGTGCTTCTCTTCACTCGGTCGACGGCGCCGCAGATGCGGACCTCTTCGGCATTTACAATCTTCTTCGCGAACAAATAGCACACGCAGCAGCGACAGTCTTCGCCATTGCCCTCCTGCTCTCTGGTTGTTCTGCTGGCATTGTCTGCACTTTGGCGGGTCAAATGATCGCCGAGGGTCAGATCAATTGGAAGTTGCAGCCGTGGGTCACCCGGCTCCTTACGAGATCTATTTCCATTGTGCCAGCCATCCTGGTAGCTGGTACACTCGGTAAGCAAGGACTTTCTGAAGCATTGGTTGGGTCACAGGTCGCACTCAGTGTCATACTGCCATTTGTGACAGCACCACTGATCTACTATACGTGCCGCAACAAGTATATGAATGTCGTGACGACAAGTCGCACTGAGTTGGCAGAAGATGGCTCCGGAGAACCGAGGCGAGATGTGGTCAACATGAGGAACAATTGGCTGGTGGCAGTGGTTGCCGTACTGATCTGGTTGATTATCGTGATTATGAACATTGCCAACATCACGCTGACCGGATTGGGCGTCAACTAGCAAAGAGCAACGTTAGCCAACGTGCGTATACTCTTTTTGAGCGCCGCTTCCACTTCTACGAGGCCGTTTCATCATGGTTTCCCGGGCACACTGAGCATGGAATGTGGGTAGTACAGCATCTCGATGCTTTTCTTGAGGCGTTTGGGAAAGTGGTTAAAAGAAACGGAAAAAAAGAAAAAAAAAAGATGAAGGGGAAAGGAAAGGAACCTTAAAACGAGAAGACCCCCTGAAAAAGCGACCGGCACATCAGTGTCCAAATCCACAATCACATCCGCTGTGTAATAATGATAGATTTAGGAGATGCACGCACTGCCCAGTGCCTTGCAATCTGCCAGCTCGTGGTCTCGCTCGTGCACACGAGCCATGGTCTTGATAGTGCTGCAAAAGTGCAAATGGTTCGCATGTGCTCCGATCTCGTAGAAGCTGAGCTTGGCTTTGCTTGACTTGCTTGGCACGCAACGTTGACTAAGACTTGACATCCAGGTGGTGGCGAAGTGAAGATTGGCTTGGCTTTGTTGCTTGACAAGGCACTCCCGTTTGCTTGGCTATTGCTGCAGCCGCTCACCTCCTCTCATCCACAACAATGGACTGGTCGATGGCCATTGCATGGCCTGCTGCTCCGTGCTGGTGATCACGTTTCTTACACGGGGACTTTGAAGTTTGGCATTACAGGCCTCTTCAACCCAGCTGGCGTTTCAGGCTAAATTTGTGCGACGAGGCGGCAGATGTTCGTTCGTATTGACAGCCGCAATAGCTTCAGCCACCCTGGGGGGTTGTGGGAGCTGTTCTTCCAAGGGACAAAGACAGTACCTACACCAAGCCATGTTACTCATACCATCGCGTCTGGACAAAGCCGACAGGTATAGAAACAGAATCACGCGATATGCACATGGCAAACCATGGCACATCATGGCTTTCCCAAGGGCGATGCCCGCGCGGCGTAAATCCGTCCGAACGGTTAATCACACCGTCCCAACTGCAAGTGAAGGATCAAGCTTGTTCAAGCCGGGCTCACTGCCAGTCACGCGGCATGCTTATTCTACCCCGTCACCATCTATCTCCACATTCCTCCACAGTTTCTCCACCTATAGACGCGGAGAATGGTTCAAGCCATGTGGGCGACCTACCCGTCCAACTCTAGGGAAGTCCCAGGGTAGCTAGTTTTATATTTGTATACTGCTTTCTACTCTTTATACACTCTTGACCCGCTCCTCTCCTCTCTCTCCCTCTCTCTCCCTCTCCCTCGCGCTCCCTCTCTCTCCCCCCCTTTCTTCCTCCATTCATCCCTGCAACTCTTGCGTACCACGCGCCGTCCATCGAGGCAGCGCCCGTCACTGCCCACCATGAGTCGCAATCTCGACGTCGAGACCAAAGCCTACAGCCATGCCGAGGAGGTGGAGCAAGACGTCGTCTTCTCCGAGAAGGCGGCCGTCGCAGACTTCAAGGCCGATGCCATTGAGGCCGAGAATGCAGAGCATAACATGACGGTGCTGCAGGCCGTCAAAGCCTACCCGATGGCTTCGTTCTGGGCATTTGTCATTTCCTGCACCATTGTGAGCCTTTTTTTCTATCGAGACGCCAGGTGGGGGGGGCGGCAATCCACATCGCTAACAGATATCCAGATTATGGAATCATACGACGTTTTCCTCATTGGTAACTTTGTCGCTCTGCCTGCCTTTTACAACAGGTACGGCATATTCGACCAAAGCCTCAATGATGGCGCTGGAGGATATGTTATTGAAACCAAATGGCAATCAGCGCTCCAGGTTTCTGGACAACTGGGCGCTCTCATCGGTGTCTTCCTCGCTGGGCCTTTGACTACCGTTGTTGGATACAGATGGGCGACTCTTATCGGCCTGATGGCGTTGAATGCCTTCATTTTCGTCTTCTACTATGGAGATTCGCTGCCTGTGATCTTTGCTGCACAGCTTCTGGAAGGTCTTCCGTGGGGCATCTTCATTGCAAATGCACCTGCATACTGCTCCGAGATTGTCCCTATCCAGCTTCGTGCACCAGCGACTCAGATGTTGCAGATGTTCTGGGCCATTGGGAGTATCATTGTCGGTGCAGTCACTTACCGTTACAATGGCGTGGCGGGACCAAGTGCCTACCGGTAGGCGCACAGCAGAAAAGAGCTTTCGTGGGTCAAAAATCAGCTACTGATCAGAGTGTACAGAGTCCCCATTGCCCTGCAATGGATGTTCCCCACGCCACTCGCCATTCTCATCTTCTTCGCACCTGAGAGTCCGTGGTGGCTCGTCCGAAAGGGCCGGCTCGACGAAGCTGCCAAATCGATTGAGCGTCTGGGACGCAAATCCCGCATCACAAAGTCCCACGAGACGGTCGCCATGATGCGTCGTACGATCGAATTGGAGAAGAGCGAGAAGAAGCCGAGCCACATCGAGTTGTTCAAGGGCACAGATCTTCGACGAACTCTGATCGTATGCGGTGTCTACGCCGCTCAGAATCTGACGGGTAACCTCATCGCCAACCAAGCCGTATACTTCTTCACTCAAGCCGGAGTGGGCACCAAAACTGCTTTTGCATTGGGTCTCATCACATCGGCTCTCCAAATGATTTTCGTCATGCTTTCCTGGATTCTGACGACGTATTTCGGCCGACGTTCCATCTATCTCTGGGGATCAGCCGTCAACACCATTCTCCTCGTCGCCCTCGGTGTCGCCGGTTCCGTGGGCGCGTCTACTGCAGCGGAATACGCACAGGCCTCTCTGGGTCTGATTGTGTCGGTCCTCTTCACTCTCGGTCCCGCTCCTGCCTCGTGGGTCATCATCGGAGAGACTTCCGCTATCCGCCTCCGTCCATTGACGACGGGTATCGGTCGTGCGAGTTACTACATTATCGAAATCCCTTGCATTTTCCTCGCTTCGTGGATGCTCAACCCCACGGGCGCCAATCGTAAGTTACTACTACTCCCCATCTCTGACGCGCGAGAAAAATTCCAAAAAACATCAAACTAACGCAATCTTTTTTTTTCTTTCGTGACATATAGTCGGTGGCAGATGCGGTTACGTCTGGGGCGCAACGGGACTCTTCTGCCTCGTAGTCGCATACTTTGAACTTCCGGAAATGAAGAACCGCTCCTACCGCGAAATCGACATCATGTTTAAGCGCAAAATCCCGGCTCGCAAATGGAAGAAAACTCCCATCGATATCAACGACGACGAGTAGAGATTTGTTTTTTTGTTTTTCGTTTTCTTTTTTGAGAGAGAGAGAGAGACGCTAAAGGCGTACGTACGTACGTATATGATGAATGGTGGGATGGATGGGGCGAGGCAAAGTCATGTCATGTCAGGGCCATATACATACTTTGTGAGGAATTTTGTGTGTTGTGACGATGATGATGGTGACGATGATAATGTACAGAACATACCTCATTGTTATTATCATTGAAAAGTAGCCTCAAATCTAAAAAAAGGGGCCCAGGCGGGTGCTTGCTTGCCGTGTCTCGAAGTTTTTGTTTCCTCATGAACGAAAAGACCGACTTTTCGCATCTCCTCCTTTGCGATTCATCTCTAGTACAAAACAAGAAAGCATCACGATTCGCAAAAGGTACATGTATCCAAGAAACGTGGAGCTGAGAATAACATTAATCATTTAGCAAAAGTATCACAATCGATGTCAAGTAGGTCATGCTCCCCTCGATGGAGAGGAGAAAATCGACTAGATTAGTAGGTATCTTTCGAACCAAAAGAATAAGAGAACCAAAAGAAAAAAAAAAAATATTAGGTCGGTCATGCTCGATTTCTTCGAGACTTGGGTAAATTGGTATCTTTTCAACTAACACCCACCCACACACATAAAAAAAGGCAATCGCTAGAAATGCTCTCAATTCAGACCCAGATCGTATACCAACTCCAGGAGTAGCCCAAGGTTCTCTCTTCCCCTCCCTCTCTCCCGCTGTCTCTCCCCTCCAAACAACCATGAATGTCCAGCGTCCATGGTAAATGTGCGTTTGATACATCACTCCCCGAATCCCCGACGCCCCACGCCCCGGTTTATGCCCAATGTCCAAATGTCCAACACCAAAATGTAACACCATCCCTACCATCATATCACAGTCGCATTCGACGAAGTCTGCGCCCACTGTCTTTGATACTGCCTCGGAAGAATTCCATATTCGACAGTAATTGAGTGTCGCCGGCCTTCCCCACAAAGTCCAGATACTGATCCAATCGCACCACGAAACTGGCGTCCCGGATGAGTTCTTTTCGCGCCTTGTTGATCAAGACCTGCATATCGTGCCTCGCAGCCGACGTTTTGCGTTTCCAATCCCAGCTGAAGAACTCACCTTCGCAAAACGTCACGAGCCGCGAGGTTTGTGACATGGCCTGTTCGACTCGTGCAAACACCTTGGACACATGGAGCGCGGCATGACTTCGAGCGAACGCTTCCATGACATCGTCATCGCCCTCGGTCGGTCCGAGGACGATGATGGGCTCGGCCTCGTATCGACCGTTGTTTTTGCAGGAATATATCTCGACATGGTATGGCGGGAGCGTGGCAGCGTTGGCATACCAGGTCGATTTGTGGAGATAGACGTCTTCGTAACCAGGCGGGAAGAGGACCGCGTAACGTCGTTTGTGTAGTGGGTCGTTGTTGTACGCCGTGGTCGCGTTGGACATGAGAGGGCCAGACATTAGTTTCCACATGGACGGTTCTGCTGTGGTTTGCACGAGCCACTTCGCGACAGGCGGACATTCGCCATATTGACTTTCCCACACGCTCTCGGACTCGTCTTCTTCGGTGGATGATGAACGTTCGATCTGATCGCCGTATAACTCTTCATCGTGGCGTTGGACTTCCGCCCGGAGCTTGTCTAGTATGACTGCGTCACTGTAGCTGGGCGGCGCCTCCTCATATCGCGGCATTGTGATCACCGTCTCCGAGGAGGAGGTGAGGTAAAAGAACCAGGACCTCCGTCCAGACGATGGTGCAGACGTGCAGACGTGCAGACTTGCAGTCGGGATGGTGGCAAGGGAGTCTGGCACTATGTATTCATTCGAGTCGTTGTTTCCAGGGGGCCTCCCGCGTGATAAGAAAGACAAAGGAAAGAAAGGTCGGAAAGGGAAGCTGTCGGGCAAGAATGAGACGATTGCAGCCATTGTATACGAATTGGGTTTGTCGGGGTGCTACGGCGAAATTGGACAGAGCATGGGCTTTGGACAAGCCCAGTCTCCAGAGAGGCGCAGACAGGCTTTGGACAAGGTAACAGGAAGCATAACGAACCATACAGCAGCGGTCATTCTCCGCCTGTCAGGTCAGCCTCGTCATGAACGGCGACCCATGCGAATCGGAAGGGGCGGTACCGTGGTCAAGACAACGAGAAGTTAGACGTCGGCATGCCCAGATCGGACTTTCGCGGGGGAATACGTGGGCAAACACGCCAGACAAGAGCGCGCCACGCCTGCCCTGTCAGCCGGTCTTGAAGGGGTGGTGACTGGTCCAAGATCTGTCGTAATCGTGCTGATATGAGAGATCAAAGTGCAGATACCGTGAAAGGAGGTATGCTGCGGTGCAGAGCAAGCATTCCCAAAGAGGCCGTGTCGTATGGCCAAGGATGACAAGGCCGCTACCGAGATGTGTAAGATTGAATATTCTACCACCTAACAAGAAACAGGAATGGTGAAAGTCAAAACCGTGCGAGTTAGTCAAGTCTGAAGAAAAGGGCGAAAAAGAGGAAAAGAGAGAGAGGGGAGGAAGTGGCTTATTCCCAGTTCCAATGCTACCACGGGCGACACCTCCACCTCCCGCCGGATACCGACCATTCCCGCCCTGTGCAGTAGTAATGTGTGGTAAGAGTGGCCGGCCGCTTGCGTATATCTCGTCAGTTGTCACAGCCGGTCACGTGTGCATTCCGAAACCAGGACCGAAGTAAGGCCATTATAGGCATAAGTATACGCGGAAGGCGGAGCGTGGAGTGAAGTCAAGTGAAGTGAAGTGAAGTGAAGTGAAATGAAGTGAAGTGATATTGCATACTATTATACTATCATTGTAGTCGTAGTCGTCGTACGGGTGAAGAGGTTTGCGAGCAAGCCAAGAAGACAACCTGAGGCGTGGTGTCTATAGTTAGATTAGTTCTAGCGCAGATCAATGCGCCCGTGCGGCCCGAAAGAGCTCTTCCACACTCCGATTCTGTTGAGAAGAGACTGAGAGATTGAGCTCCGAACACTGGAACATTATTGAAGCATCCGCTGCGAATAATTTCCACCCCCATCTCCGCCTCCTACTCCGCCTCCGCCCACCTACCCCGATCACTGTCTTACCTTCCACCACGCGCATTGTATTGCAGTGGACATGCTCTCCCGATTCGCGCCTCGCGCGGTGACTGCGCCGGTGCGGTCGCTCAGATATGCTCCCGCTGTCAGAAGTGTGACCACGGATGCGGCGAGCAGTCATGCTGAGAAGCACGAGGTACCGGCGGTATGTTGGCCTACACCGCAGAGGAATCTGCTGCAGCAGCTCATGATATACAACAGGAAGATGACAAGCCTTTCCAAGTGCGGCTCTCCGATGAGGCATTCGAGACCTACGAGATGGACCCGCCTTCATACACCCTCGACACCACGAAGAATGAGCTGAAGCAGATGTACTACGACATGGTCGCAGTGCGGTATGTCAGATTGGAGATGGGCGAGTGTGGGAGGGAATACTGATGAGATGAACAGCCGCATGGAAATGGCCGCCGACAGACTGTACAAGGAAAAGAAGATCCGCGGTTTCTGCCATCTGTCCACTGGACAAGAAGCTGTTGCGGTCGGAATGGAGCACGGAATGACAAAACAGGACCACCTCATCACAGCCTACCGATGCCACGGCTTTGCCATGATGCGCGGAGGCACTGTGCGATCCATCATCGGTGAACTTCTTGGACGCAGAGAGGGTATCGCACACGGCAAGGGTGGTTCCATGCACATGTTCTCCACTGGCTTCTATGGCGGAAACGGTATCGTGGGAGCCCAAGTGCCCGTTGGCGCAGGCATTGCCTTTGCCAACAAGTACGAGGACAAGAAGAACGTCACACTCGCGCTCTACGGAGATGGTGCTAGCAACCAGGGTCAAATCTTTGAGGCGTTCAACATGGCGAAGCTGTGGGACCTTCCCATCATCTTTGGATGTGAGAACAACAAGTACGGCATGGGAACTGCTGCGCATCGTGCTGCTGCCTTGACCGACTACTATAAGCGCGGTCAATTCATTCCAGGTCTCAAGATCAACGGAATGGATGTCCTCGCGGTCAAGGCCGCTGTTCAGCATGGTAAGAAATGGTGCGCCGAGGGCAACGGACCTCTGGTTCACGAGTATGTCACATACCGATATGGTGGTCACTCCATGTCCGACCCCGGCACCACCTACCGAACCCGTGAAGAGATTCAGCGCATGCGATCGACCAACGACCCCATTGCAGGCCTCAAGCAGAAGATCCTCGAATGGGAAGTGGTCACTGAGGCCCAACTGAAGGAAATTGACAAGGAGGCTCGCAGCCACGTTGACGAAGAAGTGGCTATCGCGGAGAAGATGGCAGCACCAGACGCGTCACCTGAGGTTCTGTTCGAGGACATCTATGTGCGTGGATCCGAGCCTCAATTCCTCCGAGGCCGAATTCCTGAAGAGAACTACTACTACCCCGAGCGAGAAGTCCAGGTCCCCAAGTCGCCAGCTCAGACTTAGCGGCTTGCAAAGAGCCTGTGAGATGTAGCGTTTATTAGCAGTGCATGAACAGAGGCCCATGGTTTTGAGCTTCGCAGAGGAGTGCAGGCGCCGACACGTCACTGGGGGAAGAGTGCGTGTAATGATAGCGTGTCTTTCTGCAGAATTGTATCCTCTACATTGTGTACTATTGAGCGACCCTCCGACACGAGTCCCAGACCGAAATATTTCATTGAATGAAGAGCTCGGGAAATCATACATGTACCTCGTACCTCCTAACTCCTAAGCTTTCGGGGTCGGCGTCTCTTCGCAGAAAAGCCGACTGTTTCTGCACAAGTCTCACCCAAGCATGTACCGCGACGTCATCTTGATAGCTCCCTCAGCCATTTCGCGCTTCCAAGTTCATTCAATCCTGTCCTGTGCGCTCTGCCCTCTGCCCTCACCATCAGGGCGGAAATGAGCGGGTGTGACGCAAAAAGGGCGGCCGGTCTCCAATGGGCCATGGTACACACAGCAAGCAAGTATAAGCTGCAGTCGCCGTCTACATTTCTGGCCTGAATCCATTCACTCGAATGTGACGCGATAGGTATCTCTTTGTTGCCCTTCCATTTCACACATCCTCACTGTCCCAGCCCAGCCCATACCTATCCTATCCTCTGTACTACCTGACCTCCTGGTCCCAATCTCTCGAGCAGTCTATACACCGCGATAACAAAGCTTGACACCGCGATAACACACCAGTCGACGGTACCATGGCGAGCAAAGCACTGGGAGGACAAGGCGGGGCGACGCGTACTCCCAAAGAGAAGATTGAGCTCTTCAGCGGGACATACTTCGCCGCCTGCACATTAGGTGGAATCATCGGTATGTTGATGCGAAGATCTCATCTCTCGGCCACCGCAGAAAAGCTAACATCAACTCTTCTCCTGCTAGCCTGCGGGCCAACCCATACAGCAGTGACGCCCCTCGACCTCGTGAAATGCCGCCGACAAGTCGACTCCAAATTATATACCTCCAACATGCAAGCCTGGAGCAAGATCTTCCGCACAGAAGGTCTACGAGGTATCTTCACGGGCTGGGCCCCCACGTATGTCGGTTATTCTTTCCAGGGAGCAGGAAAGTACGGGGCGTACGAGTTGTTCAAATACCAATATGGGGAGAAGCTGTTCCCCAACGCACCCAAGACCATCGTCTACTTGGGAGCTTCGGCTTCCGCAGAGGCTATCGCCGATTTGTTCCTCTGTCCATTTGAGGCGATCAAGGTTCGGATGCAGACGACGATTCCACCATATGCAAAGACATTGAGGGAAGGATGGAGCAAAGTTGTCGCGGAAGAAGGGTTTGGAGGACTGTACAAGGGCTTGTACCCCCTGTGGGCAAGACAGATCCCTTACACGATGGTGAAGTTTGCAACATTCGAGTCTGCTGTCGCGCAGATTTACAAGACGTTGGGAGGCAAAAAGGAGGAATACAGTATGCTGCAGCAGACTGGGGTCAGTTTCCTCGGCGGTTACATTGCTGGGGTTGGGTGTGCGGTGATCTCGCATCCAGCTGACGTGATGGTGTCGAAACTCAATGCAAATAAGAAGGCTGGCGAAGGAGCCGGACAGGCTGTTGCCAGGATATACAAGGAAATTGGGTTTGGTGGCCTGTGGAATGGTTTGCCCGTGAGGATTGCAATGATCGGTACTCTTACGGCCTTCCAGTGGCTTGCGTACGACTCGTTTAAGGTGTATCTAGGCCTACCAACTACTGGAGGGCATTGATGAGATGACTCGAGGCTCGCCTGGGGGCAAAGTGGTGTTGAAATTGCCTGAGCCATAAGGTAAGTAGCTTGGCATATGAATATGAAGGCAGGCTCAAAGCGATAGAGAAGAGTAGTACAACGACAGAATTACAACGGAGAAGAGTGTGGTCGAGACCAAATCCAAATTGATCTAACTCACATTCTGGTATGGCTGAAAAAGAAATATATATATCTCATCTTGTGTTGGTTCTAAGGTTAGGTCTATGGAGCTATGTGAAAGCTCAACAGTGGGCCGGGATTGTCTCAAATATAGACTTTCCACCTGCATATTGAACCTCCAAAGGTGCGCGGGCACAGCGGGGGTCATAAGTACAGCTTGGCCTTTTGCAGGTAAATGCCAGAAAACCTCACACCACATTTCACAAAGTTACCTTCACCAATTCATTGCATCTTTCACCTGCTTGCTTCACTCTCTGGTATAGCCTTATGGTACTGCCATTATCGCTGCACATCACCATTGCATCTTCCAACCGACTCGACTTGACCGCCCCTCGAACCGAATCGAAATCGAACGCACCATGTCCGCCCAAGCCGAAGGAACGGTGAAGAGCGTGCTCTCTGGCGACACGGTCGTTGTACGAAATGCACGAGGTGCGGAGCGAACTCTCAGCTTGGCATTCATCAACGCGCCTCGCCTGCAGTCGGATGAGAAGAGCAGTTTCGAATCCCGCGAGTTTCTGCGAAAGCTGCTGGTGGGCAAAGTGGTCCGCTTCTCGACACTCTACTCAATCCCGCAGAAGACTGGAGGCTCCTCTCGGGAGTACGCTATCATCAGCCTACAAGGTGGAGAGCAATTGCCGGATCTCGTGATTCGCGAAGGTTGGGCAGCTCTGCGGGACGATGCAGACCGCAAGGCTGAACTGCCTGGAGCCGCCGACTTGTTGCAGAAGCTGGAAGCACTAGAGGCACACGCGAAAGCAGATGAGAAGGGAATCTGGAACACAAAACAGCCGAGGGTAGAGTCCGCTCGTGACCTCCCTGACGCAAAGCAATTCGCGGAGGACCACAAGGGCAAGGCAATTGACGCTATCGTGGAGAGAGTGCTGAGTGGAGACCGCTTGATCTGCCGACTGCTGCTGTCGCCTACGCAGAACGTGCAAACCACTGTGCTCATTGCTGGTCTGCGCTCCCCGACGACTGCTAGGACGAATCCTTCAAACGGCCAGACGCAGCCAGCCGAGCCGTACGGAAACGAAGCACAAACATTCGTGGAGACTAGGCTACTTCAACGTAATGTGCAAGTACGAGTGCTTGGTGTTTCTCCCAACAACTTGCTTGTGGGAGAAGTGCGGCATCCCAATGGCAACATTGCCGAATTTTTGCTCAAGGCAGGTCTGGCACGTTGTGTGGACCACCATTCGACATGGCTTGGTGCGGAGATGGGCAAGCTGCGAGAGGCAGAGCGTGTTGCAAAAGAGCAGCGGGCGGGTCAATTCCAGGGTACCACCACCACGAAAAAGGCTGGCAGCGAACAAGAAGCCGTAGTCAGCAGAGTGTTTTCTGCCGACACGCTCTACATTCGCGACAAGGATGGCCACGAGAAGCGCATCAACTTGAGCTCTATTCGCCAGCCAAAGCCATCCGATCCGAAGCAGTCGCCTTTCCAAGCAGAAGCAAAAGAGTTCTTGCGGAAGAAGCTCATTGGAAAGCACGTGAAGGTTGTCATTGATGGTAAGCGGCCGGGAACGGACGGTTACGACGAGCGCGAGATGGGCACTGTGACACAAGGGGGCAAGAATGTCGCTCTTTTGCTTGCAGAAGCTGGCTATGCTTCCGTGGTCCGCCACCGTATGGATGATGCTGACCGCAGTCCCATCTACGATGAGCTACTGGCTGCTGAGGAGGCCGCACAGGCCGAGAAGAAGGGCATGTGGGCAGCAAAGCCACAGAAGCAAGTTCAATACGTCGACTATAGCGAATCCCTCGAGAAAGCCAAACGTCAATTGACGATGCTGTCCAACAAAAAGAAGGTGCCTTGCGTTGTGGACTTCGTCAAATCCGGCAGCAGATTCACAGTCCTTGTGCCGCGCGAGAACGCGAAGCTTACGTTTGTCCTGGGTGGTATTCGCGCACCACGAAGCGCGCGCGGACCTCAAGATACCGGTGAACCTTTCGGCCAGGAGGCTCACGACTTTGCTGTGAAGCGTTGCATGCAGCGTGATGCCGAGATCGATGTGCACGATACCGACAAGCAGGGTGGCTTCATCGGCGACATCTACATCAATCGAGAGAGCTTCGCAAAGACCCTCGTGGAGGCCGGCCTCGCGTCTGTACATCATTATAGTGCAGAGAAGTCCGGAAACGCGAACGAGCTGCTTGCAGCTGAGAAGAAAGCGAAGGAGGCGCGGCGAGGACTGTGGCACGACTGGGACCCTTCGCAGGAAGCTGCCGAGGACGGTGACGACTACGTGGAAACGAACGGAGGCGCCAATGGAGCTAGCAACGGAGATGCACCCATCCCAAAACGTATGGTGGACTACAAGGACGTCAACGTCACCTACATCGATCCCGCAACCGGACGTCTGAAGGTCCAGATCAAAGGTGATGGACAAGTGAACCTCCAGTCCCTGATGAACGAGTTCAAGTCATTCCACATCTCACCGAGTAACAGCCAAGCCCTCAAGGATCCACCACGTGCTGGCGATATCGTGTCCGCAAAGTTCACTGAAGATGGTGTCTGGTATCGCGCTCGCGTGCGACGCAATGACCGCGAGAAGAAGACCTCTGAAGTCGTCTACATTGACTACGGCAACTCCGAGCACCAACCCTGGTCCGCTCTTCGACCGCTTGACCAAGCCAAGTTCGGTCCTCAACGCCTGAAGGGACAAGCATTGGATGCCGCTCTCACATGTGTGCAATTCAACAACTCGCCCGAGTATCTCAAGGAGAGCGTCTACTGGCTCGAAGACTACACTATTGGCCGCGACCTTGTAGCCAATATCGACTTCAACGACACCAAGGAGAATGTGATGTATGTCACTCTTATGGGCACCCAATCGAAGAATCCGCTGGACACGATCAATGCGGATATTGTAAGCGCGGGCTTGGCCATGGTTCCTCGAAAGTTGAGACCTTTCGAGAGGGCTGCACCGGACCATTTGGCTGATATGAAGAAGCGCGAGGCTGTGGCCAAGGATCAAAAGCTAGGTATCTGGGAGTATGGTGATCTCACTGAGGATTAGGATGTTCAGTACTATCCTCGAGTTGGAACCACAAAAGCTTGTGTAGATGCAAATTAGAAAAGCTATGCCTGTATAAAAGCGGCAAAGGGTCCCATGTTGGCAGGCCATTCCTCTCTCTCCCTCTCTCTCTGACTCTATTATTCGAGGTCCGTCTGAACACCTATCTGGTTTTTGACACCGTGTTGACACACTTGACTACCTATGCTGAGTCCATTTTGGGGGACATGCTGATACCTCAGTGAGTATAAATAGTGTGTAGGGGGACCAGGAAGACCTCGGAAGTTTGTCAGCGGGCGTATCACCAGTTCACCACCAATTCCACAATCACCACCACCGTCCAGCCAATCCCCACTCGAACCTCCGACTCCAATCCCAAAGTTTCGCCTTCAGAGAAGATTCAATGATCTTTCAGTATGCTCAACTAGGAACCGACACCATCCGCTTGATCCGCTTCCACCCTCGCAGTACCACATCTGACCTGCACGTCACACTAGCGCACCAAGCCGGCTATTCTGCTCAGGATGTTCATTACTCCGTTCTCTCCCACGAGCCTATCTCGAGGCCAAGTGAGGAACAACAGAAGGCGATCACGTTGAATGGTCGAACAAGAATGCTTGACGCGAATGCCTGGTGCGCTCTCCACGCGGTATGGAAAGACCACCAAGACCACCGACAACAAGAGGATCAGCGGTTCTGGTTCGAAGCTCTCTGTGTCAATCATAATGATCTGTTTGAAGTCGAGGCGCAGAGACGTCAGTTGTCGAGCATATACGCTTCTGCGGATCAAGTCTTGCTCTGGATGAAATCTGATGATGAGTCTATTCATGTTGAGGGAGATTTGCTTAAGAGAGCAGGTATCTATGTTCTTCAGGCCAAGGACCGCGAAGCTCTGAGAGGTGCGAAGACGGTGCTACTTTTGACTGTCGAGGGACGACGTGTAGTAGAGATTCCCAGCAACCGTCTAGAGGGTCCCGATGGACCTCGGGGTTCGTTGTAAGCAGGTGTCAAATGAGCGAATTGCGAGTTGCGGTCTTTTTTTTTCTTTTTTTTTTTCTTTCTTTTTTCTTTTTCTTTCCTTATTTTTCGTGACGAGCCTTGCAGATAGATGGTCTATTTATTAAGAAATGTCCACTCTTCTTCCTAAACAGACTGTCGATATTCCACGGAGCTGAAATGTATGGGTTGAAGAATACTGAGTCTCGACGAGAACGTCGTATACAAAAAGGACAAAGTCGGGTTCGCTACCATTGAGAGTCCTATTTAGTGTCGACCAAGGAAGTGACAGAATTTACGAGGCATTTGAGAGATAGACAGGGGTCATGGACACGGACATGGTCAATTCACTCAATTGGTCATGTCATCTCATGATCTCATGGTCAGATCTCACCGTTCTTCTTCATCAAATCTTACCGTTCGTTCTCACGAAGCTAGTAAGTACATGTACCTCCTAGGAGTACCTCCAAGGCGTACCTACTTTTAGCATTCGAGAAAAGCCCGCCAAGACACGGCACAAGGGGCACTCAAGCACTTGTACCAGTGTACCTTGGGCTTGGTAGAGCGTAGGTTTGTGTTCACCAACAACTGTGAACCTACTCGGGGAATTGGCGCAAAGTAGGAGGTACCTCCTATCCGTTGTAGCGACACTATAAAGGAGCTTCGCTCGCCTCGTTGCCGACCTCTCAACACTTGCGGATATATACATATCTCCCTCCCGCGATCTCGTTTCAACTTTGACATGCCCATGTGTGTGCAACGTGTTCGTGGCACAGCCTCGGCGCCACTAAGGAGTTCGTTTCTCCTGGGTGAGCATGACACGCAGCAGGCCGCCCTGTTGACGTACGCAACAACTACGCCTGCTGGCGCTAGCGAAGTGCCGGGACGTAATGTAGGTGAAAATGAGCATGGATCGAGCGCGATAAGAGAGGCGCAGGCGTGGAGGAGACGCGGTAGGGTGTGGGTGTGGGCGCGCAAGCAAAACACTGCTTCTTCAGTGCTTGTGTCGTCTTTATTGATCTTCAATATCTGCCTAGGCATGCCTTGGACCGAGTGCTTAGCATGAGACTATGGGACTGCGCCAGGCTTGAGTGAGTTTGTGAGCCATCATCATGAGGACGATCGCGCTCTGGGGCACGTTGTTCTTCTTGATATCCGCTGCCCTGATCCTGTGGACGACGTCGAAGGGAGCGCCGGAATTTGCGCAGGACTATCTCGAGGACGCCGCCGAGTACATCGACAGCCACCGAGCGCACAAGGACCTGCAGCGTCCGACCACGACTCCGCCGCCGTCCCACCTGCAGCCCACGCAGGATGGATGGGTGTTTGACTACAAGAAACATGGTCGCCACTACGGCTTGACCGAAGAGCAGTGCAATTTTGCCTTTCCCGATCTGTACAGAGAGATTGACCGCGCGGTGGACCATCGCAAGAATGTGGCGGGCGAGATTACTCAGGACGAGACCAATGTGGAATGGCGAGGAGATGGCATGGTGAAGGCGCAAATCCACGACAACCAGCTCTACGTGATCGACGCGCATAAAGTGACAGACCACAATCACAGACCGAGAGCATTGGCGACACTCAATGCGATATATCGGGCAGTGAGCGCCTCTTCGACGAAACTGCCCGATATCGAATTCTCCTTCAATGTCCACGATGCGGCACTCGTCGATCAGGATAATGGCAACCAGACCACGTGGGCATATACGCGGTTAGCACACCAGGAGACGCTGTGGCTGATGCCGGACTTTGGCGTCTGGGCGTGGCCAGACGTGGGCTTGCGATCTTACCCGGAGCTTCAAAACTTGCTCGAACACACCGAAGAGCACTTCCATGACAAGCTCTCCAAGCTCGTGTGGCGCGGTTCGCTGGATGTCGGCTCAAAGGAAGTTCGACAAGGCTTAGTCGACCACTCCCAAGGTCACGACTGGGCAGATGTGCAAGTGCTCCATTGGGACAACAGGACCTCTATCGAGGAACGCCTCCTGACGATGCAAGACCACTGCTCGTACAAGTTTGTCGCGCAAACCGAAGGCAACACCTATTCGGGCAGATTGAAATACCTGCTCAACTGCCACTCCATTCTCCTCTCCCATGATCTTAAATGGATCGAGCTCTATCATCATCTTCTCCAGGACTCGGGACCAGAGCAAAACTACGTTCGCACAAAACATGACTTTAGCGATCTCCCCAAGAGGATGAAACGACTCTTGCACCCTTCGCACTCCGACATGGACCCTCTGATCATTGCCGATAACGCCAAACGAACTTTCCGCCACCGCTATCTCACTCCCGCAGCCGAGACGTGTTATTGGAGAGCTCTCATCCGCGGCTGGGCGTCTGTGCAGGCTTTCACGCCGCAGTTCTGGATCGAAGTGGAGCAATTTGATAAAGTTTCGCAAAAGAATAAGACGATCAAAAGGCCCAAGGGTACGCCGTTTGAATCTTATGCTATTATGGAGGAGGTCGATTGGGTGATTCCTGCTATACCCAGGAAAATGTGTATTAAAGAAGAAGACGAGGAGAAGTGTCGTTGAGTGTTTTTGTACATGTGTGTGTCTGTGTCTGTGCTGCAGCAAATCCATGTTTTTGTGAGCGTACAAGTTTTTGGTTGGGAAAAAACATGAGAAGGGGGCCCTTTCTTTTTGCACACATTCTTGAGGCCCCCATGCATTCATTGCATAGCCAGCGCGGTGTCAATGGGATGGGAAAAATTTGAAGATACCTGATGGTTTGAAAGAAAGATAGATAGATAGATAAAAATAGAGAGGGAGAGAGAGCAAACACTTCAGGTTGACCGATTCAATAGGTACCTAGGTAGAGATGCAAAGCTACCTTGCCTACATGATGTAGATTCTCTCCGACTTTATGGGCCGAGATGGTCGTCAACATCAATACATCATACACAACAGTCTTGCCCTCCAACCCCCCCGTCTTACCCAAGACACTTCACATCCTTCATTTTTCAAAAAGCCTTTTCAACCAAAGCAACCATTCTGACCTAATCGATATCTTCCACCTCGATCCCATCGACTGATCTGATACCCAACATGTTCTTCTTCTTGTACCGGTGGCTCACGCAACATTTCTTCTGCCGTCTCTTGAGCTTGGCGTGCCCTGCGTTGTTTGTCTTTTTTGACTTGTGCTCGGATTTGTGGTACTGTGCGAGTTTTCTTCGCCATTTGTTGTTTGCTGTTTGTTATTTTCGTTCTTTCTTTCTTTGGGATTTGGGACGCGTAGATCTCTTAGTGAGAGAGTGAGTGTGTGTGTTAGAGAGAAAGAGGGAAAAACTAGGAGGGATTCTTCTTCCTACTTGTAGGTAATAAAATTTATTTATTTTTTTATTTTCCACGGGTGTCGTTATATCGTGAATGACTGTACTGTACTCTTCACTGTCTCTGAACAATATGTCTTTCTTTCTTGCCATGAATAGAGGAAGTGTCAGACCCGACGTGTCTCATAGGCTGGAGACTAGCGCTTTTCTTTCTTCACTCTTTCGTGCCAAATTGCTGGTAAGACACAACTTATAACTGTGTCTGTGTCTCATCAGATCTTTTCACAAAGCTTCCCTCCTTCCCCGAAAAAAGAAAAATACTGTATGCCGTGGACATCAAGCTTATGTCTAGAGTTTGGAGTAGGCCTTCATAGGGCTATCTGTGACCGCCAGAGCGCGGACGAACGAGTAGGCGACAACCTTGGCTCCGGCAGGACTGGTGTGAGTGTGGTCGTTCGGGTAGTACGAGTTGACAGTGGTGGCCCCGGCGGACTTGTATGCTGCAGCCACATAGTAGCCGTGATCGACATACGTCGCACCCACAGCTGCAGCGGCATCTTTGGCATAAGTGGCAAATCGAGGCGAAGACCAGGAATAGGTGCCCGTCTCCCAGACGTTGTTGGGTGTCTGTGAACTGATAATCACATTGGCACCCTTGTCTTGGAAAAGCTTTGCCGCGTTGACAAGATAGGCCTGCATGGTCAGAACAGTCTCCGCGACCCCACTTCATTACATTAGACTCTGAGCATGTTGTACCCACGTGGTAGTGTAGCGGAAACTTACTTGTAGGTGGTGGAGCAGGTGGTGCTATAGTCATTGTTGATAGGTGTGCAGTCCGATCGTCCATTGTCGGTGGGAGTGAGGCTTCCAGCATCATTGTGCCCGAACTCGATCACGACGTAGTCTCCAGCAGTGACTTTTTCGGCCATGACTGCGAAACGTCCCTCGCGAGTGAACGATCTTGCTGATCTGCCGGCAATCGCTGAATTGACCACGGGAAGATTGAGATAGTCTGGCAGATATGCGCCCCAGCCTTGAGTACCGTCGTTGTTTCCCTTGCTTGTCATGGTACTATCGCCAGCGAGGTATACCGTAGGTCCAGCCATGGCGGATGATAGCAGTGCTGCTAGGAGCCATGGTAAGTTCTTCTGAGCGTGCATGATGGAATGGACGTGTAATGTTGGCCACGGGGTAGGTTCTTTTGGGTTTGTTCCCTCGCGCAGAGTCGAGTGTTGGTGGCCATATTATATATTTGTACTTGTGCAGTACTACCACTGTACTAGCAGGGTGGTACAATGGTACCACACCCAATATACAATGTGCCCTGTGAGCCCTTCGGTTGCCCTCCCATGCGGGCGGACGGACAATTTGCTTCCGCTAATAACGTTTAGCTTCTTGCCGGGTCATGAAAGCAGCTCGATCAGGATGCAATTTCAGCAACTACTTGGCCAATAGGCGGAGCATGCCGGCATGTTGTGGTTGTTTTGGGGCTGGTGGGAAATCCGAGGGCTACTATGTACCTACTGCCCTACTATTTTGACACGTGTATACGAAGCAGTTCGTGTCACCATCCCCAGTCGTCGCCTGAACGCTTTGCGCTATAACAGGAGGAGCAGTATCAACGACTCAGGTTGTTCCTCAGACACGCTACGCTACCTCCTAGCGCAAGTCGCCTAGCAGATACTTGATGCGATAAGGAAGGCCACAGTGTTACAGTAAGCGATTCTGAGCTAGCACTCGGAGCAAAACCAACTTTTGATCGTTCTAGTTGTGCGGTGTCTTTGTACTTGATGCGTCGGCGTGGTCGAGGCGAGCGGATGCTGAAGCAGCGAAGCTGTTTACGAGATCAATAATGGTTTGGTGCCAAGTGCTATTTCCGCGGCAGATTTACCTTACCTAGGAATACATGTATTTGATGGATCCCTAGTCGGAGGTCAATAAGGGTACATGTCGCAAGTGAATACAAAGACAGGTACATGTAATCAATGTGGTGGGTGAGCAGGGAACAAACGACAGCATGACGAGAGCAGAAGCCAAGTGAAGACATCCGTTAGCGTACAGATTTCCGTGCCAATCGGTAGCACGGCACACGGCAGAGAAGGCGACTCCCGCCTTCGCCAAGCCGGGAAACGGACAGAGGTCCAAGCTGCTTGGTCTGAAATTATTCTCCTTCTCTCGCGTTTTCTTCCTCCATACCTCCAACCACACCAACATTACAACCACACCAACATTACAACCACATCGCAACACATCTGGCGCCGCATCCTGTGCTCGCTCCAGCATCAACGCAGTCATGCCTTGAACTGACACGCAGCTCGGTAAGCTTTTTCTCACTCGCGTTCTCACCTTACCTCACCTGATGACAACCCGCACAACCGCAAACTAGAGTCTCTGACCTCTCCGGAGGATTGAAGCTACATTGCTACGTCAGTCTGATCAACGACAACCAACCCAACGCACTTGCTCCGCTCGCCAAGTCTTCTGTCGCTGACTTGAAATAGGTGAATCCGAGATTGCTTACACCTTACACCTCCACGAACATGGTGCAACCTACATGTATTACGCATGCCAATGAGGCTCCATGCGAGCACAAGCTGGCATAGTCATGCTGCACCAGGCGCGACCCTACAGTATGCCGCCATTCTCAATGGTCAGTCCTCACCCGCTTTGCATCTATGCGCCACTCCTTCCTCTCGAATGATGATTTAGCGATAAATGGAATTACCGGCATACGCCTTGTGCGAACCCGCTTTGTACCGGGTATACTGCTGAGAAATTGGCTCAACACTGACTCCCAGAATTGATCACCATTTCACCAACAATTACTGCTCTCCCAAAGCACTTGCTGACTTCGTTGAATAGGCCATGCGAAACTGCTTGACAGCCTTGGACCTCTCTCGAGGCACCCCGTGCCGTCTATCCCTACCGCATCCGCGCATCCTTTGATTGTTACCCACTCCTTCACTACACCCAAACAATTGGATCCACTACCATCGCAATGGACTCCGACGGAATGACAGTTGCCTTTCAAGCCTGCATCGGGGCTTGCAGTGAGGACAGACGTGTGAAGGATACATCATCGCACCAAATGCAGCACACCGCATGACTGTCACTTGGTCGGGATGAGCCTGCAGGGAGGACAGGGACAGTCAGATCAGTGATGCGTGGAAGCATGCAGGAAGGCTCTGTTGTTCGCTTGCTCGGCTCTCCCCAAGATGAAGCAGCGCACGAAGGCTAAGTCTGACCTCGTCTTGAGGTGATGGTGGTAGGTCATATCCCCACACTCCATGTCATCTGATGAAACTGCACTGGGCACCGATACTTCGTGAGCCGATATGCAAATTTGTGACAGGCCTAGAAAACCTCGTCCACTGATATTGACATGTTCTTCGCACATCCGCACTTGCAATATGGTTGACGTTTTTGCTGATCATAGTCTCAGGTTCGTCTGTGTCCACTGCGCACACCAAGCACTTCACGCTCCTCTACCAGCCAGCGTAAGTCGACTCTCCAAACAAGTTCACATTCCCGTTCGAGATTCTCTGATGATTCTTGATGACGAGTCTGATTCGGCCTTGCCGATGCAGACACAAACATTATCTAACCATTCATGCCAAACTGATCCTTCTCCCTACCACGCCCTGTGATCATCATCTTCAGACGATATTCAATGACTAAGTTGGCATACAGAAATCCGTAGGTGCATGCTTTCCGTGTGCGCGATCGCTCCGTTCACCACAGCACCCGGTAAGTCTTCGCATCACCCACCTTCCCCATCATACTTTCCATCATGATGATTCAACCAAAACCAATGACAAGCATATGTCCAAGCCGCTGTGACAGGTGGCGCAGACGAGAAGTTGCGAAAGCCTGATCTCCCGTGGCCCTAAATCATGCATTACACAATCAGTGACGATCGGGCATTGCTGACTTTCGAAGATTAGAATCATGAGCCAGCGCGACTGCAGTTATCTGGAATCTGCACTATCAAAGCTTTTCGACACGACACCATGTGTAAGCTCTCATATCCCCATCCTTTTCCAAGCACCACCTTTCATGATGATTTCTTATCATATCTCACGACGGTCGGCCGAGCAGTCTACACGGCTGTGTTGACGAGATGGTCCCTGACAGGGCCTTTGATACTGAAAATTTACCCTCCTTCTTTGGCACAAGCATTGCTCGTTATCCCGTAGCAACTCGGACTGACAATCCTTCTAGACTCCAACCATACCTGGTATGCTTTATTGCCTTGTGCGGGAGCCAGCACCGGCCGGAGGGCGGTGCGTGATGCTAAGCTCATAGCTCTACTTGTATGGCTTGTGGTGGCGGTGCGAGACAACGCCTGCCATCGAGGCGTCCAAGCAAGAGGCTGAAGACAAGCGGCAGCGCGTAACCATCCATCCAGGCTATCGGTACCAGCCATGCAACTCATCGGACAAGATGCTCGTGACCAAGACCAAGCTTGTCCAAGCGGGCCGCAAAATCTGGCAGCATCAACGCTACCATGGATGTCAGCGATCGCACCCACAGTGCTTGGTGGCAGACAGCCCGGTTTCCGCGCTAGGATTATGCACGCAAATCCGCTGCAAGCAGCCGCATTGTATGCCGGCACCTGCACCAGTATCGGCAGAGCTTTCTTGGGATGGTTTATGCTTAGGCTCCGGCACATTGCTGCCTCAAGGCACGCTAATACATTGGATCATTGACATAGCTTGCGGAAATGACCAGACGTCTCAGACATATGGCTTTCGCAATCGTCTCTCATACCCTCACCCTGTATCAGTTGAACTACTCCCAAACGCCTTCGCTCTCCAAAATGGCAGGCAATGCTTTTAACAGTTAATCCAACCAGTCATCCACGCTTGATCCGTGAAGCATGAGCTCTCACCCGCCGAGACAAATTCCAATAAACTCCTCCTGTGTGATACCGCCTTGTCCTCGCACGTCGAATTCCTCAATCATCGCAGCCAATTCTTCCTCTTGTAACCCTTCGCCCAATTCTCTCGCTACCCTTCGCAGATCCTGCAACTCGATCCTCCCTTTCCCTTCCGTATCAAACAGCTCAAACGCGCGCGCAATCTCCTCTCGGGGATCGCGCGCCAACACGCGCTGTGCCGCGATGCTCACAAACGCCTGATGAGAGAGCAGTAATCGCGACGGGCCGGAAAACGTCGGTGGTGCAGCGGGCGCGACGTGCGTTGTTGCCCCCGTGAGAGCGGAAGCGGGAATACCGTGTTGTTGCAGAATCTGTAAGAGTTCTGCTTTGGGTAGCTCGAAACCGAGAGCTTTAAGAGCGACTTTGAGTTCGTGGTAGTCGATGTGAGAGTCTTTGTCTAGGTCGAAGAGTTGAAACTTTGAAAAAACATTAGAGTTAGTCAGGGCTCATGAAAACCAGCAAAGGCTATGTGGGCGGGATGAATGAATGGATGAATGAATCGAATAGATGCGACTTACAGCTTCATTAATTTCCTCCCGTTGTTCCTCACTGATTCGCTCAAGCGCGTCCCGTTCTTCTGCTTCGCGTCTTTCTCTTTCCATGCGTTCGTGTCTTTCGCGCTCGAGACGTTGCGCTTCGCGTTGTTGTTGCTGCTGCGTTGTTCCTGAAGGTCCTGCTGTTCCGAATCCTCCTCCTCCTCCTCCTCCTCCTGCGCCGGTGGTGTTGAAGCCAGAAATGGGATTTTGCTGGGGTGCTCCAAAGGGCGTTTGTGATGCGTAAGGAGTTTGTGCGCCGCCGCCTCCACCACGTGTCAGACCAGAGGTATATGGGCGAGAAGGGAAAGGTTGGTGTGAGGTTGCCATTGTTATTGGTGTGGTTGTTGTTGATGCGCCGGCGATCGGTTCGAATGGTTTCTTGAAGTTGCGGGACCTCTGCTGCTTGCGCGCGCGTCGAAGTGAGGCTGGACAAGAAGTATAGGTTCAATTGGTGGGCACAAGGGCCGATGTGCGGTGTCAGACGATGCGTGCGAGCTCGAGTCTGTTGTGTTTGATTGTATACATGTTGTTCTCAAGTAGGACTAGTTCTAGCTACCTTACGCGCTCTGTTCACGCGTCGTGCGGCGGTCGGCAAGTCACGGGGGAGACGGGAATGGAGGCCCATCAACCTCCTTCGAACAGGTACATACCTCCTACGTACCTAGGTAAGGTGGATGTAACTCTTTCAAGTTAGAAATCAACATGGCTCGAGATAGCTCATATTGCTCTCTAAGGGGCGACTACTTTGTGCTAACTGACAGAGACAGCGTCCATACTACAATAGACTACAACAGACTACAGGCTATTCCGTAGAACTGCATGTCAGGTACCACCACCTCACCGACCTGCGCTTTTGCTGAACAATCATGCCATTGCCAAGAGCGCCACTCCAGATACACCGTCGTCTGCCACACCTCCATCCCCATTTCTTTTTTCTGGACATGGGCCAATCATACATTCAGGTTATCGTTACCCCTCCGCGCTTATGACGGTAATCAGGGAAAATTGCCGTAAAAAGTATGTCTCGCCTAGTAGGTAGAAGCGCGGGGCTTCCAGCAAGCAGGAGGTAACACCAGATATGGACTGAATATATGGGCCGAGGTGAAGTCTTTTAAGCGATCACTCCTCTGCTTCTACCTCCTACCTGGTACTTCTTATATTATCCTTCCTCTCATATTGCCTTGCATACGGCAACTCATCCTTATTATCACTCTGCTACCCAACATGTCGTCTCCCAAGCTTCTCCAAGGAGGCTTCTCCCACATCATCAACGGCAAGGCATACGACACCACAGGTGCCAAGACGCTGGATGTCATCAACCCCGCAACCGAGAAGTCCATCGCTCAAGTGCCCATTGCTACGCGCGAGGTGCTCGACGAAGCCGTCAACCATGCAGAGAAGGCATTCGAATCATGGTCCAAGACCACCTGGCAAGAGCGTGCAAAGTTGATCGAGGCTGTGGGCAAGGAATACAAGACACTCGTTCCAGACCTGGCCGAACTGCTGGTGCTGGAGCAAGGCAAAGCCGCTGCCTTCGCCCAGGGCGAGGTGGCTCTCGTCAATGAATGGTTCGAGCGTATGCCGGGCATGGAAATCAAGGAGAAGGTGGTATGGGAGAACGAGGAGTCCAAAGCGATTGAGCAGTACGTGCCTCTGGGTGTGACTGCCGGCATTGTGCCGTGGAACTTCCCCGTGCTCCTCATGATGTGGAAGATTATCCCTGCTGTCCTCACGGGAAACACCATTATCATCAAGCCTTCCCCCTTCACCCCCTTGTGCGATGTGCGATGCATCGAGTTGTTCAACAGACACTTGCCGCCAGGCGTTGTGCAGATCGTCTTGGGCGACGACAACCTCGGCCCTTGGGTGACGGAGCACCCCAAGATCCGCAAGATCTCATTCACTGGCAGCACGGCAACGGGCCGCCTGGTAGCCAAGAGCTGCTCTGCGACATTGAAGCGTGTGACGCTAGAGCTGGGCGGTAACGATGCTATGATCGTCTTGCCAGATGTCGATGTTGAGAAGGTCGCACCAACTATCCTGCTCAGTGCCTTCTTCAACTCCGGTCAAGTATGCCATGCAAGCAAGCGCCTCTATGTCCATGAAGACGTGTTTGAAAAGCTGTCCCAAGCACTGGTCGTGGCAGCCAAGGCAGCTGGCGTCGGACCCGGCCAGAATGAAGGTATCACCTTCGGACCCTTGAACAACAGACAAGTCTACGAGAAAGTCAGCGAATTCTTTGCCGACTCGCAGAAGGAGGGCCATGACTTCTTGACGGGCGGCAAGATTCCCGAGGGCCCAGGATTCTTCGCACCGCTGACTCTCGTCAACAACCCTCCGGAGAACAGTCGTCTAGTGCAAGAAGAGCCTTTCGGACCAATTGTTCCTTTGCTCAAATGGAAGGATGACCAGGATGTCCTCAAGCGCGTCAACGACTCTTCCTGGGGCTTGGGTGCCACTATCTTCGGCAAGGATTTGGCTCGTGTCGAGAAACTGGCACGCCAAGTCGAGGCCGGTGTCGTCTGGACTAACACGATGATGCAGCAGCACCCGGTAAGTTTCTTCCCACGGACACGATGATGGAGTCAGTCGCTAACATCATGACTAGGAGGTTCCATTTGGCGGCTTCAAGAGCAGCGGAGTCGGTTGTGAGAACGGCGAGGCAGGTCTCAAGGGCTGGTGCCAAGTGCGTAGTTTGTATCTGGCCAAGGCATAGGTTGTGATGCTGGCCCGTCTGGATGTGTCAAAAAATACAGCTGCTATGATTATCGACAGCACTTGTGGGAGAAGTCCACAAGGTCTATGACTGTGACAAAGCGCCGGATGATATGTACAATGTGGCTCAAGATAGTATTCAAGTAGGTACTATTCAATGTATTCATGCATGGGAAAGATTCGATAGACTAGGGTTGAGGATCTACCCGCTGGACGCGCTGGACCGCTGGATGATGTAAACGATTGTACCTTGCCTTGCTAGCTCTGTACATATAGCTTCAAGAAAGCTCCAGAATGACAACACTTCTACCCAGTTGAGAGACACTACACATACCAAATACCAAGGTTCTCCTGACTACATATTCCAACATCTGCTGTCTGTTGCTGCTATACCTGTATAGACTTGCAGGGCGAAGCGACAAGAAATCGGCATTGGCGAGGAACTGAGGCACTTGCACATGAAAGACAACGGCTCCATGGCCACCACAGCAGCCAAGAAGAAGCTCGTCGTCTGCGGTGGGAATGGCTTCCTCGGCAGCAGAATATGCAAAGCCGCCGTAGCACGAGACTGGGACGTCGTCTCCATCAGCCGCTCCGGCGAACCCTCCTGGCCCGCCGTCTCCTCCCACACCACCGCACCCGCCTGGTCCCAATCCGTCACCTGGCGCAGCGCCAACATCCTCCAACCCTCCACCTACGCATCCGACCTCCAATCCGCCGATGCCGTCGTCCACAGCATGGGAATCCTCCTCGAAGCCGACTACAAAGGCGTTTTGCAAGGCAAGGAATCTCCCATTTCCGGTCTGAAACGTGCGTTTAGCGCGACCAAACAAGGCGGGAATGCCAATCCGATGGAACAAGGCTCTGCCATTGAACCGGGGGAGAAAGATGGTCAAATCACATATGAGCTCATGAATCGCGATTCGGCCATTGTGCTCGCACGAGAAGCGAAGGCCGCGGGCGTGAAGAGTTTTGCGTACATTTCTGCTGCGGCGGGAGCTCCGATTTTGCCAGGGAGATATATCAAGACCAAGAGGGAAGCGGAATCTGCGATTTCGACGAATTTCCCTCAAATGAGAAACTTGTTCTTTCGACCGGGGTTTTTGTTTGACTCGAGTCGTGGATTCACGATGCCCATGGCGGCAGTGACGTATGGAGGATTTATTGCGAATTCCTTGACGGGGGGCAATTTGACGTGGTTGATGGGTGCGGGAGGTTCGAAGCCTTTGAAGGCGGACTTGGTGGCGGAAGCTGTCGTCGAGGGATTGAGCGATGAGCAAACCAAAGGGCCAGTGGAGGTCAAAGAGATTGAGGAGTTGGCCAATCGAGCCTGGAGACGGGGAATGCTTTGAGGGGACGATTGCTGATGTGCATGAAGCGTTCAAGCGTGGGATGTACGATAGAAAGGAAAGAATGGCATTGTTGGTATATAAGTCATAATATCGTAGATATTCAAAAGAGTGAGTAAAACCTACGAAAATCGGCCGTCACAGGCATAAGGATGTTTCCATCTCCCTTCTTGTCATCATGATCATCATCATCAACCTCGCCCTCCTACTATGATCCAACTACTCCCCCTTCTCCTCTTCCTTCTTCTCCCCCTCCCCCGCCTCACCAGTAGTAGTAGTAGTAGTAGTATTCACAGCACCAGCAGTAGGAGGAGCAATTTCAGTCTCTACACCCCACGCCCCGCAGCAAAACAAAAGAAGATCGAAAAAATCAGCACAACTCCTCAACAACAGAAAGTCTCACACAGTGCTTATGATGATGATGGTGGTGCGGATAGCGATAATAGCGATAGTGGCGAGTTTGATGGCAATAGAACTTACCTCTCAACGTCACAATCACGGTCGTGTCATCGTCTTCGTCTGAATCGTTTTCGTCTGAATCGTTTGTCTCTCCCGCTCCCTCCTCATGCGATGATGATACATCTCTTCCCTCGGACTCAATGGCAATGGAAGTGGTTTTCTCTTCTTCAGAGGAGGACTTTTGCTGCTGCTGCTGCTGCTGCTGCTGCTGCTGCTGGGTGAGTAGTAGCTCCTTCTCCTCCTCGGTGGAGGACTCCTCATTATTGGACTCCTCAGTAGAGAATGCGGAGGAGGAGGAGGTGGACTTCTCAGCCGCTGTTTCTGCTGCTGCTGACTCCTCCGAGCTCTGTCCGCTATACTGTTTCTCGGGCTTCTCTCTCTCGACCAGCTGCGACTTCGACTTCGACTCTGGCAAGTCGGACAAGTTCTTCTGGGAGAGGTCGTCGTCGACGATCTTGTTCTTGTTGTTGTGCTCGTTAGAGTCCTTCGAGGGGGTGTCGAAGCCATTATCGTCGTCGTCGAGACTCCCGACCTTCTTCTTCTCCTGCTGCTGCTTCTTGGCGCTGGAGGGAAGTGGAGTATCGATTGCTGTTGTCGCTGTCGCTGTCGCTGTCGGTGATTCGATTTGGTTTTTGCCGAGAGGTGTGCTGTAAAGGGACTGGTTGTCCACAGCATCTTCTTGGTCTGGGTGGTGGTGGGTTTCGTTGGCGTTGGAGAGATACTGGAGGAAATCGTTGTTGTTGTCGTTGTCGTTTTTATTGTTATTGTTGTGCAGATTAAACGGATCTTCGAGTTGGAATTTGCTAATAATATTGATATCCGATTGTGGATCGTACGGGTGCGAGTTCAGAGCTCCTCCTCCTGCTTGAGCTTGTTTCTTTTGTTGCTGGTGAAGTTTCTTATGGGCAAAAGCGTCGTGGTATTGAATCTGGTTCGCAATTGCTGACATGATAATGGCGGAGACTTCTGCAGTACTCAAAATTTCCTTGTGGATGAGAGCTGTGATGGGCTATAATAATAAAGTTGATGAAGTCTTCTTTGTCAGAAACGGGCACTGTGAGGACATATCGTACAAAAAGCCTCCCGGATAGACAGCTTCTTATAAGGACAATTTCGCCCATGTTTTGTGTATGTGTGTGTATTCTTGTTGCTGGAGCAATGGGTCAGTGGTAGGATGTCGTTGTTGAGAAAGGGTAAATGTTCCCAGCCTGCCCAGTTTTAAACTCGCAAAGTCTGGCTTCATCCTGGTTATAACAAGCCGCCCCGCCTGACTCAAAGTGCTCGCAGGTGCACTCCATGGCACGAGCACCTGCGTTTACCTTCAGGCTGCACCTATTCGATTTCAAGATTGTAGGCGGCAGTGCAGCAGAAGCCGGTTCTTGAGTCGCAACTCCTCCTGGCAGATCTGGTCAGGGCGGATGTTGAATATCACTTTCCATGTGGCGAGGCAGCCGTCAATAGGTGTGTGCATGGGCAATCGAGAGTGGACAATGTCAGCATTGTCAAAGGCCTGAAGGCTGCCATTATGATTTGTTACTGGTTCCATCAGATACCGCTAAATGATGTCGTTACATTACGTCGAGGGACTCGACAACGGCTCTTGATATTGACACCTTCAGAAATACTCATATTCCACAGCTCGCACGTTCTGGTTCAGCAGACCAAAGGGGAGGTTTCCAGCTCAAGATCCCATTTCCCTTTCCGCTTTTACGATAGGCTTCGGCTTCAGCTTCGGCCTCGTCCAGGAACCAAAGCACTCCCATACCTGCATCGGCATTGATCTCTTGTCCATCTCTTCCGACCAGCACGGCGTGTGCTTCCCCAGTGTCCTCATCGATGTTGAAAGTATTCTTGAGATGACCTACCAATTGGAAGTCTATTGGAGTCTTTGCGAGCCATTGAAGCGTAAAGGCATTGGAGGTGGCCCAGTTGAGTCTCCTGGTGAAAGAAGGCTTCTGTATATCGGGGTCAGGCGCCGATGTCATCAGCGCATAACCTTGAAATGCCATGCTCTTGTTGACGGAGAAGAGCAGTATGACATGGCGCGATGTCTTGTAAGCGTGCGTGAGCATTTCTTCATTCTTCTCTTGTGTAGCCCAGACATTGGTGCGCTGAGCTTCATAAACGTTGTCGTGATTCCAGGATTTGATCATGAAATACCTCACACCTATGTCACATGGTCAGATCAATCATGTACAAGAACAGGTTGAAAACGAAAAAAAGAAAAAAGAAAGTGAAAATGCATGAGACATGTATTTCAAGGCATGTAACTGCCAGTATAGCACGCGGCATAGTATGTATGCTCCTGCTAATCTGACCGCCCGCTATGCATGTGAAGCCTTTTGTGTTTCCAATGTTGATCGGAGGGCTATTCAGCGGGGGCGATAGGATGACTGACCACCTTTCTTGAGGTCCAAGCCAGCACTCGGACGGCTATTGCTGTCCATCTCGCGGCCATGAGGCCAACCTGGTCTTACCCCACTGCCGTTGCCATAGCTCGAGCGCGGCTCACGGGGAGCTGGCTGACGCGGCGCAGCAAAGTAGTCATAACGAAGATCGTCATCGCGGCGATAGTACTGGGAGCGGCGCTCCAAAGATGGGTCTCTGCTACGACTTCCAGGCAGACCTCTGTCGTCGATGGAGCGACGCGTAGCATCAGGGTATGACCCACGACGTTCCGAGGCGGGAGTCGGGGAGCGAGGACGCCGTGCAAACACCTGATGCTGGTCCGGCAACTCTTTCCCGCTACGAACGCGGAACCCGTCGTCTTCGCGCTGCCTCTTCTCCGCTGGGACTTGCTCAGGCGAACGCGCGCGCTTGACTCCATTGACAGGCGGAACCATGGAGAGTGGCAGCGGAGGCGGGGCCATAGATGGAGCCTTTGCACCGGGAGTGCCCATGCGCAGCAATTGCATCTCCGTCTGCTCAGCCTGCCTCAACTTTTCCAACTTCTCTGCGATGCGAGCAGCTTCGTCTTCCAAAGCTCTCCTCTCCTTGTATGTGCGCAATTTGGACTCACGATACTCCACGTCGTGGTAGCCCGTCATTTCCAGCCATGCTACAAGGTCAGTGTAGTACACATCTGCAAGGTCAGCGACACGAGGACGGTCAGTCGAAGAATGCTGCTGCTGCAGCTGCTGTCGCTTGGCAGGGAACAACTCCAGCTCCTCAGTATCGCGTGGTCCACCTGGGCTATTGCCCGTGGATGGCGCGACGTGTGTCATCTCCTTCGTGTGCTGAGCTGCAGCGGTCTGAGCGTCGGCGTGAGCTTTGCCAGCGGCTAACAACGCCTCGAGATCCTCGAAATCGATCTCGTTTGCCTTGTGTGTTGGCTTCACCTCGCCCTCTTCCTCTTCGTCTTCTTCCTCCTTCTGCTGTGGTGTGGCCGTTTTGCTCTGCTGCTGTTGCGGCTGCTGTGTGTGTGAGACTTTTATAGCGGGCGCTTTTTCAGAAGAGTCGATTGCGTCGACAGGTGCCTTTGTTGAGGTAGGGACGGGCGTGGATGGTTTGATGGGGGTGTTTTGACGCACGGCAATCAATTTAGCGCGCAGCACTTCAGCTCGCCGCTGGTTCTCGAGCTTTTGCTTCATCGCGGCATCGTCTCCTTGCGCACTCATATGCGAAGCGGCTACCGCGGTTGATTGTGGCGCCTTCTGCTCGAGTGCCTGAATGGGAAGTCAGTGTATCCTCCAACGCCTGCCTCTTACTCTCATCTCGTCGTGGCGCCAGATGGGCGGGCTCGTGGCTGTTGTCGCCGTCGTCGCCTTCGTAGTCGCCGTCGTCGTCGTCGTCGTCATCGTCATCGTCCTCGCCGTCGCAATACGAGGTATGCTGGGCAGTAGTGATGGGGAGATTATATACGTACGCCAGGTTGGGTTTGTCCGTTCAAGTTACTATCAGGTCCGCGAAAGTGGTTGCCGTCGCCGTCTGCCTCTTCTCCAGCGTTGACGTGCTGCGGCGGGTGGTGGTGATGGTCGTTGTGGAACATGGCCATGGGATTGCTCCAGTCGATGCTGAAGTTATCCTCCATGGTGGTGGTGGATGTGAGTGTGTTGCAGCAACTCAGCGTGGTGTCACGGTTGTGATGGACGACGGACGATGAAGTTCTTCAGGCTTCCAATAAAGTTATTTGACACTCAATGGACCCACTCTTCGTATGATCCAGGACCCCTGCTCCCGTCCGAGCCGCAGTCTGGAGAGCAACCATGTTGACATGGGCATGGCCGGCAACCGGTATCCAGCTTGTTGGTACCTCCTTTTCCCTCCGTGGCTTAAGAGGGAAGAAGACTTACTTGCTTCCCCATGCACTGACCAGTCCCTCGTACCAATGAATTACAGGTACTTACAACTTGGAACTATCAAAGATGTCTTGATCTGGACGGTGAAAAGGTCCTCTTGGTACACTCCAATGTACTTGTCAGACTGCTCGCTGTCTGGAGATGTCACGAGTCATGCATTGCCCCTCACTCATCAAATCTCCTGAGTCCTGGCTGTATTTCTACTAGCATTTTCATGCTGCAAGCACAAGAACCGAAATGAAGCATTCGCCAACATCATGCATAAACCTAGTCTCAGACTTGCCATCCATGTCTCTCCATCTCAGTAGGAGGGAGGAGGTAGGAGAAAGTCCAAAAGATATCGAAGGGACCTGTAGGGACCAGAGCGCCGGGCCTGCCGCGCTCAAAGTTCACGTTGACAGCGATAGTCTTCCGTATAAGACCATGGAAGACTATTATTGGAAGTCATCCACAACTCACTCCATTGCCTCCTTTAGGGCCCGGTTTCAGTCAACTCCCTGCAACCTGGATCTGATGAACTACTGCACTGATGATGAACCCTTTCTATAATTACATTAAGATGTAGTACCTAGATCTAGCAATATAATAGGTCCTCGAGACGAACACTTGGAGACCTTACCTCGAGATTTGATAAAAGGACAATATAGTAAGAGCTGCACTTCCTCTTTCTGCTTGGGTAGCACAAGACGGGGTAAGTATATATCCGCCAATCTATCCAAAGGTTCAAGAGGTATAACACACCCCCAAAGAAAAGAAAGAAAAATTCGAACAAGAAAAATCGGAGGTTAGGTACCTAAACAAGATTCAGAAGAAAAGAAAGAATACCTTACCTAGCATTCCTAAGGTTGCTATCGGAGGTAGGAGGTAGTATATTTAGAAGACCCGACCGACCAACAACCAAAAAGCCAAACAAACAATCTTTGTACAATATAAACCGAAAAAGATCTATCTACACTACTCTACTCTACTCTACTCTATATATAGTACCTCTCACGGCACCAGGTACCTCCTAGTATACAAATAAATAAATAAATAAACAAAGAAAATAAAATCGGCCACTCGGAACCATACAAAGTCCGCCAGACTATAGAAATTGAAAAAAGATTTTGTGATTTTTTATGCTTTTCGTTTTTCTTTTTTTTTCCCTTCATCCCGGGGAGACACGGACGTGGTAAACATGTGCATAGGTCGGAGGTCGGAGGTAGACGGGATTTCTGCAAAAAAAAGACCCGTAGCTCGTAGCGTAGCCCCCTTATGGAATGTGTAATGATTGTGGGTCTAGTGGCTGGTCCCGCTCGTGGAAGGGGTGGGTAATGTTCCCAATGGCAAATGCTGTCGATAGGAAATGGGAGAACCTACAGGTACGGACAGTTGTAGTCACGGTAAGGACATGTATGTGGAGGGGGCAGAGAATAGAACGTGTCGAAATGGATAACAAGGAGTTGAGCATCCCCTTCTTTCATATTTCACTAATGGTCCCAATATGTACATTGACCATGTCAAAACGCCACGGGCTGAACCAACCGAAAAAAAATAATGCACGATCAATCATCATGATCCCAAGTCACTGTCCCAGGAGTTTTTCTAGTGCTGCAAAAATGACCATCCTGCAGTGCACGCTATCCAACGAATCAGCCGATACTGTACACACCTCGAACTTATCGTGTATTGCCCCCATGTGCCCAACTAGATGCACTCCATCAATCGATGCTCTTGGACCCACAAAGCAACCTTCTCCACACTTTTGCTCTCCTCCTGCTCCTGATCTGGGGCATAGCATGGCTCGGTCGTCTCTGTTGTGATGCAAGCATCGTGTTTATAGTACCGTTGGTAGTAGTTGATGATCGGTGTCCAGTTTTATCCTCAGGCGTGACCGATCGCGACTGTCTCTTCGCTGGAGACGCATTCTCCCCGCCCTCCGATGCAGTGATTCGAGTCGAAGGTGAGGGTCGAGGTTTCGCGGGTGTGTCAGCAGGTGATCCTTTGTTCGACGACGAATTGGAAGCCAAGTCTTCACGCGAAGTCTCGTCCAGGTGAGGTTCGCCTGTAGGCTCTGGTCGGAATCCCAACGTAGCTTCAGTCTTCTTGCGGCGGTTGCTAGCTGCACGATGCACGAGAACAGTTGCGGAAGAATCTGCTCGCGATCTCCCAGCCTGTGCCAGATTGATGCTCGCGCTTCTGCTAGGGGCGAGTGATTCGACATCGGACTCTTCCCTCATACTATTACGATTACTTCTACTCAACAAACTTGCTTTACGAATAATGCCCGAACCAAAACTCAGGACACTGGCACGGTTGTCGAGCGGAGCATGGGGTGCCGGTGACCCAGGTGGACTCAGGATGGGACCAGTAGCAGCTCTTGCTGGCGAGCTGGGAAGATCAATCCCAAGTGAGTCGCGTTTATCGTCGCACTTGATACTCGGCGACCAGCCTTCACGCATGGCTACCCAGATCGCAGTCACAGCAATGATCTCTTGAGTGGCATTATCAGTGGTGCATTCGTGGTTGCCGCTGATGTTCTCCTCCTCAAAAGCGTCCTCGAGCGCGGTCGCGGTGGTCTTCGGCGTGCCCAGCGGAGTCGTCACTAAGGGGTCAGGAATCTTATAGGTGTCGTTGATCTCAAGGCCGGTCTTTTGCAAACTTGCTATCACCGGATGTCGGCGCGTGTGAGGCGAGATGGTGCTGAAGTTGAACTTTCGCGTGGCATTCGAGGATGCACCTCTTCCATCTTTGGCCTTTTTGGGCACCCACCGCACCGTTTCCTTCAGACCATGCTCATCAGTGGTACAACACTCGTAGCCGCCAGTAGGAATGGAATAGGCTTCCCATTGCCGTCCCGATGCCATGTATATGGCCATCCGGCCGCTACCGGACTTCTGCTCTTCTCTGCTGCCTTTGCAGATCATCCCAATCACATCTCGAGCTTCTGGCTCCTCATCCTGCGTGCCATACTTCTCGGCCTTCAACACGACGAGGTCGTTGGCGCAGAAGCCATGCTTAGCATGAAAGACCTTGGTGATGGAGCGGGTCAACCGGACACTGAAATTGGCAGACGATATGACCTCCAGTGCCGGAAGGGGTCGCGCATTCGGCTGCAATCGATGCAGTTGGAGGAGGGAGCGTGGCTGGCGATGCAGTTTCTGCTTGACCTTGGACTCGGGCACGGGATGGCACAGGCTGTAGCACGTCTTGGATCGCATGCTGCGCCGGTAGCGCTTGACCTCGTCAATGCTGCCGTCGCGCGAGCCCTCTTCACTGGTGCTTCTCGCGTCGGGCTCCGCGAACATGATGGACCCACTGCTCCTGCTAGGAGAAGGTGGCTGCTCAATGGACATTTTGCTAAACTGTGTGGCGGAAAGGATAGGTCGTTTCGGCGTCGATTGCGGTGCGGCTGATGGCACGTCCGGGTCGGCGGCGTTACCGGAATGATCGGGTTGGGGATTGGGATCGTTGCTGATGGTTTTGCTGTTGCCATTGCCATTGCCATTGCTGTCGGTGGGCGAGGAGGCGGCGGCGGCGGCGAAGGGGCTCAGCAAGCTCATCAAGCTGGTGGGGAGCGAGGGTGTCCATCGTTGGGGCAGTGTCAACCCCGCGGGTTGCCCCAGCGGGTCCGCATTCGTCGAGGTCGCGGCTGCCATGCTGCCACTGCCATACAGGAGTAGCGAGGGTATCGAGGAATGAAGGTGGTAGTAGACATAAGGAGGACGAGGAGGGTCTCAGGCAGGGCACCTCGTAGGAGGTAGTGTAGGTTGCTGACGGGAAATGAATGGCACGACAACGCGGCAGCAAACAGCAGCAGCAGCAGAAGAGCAGACGGAGCAGCAGGAGCAGTAGCAGCAGTGGTGCAGTAGTAGGGTACCAGCAGGAGTGTGCAGACGTGGCGTAGGTTCGCTGACGTGCCGTCCGCGGTGATCAGCCGCTGATCGTCGCACCCCAGAAGTCCCGACTTCCGGTACCTTATACAGGCGGAGTGAATAAAGCTACTAGTAATAATAAGGGAATAAATAGGCCACCCAGCAATTTCGGCCGTGAGCAGCTGGCGAAGCTGCAGCAGGCCAAAGGGGAGGGGGGAGGGAGAGGGAGAGGGAGAGGGAGAGGGGGAGAGAGAGAGAGAGGGATATCCGGAGAGGGATGGAGAACAGTACAACAACATACATCTATAAGCCATACAACACCCACTACAGCCGGCCATGACAACACAAGACTGTTTGCGGCGGCCTGGCGTGAGTGCGTCCTTTGTTGTGAATCTTGTGATTCAGCTCTCAAGTCCAGCCTCGTACTGTACCACGGATACACGCTCACAAGGAGTCAAGGAGCACACGCCAAGCCAGTTACAGGCATGGTCTCATCCACTTCCTCACTCCTTTCGTTCAACTTCGCTCCCGCGCCCACTTCCCTGCTCGTACTCGCTCGTCTAGACTCTATCACTGCATCAAAACATCAGACCAGTTCGCCGGCCTCGCCGATCCCACCTCGCATTGCCTCGCCTCGCTCCTTTTTTTTCTTCCCTTCAATGCTTGTGCATTCTCCATCTGCTAGGAGATACCTCCTAGTCCTAGGAGGTAGTAGTAGTAGTAGAGGTACTACTGTACTAGTACATGTACTCTAATAGATCCTCTTGGTTGCTCTTGTTTACTGTAAGCCTGTGTAAGGTACCGTTCTGCTCCGCTCTGCTGCATTGGGGCGCTACTTGCTACCATTACACGAAACACGATACACGATACACGAAGCACGATAGTCGAAACCCGATGCACGAAACACTCTAATCGCTGTCGCTTGTCTTGTTCCTGTTCCTGTACCTGGTTGCCGGTTGCTGGCCGGCTGCGTTGTACTGCATTGTCTGTATACCTGTAGGTATGTATTGATGTGAATACCGCCTCTGCGTAGTTCGCGCCGACGGTTCGTCCCGAGCAACATTTGCTTGTATAAGTGTGTGTGTGTGTAAGCAACTCGGATATGATTGCACCCAGTACATTAGGAGGTAGTCTTATCCAATCTGTGCTCTTTGCGAGGAACATTATTAGTCAACAATCACGCTATCACTGTCACAGGAGTCACAGAAGCACCAGTAGAGCATTGGCTACCTTACTAGTCTACTCTCTCTACTGCCAGATCTCATCTCATTCTCAGGAGCAGGCCACGCGCTTCGTTGCAAGCTGACGAAAGCGTTGGACTCCTATTGCACCGCGGGGCTCTGTCCACCCGGGCTCTCGCAGAATTACATCCCTACCTACCTGTACACTACAGTACCCTATACTGGCCTACAGTACCTGAGGTATTCAGAACTTACCTACTTGGGTACCTACGGGCACGCTCGGGAACTCAACAAGTCGCCGAATAATGTGCATGCGGCGCGTTGCATGAACGACCATTCCTGATTGCACAAACACGAACACGGCAAGGCCTTCAATTTCATGCACCACGACCAGGTACTCACTCTCCTTCGCACCTCTGACCGAGGAGGTGAGATAGTCAGGTAGTGTGATCAACTGGCAGCGGTCGCCGTCAGACAAACCATCGCCGTCATGAACATCGCCGCTGGGAGCCGCGACGAGGCCAGGATCAATGCGACGAATACGAGCTTCGCACGACTAATCACCATCTTCTGTTTCTGGAAAGCCCTTCTTCTCCTCGTCGCCGCTGCAAGTCCAGGTCCAGGCTATGATACATCGACTCACCTGCTGTTGTTTTCCCGACAAATTCCAGACACCACTACTGTTCCTTCGTGGTTCGAGTACCTCGTACTTCGCTTGACTCGCTGGGATGCGTTGTACTTTGCCAGTGCATCCGCGCGTGGCCCAATATTTGAGCAGCAATGGGCCTTCAGTCCGCTTCTCGCCAAGGTAACCTTAGGGCTCGTGGGTGGTGCGTGTTTCCCCCATCTGTGCGATCGACGCATGATGACTCGGTCAGGCTAAGTATGGCTTTCAGTTTTCTTTTCGCCAGAACGTAGGCCTGGCATTGCGGCGTACGCATTTGCAGGCATCGCAATCTCTCACATCTCGCACCTGCTTGCAGTTCTCCTGCTCTTCCAGCTTGCTCACGAGATACTCCCCGCCAGCCACAGCAGGAAGCACCAGATCGCATTCACGACAGCATGTCTACACATCACATCGCCCGCCGGACTGTTCCTCTCGGCGCCTTATGGCGAGAGCGCATTCGCCATGGCAAACTTCGGGGGCTTGCTCTGTTATGCGAAAGCTAAGCGGAGTTCGCAATCGCCAGAGAGCAACACAGCAGTCCAGGCGGTTCTCTGGACCATCACGTCGGGCTTTCTTCTCGGCGTCGCGACCATGATTCGCAGTAATGGTCTCTTTAATGGCATCATTTTTGCCTGGGACGCGATCGATTGTCTCCCAGGAGTGATTGGGATGCTACAGCAAAGGAATTGGCCTGCGTTGTTCTCACTGATGGGCACATTGAGCGCTGGCATGTTGATCGCATCCGGATACGTACTCCCTCAGATCGTGGCATACATCGAGTACTGCACGGACGGTAATGAGAGGCCCTGGTGCAGCACGGCGTTGCCGAGTATCTACTCATTTGTGCAATCATACTACTGGAATGTTGGCTTCTTGCGGTACTGGACGTTGTCCAATCTTCCGCTCTTCGCCCTTGCCACTCCCATGATACTCGTGCTCATTGGCACGGCGTATGCTACACTGGACAGAAGACAGCTCGTGCATGTCATGGACACGATTTCCATCAGCAAAAGACCTGACAGTGACTCCGCACAGGCACAGAGCAAGGCTCTGTTCTGGAATACTATACCACGCTTGGCTCTGCCTCAACTAATACTGGCAGGCTTAGCGATCACGACGTTTCACGTGCAGATTGTGAACCGCATCTCTTCTGGATACCCGGTGTGGTACCTGATCCTGGCGATCGCTATGCATCCCGAGCCGGGCGCTGGAGAGGTGAAAGGAAGAAGTGTGATTAGCCTCTGTTCGAGATACGCCGAGTGGTTGGTGAGAGCCAGTGTTATGTATGCGATCGTGCAGGGCGGATTGTACGCGAGTTTCATGCCACCTGCGTAGTAGAGCGGTACTTTGTAGATGGTTGCAGTCAGGAGATGGTGAGAGGTGAGAATGTATTGAATGTGCATACCTATATGCCATTATGGCAGTACCTTATGCTTCTCACCAATATTCCGCCCAGACTCGAGGAGGGATACTATTGTACTGGATTCGACCGTTTCGTAATCCTTGCTATAGGTACTGTGGGTAGGTAGGAGGTACCTACATTAAGGTAGATATAGATTGTCCCTGGTCATGGTCGTTGCTCGTCCAACCTCGAATGAATCCAATCCGGCTGTTCCGTCTCCTCGCCCCACTCTCATCCATTGATGCTGATCACTTTCATACCTCCTAATACCGAACATGAGAAGCTACCTGTACTACATGGACTAAGTAAAGTATCTACCTCATATCTGATATTCCCCTTGCCATGAAAATCCACATCAAACTCAACAACGCCGCCGACCAAACAACCATGGTCCCAGAACTCCACCAAACCGACCAATTCATCCTTTTCGGCGACAGCATCACACAACGCAGCTTCAACCAAGACCGCGGCTTCGCCTTCGGCGCCGCCCTCACCGACGACTACGTCCGCCGCCTCGACATAATCAACCGCGGCTTCTCAGGCTACAACACGCGTCAAGCCCTCCACATCCTCCCCCACATTCTCCCCTCGCGATCACAGTCGCGCGTGAGATTTTTGACTTTGTGGTATGGCGCCAACGACGCTCGATTACCCCACACTCCGGGTGAACCTCAACAACATATTCCATTGGAGGAATTTGTGCGCAATACGAAAATTATGCTTACGCATCCGGATGTGAGAGGTCATGAAGGGATTCGAATTGTGCTGATGACTCCTCCTCCTGTTGATGAACGACAATGTCTTCTTGCAGCAGCTGCTGCTGCTGCAGATCAAAAGAATAGCGGAATTTTAAGCCGCAAAGCGTGCGTGACGAGAGATTATGCGGCTGCTATTGTACGACTAGTAGAAGAAGATCACGAGATGCAGACTGCAGCAGCAGAAATACAAGTATTGGATGTATGGAGTCTCATGATCCGACGAGCTGGAGGCGCGCTGGAAGATGCTATTCCCACGGGAGCGCTGGAGATGCCGCAGAATTCTGTGCTGCAGAGTTTTTTGGTCGATGGGTTGCATTTGAGTCCTGCGGGGTATCGGGTTGTGTATGAGGAGTTTGTGGGTCTGATTCGGAGAGTTTGGCCCGATCAGACGCCGGAGCGGCTGCCGTTTGTTTTTCCTGCTTGGGATGATGATGTTTGGAAAAGGGTTTGATTGATGCGGTGTGATGTTTTGTATATATTGTATATACACTTGGCTATGGCTTGAACTACAGGTACTTTTGGTAGGCTGTATATGACTATCTGAAAGGAGGCACTCTGGGGGAACGTCGGAATATAGTATTCTTTCTCTCTCTCCCTTTTTTTTTTCTTCTTCTTCCCCTTCGTGATAATCAGGTTGTGGCTAAGGAGGGCTGTGAGACATGCCGGTAGTCATCATCCACCCTCTCTTGTCACACGACAAGCCACCATTTCTTCCCTTCTTCCCTTTCCCACTTTCACCGCTGGTCAGGCATGATGAAATCTGTCACGCACAAACATTTTGCAGGAGACGTATTGATTACCCCGCCTCTACCTCACAAAAAAGTGTGTGTCTGGCAAAACGCCATAAAGGGACCTCCGTAGGTAGATGGAGTGCAGTACTCGAAAGCAATTGGAGAATCGAGATGGCTCTAAGTTACCTGCTACCTCATAGTACCTAGGTACGGAAGATAGAATCCCGCCATTCTGACGCTTTTTTTTTCCTTTCCATTTGTCGTATTCCGCTCATGCGTTCTTATTCGAGCAGGTCCAATCATGAGGATGGATCATGAGATATGGCTGTAAAGAAAGTATTTTTATATACTTGCTTGATCGGGTATACCACGCGCGTGGCCAATCAATCAAATATACAGTCGATATATGAATGGGCTGAGGACAAGAGGCGAGAGAAGTTCCAAGGAATCGCTACCTCCGTACTTGGACTTGCTTGTAAGATTAGGTTATACGTGCTATATCGATCTAGTGCCTTCGTTTTTCCGAGGGGCCCTTGCGTAGTAATGTAGGGCTGAGGTGTGGCAATCAACCGAGTGGCTGCTGTTCCCAGACTTCACATGCCTCTGACGCCAAGACGCCTCTCTCAGAGTCTCAAATAACGGTCGTGTGCGTACCTCCGTATCCTGGCGGGAAACTCCAACGCTTGTTTCCGTGGCGCTGACATGTCAAATTTCCTTTTTTCCCTTCCATCCAATGCCATCCATGCGCACTGTGCCGTAGATCTGCGCCCTTTGCCCTTTTTCATGGGGAATCGTGGCGGGACTGGCGGCCGGTCACGATGGCGGTGGCATATCATGGGTGAGGACCGTGAGGTAAGGGAGCTGAACGACAGGCCGGGCTGAAGACAACGGCTTTGCCGCTCCAGCAAGCCTCTTCAGACGTGGTCACTCGCCTCTGCTGGATGCTGCTGACTTTCCCAGCTTCACTCACTCGTTGTTGTCGCTGGTATAAGGACTGTCGTCGGTGCTGTCTTTTTTTTCTGCTTCTTTTTCGTTTTCTATCCGAATATGAATTCTTGAGAATTTACACGATGCATTTCTTACACACTCTGCTCTTGTGCAGTGCCGCCGTGGGCAGCACTGTCCATGCACAACTTCTCCTGATCCAGGCATGCGTGCAGCTCGCGCAACAGGCTTTACAGACCTTCAACCTCTGGACAGAATACAAGGGAGTGACTCCCCAGCAGTACAGAATCGAAATCGAAATCACTGCGGTACCACCGATTGTGGATGTCACGCAGGCCACATTAGTGAATAGCTGTGACGATTACTGGCTGCAGACTGCGAAACATCAAGGCATTGCAGCCTTCAACTCCAACCCCTCCGGATACCAGGTATTTCGAAATGTGAAGGATTTCGGCGCAGTGGGAGATGGCAAGACCGACGATACCAGCGCCATCAACAGTGCCATCTCCAGTGGGAATCGATGTGCTCCCGGCTCCTGTGCCTCTTCCACCGTCACGCCCGCAGTCGTCTACTTTCCCACCGGTGTCTACATGGTCAACAGCTCCATCATCGACTACTACTACACGCAAATCATCGGCAATCCCAAGTCGGGATGTACACCCACCATCCGTGCCTTTTCCACCTTTGCCGGCAGCTTGGGCGTCATCGATAGTAACCCGTACGGCAACACTGGCCAGCTCGGATATGGCTCCACGAACGTGTTCTGGCGTCAGATTCGGAACCTGATCATTGATACTACTTTGGTTCCTGCGGCGAATGCTATCACAGGACTTCACTGGCCGACTGCACAAGCAACTTCTCTCCAGAATATGGTGTTCAATATGAGTACTGCGCCGGGCACACAACATCAGGGTCTGTTCATCGAATCGGGCTCGGGTGGCTTCATGAATGATCTCACCTTCTTGGGTGGGCTCTACGGCGTCAACTGGGGGAACCAGCAATTCACTGTGCGGAACCTCACATTCAAAGGCTGCGTGACGGCCATCAATCAGATCTGGGACTGGGGCTGGACATACCAGAACATTAATATTGACAACTGCACTCTCGGCCTGAATATGAGCTCGGGCGGCAGCGGTGCATTGAGCGTTGGGAGCGTCACAATGCTCGACTCCACCATCACCAACACCAATGTTGGTATTCTCACCGGACGAGATGCCACTTCTCAGCCACCTGCTGCAGGCAGTTTGATCCTCGAAAACGTCAGCTTTAGTAATGTTTCCGTTGCTATCCGCGGTCCAGAAGGAACTCGAGTGGGCAGCACAAGTCTCATTGCTGGCTACATCGAGGGTAATGCATACACACCATCGGGACCAAATCGAGTGCAGCAGTCCCTCACTCCCAATGTTCGACCTTCGACACTCCTTCAGAGGGACGGCAAGTACTATCAACGATCAAAGCCTCAGTACGAGAGTCTGCCGTACTCATCCTTCCTGAGTGCGAGGACCGCAGGCGCCACGGGTGACGGACGAACAGACGACACGAAAGCTCTCCAAAATGCGATCAACATTGCTCAGAGCCAAAACAAGGTCCTCTACCTGGACCATGGAAACTATCTGGTGACCGACACCATCTACATTCCCTGTGGATCGAAGATTGTGGGCGAAAGCTATCCGGTCATCATGTCTTCGGGCGCTTTCTTCAACGACATGTCCAATCCGCAGCCTGTCGTTCAAATTGGCAAGCCAGGCGAGCAAGGCTCGATCGAGTGGACCGACACTATCGTCTCCACGCAAGGCCAGCAGAAAGGTGCCGTCCTGATCGAGTACAATCTCGTCGCCCCAACCGGGACACCGACGGGACTTTGGGATGTGCATGTTCGCATCGGAGGCTTCGCAGGCTCCAAGCTCCTCGTCGAAGACTGTCCCAAGACACCCAATCAGACGGTCACACCCGGTCAGATCAACCAGAACTGCATCTCGGGATATTTGTCGATGCATATTACCAAGGGATCGACGGGTCTCTATCTCGAGAATGTCTGGCTATGGGTGGCAGATCACGATATTGAGGATGCCACTTTGACGCAAATTACTGTATATGCAGGTCGTGGACTTCTCGATCAATCCCAAGGGCCTGTCTGGATGGTCGGTACCGGTGTTGAACAGTGAGTAAACTTTTCCCTTTTTTCCCCTTTCCCTTTCTTCCCTTCTCATTTTCCATCATCACTAACCTCCCCCCTCCCACAGCCACGTCCGCTACGAATACCAATTCGCCCAAGCCCGCGCCGTCTACGCCGGCCAAATCCAAACCGAAACAGCCTACTACCAACCCAACCCCAACGCCCGCAACCCCTTCCCCACCGTCCCCTCCCTCTCCGACCCCTCCTTCCCCAACTCCACCATCATCGACTCGCGCCCAGGAAATCTCACAGTCATTCCCGCCGCCAACGGCTGGGGCTTGCGCATTCTCGACTCGCAAGAAATTCTCATCTATGGAGCCGGGTTGTATTCGTTTTTTTTGAATTATAATACTACATGCTCGAATCAGGGTGAAGGGTCGAGATGTCAGAGTCGGATTTTTAGTTTGGAGGAAAGAAATGGAGGGGGAGGGGGAAATGGAGTGAGTGTGTATAATTTGAATACGGTGGGGACGAGATTTCCGATTACTGTGAATGGAAGGGATGAGGCGTATTTTGATGATAATCGGAATGGATTTGTGCAGAGTGTGGCGTTGGTGAGGAATGGGGGGAGGGTTTGAAAAATAAGATGAAGAAGAAGAAGAAGAAGAAACTTTTTTTTTTCTCAAGCCATTTTGTTGCGAGATTACTACTTACTTACTTACTTACTCTACGCACCTAGCTTCTCGAGATGGGGAAGTGAATTAAGCCGTATCTGTACAGGCAGGCAGGCGGACAGGCAGGCAGGCAGGCCCAGAGGATCATTTTATCCGCTCAGGACTTTTTTCTCCCCCTTTTTTGTTTTGGGCGTAGAACAAGAACAAGAACAAAAAGTGAAAACAACAGCCATGGAGCAGTCAGTCAGTCATCAATATGTACAGACGAGAGAGAGAGATAGCTTTTGCAAGAAAAGAAAAAGTATCTGTCGTTCAAATGTATATATATATATATATATACTCTGGTATATATGTAGTTTCTCTCTCTTTCTCTCACAGCTCCCTCCCTCCCCAACTCCCCCTCCCCTTTTTCTCCTCCTCACCAAGCAATCCTCGCAACCCAACTCCTCGGATACCTCCTCACAAGAAACTTCCTCCCCTCATCCAACAACAAAATACTCATTCCATACGCCATGGGAAAAAACCAATACTCGGCCGGAATAATCGCCGTTTGAAGTACATGGTGGAATTTCGGCACGTAGAGGAAGAAGATTGCGAAAATGAGAGCGAAAGCAATGGCGGGGAGTAAGAGCCAATTCATATGGTGTTGCAGAACGGAGAGGCGGCGGGTGCGGACGGCGAAGAGGTTGAACCTGATTTTTTTTTGTGTTAGTTTGGTGCGTTGGAGAGAAGAAAGAAAGTAAGTGGTTTTGAGGGGAGGGGGGAGGAGGAGGAGTCTTGTAATGAAAAAATACACTGCAAAGGCGGGAAAGGAGGGGGAAAACTTCTTACCATTGCATGACGACGAGATTGACAAAATATACGGAACTGGAGGTATTGAGAATATCCAAATATCGATCTTCACTCATTCCTACCGGGGGCACTCCGAATCCGAACCAGAGAGTAGAAAAGGGGATTCCGCGACGTTGCGCGTGCCAGTAAGCCATGGCGAAGGAAGTGACGGACATGATGATCCCCAGAAAACCATATGCTTGCAAGATGAGTTTCCCATTGACCAGACGGTCTTTTTTCGCATCTCGAGGTTTGCGGAGGAGTACGTCTGCTTCGGGTTTCTCGTATGCGAGTGCGGTGGCGGCAGCGCAGTCGGTGAAGCAGCAGATGATAATCATGAGAAAACTCGAGAGAATTTGTGGGAGACCGAAGCAGACGTTGGTCATGACGGGCCAGAATTCGCTAAAGGAGCCTGCGGGTAGGACATAACAGATGGTCTTTTTGAGATTGTCGAAGACGACGCGGCCATATTTGACTGCTTCGACAATCGCGGCGAATGAATCCAGGAGGACCATGTCGGCGGCTTCGATGGCAATGTCACTTCCTGATCCCATGGCAATTCCTACGTCGGCTTCCTTGAGAGAAGGCGCATCGTTGACTCCGTCGCCCGTCATTCCGACTGTGAGTTCGCGATGCTGCAGTTCGCGAACGATCTTGAGCTTGTGCTCGGGAGTGGTGCGTGCAAATACAATTTCATCGTACAAGCTGAGTTTGGTCCACATGGACTCGTCCAGAGTCTCGATATCCGAACCAGAGAGCACAATCGATTTCGTCTTGCTGATATCTTCAACCGACTTTTCACTCACAATGCCTGCGCTCTCGAGGAAACCCTCGTCAAAGGCCAAGTGCGTCACATCGTCGGTGTTGCGAGGAGTCGAAGTGATGATACCGCACTCCGCGGCAATTGCTTGGGCCGTGAGCTTGAAGTCACCAGTGACCATGAAGACGCGAATACCGGCGCCTCGGAGCGTTCTGACCACTTCTGGGATTTCTGGCCGCGGTGGGTCCACGATACCAACGAGACCACAGAAAATCAGATCTCCAGCTGCGCGGCCCAAGATATCACGTTCGTATTCTCGAGGTTGTTCCACAGGATTGAAGGGCAGATCCTTGAGCGGTTTCTCGGCCAAGAGGATCACACGCTTGCCCTGCGAGGACCAGTAATCTTTCATGCGTTCCAGTGTCTTCATATCTCGCTCGGAGAGTTTCTGGATAGAGCCATCGACATCGATGTAGGACGAGCAGCGTGGCAACAAGATATCCGGAGCGCCCTTCATGACGAGTAGTGGATCAGGGGACGTCTCTCCTTTGGTAATGGTGATGGCGAATTTATTCTTGCTGTTAAATGCGACCTTGAAAATGGAGCGCCAGCTGTTGCGAATCTCCGAGACCATGTTCATACCTTCGGCGAAACGCAGTATAGCGGAGTCGGTCGCATCGCCGTTGATTTTGCGGTCCGCAATGGGTTGATCCATGGTGGACGCAACGAACTCGGCATCATTGCAGATGGCACAGGCATTGGCCAGCTGACGAAGGCCCTCGCATGTCTGGTAACGAGCAGGTGCATCCGAAGCAGACATCGAAGTCTTGCCCACAAGAAAATCGGTGACTGTCATCACGTTTCTGGTCAATGTGCCTGTCTTATCGGAACAGATGACATTGACAGCTCCGAGTGTCTCCACGGTCTTCAGGCTCTTGCAGAGAATCTTGTTCTTGCGCATGATGTTGGCAGTGATGGTCAAGGAAGCAGTGACTGCAATGGGCAGTCCCTCAGGAATGAAGCTCACGGCAACAGAAACACAGCTGATGATGAGCATGGGAACACTGATCCAATCGGGGTGGTCTTTGCGAAGCCAGCCGGCCCAAACACCAATGACGATGAGCACCATTGTCAGCATGAGGCCGACAATGATGCCCACGAAGTAGAGAATCTCTTTCTGTAGCGGCGTGAGACCAGTCTTTGGCGTGCTTGTGAGCTTGGCAATACGGCCAAAGATGGTTCGATCGCCAGTCTCGACAATCAGACCCCAAGCGCTGCCTGACACACAGTGGGTTCCCGCAAGTCCAATACAAGCTGTCTCGAGGTAGTTGTCGTCTGTGGAGTCGACAGAAGCGAGGAGCGGCACAGTCTCGCCCGTGAGAATGGATCGGTCGAAACGAGCATCAGATGAGACTTCCAGGAAACGACAATCTGCTGGAAGCTTGTTGCCAATGGTGATTTTGAGGATGTCTCCCGGAACCACGTCCCTGCCGTCCACCTTGACTTGCTCGCCATCGCGTAGCACAATACAGTCTTCGGGTAGCATTTGAGAGATGGAGGCCATGACCTGCGAGGACGAGAAGTCTTGCCAGAAGGAGAAAGCGGCTTGTGCAACCCAGACCACGGCCAAGACAATGGCGAGCGCAAGGTTCGAGACCGATGGGTTGGGATCCCCCAGTGGCCTCCAAGCAATGAACACCAGAATACTACATGTGAAGAGAATGGTGCCAAAACCACCAAAAAGGTAGCCCAGAGTTTGACGTACCCAGTGCGAGGGGGGCGGAGAAGGGATGTTGCGACCCACAGTCTTGAGCTGTTGTGCCACAGCGGAGCTAGTCAGACCATTCAGGCGAGAAGAAGCAAAGCGCTGGAGGAGACTCTCTCTGGTGACCTTGTGATAGTCGCTGTCCTCGACTTCGGCCTGTGCGGCTTGCTTCTTGCTTTTCGGCCTCGCAGCAGCAGCTTTCTTGTTCTTGCGTGGCACGAGACTCTCTCGTTTACTCTCTTCAATGCCGAAGGACAAAGTTCTGAATTGTGGTGGAAGGATGATGCTGGGATCGAGACTTCTTCGATTGGTTCGTATCGACATGGAAGAGTCTCTCGATCTTGACCTGGCGTGACTTCCACCGCGTCCTCGCTCCAGTCGGCCTGTACTCGTACGACGTACACGCACATCGGCGGCGTAAGTGACGCGTCCTCTATCATTGCTTGTCACACGCTCCAGCTCGCTTGTGGCGACTGTGTACGTTTTGGCGTCGTCCATTGTGCTGTTGGCCATTGAGTGCTACACAGGTCAACGGCAGACAATGGCAGGGGGAGGAAGGGAGGGGGAGGGAGAGGAAGAGGAAGAGGGTGAAGGAGAGGGAGAGAGAGAGAGAGGGAGAGAGAGCAAAGAAGGAAAGGAAAGCAGGAAAGAAAGAGAGCTCTATATGTTCAACAGCAGAGCTGCAGCACTAACACGAGAGAGACACAGTGAGAGCGAGAGAGATAGAGTAGAGGATGACAAGGCATGTCGACCACGTGCCCTGTGTACGTATGTGGATGTGCATTGTCGTTGACAAAGAGATTCGAGAGTTCCGCCACGATGGCGAGCGAGAACGAGAGTAGTGTGAGAGTGAAGGCGTGGGGAAAGCTGTGTCGAGGCTGTGCAATTTTGCCAACAACAACAATAACAATAACGACCAGAGGTGAGGTGGTAGATGGTGCCGGGCGGTGGTGGTAGAAAACGACACTAGCTCTAGTGGGGGAGAAATAGGGTATGCCGCATGCGTGATTTTCGACACAAGCGCGAGGCATTTATGTGTGCCTTTCTATGTGCCGTAGCGTCGGATCGGCTGGAATGAAGAGATCTAGACAATCCTCCCACCACGATGCTGACGCTGACGCTCCTTCGAGAATCCATCTCCATTTGACAGGCAAGGTAGACATCAGAAGACCAGGCCATATACTAGTAGTAAACGGCTACGACTACTTTCGCCTATGATAGCTCACTGTGTAACCACCAGCCTCGTCCGAAGAGCTCCCACTTATACCTTGCACTGCAGACGGTTTATCAGATGCACCAGATGCAGTACATAAAGCCGAGGCATCGGCCCACGTCATGTCTGGACTCTGGAATTACCTACCAGGTATGCTGAGTTACAGGGTAACCTCGTAAATAGGTATCCTTGGAGAATTCCGGGGGCTCTTCTTCGTCGGTATACACGAGACCAGATCCTCCTGAATGCACACTGCCTGCAATGCATGTATGTTGCGATGCTTCCCGCACCTGTGCGTGCAACAGAGCATGCGACTACCTGTGTCTGGGTCCATGGTACGCCTTTGGTGTGTCACATAACTTCGGGAATATGACATGCAGCAGGTAGTCCTACTGCCCCGTGTGATGTTTGCTGATTTGCAAAACTCGGGGCTGAGATGCATGTAAAGTCCTATAAGCCAGACAGCGGGTTTGCAGGATCGTTACATTTCTATGCCAGCCGCTTCAGCGGGTCACCGGCCATTTCAATTGCATGATAGCCCGAAGACAGCTATCAGCGCAATCAGGTTGGCCGCGTGCGTTCTGTCATCGACAAGAACTTCGTCACTCTTGCCCACTGAGTCGTGCAAGAACAGAATCACAGCCTGCCAACCGGTGTGCTTGTCCTCGAGTGCGATAGGCGTTGCGCGAAGAGAAAACTGCTTCACTACGCACTCATAGCTTGTCCAGTAGTTTTCGCTTTCGCCTTTCCAACAACTCGGTCTCGACCTCTTCTGCAGTAGGCAACTTCCACAGAACTCCATCTCCTGCGTCGCCAGGCAAAGGTTCAAAGTCTCCATCTGCAGTGTCCGCTTCCGACGCGAGCGCCTCGAACGCCTCTTGCTCCTTTTGCGCTTCATACCGCAGCAACGTGCCATCCTCTTCGTCCAGATTGTAGCCATAGTACGAAGCATCCACGCGTAACCGCAGATCCTGTCTCGCCTCTTTCACTTCCTTCTCCGGCTTCTGCGTGGCAGCCTCGAACAGCTCCTTCACGCCAGGCAGTTCTCGCGCTCGCCCAAAGTAGCGATAGCCTTTACCGCCTCCATCAATCACCCGTCCTTCATCATCTGTGACTTTCCCGCCTCCCCGCATGTAGTTGGGTCCGCCCAGCTCTCGAATGCGCATCTCCCATTGCCATTTCTCCTTGAAGAGCTTGTTCAGCTCGTCGTTGAGATCGCGGATCTGGAAGTCGCTCAAGGCGAGGTCCTGGATTTTGGAGACTTTGCGACTGATCTCTTTGAGCACTTGGCCTCGCCATCGTTCACACGTCTGAATGTTTTCCTGCTGCGAAATGGCCTTGGGTCGCTTGGTCCGGTTGATGTCGACGATGCCTAGATCGGCGGCTTGTTGCGCCCGAAAGCGGAACAGCATCGACTGCGACTTTTCTGCATTTCGTGCCATTTCTGCGGGGATGCGTACAGTTGGTGAGGATGATTTCGCTGAAGTTCGCGGCAATCAAGAGAGTTCAGATGGAAATGGAGATACTCGTGACTCGGGTAAACATGAGGCACGTGACATTGAATCTTTCGGCAGACTCCGAGCAAGCAACACACTATCAAACCTTCAACAAGCTCACCTCATCTCACGATTGAAGTCCTGTCAATTTTGCTTTAATCACCTTATTGGAGGAGACATGTACAAGGACATCCTGTACTGTACAATATCTTACTACAGATGGATTGCACTGACAAAGGAGTACCTTACATGATATCTCGTCTGGTCTTTATCTGACTGCTGCACGGTGATGCAACGGAGCTCCACGCGGAAGCCTCCGAGCAATCCCCCCCCCCTCTCTCAGGGCCCCATTATTGATTATATTTATCGCGCTACAGGAAGAAAGAAAAGACACTGAGATGGCGTGTAATGGCCGCTCAGTGATTCGGCTCAGTATCTCCCCTGAACCTGATTGGGATATGCTAAACAACGATACCTCCTAGTGGGAGCCCGATGTTACCCAACTTCCTTTGCTGTGACACTGTATTGTAATAAGGCTAGTATTCGTACGCTGTGACTAACCTCCAAAGGCAGCTCACGTCCCGATCAAGGGTACAGAGGCTGCTGGATCGCTGCACCGGCAGTCGTACCTGTTATGAAAATTGTGCTGCCAAGGCGTCCGCATCCAGGCTCAGCGAATTGCCTCCTCAGCAACCTCCGAAGCTGCTATCAGCACACGGCGTCGATGGGGACAATCATCATTTATCATCATCATCACCACCACCATCATCATTGCTCCGTTGCGAGTGTCGGAAGCAAAGATTTTCGGACCATGATGCCTCCGACTCCACTGCCCCTCAGGAATACCGCCGCCGTGTAGGGCTGCCCGAGAGGAAGCAAATCCTGCGGTGATAGGCGAAAAGGGACGATGGATACCCATACAGCGGTCGCTTATCTGACAGCAGGTACCTCTTCCAACTCCCTAAAAGGGCGGTGATTGACGCGCCATGTGTGTATGGCGTCGAGATATGTGTGTCTACTGCCGGCTGAGGCGTAGGATAAGCCTGGCCTGGCCGGGCAGCCGCAACGGTCTTTTTTTCTGCATGGGAATTTCTAGCCATGGCATCGCCACACAAAGCTATAAGATATGCTTGTAGGTGTCCCCTGAGTAAGTGTTGTTGCAGTCCAGCGGTCAGTTATTTGGGCTCTCATACGCCAAGCCCAAGATGGCATCCAGGTCACTCATCTTCACTCTTGGACTCGCCACTGCGGTAGCTGCCACTGCTACCCCACTATCCACACTCTCCTTCGCAGATGGCATCGTAGCAGAGGCTGGTGGTATGCACAATGTGCAGATCACATATAACACTCCGCTAGACGGCGAGCTGTCCATTCACTATGGTCCATGTGAAGTCGTCTCTTCTGACGAATGCCACCACACTCTCGGCAGAACTCATGTCGGGGCACATCCGCTTGCGAAACGGCACGAGCTACACTCGGACCAGAGACCGACCAGATTCGTCTGGCTACCACCAAAGGACATCACGTCGGGAGGATGCCTTCATGCTTTCTCCGGGGAGACCCTGATTGGACGCTCGTCACCAATCCAGGTCAAGTCGAGAAAACAAAAGCGATGGACTGCGGTAAGCGAACGGAATGCTCATCCCACATCAAACAATTGCACTAACATCACCCAGGCCGCAGATATCATGGATGCCGAGGGCCCATGGTTCGATGGCGTTGCATATCTACAAGAGAAGCAGCCTGATGAAGTGTTTGTTGCGGCAGCAAAGTCCAAGACCATCGGTATCCTTGGTGGCGGCATGTCTGGTTTGATGACCTCCCACCTACTCGAAAGCGTCGGCTTTCACAACTGGAAAATCATCGAGGCCAGCAATCGCATCGGCGGCCGGGTGCATACGTCGTATTTGAACGGTAGCAAGCCCAGCGATTATCAGTATCAAGAGATGGGACCCATGCGTTTCCCCGTCAGTGTGACATACGAGGATCCTGCAGAGACGATCCAAATCAACGACCATCAAATGGTCTTTCAGCTTGCCGATGTGCTCAACAAGCAGAACGGCAACAGTTCGGAATACGAGGTAAAGTTCATCGAATGGATCCAGAGTGCCGCAAACAACCCCGCCACCACTTCTCAGCGCAGACCCGATGGTACCATTCCCGGCGCAGCAGAAGTCGCCGCGAATCCTGCATACGCCGACAATGCGAACCTGACCTACTCGAATGCCACCGCCGTGGCAGAAGCGTCGGCAGCATACGATGAGTGGCAGGGTTTGGATCGGGAAGCGTTCCGCGCCATCGCAACCAACGTGTACAAAGCGCACAAATGGAGCGTGGACAATGGATATTTCCACTTCAGCGAAGCGGGCTACCTGAATTACCAACTGGGCATCAACGCCAACATCACCGACCAAGTGGACGACATTTCCAACTCGGGTGATTCCTGGGCGTACGATTCCGTCTACTTTTCCGCGACGGAGTGGCGAACCATCGACCAAGGCCTCTCTCGCCTCCCGCATGCCTTTACCCCTGCCGTCGCAGGCCGCATCCAATACAACACTACCGTGCAAGGTCTCCACTGGAACGAAAGCACCAGCAAAATCTCCGTCGAGTACCGCACCAAAGACAACCTCTTCTCCCGCGTCCCCGAAACCCAAGAATTCGACTACGTTGTCGTCGCCGTCCCCTTTAGCAAAGTCCGCCTCTGGACTCTTCCCGCCTACACCAGCCTTTTGAACCGCGCCATCCAACGCCTCAACTACGACCCTTCCTGCAAAGTCGCTCTGCACTACAAAACTCGCTTTTGGGAACATCTCCCCCACCCCATCCTCGGCGGCTGCGGCTCCACCAATCTCCCCCAAATCAGCAGCGTCTGCTACCCCTCCTACAAACTCAACTCCACCGGCCCCGGCGTGCTCTTAGGAACCTACATCTCCGGAGTCGGAGCCCGTTCAGTCGGCTCCATGACCGAAGAACAACACGTCGCACACGTTCAACGCGCCATGGTCGAAATCCACGGCCCCATCGCCGCCGAGCAATGGACAGGAGAATACGATCGAATTTGTTGGGAACACGACGAATTCCAAGCGGGTGCTTGGTGTGACCCGACACATGATCAACAGGATTTATATTTGCCTGCGTATTTTCATACGGAGAAACATAGCGTGTTTGTTGGTGAACATACGAGTTTTACGCATGCGTGGATTTGGTCGGCGTTGGAAAGTGCTGTGAGGGGTACCAGTCAGTTGTTGTTGGATATGGGGTTGGTGGATGAGGCGAAGGAGATTGTGGAGGTGTGGATGGCGAGGTGGATTGAGATGTGATGAACTGTAGGTACCTTACCTTACCTTACTTAGGAAGGAGTAACGTCAAAAAAGAATTACTTTACTGGATATTGACTTTGTGTGGCATTTCGTTTTCCCACTACCTAGGACGACGACTTCTTCTCTTCCTCTCCCCCACTACTACTATTACGAACATGTTCCACCTTCTCCGCAGCACTTTCCTCTCCACCATCTCTTCCCCCACCCTTACTCCGCAACAACTGCTGCGGCCTAGTCGTCGTCGTCGAAGAAACAACCGAACTTCTCCTCCGGTGTTCCACCTCTCTCGCCTCCTCAGTATCCTCATACGGAATGAGCAACTCGCCTCTCTTTCCATATCGTCTCGGTTTCTCTCTAGCGACTTTGACGACAGTAAAAGCGCCTTGCCAACCATGGACTTTGTGGAAGATTTCGTCCATTTCTTCGAGAGAGCGGTAGGCGGTTTCGGGGAAGAAAAAGTATACGCACGGCACCATGAAGGCGTTGATGATGGCGAAGACGGTGTACGTGTTGTATTGGATATTGGCGAATGCCACTGGCGTGACCATGACGACCATGAACTATGAAAAATTTAGACGGTCAGTTCCTGGTCGATGGGTTTGGGGGGAGAACTGGGGGTAGGGCTGATGAGAGAGAGAGACTTACATTGAAGATCCAATTTGCTGTAGTTGCAATGGCGTTTGCTGGAGCTCGGATATCGAGCGGCTGCGAGTGTTTGGATTAGTAGCTGTCTCATCACACAATTTGAAAGTGCAGTGTAACATAACAAAAAAAAAGGAGACCGTACCGTAATCTCAGCAGGATACAACCAAGTCATGCCCAACCAGCCGACCGCAAAGAAACTGTTAAACACAAACAAAAAAACTGCAGCTGCAATTCCTGCCGATACATGTCGAGGATCCGTGTTGGGAATGGAAGTCGTCCCGGCCAAAACTGCCATGGAGCATGCTTGGCCAATTGCTCCGAAGAGCATGAGCTTTCGTCTGCCCACTCGTTCGATGGTGAAGATGGCGATCAAGGAGGCGAGGAAGTACTCGGTGCCGTTGAGTGCTGCTAGGAGTCGAGAGAGAAAGGGAGATAGTCCGATGCTTTGTTCGAAAATTGTCGCCTGGGTTCAAGAGGATTAGAGGTCTTATATACATGTACAGGATGCGGCGAGGCTGTACTCACAGCGTAATACGTAATGATGTTGATTCCCGAGATCTGTCGTTGAGGTTGATTAGTACTCTGACGACCGTTCACATGTAAGATGAACAGCAGAAACACTGACTTGTTGAAAGGTCTGATTGACGTAACCCAGTAAAGTTCGATGGAAGTTGCGGTTGCGGTTGAATTTGAAGCAGTCTGTGAAACTTCCTCGGGCCATTTCGAAGACCGTGTCTTTGACGGCCCTGAATTCCTGCTGCACCTTGGGATCGTCTTCGGTAGTGTTATCGAGTGCACTGAGGACCTGGATGGCCTCTGCGTCTCTTCCCTTCAAGACGAGCCTGTGGTGTACGTTAGTGCTGTAGCAAGAGAAGAATAAGCTACTGTCAGCAGTTCACGCACCATCTAGGTGACTCAGGCAGCCCTGGGATCAGAGCAACGATGAATAGAGCAAGAATGATCTGGAAGGCGATAGCTACGAAGCACATAAATCAGCATCAACTCTGCTTGTGGACGTCAGTTGTACTTACGAAAGCGCCATGATATGGTACTGGGTTCCAAGAAGCTGAAGCCCAGATCGATCCAATAACTCAGCATGACACCAAAGACGATGAGGGAACCCTCAATCATCACCATTTGACCTCTTCGATGCGACTTGGACGTCTCCGATTGCCACGTGGGCACGGTGCTGGTGTTCATGCCATTGCCGAACCCGGTAAGCCATCTCGAAGCAATGAGCTGGCCCAGCTCGAACGAGCTCGCTTGGAGGACGGCGCCGATGATCATGATAATGCTGCCGACCATGATGGTCTTTTTCCGTCCCAGGATGTTGCCCAGCCATATGGTTGCGACTGCGCCAAAGAAACAACCCAAGGTGTAGGCGCCGACAGTGATGCCCTGGATGTTGCTCACTTCGCTGGCGGTGCGACCGGTCCGGCCGGGGTTGGCTGTGTCAATCTCGGGAAAGTATTTGAGAAAGGAGGGTAAAGTGAGCAAACCGCCTGCATTGTGATCGAGTGTTAGAAGAATAGCCCTCAAAGGATTGCTCGAAACGGAAAGCTGTCATACCCATGACACCCTACGTCTGTGTTAGTCGTCGTCGAACATGCATCGAAAAAGGTTATATATATATATATAAATGTAAATACCTGGTCATAGCCAAAAAGAGCAAAGTCCACACCAGCCACCACGGCAATGGCGATGTTGAGCTGAGTGCCTCGCAGGCCGTAAAATGGTTTGCCCATGTCGTCCAGCGAATGTCGATGGCACAAGAAAAAAGGCACGACAGACGGGCGCACAAGCACTCATATCATACTGGCAGAAGAAGGGAACACGGATCTCGGCATTCCCTTCTAGGCCATCCCGGTCGGCGTGTCAGGCGTGTGGTGGCTATCGAGTATGGTGGTGCAGAGTAAAGGCAGTATCCGTGGCGGATGCAGGCATGATGGCGTCTGTTCGGGTCGATTCGTGCTTCTCATTGGCTGCGTAGTGAAAGTGCAAGATGGAGTTTCTCCTGGAGATGCGGAGAAGACATGGGGTAAAAAGGGCGGCTCGCTCGCGGCTGGTTGTATACTGTACCCACCTCACTATATCACTGGCGTCACATCTTCCAGGGGTGGGAAGTTTCAGAGCTTCCGACATCTATGTCATCACGCGGCCGAAGCGCATTGACTGTCCTGTTTGTTTCTCAGTAGTGTTTGTACTACCTCCTAGAAAGAAGGCATATGGACTTGGGTGTAACTGAGGTCGATGGAGAGAGTACCTCCTAGGACGACGGAAGCGAGTCAGAAGTAGAGCTTGGCACTTGGCATTTGCAGATCGTAGTGAATTTTGCCTAAAGTACCTACACCTCCATTGATCGACATGTGATTGCATACCTCAGGCACTAGGAGGTACTGTAACGAGGAGGTACGGTATGATGAGTATCTACAATGTGCGAACAGTGGGCCTGAGGTGGGCGTCGGGAACTGATGTGTGTCTTCTTCGGTAACGGACAGCGCTTGAAAGGTAGGATTTGGTCGGAAGAGTGATGAGGCCAAGGTACATGTAGAAACCTAGGAGGTACTGGCGTGTCGACTTGCCTTGCCGACGTAAATCGGGCTACGGAGCGACGAAGGATGGAATGACCCCACTATTCATTGTCATCACACAGCCATCTAAGCGACTGGTGCCACGGCCAAGTCTCTGCCAGAAAGGAGTCCACTCTGCGAGACGAGCCGGGGAGAAAATATGCCAAGTTATGTATACATTCGTACATGTCACCCTGTCACTGCCTTCTCTCCTGTCCTGTGTGCTACGTGGGCCTAACGTCTCCCACGCATACTGTAGTTCAAGTTCGCTCTCGCAGTGGTAGCCAGCTTATGCACCCCCGTCCTCTTGTCCCACACCGCACTCCTTCCCTCGACAACGGCAATAAGCTCTTCAGCAACCTTTTGCGCAAACATGTCGTTGCCACTGCCCCTGCTTTTCTTCTTGCTCGCTGCGTCCAAAATCCACATGAACCCCGTCCGTCTCCTCTGTCGCAACCCCAGCGGTACTGGAATTTGCAATGCCACACCACCACCCGCCGCACCTTTCTGTGATCGGATGCGAAGGAGAGGCGCGACACTGTCCACGGCAAGTGTAAGGTACAGGACCGGGTTCAGAGGGAGATGTGATGCAGGCGGTGCGCCAGGTAGCAAGGGCCGATTGGGGTTGTATGTGGGAGCTGGGGAGGTTCGGAGGATGTTGAGGATGACGCTCATGTTGCGCTGCGCTTTGGACTTCTTGCCGTCTTTCATGAGCAGGTTGGTAATTTGAGTGACGACTGGGTCGTACCTGTGATCTTTCACCAGTTCCCGAGGAAGAGGAAGGGGTGGAAGCGGGAATTTGTGGCCTTTGGGCTCGGAGGTGTCAATCTCGGCAGAGGCGGAGGCGCTGTAGTCGGCGGCAGCAGTGGTACCAAAGGACTGTTCGATTGCTGGAGGCGCATATGATGAAGATTCCACTTCGAGTCGTCTACGTGCATACGTCGAGAACTGTCGTGTTTGAGTGTGAGGCTTAGTTGTGTTGCCGGCCTTCGCATCGTCCTTCATGACTTGAGGCGCATTCTTCCGTGTCTCCTTCTCCTCTTTCAAGATCTGGCATCAATCAATTAGTACACGTCCTCCCTGCCTGATCAAGGACAGCCACTCACATCCTGCACAGGTGTGCCCTGGCCCTCGATATCTGGTCCCTTGCCGCCCTGGATCTTGGCCATCTTCGCTGCTTCCTCGCTCACATGCTCTGCCTGCTGCATGTTGGGTCCCACGTTCTCGCCTTCGGCTTTGGGCAGGTCTTTGCTGCTGTCTGCAAAAGTGCGCCGCGAGACTCCCACAACCACATTGCTGCGGCGAGCAACAGCTAGTCGCGGGCGGAAGGCGACTGTTCGGAGCACCGGGAGCGGATTGATGGCGGAAGGCATTGTACTGATCGTCAATGGCAATGTACAATGAGGTGCGCTGCAGTCTGCGATGGAGGGTACATGTAGTGTTCTCGGCAGTGAGGTAACAGACGCCAAGCATTCGCAGGCAAAGCCAAACCATCTCCCCACTGAGGAAGGTTGTACTCGTGTCATAGTCGCGTCTCCCATCGCTTGGCGGTGATCAAGCTTCACTTCCATCACTTCCATCGAGCTTCGTACGAGGCAATCCTCCAAACATCTTCTCCTCTTCCCCTCTTTCTTCCCCCTGTAACCAACACAACACGATACCACGCCAGATCGCTGACGACGGCGGCGACGACGACGTCGTTATGGCGGCAAAAGACACATCGAACCCACTGGTCATACCAGGCCGACCCAACACATCACTCAACGTGCAGCTACATCCCCTCACGCTGCTCACCATTTCCGACTACATCACTCGGCACTCGATTCGCCAACAAGACGGCCCCGCGGTGGGTGCCATCCTCGGGCAGCAGAATGGCCGCGATTACACGCTCGAGATTGCGTTTGAGTGCAAGCTCGCGCAAGATACCTCGGACGACGTGCTCCTGGATGCCGAGTGGTTCAACACCCGACTAGATATGTACAAGGAAGTGCACAAGGAGCCTGCGCTAGACCTTGTTGCGCTCTTCGCCCTCGGCCCCGTTTCCGGTCCTCAACCGCCACATCTTCCGCTCTTGCAGCAAGTGAAGAATATCACGGGGTCAGACAACGTCATGCTGCTCCTCTTCCACCCGGAAATGGTCGACAGCCTACAGGGCGGGAAGCTGCCCATCAGCCTATACGAGTCAGTCGAAGAGACGGAGAACAACGTCAGATTCAGAGAGCTGGCATATGACGTCGAAACAAATGACGCTGAGCGGATCGGTGTGGACTTTGTGGCCAAGGGCGGTGGTAGTGCCACTGCTGTTGTAAAGACCGGCGCAGACTCATCTCCGGGAACCTCCAAAGACGCCAAGGGAAAGCTGAAAGGAAAAGGAAAGGCCAAGGACGAAGAAAGCGAGGCGAATGGCACACCTGCAAGCGCATTGTCGGTGGAGGACGACGAGCTCATATCCTCTCTCCAAGCTAAAATAAATGGGATCAAGATGCTGAACGAGCGCATCACTCTCCTCCGGACATACCTGACTAGTCAGCCGGAGAGTTACCTTACCGATGCTTCGTCGACTGTGTCACCCGCAGACGGCACCAATTACCAGCTATTGCGCAGTATTAACTCTGTGCTTTCGCGCCTGCCACTTCTTACACCTCCGCACACTCAGCAGAGCCTCGACGCGCCAAACACATCAACTCCATTGAAGATTGCCAGCGAAAAAGAACAGGAAGACGTTCATCTCACATCTCTCCTCGCCAGTCTGACGCGCTCAGTCGCGGAGGCGCAAGCCATGGGGGGCAAGTTTAGTGTAGTGCAAAAAGAGAAGCAGAACAAGGATCGTGGCCAATTTCAGGGGAATAGAGCTCGTGGTGGATATGGTGATGAGTCTTCGTTCAACTACAGCAGCGGCTTCGTCGGGAACTAGCAGCGCTGGCTGATGAATCAGCAGGGCACATTGTGGGGGGCAATGTCCTACCTAGACCAACGCTTTTTGGAGATATCCCTGTCCTGAAAGGTGGCCATGGCTCGCAGTAGCACGAACTACGCAAATGGCGGAACAAGTAATGCTGTACATCTGGACGGAGCTGATTGGCGTGGCAAGTCGGGCCAGACCCCTAACTACGCCTGCAGTGGTGACAGACTTGAATGATGATGCCGTGCTTGCGCTCTGATCAGCGAGGCGGATATAAGGGTGAAGAGACACGATAGACACGAGACATGACACATGGCATAGGCGTTCATGCACAGCCTGCTGAAACCGCTACTGGCGTGATTAATAGAGAGGAAGCATGGACTTTCTTAGACGGAAAATGAGATATGATCGGCTCCAGCATGCCCAGGCATGGTCTTACAGAGCACATCCGAACGACAAACATTATATTCAACTCTCCGGCTCCCTGGCCCACCATTTTTGCACTTTTGTCCCGAATCGTGGATGACTAGGCGTCAGTCAAGGTTTGAGACCTACCCGTACCAAGCACCGTATCTATGTATTCTTTCCACAGCAACCCCAGGCGGAGTCGCCCGTTCGACGGGATCAAGAAAGGATAATATATTTGTTCTGTCCATGGTACTCTGTCGTATGAACCAATAATGCCTGTGCATTTGCACTCTTATTGATCATCAGATATTTAGATGCTTGCGAAGCTTTCCGTATGTCAGCTTCAGCTCGCTGATTGGTCTCCGCATTGGAAAGATGTACCACGGTCACGGTTCAATGCAAGAATCTGCTTCCCATGAGCAGTCGACATCGCACTCGATATCGCAGAGGTGGCTGCTTCGGTACGAGGACACGCTTGGCTGCGCTGTCCAGCTCTGCCTCCTTCTACATCCACATCTACATCTACCTTACCGAAGCCAAGCCTTGGCCATCATCAGCAGATATGGTGCACATCAAAGCTCTCATGGTCTCCACTGTCCTCAGTGGCATGACTTCAGCTGGTCTGGCGCCCTCGACGTATGCCAACGCTACCACATCCTCTGCCAGCGTGGAGCACGCCGCTTTGAATCCTTTGGACCGCCAACTCATTCCCTTCATCCCAAAATTCTTTTCTCGTCCAGGGAGGACCTCAAGTTCATCCGTCGAGAACATTCATGCCGCCTCTCCGGATTACCGCAGCGATACGTCGGCAGTGTATCCCTACACCACTAGTATATCGATCTCGGAATCCAGAGGGCACAAGACCAGATCTCGTCGTACAAACCAGCATACGCGTAGAAATCGCCCTGATCAGATTGCTCATCATCGGCCGGCTCCCACGAGCCATGAGGTTTCAATCTCCTGGTCTACCGTCAGGAATGGCGCCACTCCTTCCCCCTCCGACTTCCCCACACAGAAACACAATTCCATCTCAAGCCCAGACGTCAGATCCAGTCCCCCTCACACCACAATCTCGTATTATCCCATCAGAACCACTCTTCCGCCCGGCCAGACCCCCTCCCTGGAAGCCGCTGCTGCTCAGCGCTCTGGTAACAGCTGCACAACCTTGTGTACATCTCCTCGTTGTGAGCGCACTCAATGATGATGATGCCTTCACCCGTAAACACCCACCAGGAAGTGCGAGAATGCATGCCTGAGATTTTGAATTCGGGGGGAGAAGAAAAGAAGAAAAGAAGCACGAAGATGCGTGCATAAGTGCGTGTTTGCGGCTTTTCTCTTTTGATCTCCCCTAAGTCGTCGACTGAACGAACGAACGAACGAACGCTACCTAAGAGTTTGAAGTTTCTAGCTACCTAGCTTTGCATGCAAAATTGATTGACCACACGCATACATACAAAGATCGACCCGCTATGTAGTTTTGAAGGCATTGGATTGCATTCATTGCAAGGTAGATACCTATCTACTCATGTACCTTAGATGTACTTAATTGGTGTTGCTCAAAGCCTGTGCTACATACCTACCTACCTTCCTGACTTAGGTACTTAAGACAGTAGAGCTGCACAGGGGAAAGGTGAGGAGGGAAGGAAGGAGGATGAGTCGTAATCAATCATGGAATGCATCTTGATCTCTTTGACTGGGCAAGGTAGTCGGTGGCCGCTCGGCAGTATGGATGAGAGACTACCTGTACGTACATGTATATATACATCGTTGCTCGCGTGACGGGACGCAAAAGTTGTTGGCGAAGGGGAATTGATCATCGAGAGTAAATTTGGACGTTGCTAAGGGACCTACAATAGAGAGCTCATCAATACAATGAATGCTCTACTCTAGCTACAACTCATAAAGTCCCTCGAGACTACTGCGCCGCAAGCATAGTGTATCCCAAATTCTCAAAAAAAGGATCATGGTTCTCAGCAATGTCTGAGCGGTTCGAGGCCTCTGATTTTCCTTGTCATTCCTTTGATCGCTATCGTGTAATGGATCCGTCATTCTCCCCAAAAAGTTCCTGCCAGAAAGTTGCTTCTTGGCAACAAATCCAGAGAGTCAACACGTCCAAGTTCCTTTTCTTGGCGCTTGCGAGCAGCGATACCCTTTCACTATCAGCAACTTCGATGCCGATCCATCGATGATTGGCCCGCAGTCAGCGTGTTTCGCCTCCGCAATGACTTTTATCGGCTCGTGCGCGTTGCTCAACGCTCCCGCGGAAAGTTCGGTGAAACTTTGAGCCACTCTGAAGGCGTCCTGGCACGGTAAGTATGTTCAGGTCGGAACGCTCTATCGAAGGCCGGTGGTCCAGGTTTCTATCAGCTTTCGTCTTCTCTATGGCCATCGTCTTCCGACTCCTTCCTCTTCCTCTTCTTCTTCGACTCGCCGCTATCTGCCAAGACTTCGTCTCTGAGCAACCTGATCGCTATCTGCCTCTCGGAAAATCATGTAATTGACAAGCAAGGCGATTGAGACAACATTGAAGGTTCAAGCTGGTCGCACAGATTCACCTAAGCTGACCAAGAATTCTTGCAAAAAGGCAAGCTGCCCAAGTGGGGATTCGTATCCACTTCTTAGAGATCTCGTCTCCGTCGTAGTATAATCGTTCCCAACCACCTGAACGATAGCGATCTTCTCACGGCCTAGTCAGATTAGCGAACACAGTGACCTTCTCAATGTCAAGTCTCTTTCCGTCTCCATGATCTTTGGTCTTTTCAGCAGCAACCTCAATCTCTATGCGGTTGACACCATGAGCCAAGTTCCCATCGTACGAGTGTGTGCGCCTCCCGCTGTCTTGATGGTAGGTCGTATCTCGCTGCGTAAGCCGAGTACCATTCATAGTGACAAAGATTTTGTAAGCTCGGTTCAAGGCAACCTCTCGTGATATGGTGGGTTGTATTTGCAAGAAGAAGTGCGCCGCTGGGAGCGTGATGGTGGCGCTGTTTTGAGACAGTGACGCGTGCGGTGTGACCTCCGTACTGAACGGCTTCGCAACTTTGAGATGAGGGTGCGTGTGTAGCGTGACCAGAGGCAGTAAAGCTTCTGATGCAGGATACGCTCGAATGGCCGTAGGCGGTAGAAGTGAAGGCGCGGTATAGGAATAGCTGTTGACTGGGGGCACAGCCTGAGCTGCGAATGAGTTGCCACTCGGGGCGCGAGTCATTGGAGGGGGCATCATGCCATTCGTCGTGGGCTGCGGCGTAGCTGGTGCGCCCACTCGGGGGGCAGGTGACATAGTTGCCAGCTTCTCGTTCTTGACCGGACTGCCTGCTTGACCACTGCTTGGTGGTCTGATCGGCCCTTGCGAAGATTGCCGTGCAAAGCCATTAAGGTTAGCAGCAGGTCGTGCAATGGGCTGCGAGCTAGAGCCGTTCACTCCAGCCGTAACCATATTCCGTTGGTGTGCTGGTGCGTCACTGTCCACAGTTGTGCTAGGACCAGGTGAAGCACGGGGCTGCTGCGACAGGCTGAGCGCAATGCCAGACTTCGTCTGAGGTTGTGGACCGCCTAACTTGATACGCGTGCTTTGCGGCTCCTTGACAAGCTCCTTCGCTTCTGCCAATCGTGACTTGAAGTGTGCCTGGAGGCAAATTAGCAGATGCGCCAAAAGTCAAACTGCGGGCGAAGCATACCTCAAGCTCGCCAGCGAGCTCGTGAATAGCGCTCCCATCCTGATTGTAGTCACGCGCATTGCGCCAAATGAAGCTGACCTCCTGCTCGAAGGCATCCCATGTCTTAAAATCGGAGATGCCAGTTGGAGGGTCTCTGCCATGTTGTCCACGTATCCGCTTTTGCACGCTCTTCAGCGATACTGGATGCCTGATGAACCTGTAGTAATCTTCCAGCTTCCTACTGGGCAAGTAGACGAATGGGGTGAAAATCTCGAGTCCTCTGCACAAGTGTTAGTCAAAAGCACAGAAAACCTTCGTCTGCGTGATTGTGACAAACGCACTCGTCATCAGTGTAACGAATCATCTCAGCCACAATCATATCCTGCGCTTCCTGGAAAGATTTCCCAGTGAAATCCATGCTTTCATCCTCGTCTTTGTCTACTGCACTGGGCGCCATCGATGACTTGCGATCGGATGGTGGCTCGGAGTGCTTTTCTGATGCTTTCTCCACAGCCCTGGGTCCAAGTGATAGGCGAAGTTTGCTACTGTCGTCCTTGCTCGCCCGTTCATCCTTGACCACCGCTGGAGCTGGTGGCGGAGCTGGAGTAGGAGTCTTCGTGAGCTTGGATTGTGTGGCGTGAGCAGGCTGGGCATGGTGGCCACCGTTCGTTAAGGTGATCTTTGTAGTGCGACCTGGAACTGGAGTGGCGACCGCTGAGTAGCTTGAGTCTTGGTATGCAGGATTGTTCAGCTTCATGTAATTGTAGATGAGCTTCCGTATTCGCTCTGCATCTTCATAGATTTCGCTCTTCGGCTCGTTGTAGTCCTTTGCATTCTGGATCATGCGCTTGAAGTCACTTTCGAGCGCGCTGACAGTTGGGTAGGCATTGGCGCGGAGTTTCTCCTCGATAATGCCAATGGATATGGGTAGCCCAATGACTTGGTAATAATCTGGCAATTCGTCTTTTGGGGGCAGTTCCAAGAAGGCATCTGTAATGGGCCGACCGCTGCAGACAGGTTAGCCGGGGAGTATGTCCGGAGAGGTGTCGTCTGACATGCACGCACGTTTTGTCCGTGGCATTGCCCAGCTGTGCTATCAGCTTCGTGCCGATGGCGAGCACGCTCCTGTCGGCGGAGGGCTTGGGGTTCGAGTTCTGTGTCGCGGCGCATCAAGTCAGCGTCCGGCATCCATCACGAGTGTGCAGCAAGTGCTTCTTCGCAGGGCCCTTGGGTGCGTGCGGCTGATGACGGAGGTGTCTCTTGGGTAGGTCAGTAGTGGGCGAGCAAGATGCCGCCCATGCTCGACACTTCAACCCGTCGCGTAGCTCCCTCTTCTCCTTCGGTGACCTTCTTCTCTTCCCACCTGAGCCGCGCGACAACCACCACCACCACCACCACCACCTCCAGCCTCTGTACCGCCCGCACACGCCCGCCACGCGCCTCGCGTCACATCGCATCGTGACCATATCGGACGAGCACGCGCACCAAAGAGCAGGGAATAGGACGACGACGTACCAGCAGCTTAATCTTCTTAGTCGCACTCCCTTCGTTGGTAGTGGGAGTTGCGCTGAGGGCTTGCGCCTTGCGCTTCCTGCTGGAGTCCATCGGCGCGCAAACTCAGTGGACACTGAAAGAGACGATCGCAGTTCAGTACAGTGCCGGCAGCGATATTACGACAACAGGCCGGTGAAAGGGTGGATTAGACCGGACACTTCGCGACCTTCCTGGCTTGCGAGAGATCGCGATCACGGGACGGGCTTGTCAATGCGGCTCTGCGGACGTACCCGCAACCCGCGACCCACACTCCACAATTCACTGAATTACTCCTTTGCTCCCTCGCACTGAACGACTCGTCGCCTCCGCACGACAACCTTGGTCATCTCTTTGGTGATACACGTAAGCCTACCTGGTACTGTAGAGTTGCGATGAGGATGCGGATGATGGAAAGAAATACTCGGCAAACGACTGACTGCACAGATTATTCGATTATTTACCTATGCATGTTGTTCCCAAGTGACAGACACTCTACAAGAATTGTGCAAAAGGCAGCTCTGTTCGTCGACGGGACTTGTCCTTTTTTTCCATATGAACGCCGCTCACCTGGAGCCTACTGCCGCGTGCGAGTGGGACATCCTTGCTCATCCCGCACCATGTAAAGTGTCAAAGTTGAGAGTTGGCACTTGGCAGTAGCGCCAGTAGGCGTGTACAGTAGTGGTGTTGCATGTGAAAGTACATATACCTTACAAGCTACTCCGCGTTTCTCCCACGGACTTTTGTGGTAGGAGGTATGAGGTACAAGTGTGCAAGTGACAGGCCGGTTCACTTGCATGGCCATGGCTATTGACTAGGAGGTCATAACAGCTTTGGATGTCTTTGCATGCCATTGCCGCTGCTCGACCACCTACTCGTGTTGTAAAGACTACCGAATCAGGGTCAGGTTGTTGGTGCCAAGCCAACTCACAGGCAAGCCGCTCGTATTTGGTTGTTCACACAGTTCATTTATGCAGGGTGTAGACTGCGGGAAACTCAGGTGATGCCATCCAGCAGCCTGCATACCATACCAGTACCTGATACTCTACTTGGACATGGTCGGCAATAATGGCATCCAGCACCGGGTAAAGAGGGACGGAATTGCGTTGACGGTCTCACATCAGATACCTTATTTAAGTAATTGCCTCAATGTTCATGGATGAAAAGGCACAGGCCGCACAGCAGCAACAAAAGCACCCACGCCAAGTGATTCAGACGGAGGACAGACCAAGTGCCGGAAGAACCCACATGCCGAAGACTGCTCCACTTTGTCTGGCCTCAGTGGTCGCTCCAACATCTACCGAGTGCGACAAGTTGACCACATAGCTACCTATCGATAAGCGACCTAGGTGGTTTTCTTACGAATACTGTTATCACATCATGCTCATTGGCGCGCTGCCCGCTCTCGTGAGTATCAGAGTTTCGGCTGAAGGAGCTGACGGGATCCTGGAATGCAAGGCTAAGGTACCTAACAGAACCAGCGTGGCCCTGGCAAAAAAAAGAAACATTGGGCCCTGGAAGATGCAACAGCATGGCAAATGCCATATGGCAAGTGATGAGAACCGACTCCACTTTGATTATGATATATGGCTGGCTGCTGCTAATCGGGATACGTAAGTAGCACGCACTCCAGCTCCACTGTAAAGGAACATGAGACTGCACTGAGTAGGCCGATACGAAGCAAGACGATATCCGGAATTGCACTCCCATCTAAACGAAAGAGCCCCAGGATCAAGAGCATACCTATTCACGACATCTGCTTCCGAGACAAGCCACACAAGTCCAGTCACCATCCACGACAAGAAAGGCTACAGCGCAAAAGCGACCACATCTACAATCTCGTCTTCCTTTAAAAGAAGAAAAAGAAAACACAAGGAGAAACCCATCTCTCAGCTCAGAAAACACCACCACCAACCCTCCCTCCCGCCTGATCCCAAGACCCCCCAAATCCATCTCCATCATGCCCTCCTGCCGCCGCTGCTCCGGCCAAGGCCAAGTCCCCAAGCCATGCAACTCCTGCAACTCCACCGGCCACACTCGGCAGCGCATGCGATGTTACCAATGCAAATCCAAGGATGCCCCCACTGCTGCAGCCTGCACCCTCTGTCGCGGACGTGGTCAACTGATGATTCCGGTGAATTGTACCAATTGCTCTGGGAGTGGGACTGCGTTGCGGTTGACGTGTGGTGATTGTGGGGGGAGTGGAAGGTCGGCTTCTGTCGCGTAGGAAGAAACGTTGTTGTGATGGAGGGGGGAGGGGGGATGGTGGTTTTATCTGGAGAGAGAGTGTGTGTGTGTATGTGGGGAGTAGGGAGTGGGGGGTTTCTTTCTTTCTTTTCTTTTTTCCTCTCTTCTTTCCACTAATAAGCAGCGAGCGAGTAACATCGTCGTAGCATTTGCTTTTATGATTCAGCGTTGTGGCGATATACAGACGATTTCAGGGATTTTTGTAGAAGAAGAAGAAGAAGATCGTATAGAATGGAATTGAATGATAGGAAATCAGACTACCTCCTCAATTTCCTATTATATTGCCTATCATTATCGTAATTCCTTAAAGGTATCTTGCTCTTAAGCAAAAAAGATCCCAAGTCCTTCTAGTACCTTGTATTCTATTGTTACCTATAGTAGGTATATATATACCTATATAGGTACCTAACTTTCTAGTCTAGAGAAGAAAGTACCTATACTCGAGCCTTTCGCAAAATCTTACTATACGTAGGTAGAGCGGTAGAGCCTTCAATAAATGCCGTATATTTCAAGCAACGACAGAAAGACTACGTACTTAGAAACTACCGACCCTAGCTAGTCGGTCGCTAAGTAGGTAGTTTCTAGTCTAGAAAGAAAAGCAAAGATCCTAGAAGCAATAGGACTTCTTGTATTACGCGGTAGCTATAGCGATATATTGCTGCTCGGTATTTCGATCTCGTTAGGGATGCTAGAAGAAGGGCTTTAGGAACTGTACTAAGTATATAAATGCCGAAGCGTATAATAGTTATGTAGTCTGTTGATTCTACGTAAGGTAGGTCTTTGTTCAACTATATACCGAATTGATCGACTTTTATAGGGACTGCTAGCTAAGGTAGTGCCCTCTAGTTTTGTGATTAGAAGATGTTGCTACCTTGTCGATCTTATATATCTTGGATCCGTACATGTTTTCGTGTACATACGTAGGTACTGATGAAGATAGAGCAGGCTCGAGCCGATTCTTACGTAGATGCGTTGCCCAGGCTAGGAAGTAAAGTATAGTGCATACAATACTTTCCCTCGTTGGAAACTAAAGAAGCATTGTACAGGTCTGCTTGCTTTACTGGCTTGCAACGCTACAGGCGGGTATCTTGGTTGCTTCCGCAGCCTACTAGGTACCTGTAGTTTGGCCAAAATCTCCCAAAAGCGACCAGTATGGAATAGTGATCAATCCTGCTGGACGGAACGATTATTTCTCGGAGAACAACATGTTCGTAGCAACGCGCTACGTGCCTATGAAGAGAGAATCCAGTGGCTGATAGCGCTCTCACATCTGCCCCTACAGTATGTGCTTGTGCCAGATGCAAAAATCTAGTTGCAGACAAACAGCTGAAGCGTGTCCTGACAGCTGCTGCCAGTGGAACGTACCGCTTCCACTATGCATCGTGTCTTCAAGATCGGTCTCGCGGGCCGTTATATTGGATTCAGGACTGTGAAGCCAGTCTGGCCAGCTCCGTCGTAGTAGACAGCAGTCGAGAGGGGACAGAATTAAACACAGAGGGCCGCAATAGCCTTCGAGCAGGAGTACCTGTATGGTGCAAAGACGAGACGTATGCGAGTCTGTCTCAATGCATACGCGAACGTGATGAAGCGCTGCTATATCGGCGGCAAGTTCGTACCCTACCATCCAGTGTGATTGCACTGTCCCTTGGTAACGAACAATACACGCAGACATCAGTAAGAGAAGAGGTGAGGTTCGGTGTAAGGTATGGATAGAATGGGGAAGGTTCCATGGTTGGTCGCGCTTGAACTGACGGCTGCCAAGAGACTTGGCGATACCGGGAAGTACCGCATCGATACATTGAAATTTTTCGTTTTTTCTGCAAAATTCCTTCCAGCACATGCAAGCACACGACAACGAAAATTTCTTTCTTTTGCGTGCCGTCGCCGCCGCCGTCACCTCGCCATCACCATCGCTCGCCACTCCATTGCAACCATCGCTCGTCTACTGCAACTGGCCTGGCCCTCCGATGTATCATCGAGCATGCCCCCGACCGCGACTCGCCACAGGTAAGTTTGCCCTTTCTCCCAGCCACCGACAACCACCACATGATGATATCTATTCAATCTATACTATTTCTGGTACCTCTTATTTTACTCCTGGCTTCGCGCTGGAGAATGCATTAAAATGGACTTCTGATGGACCTGTCACGCTGCAACAATTCAATATACTGCACAAGCTCCTCAAGGGTTCTCGCTGACAAGTGATTCGACAGATTGTATTGTGTACACTACTGTACAGGCGCGGACTTCTCATCTGATGCGAATACTTTACACGTGGCTTTCATCTTGTCGTTGCAGGGCGACGGCGAGGAGATGGCTCGTCGTTGTAGCGACGTTGTTTACTGCTTCAAACATGACCTCAGGCTCAAGCCTGCCCCTGCCCAGTTTCTCTTTATGGTTTCCATCCGAGTTCCGGACGACATGACACGCCAGTCTTCGAACAACCGTTGCTAGGAGGAAAGCGAGACGGGCGTTTGTCATCGTATCACAGGTATGTGTGTGTGTTTGCAGTAGAAGCGACGCATTCATGATTCAGCATGCAGATTTTGGCAATCATCATCTCGGAGGTATTCTCCCTCCAGTGTTCATGACGCTAGAATGGTAGATCTATCACAGTCGGCGCAGACCGGGGCTATGTGGTCGCAACATTGCTGCATTAGGTAAGGTATATTGCTTTTGTGTGATAGATGTGCGGCGGCAACATGATGGTCATCCAATGTCCACAGCGATGCCGTGCGAGGGACCGACATGATGTACATGATGTACGTATACCATTAAGGAGGTATGGAGTAGAAGGGGACTCGGATGGCGGCAGTAAGAGGTGAACGTGGTGGTGTAACAGCCGCGCAATGAAAAGCGGACTAGGAGGTACCTGTACCTCCTATATCACTCTTGTTGACGTCTGCGACGTTTTGGTTCCGATCAGAGGCTGCCACGCGAATCAGTAATAAGAACATTCAAGCATTGAGCAACAAGACGACGATCCTCCACAGAAGTGGTGACCAGCCGAACTCTACTTGCTGGAATAGGAGACTTGTGGAGGGTACCAATTAAGGTATTTGGTATTGCCAACAGCTCGCAGCAAATTAAGCATGTCGGACGCCCGAACGTTTATTGTTTCGCGCCCGGCCGCAACAACCCAACAGACTTTTTCATGATCAGCTGGTCTAGAAGTTTGCGACCGGGTGGCCGTGACGCGTGGAAACGGAGTCCGAGCGAGGAGGCCGTGATGGCGAGGTTACCTTGCATTCCTCGCGAGGTCATCAACACACGCACGGGCACGGCCTCACAGTCAGCAAGTTGGCAGCCACCGCGCGCCTCGCCCGATGTCACATTCACGCGAGCGGCGAACAGTAGCAACGACATGTCTGCGTACGTAGTCGTTCCACGCACAACATAGTATTGGACGCACATCTCGCTTGCTTAGGTAGGCTTAGTGATGGTATTATTCTCCATGCAGAAAAGCGTTGCCGTGTGAGCCCACAGTCAGCCGTTGTATGAAACCGCTAATTTAGGTACACCAATCAGCGGGCGTTGTGCACTCCCTCTAGACTCCACCTTAATTTCAGCCCTTCCTCCCTGGGACTCCCTTCTCGTCCACCCCGTTTTATCACCCAAAGCCTCCAGCGACAGCACTGCAAACTACTTGTCACCAGCGACACCACACTCTTTCACCACCACCACCACCTATACTCACCACAGTCGATCTTTAACCCCAAATTCGCCTCTAATTCACCAGTCGTCTTGTTCGCTGTCCGACTGCGTGCCCAGTGATCAATACAAACTGCCAGGGGCCAACAATACGCGCTCACCTCGACAATAATCGGAAAGAGCGACGCAACAATCGTTGCACCTACCGCGCCTCATCCGAACCAGATTCCCGCGACCCAAACAAATCTCTTCCTGCGAACTCTTAACAACACCTTCCATTGGCAACGTCTCACCTCGACCAACGGTGATCATCCGCGACAAACATCGCCATGCGATACTCCTTCAGCGCAGCAGCGCTCTTCGCTGCCACCGTCTCGGCCGATCTCTGCTCTTACGGCTCTACCGACGACAATGGCAACTGGTACTGCAAGCAGGTCAATGCCATCACTTACACTGGTGTTGGCGGATCCGCCTCTTACAACAAGGTCACCGCCATGGATAGCAAGTCTGGTTCATGCTCCAGCTCACCGTATGGATATTCCGGCTCCATGTCGCCACTGGACGAGGAAGTTTCCCTCCACTTCCGTGGACCTTTGCAATTGAAGCAACTTGCTGTCTACACCCCAGGATCTTCAGGATCTTCTCACAAGGCCAAGCGCTCCGCTCACCGTCGAAGGCATGCAGGTGGCGCACACGGACATGGCCACGTCCACGAGGAGAAGCGCGAGGCCGGACTCGGTGACATGGTCAATGCCATCATCGATGGAAAGTCCGTCTCCTGGGCCAACACCTACGACGGCACGGCCTCCAGCAACAGTCCTCCTGCAGCTGCTGGATACGCGCCACCCAGCAGCAGTCCCCCGAAAGCAGCATCATATGGCCAGAGCAGCAGCAGCTCCAGCTCCAGCTCGGGTGCTGCTGCTAACACCAAGCCGTCCTCATCTTCGGGCGGCAGCAGCAGTGGCAGTGGCTGGAACCGTGTGGGCTACTACAACTCCCAGGCCAAGACCAGCGACGGCCTCGTCTTCCTTAACCATGAAGGTGGCTCCGGATCCGGTGTCTTCGACTACACTTTCGGCAACTCGCTCTCCTACGCCAGCGCTGATGGCTGCAGCGGTGCCTCGGCCCCTCAAGTTCTCGCAGACACCACCATTCCCTCAAACAACGAGGTCGTGGTCATGACCGACAGCAAGTGCACTGACTCCTCATGTGGCTACGTTCGCGATGGCACTGTCGCTTACCACGGCTGGGACGGCCCAAGCAAGGCGTTCTTCTTCGAATTCAGCATGCCCGACGATGGCAAGACCGGTCAGAGCATCTATGACCCAGTGAACATGCCAGCCATCTGGATGCTCAACGCCCAGATTCCACGTACTTTGCAGTACGGTAACGCGGACTGCTCCTGCTGGAAGAGTGGATGCGGTGAATTTGACATCTTTGAGGTCCTCGCTGCTGGCGATACGCGATGCAAGTCCACCCTTCATGGCAACATTGCTGGTGGTAACAGCGACTACTTCGCTCGCCCTACCAATGGTACCATCAAGGCTGCCCTGCTCCTTTACAGCGATAACATCCACATCAAGATCTTGGACAACAGCGTCACCTTCGGGACCACCATGGATAACACCTTTGTCAAGGAAATCATTGCAGACACCATGGAGGAATCCCTCAGCAACCTTGTCTCGATCTTCAAGCTCAGCTCATGAACTCGAGCGTGGTGACATTTCGCAATGTATCTTGCTCTCCCATGATCATGTGTAACAATCTGCCAAATAGGGTAGCAGCGGACGGAGTTGGAGGAGTTGAGTGCGAGGAGCCTGGTCTTCTCAAAGTGCTTCGGGTGCTTCGGCCCGGATTATGTGCATCGAATGTCCTTTGTTCTTTTGAGTTCTTTTGCAGGGAGGTGATGGAGCGCGAGGCGGCTGTACATACCGGGGAAAGTCTATGGTAAAACGTCGATTGACAGCTACATGTAATGTAGATTGGCAGTAGGTCGGCGTGGTACGTGATGAGTACGCAAATAGCCTGGCAGTACAGCAATAGGATTGAATCCCTTTTGATGCTTGTAATCGTGGATGGTGCCTTTGGTGCTTGCCTAGGTACCTATCTTGCTGTTCCTCCGGGCAGAGGCCTCGAGAACGTGACATGGTGGGGTGTGTGTGAGTACTCTACACTTATGTAGTGCTCGTGCGCGGTGTTGATCTCATGAATGATGTCGTATCGTGAGCGTACATAGGTACATTACTTCTCGTCCGACGCAGCAGGAGGTAGGTGGTAGAGTGACCTACCACAACCGCAGATGGGGAAATGCCTCGGCCTTTGTCTTGATTCCGTGGCTTAAACTCTCTTGGATGTTCCCGTCACTCGCACAACGCTCTGGTCTTCAACCCTTCACTTCTGCATGCCCATTCCATATCCCACTGGCACCACTATCATCCCACTGTCATGACCATTGTCCCGATGGGAATGCTTGCGTGAGGATCATTCGCAGGCACAAAAAGGATCAGCCGGCTTGGCACGTGGCGACGAACCGAGCCGATACATTTACTCCGCACGACGACGACATCTCTCATGCCATGCGCTGAGCGCTGACTACGCTCGACCATCACGGCGGACAGCGTCAGCGAGCGCGACAGCTCTCGCCTCAATCCGAGGTCCTGCACTGTCAGCGTGAAGGACAGCCGAATAGACTCGCTCGACAGCTAGAAACACATCATGTCTGCTGGCTCTCCACCCAAACCGTGGGAGCGAGCTGGGGCTGGAGGCGCCTCGGGTACGTCGTCTGATCTTATGCTGAAAATTGCATCGACCAACAGCGTACTGACTCTCTGGCAGCTGCAACACCGGCAACGATGACGTCCACCGCAGCGACACCGACGGCGAGCTCGGCATCGGCGGCGCCAGCACTACCTGCACGATCCGATGCATTGAGCACTGTCGCCAACCGAACAGCGGCAAACTACTCCACCATGAACAGGCCGTCACCGTACGGAATGGGCACCTCGCCATATGGAGGTGGGATTGGAGGTTATGGCGGCATGTCTTCGTATAGCTCACCCTACAGTCGATTTGGTGGCATGGGAGGCATGGGTAGTATGTACGGAGGCATGGGAGGATATGGAGGCATGGGAGGGTACGGCGGCTATGGAGCCATGAACGGTGGCATGTACGGCCAACCCGGACAGCTCGGACCTGACGGACAACCTCTCAGCTTGACGCAAGCATACAGTAACAGCACACAAGCCACGTTCCAGATGATTGAGAGCATAGTGGGCGCCTTTGGAGGATTTGCACAGATGCTGGAGAGCACATATATGGCTACGCACTCGTCCTTCTTCGCCATGGTCAGCGTAGCGGAGCAATTTGGCACCCTCAAACAAACGCTTGGTTCAGTGCTTGGGATATTCACCATCATGCGTTGGATACGAACAGCGATTGCCAAGCTCACTGGCCGGCCACCTCCCGCATCCTCGACAGAACTTACACCTGCCAATTTTGCACATTTCAATGGGCAATCTGGACCTGCTGGACAACCCGGGTCCATGGCGAAACCCAGTCGAAAACCATTCGTCTTCTTCATCGTAGCCGTATTTGGTCTACCCTGGCTCATGAGCAAGTTGATTCGAGCCCTGGCAGCTTCACAAGAAGCGCAACAACAGATGGGCCCACTTGACGTGAATGGTCAGCCCACACAACCCCTCGACCCGTCAAAACTAGACTTCTGTCGTGCTTTATACGACTACACTCCACAAGCACAGCCTGGTCAAGCTTTCCAAGAGGGCATCGACCTCGCCGTCAAGAAGGGCGACCTGGTCGCCGTTCTCAGCAAAACAGACCCCATGGGCCAGCCTTCCGAATGGTGGCGATGCAGAGCCCGCGATGGCGGAGTCGGGTACCTCCCATCGCCTTATTTGGAGACCATTCAGAGGAAACCTCCGCAGGCTGCGATCATGGCGAAAGGCTCGCAGAGTCAGCCTGGAAGTGAGACGAATTCGAGAGTCAACACGATGACATCTGCGACGGTGGCGAGTCGAGCAAATTCGATGAACATTACTGATAGAGAGAAGGCGGCAGTTCAAAAGGCGAACAAGGGCTTGCCGCCCACGGTCAAGGGGAAGCCCGGGGATATGGGAATCGAGAGCTTCCAAAAAGGAGCTTTCAACTCGTGATGATTGCATATTCGGAACGGCGCATTGTACAGGACTACGAATCTTCTTTTGGTGGGTGGAAATATTGGAGCGTGGCGTGGCGTTGGGAGCGCGTATTTGATTACCCCAAAAAGATTAATGGCTCACGCGGAGTTGTGTACACCTATCGTTCGTCATTCGGTTGGTGAGATTAAAAGTGAGAGTATGTATTAAGCCATTTGGAGTCACCCATAGACCCCATGTAAACTTCACTTAGCCTGCCACCTACAGTAAATCAACGTCCTGGGATCGATCAGTCAGGTAGGTGCACCGACCAAAATTTACTTCACCCAGTACTGCAATGTCTCGTTTCACGCCGCCACTTTCGGACTGCAGGAAACTCCATTGCGGGCCTCAGTATTCAGGCAGCCCCTCAGGTAAGGTAGGTAGGCAGGTATGACAAACTCACATGTACCTAGCTATGCCAAGGCCTCATGTTCACGCCAGAGAAACCAGGGGTATGAACACCACCATACCTTACCTAGGTATGATGTCGCAGATGGAGTGACAATCAGCCGATAAGTAGCTTTGGAGATGCACAATTGGAGGGATTTCGCCAGTAGTGAAAAAGCGCCGCGAGAGAGAGAGAGAGAGAGAGAGAGAGTAGAGTAGGAAC